CATCAGAGGCGCTGATCAACACCATGTCAAACGCATGTTGGCCTTGCAGTTGACATGCTATTGTGAACACCGGAGCGAATTAGAAGATCTTCTTCGAGGTGGGAGCACTGGATAGTTGATGAGATGCAAGGACGCGGGTACCAAGGAAATGCCATGGCAGATGATCGTATGACAGATAAGGTGACGCCCACCTGTAACGGCGGCCCACCAGCCAACGGATCAGGTGATGAAGGAGGCGATGAAGCGCCCGTTGATGAACGCGACACAAAGCGTGATTGAAAATTTTGGTTGAGCGGAAATATAGGCGTACTGACGAAATCACATTGCTAAGATTGAGCAAATGGCGTGTAACTGGGCAAGGCAATGCATATCGGAGTGATCATTAAGATGCATAACCGTCGATCTCGAAAGTTCGGCGTTGATCGACATTTTGGTGCGGAAACCGCATGACCAGTGTACAGGGTTTTTGCTTCCATTGTCAGGAATTGAGGGGTCAGATAGGCTGTAGTCAGAAGAAAAGATACTTACATGGTGTTGCCAGACTGCTGCCAGCAGGATTCTGGGACCCATTACTAGATTGGGGTGTTGTGGCGGTGACCGAAAATTGGGATTTGTCGTCTTGCTTGCTGGCAGTCGTTAGCGCAGCCGTGGCCATCGTCCAGCCGTTGTCATTGTCACAGTTCAACGTAGGTCGTGTTTAACAATCTGGCGCTCTGGGGGTCAATCCCACTACCACCTTGTATCAGTTAGTCGCATCGCGATACATTTCTTCTTCTTCTCTCTCAGGTCTTAATCTCGAGCGCGTGGTTTATCCAAAGCTCGAGCATTTCTCAAGAGGTCATCCGACCTACCTCTTAGGGCCAATAATTTGACGTATCGAGCTGGTTTCGTATCGTCAAACATGTCAGGTCCCTCCTACCAATTCAATACGCCTCGCCCGCGTCCTCCTCCACCCCCTTTGCGCTTTCAGAAATCTCAAAATTCTTCATTGGCAAATACGCACTCAAACTCGCAAACACTCCTTTATGATCTTCCTCATTCAACTTCTGCTGTTTCGCCTCCTGGAAGTCCAGCTGCGAAACCTGGTGTAATACCACCATCCTCTCCTTCATTTGCTGGCAGACCCAGAGGGCGCAGAAATGGTCGCCCTGGGCCAACGCCGCCCCCAACATCTCGAAATCGATCGATCACTCCTCTTGGAGTCTCTCGCAGCGAGCTCGAGAAATTCGCCGAACTCTGTCGTGCATGGTATGCCTTTGTTCGTAAGCGCTTGCCCCCGTTAATCATAATTCATGTCACTAGGTACTTCAACCAAGATGAAGCGTCTGGACGACAAGTTACACAGACACTAGCGAATTTGCCTCCTGCTCAACGAGCACCATTTTCACGCCTCCAGGCATCCATTCGCTCTGCTTACCATGCGAGCGTCAATGCCCGTCGACATGCGGAATTCCAGGCACATATTAACGCAACGCAGCCTGGTGGATCATTAATGGCACATTCTAGAGCAAATCCAAATGGTCCAGTAGCAGCGAAGGAACGCTTTGACCGATTAGATAAATTTGTTAAGACCTGGTGCACCGTGGGCATGCCTGGAACCAAACCGTTCTTTCAGGCTTTGTGGGCAATCATACGGCTTCAAGTTGTCCCGGTGCATCTTGGCGGTGCGGGGGCGAACCGTATACGCTGGGAATTTGACGACGCTGTTTTCAAGGAGTCTGCGTAAGCATTCTGTGCCTTCATTGGTGTCTAAATCTATCATGCTTACATCTATCACACGGCATAGTGGGAAAGACTTCATGCTTGACGCTATCGATGTCCTCAAAGGAGTATGTTGATATTTTTTTCGTTTATCGTCAATGTACTCAACCGGACTTCCAGGTGTTGGGCTTTGAAGAAGTTTCATCATCGAAACAGAGCAGCAATTGCCCATCTCACCTGCCACAGCCTGTGCACTCGCGCTGCCGTTCACAACCCTTATCCGCTCACCGCGAGACGAATGGTTTGTATGCTTCACCAATTGCCATGACTACCCAGGTAAAACGCGCGAGAGCTACGAGCGACCCATTTTTAGATATGCCCGCCCTATCCCACTCCCTCCCATCTGCGTCTTCTCAATCCTCCGGGGCTACGATCCCTCCCTCTGAAACTCCCGAAGATTGCCCCAGTTCCCTTACCCCACACGATCAAGATGGGGAAGATGAATTATTACCCCCGCTTCGATCAGAATTCGTCGCAGAAGATCCTGAGGACTACTTGCGCATTTGGACGTCTCCGGATCTTCCAAATCCCGAGTTGTTATCGCTACTAACTGTATTTCCTTCATTCATTACCCGCTGCGCTGTGCCGCGTTTCATCGTACCTCTGAATGCTCGTGCCGCCGACATCGAGGAGGGCGAGGAGGAGAGAGGAGAAGGCAAAGAAATCAACTTCGGCACTGGGTCGATGTGGATTAGTTCTAAGCCACGCGGCGATGGTTGGCGTGGAGACTGGTGGACAAGATTCGTCCTTTGGTGGCGAAGATTGTTCTGCTAAATATCGTGTTTCACACCACAACACATTGGACATATGTAACACTCCTTGTTTATCACTTTTGCATATACCAGCCGTACACTTACCATTCACAGACGCTATTCGGAATGGACACACAGACTGTCAGATAAGTATATCATTATCCAATGAATTGCTATGCATATGTTCCCGTTATACAAAATAGCTTCTTGGACCTCCCGCGCGCTGACACACGAGTAGTTCAACTTGTAACCGCTTACATGAAATTTTCCGGCACCGTCGATTCATTAATTTCGGGGTGATGGGATTGTCTGCACGTAAACGCCGAGCATCCTCGACCATCTCGTCAGGACGCTTATTGAGCCGCTGTTTTCGAGTAATGGTCCCCAGGAACGATGCCGTTTCAACTGACAGTTGAGTCTTCGAGTTCGTTTCGGTGCTAAGGAAATCCTCACGCGTGAACGTAAAGACAGGAGCTTTATGTATACACCGAAGTTGCGTCACTTCTTGCAAATTTTCTTGACATATATTACTCAGACATGAACTCGAGCGCTGATTTGCGCGGCCGAGCATTGATTTGCGCGGCCCTCGGGCCAGAGCTGAAGCCTTGCCAATCTGTCAGAGCATGGGAGACCATCAATGTCGACACCCAGTGTTCGAAGTTCAAGATAGCGCACCGGTGGCTATTGAGAAGCGCTTTCCATCTTAGATTCATAGAAGGCTATGGACAGACTTCGCTTATACATCTGAAGGACAGGAGAGGACAGGCTGTCACTGGGCAGGTTGCTACACGCGGTTTGAGCTGATTCAAGAATGTGATACCATACAATAGCTCCGGGAGGGAACACAGACGCACCCTCGCAAACACACCCTTGTCAATGGGCCGAATATCGACTCGCATATCTCTTATCAGAGCCACCAGCACAAAGCCCCACAAGGTTCATGCACCCTGACGTGACCTAGACGCTTGTGATGAACGTTTCGTTATGTTCGAGGGATTCTCATCTCTGATCACATGCATATGCCAGATACTTTTAATAATACATCGACCTCGATATTCGTCCTGGCGGATCTGGGGATAGTTATCTTTGCATTTAAAGGTGAGTAATAGGGTTCTGGTTCAGCGGCGATAGTCAAGGGTCTTCCACGTGAACCCATACTAGAGATTACTGGACCCATAATGTTTCCCATGTCCCCTTGGGCGCATTTGGGGCTCTGTCGCTTGCACAAAGATAGACAATTTTCCCTGCTCGGATTTGTCGGTGGCTTTCGGTAAGCCTGAAGAATTGTTGTGTTGGTGCAAAGTTCCCCAAGCGAGCGAGCCCTTTTACCGGAACTCCTTCTGTTCCTTTTGTCCCGGAGCTGTACCACCTGTACGGCACTTTTTCAGCCCCTTTCTTTGATGGGTTCTCTGGGCTGAATCCAGAGCCTTACGGTCAACTCAGCCCTCATCCTGCACCAAGACTCGCTCGGCGACAAGTGGACGCCCATTTTATTTCCAGATTTCCGGATACTATGCCTGAAACGACCCTCTAGAAGGACTTTTGAAACACAGCTGCTGATTGATGCTCGTACGTTACTGGCTCTCGATTACCTTTTTTTGCTTCCGATTATTTCGGTTCAAACGTGCACCTCGAACGCAATTCTACCCGGAGCCCACTTGGCTGCGGCACGTGTGCAAGATGGCAACGTATTCTCACTGTAACGGATGATCACTTGCGTGGTCATAACCGCTACAGTCAGACTTGTTTTATTTCTGTCTAATCAATTTGCTCCATACTGAATTGAATGGTCTGCGAGAGGGAAACACCAGCCCCTTTCGCGGCAAATCTTTTTTTCCCTGCTTCTATGCGACATGCGACGCTCCTGATAATGTTCGGTGCCATGTAAGCAGTCGGCGTCGTACACGCCAACGGCGCGTGTTTGGACGGGGGCCTTGCTTTTTTTCTCAGATGACACGTCGATCGAAAACATTGTGCTTTTCTTCATAATCGTGTGCCTCGCGTTCTCGGAATACATGTCAAAAACTGCGCTTCCTTCGTCATCGTGGGCCCTCAAACTTTTTCTCGCGTCTCCGGATAACATTCCTCCCCATGTGTCCCCGGAGCAGGTTTTTAGCGCATCGCATGACGCTATGATAATGAAATGGCCTTAAGTTTACGAATTAATGGTGGCAATGATGGCGGCAACGAAAATCCTCCACATCGCGCGTGAGGAAAGAAGATTGCACTTAAGGCTCCTACTTCTTGCTTCTAGAATGTGAGCCGAACGATGGGGAAGGATGTTTTTGATGCGAGGACCGACTGGGGTTCTGGGACCGCGGTCTCGCTTCATGTTGAATATGTTGACCTCCAACAAAGGGTTTGCGTCAAACAACTTTCTGCTGCCAGAGGTCTCGAATGAATTACAATTGCTCCCAATATTTTGATCTGTTCGCACATGGCACCAATATTAATGCCTCCAGAGATCGCCCCCGTGAGATGAGATGAAGCAGCAATAGTCAATTGGTGAGAACGAAAATGTGCCTAGACATAAATATTGATGAAGAATAACTATGGATCCCAGATTGATTGAGGCCGTACACAATGTATATTACCTAGAACCTCATGTGAAATTGCCCTTGAACGTTAACTTTGACCGAATGCAAAGATGCTGGGAACATGGCCCTGCAGTAGTAACTCCTTACCGCCACTACGCGCCAAAATAACCAAGAAGCCAACCATTCCTAAAGAATCATAATCACATATTTCGAGGACGACGGGTCTTGATAGCCGCGATTTCGATATCTTTGACGCGGCTGCTGTGCTCAGATCTGGAAAAACGTTGAGCGTGACATGAAGGCGAGCAGTCTTGTGTAAATTTCCTACTGTCGCAATCTCGCTTGCAAGTCCGCAATCGCTTGCCTCAATTGCGCGTTTTCCCTATCCAGACCCGCATTCTCTTCTATCAACCGCGCATTCTCACTCTCCGCGTCGGCTTTCGCAGCCTTTAGGTCTTCAAGATACTTCGCCTTGGCTTTGTTACTTAGATCCAGCGCATTAACCTTCCTCTCCATTTTGCGAACATAGGACGGCGATTCTAAGGCGATCAATGACTCTATATGGGAAGCCATGATCTCGCCAGTGGTTCGGTGATCGATAAAAGGGTTTGAAGAAGTACGTCCGAGGGTGCTAGAGGGACGTGCGGGGGCGTTGGAGGCAGATTCCATTGTGTTACTTCCAGTCTCAGAGGGACCGGGGACGGGAGCATTTGCACCTGATGTCTAAACAAAGATTCCAATCAGTCTCTTCGCAAGAGCTCAATCCAGACCGACCGTTTGCTCCCCGCCACTATATTCCCGTTCCTTGCCTTTGTTCCTGGTTGGAGTAGATGGGAAATCTGGTTGGAATGTGCCCTGGCCAAAACTGGTGTCAGCATGGCGGCGGAGGCGGATGGTCTGAGGTGGAGTCAATGGTAAAGAAATTGGTTGAACGTTCGATGGCTGCTCCATGGAAGTAATTCTTGGCTTTTTTGGTGTCCTCGGGTCCAGAACTCCAAGACTCTGGTCCGTACTTCCAGATGAACCACTTTGTTCTGGGTCGACTACTGGCGATATCTCTTCCCAATCCCCAATCGTCGAGGCCTGAGAGGATTGAGATCCGAAAAGAAATGAGCGCGTAGGGTCAGTCGTAGCAACTGCATTTTGCTGGGGGCTGTTATGTTGTGTCGTTAAAGGGGCCTGAGGCTCCGTTTCATTTAAAGCGGCCTCTATGTCTGCTAACCTCTTCCTCGGACTTTTCTGAGGTGTGCTGAGTGCTCGAAATGATGCAGCTCTCTGCCTCTGAGAAGGAGGTGGGACCGACGGTGCAGGTGGAGGGGAAGGTATGGCAGATGTATTTTGTTGGCGGAAAAAAATAGGGTCATCTGCCCAATCTGAGCAATTTCACTTCAGCCACTTTTAAGAGCACTAGCAGATATACTAACAAAAGAATTTACACCTTTCGCTCTGGTTTGATCTCGAGCAAGTGTAGAACTCACTGTGGGACGGATGTAAAGCGCCGTTTTTAAAAACCATTTTAAACATACCGGTTAGGATTAGAGGGCGTTTGACTAGTCTTTCGCATGGCAGTTTCGCCATGTGAGCAACGTACTACACCATTTGCGTCCATAGGACTTGTTGACTGGGTGCGCGGTTGACTGGACATTATGGCCGAGCAGTAAAGGAGTTGAATTCGAACACCCCTATACGTTATTAATAATACAAATCAGGTGACTCATTTGATAAGGGCTTGCTTGTACTGGTAAGCTTTCCTCAACTCGTGCTTGTCGCATTGCAACGTCTTGTTCACTGTATTGGATAACGTTCAATATGGCGGCCGCGTCTAAAGGGAATTCTCCCTTGCTATCTGTTACTTCAAAATATGTCGCACCGTCCGACCCATCCTTGCCTGCCCTTGCCTTGCAAATCACTAGCCTCGTGGGCTCATACATGATTTGGGTTGGTGTTACGAATCAACCACCAGAGTCTGTGCAGGACGCAGCCCGCTCTGGTGTTCTGGGCAGAGATTGGGCATGCGCTATGCCCGCACCACCCGGACATGCAGTAAGTAAATGATGTCAATACCTAATTATACACCAACTACAGCAGCTTGTGGAAGGGCTTTGGACCTGCTACTTCCCTGTTCCGATCATCAAGTTCTGATGTATCTTTCTCGATGGCGCAACGTCTTGGTAAGTCGATGTTCTGTTCGGATTGCTGTACCAGTTGCTGATTTATATTTGACTGATTCTAGCACGGAGGTTTCATCGACAGATATTTTTATCGGTCGATGTGCCCAACAGCCTGCTATCAACGCCAAGGGGATCCCAACTATTGTTTGATGCAGAAAAGGGCATAGTCTCGGCCCTCAACAGCCTTGGAGATGAGCACGGCCAAGAGGTATAATAAATCGCTTGTTATCTTTGCGGTCCCCAACCAGTTTGCTGTGCAAAACATGTGTGGTGCGCATGTCATGCGGATTTTATCTGCCAGGGTCCCGTATAATACAAATCATGTTGTCAAATGTCGTTGGTGAGTACTGATCTCGCCACGGAGGTAAACCCCTGGCCACGTGTTTTGCTGGGTCTAGAGAAGTAGATCGATCCAGTTGGATAACCTCGTGTTGGCACCAAGTTGGCACTGTAAATAAATTTTGTGAATGAAAAGTTTGAATTGATTGAAATCCGTTGTGCGGTTTAAGATCGATTAGCCGACCCTTAACCCCTCACATAGTAGAACCGTGTGGCACTTGGCGCTATTCGACTCATTTGTGGCCTGGGACCAACTGGTTGCTTTGACTTCTTGTCATTGCCGTACTTGCCGTTGACGACGACGACGACCAGCAACAACTAAACGGCCTACTTTTATTTTCTGACTTGCGAGGAGAGCAGCCCTACTAACTGTTTCCTCATAGACAGAGCATGTCGGAACCCGAACTTGCCTACATGACCAACACCAACGAAGACTTTGATCTCCCTCGCTGGCAAACTCACGCTCATCTGGAACCGTTGTCTTCATCTGCCCAGGCAGCCCAGTCTGCTGCTAGAGCATCCTATCTTTATCCAAGTGCACCGCCTCCACCACCACCGCAGTCTCTCACAAACGTCGTCGGTCAGAGATTGCCGCCCTTACATCAATCTCCTGGCTCATCCAGGCAGCCTCGTCTCGCTCATATCCTTGACCACGATCAACCAACGGGCGTCACATCTTCATCTTTCCTTTCTACAGGTTTGAACCAACTTTCGAGGAGTGCGTCATTGGGTGGTGGTAGTGGAGCTGGTAACGGATCTTCCAGGGCTCGTCGTCATCATCAACCAGAAGATCTCGAGGGCGCTTTCAACCTTGACGCCCAGAACGTCCCTAGTTCGAGACACATGGCTACAACACCAAATTCCCTCTACCCATCCGGCGTTGCCTTCCACCAAACTCAACCAGGTCCTCCTCCCCCCAACAGCAGCGCTTCTCCCACAGCTGTATCCAGCGAACCATATTCAGAAATGTATTATAATGGATCCACTGGGAACCTTCCAAAGCGAGCTCTTACACAGCATGACCCTACTCCCCGCACCGGGCGTTCACCATTGCGTACGGGTAACCCACTCCTGGATCCATACTCCCAACAAGCCCAATACTCACCATCTACCACCCCTTACCTCTACGCCTCATCATCTGATGCTCAGAGAACAAACACCTCTTCTACATATCAGTCCCATGCCCGCAGCACCTCTCAAACCAAGGTTGAAGCCTCGACGCCACCAATATCATCTCCTTACACTCCGCAGAGTGCTGCGCAGGCTGCTTATGCTGCGTATGCGATGGACTCATCTAGTCCTGCACCACACCAAAATCAAACCCATTTATCCCCCCAAGCACCTATCAAAAGTTCCATCTCCACCCCAAATACCCCTCTGTCATTTGCTCACCCGCAGAGTCCGGCCAATCAGTACTACCAAGACCAGCCCATGGTCGTTGATCAGCCGCAGCATCGACGCCGAGCTTCTGGTTTCAGAAGAGTCCGTGATACGCGCGATCTTAGACCTTACGTAAATCCTCAGCCTTCGGGCAGACGAATGGATGCTAGTGGGGTATTTTTGTCGGTCCGTGTGTTCTCCACTTGATCGCGGTTGAGCTCTGACATTAAGTGACACAGCCATTGAGGCAATTGACTACCAACATCCTCGATACGTATCATATCTGCAACCCGCAGTTTAGATACGAATCTGCGCACAATCCGCGGAGGGTGCTCACGAAGCCGAGTAAGCCGTCGCACAACGAAGGTTACGACAACGAGGATTACGATTATATTCTCTACGTCAATGATTGGCTGGGAAACGAGGATGGTCACAAGTGCGTTGATGCCGCATGCTCTCGGCGATATACTGAACTGTTCACAGTCGATATCTCATTCTGGATATTCTTGGTCAAGGAACCTTTGGTCAGGTGGTGAAATGTCAGAACATGAAGACCCACGAGATCGTGGCAGTGAAAGTGGTAAAAAATAAGCCTGCGTACTTCAACCAGAGTATGATGGAAGTCACGATCCTAGAGCTGGTACGTTTCTCCACAAATAATGATGAACTGATATTCACATTGATCTTCATAGCTCAACAATTCGTGCGATCCACATGATGAGCATCATATCTTGCGACTTCGCGACTCGTTCATCCATCGAAATCATCTATGTCTTGTATTTGAGCTGCTCTCCTCTAACCTCTATGAGCTCATCAAGCAAAACCAATTCCAAGGACTGAGCACACAACTCGTGAAAGTGTTTACTGCTCAGTTGTTGGACGCTTTGACTGTGCTCAAGGATGCACGCTTGATTCATTGTGACCTGAAACCAGAAAACATTCTGCTTAAATCGTAATTTCTCATTCCGTTTCCTGCACGTACCCCGTACTCAATCCCTTTACCAGGCTCCAATCGCCCCAGATCAAGGTCATTGATTTTGGCTCAGCGTGTCATGAACGACAGACGGTGTACACGTATATCCAGTCGCGATTTTACCGGTCGCCCGAAGTCATCCTCGGAATTCCTTACACGTCTTCGATTGACATGTGGTCATTGGGTTGCATTGCTGTGGAACTCTTTTTGGGGCTACCGCTCTTCCCCGGTACGAGTGAGTATAATCAGATTACCCGGATCGTAGAAATGCTTGGGTGCGTATTCCGTCTCACTAGCTGGGTCATCGATATCCATTGATATACTATGCCTTGATCGTAGGATGCCCCCAACATACATGCTGGATATAGGAAAGCAGACGAAGCAGTTCTTCGACTCCTACGTGGATGTGTATGGCCAGAAGAAGTACCGCCTCAAAACCTTGGAGCAATACTCCCGTGAGCACAACGCCAAGGAACAGCCCGGGAAGCATTACTTCAAGGCCAACACGCTTCCGGAGATCGTCAACACTGCCCCGATGCCGACATTCAAGTCATCGTCTCGGCAGGGGCACGAGGTGGAAAAAGGTAAGATTAAGTGTTTCGACTTTGCCTGATTTGTTCTCACGTGGCGTTTCAGAATTGAACAATCGAGCGTCGTTCATCGACTTCTGCCAAGGTCTACTCAACCTGAATCCTATAGAACGATGGTCACCCCAGCAGGCTAGGATGCACCCTTTTATCACCGGCGAAAAGTTCACTAAGCCTTTCCAAGTTCGTTATCTTGTTCATCGATCTTCTTGAAATTTTTACTGACAGATCATTATAGCCCAATGGACACACCGCTGCTCAGATTACACAATTGTCGTCCGCGTCAGGCAATGCAGACCCGAAGCGGCCATACGGTGGTCTTGTTCCCCAGCAGCCGAAAGGCACCAGAGCATTCCAGGATGCAGCGTCATACAACCAGCAGCTTGCTCAACATCAAGCTTACACTGCGCAGGCGCAAGCCGCATCTCAGGCGGCCAATAGTGTATTCCGCAACCCGTACATCACGCAGCAGCAACCTGCTTCCCAGACACAGCAGTCCCAACAACAGCCGCCGCCGCCTCCACTGTCCTACCAGCCGTCTCAGGAAGCACCTGCAGCGTCGTCGTTTCCGGCTCAACAGCCGCAGCAGCACACCTTCTCATCATCCCAGTCTGGGCAGCTTAGTGGGCTCAACGCTTCTGGCGCTAGCTACCCGCAGGGGACGGGAATCAGCGTGACTGGAATGCTCAACCCAAACCCACCTGCTGCATCGCACTACCCCCCACCCCATGCGCGCGCACGGGCCAATACTATCAACCATTCCGATATGATCCCTCCTGCGCTGGCGCGGCTGCAGCACATGAACCAAGATGTGATAGCCGGACGAAACGCATTGACACCTGTGCTCAACCGGGATGACGCTATGCGCGAATGGGAAAGGCGGCAAGCGGGCAAGCCGAGCGCGGCGCAGCCGTACCCTCAGCTCGAATATCTGCAGCAACAGGCTGAGCTTGCTGCTGCAAACGGCATGTCTGGGTGGGGCGCATCTACCCGTTACCCGCCGCCGCCTTCCAAGCTGTCACACTCGTACCAACCCACAATTATAGTGGACGATGACAGAAGGGAGGCTGTCATGTCGAATGTCCGGACTGCTGCACGCAGCGAGACGAGTGCGAGCGGGTACAATCCTGCCGCTATGGTGACTAGTCCGACGCAGGCGTATGCAGGGAACGCAGCTGGTACCGGTGCACGGTACCCCACAACATTCCCTTCACAACAGCAGGCCGCGAACCCATCTTTCGATCCGCTGACTCAGCGGACAGATATCGGGGCGCTGTACGTTCCGATGCAGCCTGAGCAATATCAGTCCTATGGTGGAGGTGGTGCGGCTCAGGGAGCCAGTATGTCGTCCTCAAGGCAAGGTCCTCAGACGTCGCAACCGGGTCCGCAATCCTTCTATGGTGCAGGTGTGGCTTCGGCCGTGCAAGCTCCGCCGCAGGCAGCTCAACGGAACCCGTTCAATGCGAGTGACGCGCCGCAACAGCCAAAGGAGTCGAGAAGACTGAGCGGGATGGATATTTGGTCGCGATGAATGTTGGTTAATAATGTGATCCCCCCCCTCTTCTTTCTGTGCCATGGCTTCCACTCAATTTCGACCGGTGCTAGTACGATGTGCTTCCAACCAATTTTTGTGTTTTTTTCTCAGGCATTCTTGCAACTCTGCCCCATTTACCAAGACATCTTCTATGTGTTTTCTGTGTCGCATCATCCAATATTCAGGGCATTTATCATTTATTGTCACTGGTTTGACAACGCTACACAAAGCTTCCGATGGATGTGACATAGCTCCAGTACGACAGTTCGTCATGCATCATGTCCATCACGGAACTCAAAATACGAAGCTTCGGTCACTCAGTGGTGCCCGCTGATAACAAATTGAGTTCACCGCAGAAGCTACGCGAAGCAAGCAGAAAAATGGGTATTCGTGGATTATGCCGTGGTTTGGAAGGTTTGGATTGACGCGTGCCTAGATGCCCCTCGCTACGCTATCGCTAGCAATATCAACGCACCTTTGAAGTCTGAACCCTACAGTGTCACCTAGTGTCACCCATTGCTTTGGGGGCCGGATTAGTAAGTCCAAGAAGTCCTCGGTCTTGTACGGATGCCAAGTTGGTCTGAGCGTATTCTGCGCCACGTCTGGTTATCTCCTCACAAGATAGAAGAATGCAGGTAAAGGCAAGTTGCAACTGGCTGATACTATGAGCGAGCATCTTAGATTTACCTATTTCTTCCTTCTAGCTTGCGCCACACAGGGCCGACTGGATGTCGTGCGCTTCTGAATGCTATCGTCGAGACTGTTCGGTCTTTTTAGGCTTTCCACGAGATGTGTTAGTTGCACTTTAAATGGTTGCACTACGACTTTTACACCGTCTTTTAATCGAGCCATACGGAAAGGTGTGGAGACAGTCATCCAGGTTGAACAACATGCAATGACAACTGAACTTTTTGTTACCGTCCACTGGAGCCTATGCCCCACGCTCATTAGTCTTCCATTTCTTCCTGCGCAACCACGAGGAGCGCAACAAAATTGATGTATGTAACCTATTGCTGTTACCGCGTGCTTAACACGACCGCGGCAGTTGTCCGTGGCAAACATGGCGCGTCCTTGCTCATCTCCGTCATCTCCTCGCGCAGAAAGTGGCCCGAACAACGGAGCAGCATATAACGCTACGTATCCCTTCTATATCGCAATTTACTTCTTCATGAATTCTGGCCCTGCAATTGAAGACCAATCCATTCTACTCTGGCTCTGTAAGATAAACGATTCAGTCAATGCCCCTCAGCTGATACCGTTTGATGTACCAAGTTAATTATCTCGCCAGCTGTGGTGTTCGGTGTCTCGCCTACAATGGGGCTTCCGACGACTTATGAAAACATGCCAGCGCAGCGGCTCCACCGACCGCCGGTCCTTCCGTTGTTGCAGCACATTCCCCTGGCTTTAATGACCATGCTAGGTTCTAATGACCTCTCTTCCTGGCAGATTCTCTTGTGCAACAGCGTTGTCTGTCATGGTTCCTTCAACCGCCATATCGGTGAATCTTCTGTGATTAACTTCTTATTCAACGTCGCTGCCCTCGTTACGTCGGCGCCTGGACGCCGTTGGATAATTTATCACGCGATTTGTATTCCGCCAGACTCCACCGCCAACCTGTATATTCATTTGATTTTATTTGCGAACCCCGGATAAGTTCGAGTTCGAGAGATCAAAGCTGTTCAAACGTGGTACATAAGGTGCGATCAGCGTTTATGATTTTTGCTGGAGAACGGGACTGAACCGAACATCGGCAACATAACCGAGTCCGCGTACTTATCAATGGAGAACCATCCGAATGTGAATCGAGTAGTATCTTCCCCAAAGTCGGGCCACTCACGAACGAAGGTAAAGACTCGGGCATAAAGCAGTCGGATGAAGAACCATAGTCGACGTATTGGTCCTATAACAGCATCGGTTTTTGCTTGCACTCGTTTTGAACGTCCGGGTAGAGCGCCATCCCCCAGATGAAGCCTGAATTGATCGTAACTGTGTTGTTCGTTGGACGGACCGCATCGGCAAATATAAATGCAGTAGCTGCAGCAGCCTCGATCGCCGCTTCTTGATTTGTTATACTCAGACCCCAGGTAAGGAGAGGTAAAGTGATCAGAAACCGTGATCCGTAGCGAGGTTGGCGCTGTTAACTGGGACAAAAGCGTCCACGCTGGAAGGTATGTGTAATGAAGAATAATTCTGATCAGCATATTCAGAATCACGAAATATACCTTGTCTCACAGAACGGAAGCGTCTGCATGGTCACGTTTCGCTCTGGCGTCAGTCTATCAGCACAAAGTCTCATTATCGCTGCTTGGCTAAATAAAAACAGATGTTGATCATGTTTTTGAAAACATTCAACAGACTCCTTGACGAGTATACGATAGCGTTATGGAGTGCCAAGCAACCTCGCAACGAGCTGCTGACTCCTGTGCGCTGAGCTTTGGCAATCAGCAACGATTAATGTTGCTACGAGAACTGCCGCGTGACGAACCCACCTGTGGACCCAGAACTTCTTGCCGTATGGAAAGGAAAGGTGACCAGCCGACTGGGCCAAAGCCGTAAACTTAGTATTCACTGAGTGAGCACGCCCCACTGATGATGACCTTTATCGGTGACCAGCTGTATATGTAGAGTCTCTTGCCTCACGAAGGGCACTAGCAGGATAATGAGCCATCTAGGTTAAGAAAACCCGTCGACTCCGTATACCGAATGTTAGACGCCTGTAGCTGGTGGTGCACCATGAACGCGTCCAAGTGGGTCATGGCAACCTACTTATAGTAAGCGAGCTGTCACGTATTATTATTGGCATCACTAACCGTGTCCACCCAATTTGTTCCGTACTCATCGTCCAGCACAGTGCAGAAGTGTTGTCTGCCTCTATTATCTAGGTATTTTCCAGTGTCTCTCCACTCATAGAAATGCTATCGAAACGAGTCATCGCTGCCGCCCGCAGTCGTGCATTTTTCGCTAGTAGAAATGCTCAATACACTGCTGTATCATTGTCGAAAGGATGGTGCGTGTTCTCTGGGTATTTTTTTCTGCTGCCAACATCGCTGACGAACCATCGCTCTCTTGTATGTACAGGAGAGTTGCCGACTCGCATGTCAGACGTGCACAGTTCCATTCCAAGACCGTCAAGGTCCCGCAAATGGCCGAGTCCATCTCTGAAGGTACACTCCGATCATGGTCAAAACAGGTTGGGGATACCGTCGAGGCTGATGAGGAGGTTGCGACCATTGAGACGGATAAGGTAAGTACTTGTTCATCGGCGCCTCTATTAAGAAAACACACCAATTCCTCGCGTAGATTGATGTCAGTGTCAATGCGCCTACAGCAGGGAAGATCGTGGAGCTACTCGCAAAGGAGGAAGACACTGTCAGCGTTGGCCAGGACCTCTTCATAATTGAACCTGGCGAAGGTGGTGGTAAGCCGCGTGTAACTTACGAGACGTGCCGTCTCATCACATCGCTTGGCTCTAGCATCTGCTCCTCCTCAGGAGCAGAAGTCAGATTCTGAAGAACCTAAGGATCAACAACTGGACAAGACGATACCAGAACCACCCGCACCATCAGCTACCGATAAGCAGAGTGGCGGCATCCCTCCAGAAGGACCTAAAGAATCCAAGAAGGAGGTGAAGCAAGACTCGAAACCAAAGGCGGACAAGTCAAAAACACCTCCGCCTGTGCCAAAGGCCCCTGGCAATCGGGGCGAGACAAGAGTATGCAGCATTATTGTTCCTGTTTTGGAGGTGACGACGTGTTTCCTTAGGTTAAGATGAACCGTATGCGCCTGCGCATTGCCGAGCGTTTGAAGGAGTCACAAAATGCTGCCGCTTCGCTCACGACCTTCAATGAGATTGATATGTCCTCTCTCATGGAGATGCGAAAGAAGTACAAGGACGAAGTGCTCAAAGAACATGATGTCAAACTTGGCTTTATGAGTGCGTTCGCTCGTGCGTGCACTCTGGCACTCAAGGAAATTCCCGCTGCAAATGCGTCCATTGAGGGTGACGAGATTGTCTACCATGATTTCGTTGACCTGAGCGTCGCTGTCGCGACGCCGAAGGGCTTGGTCACCCCAGTAGTGAGGAATGCTGAGGGCATGGGCTTCGTTGACATCGAGAAGGAGATTGCTGCTCTCGGAAATAAGGCAAGCACTGTATAGCTTACATTCTCCTGCAGCTTACCTATTGTCATCAGGCCAGGGATGGTAAATTGACTCTCGAGGACATGGCAGGAGGCACATTCACCATGTGAGCGTCTTTGATTCTCAACCCAAACCAAAACTAATTTCATGCCTCAGTTCCAATGGCGGTGTCTTCGGCTCATTGTACGGAACGCCCATAATCAACTTGCCACAGTCTGCTGTACTTGGCATGCACGCGATCAAGGACAAACCTGTCGTTGTCAATGGCCAGATCGTCATCCGACCCATCATGGTCGTCGCCCTCACCTATGACCACAGACTACTCGATGGTCGGGAAGCAGTCACCTTCCTAGGTTCGTACTCTCTCCCGTTATTCTGTCTCACATGACCGTTATCTGACATGTTGACGCGCCGTTTGTAGTGAAGGTCCGTGACTACATCGAGGATCCTCGGAAAATGCTTCTTGCATCGAGCTGAGCTTTCCTTGGTGATTTTTCCCCTTGTGTTTCTATTTATTCATTCTATCTTTGACTTTGGGCTCTTGAAGTATGATCTTGTGATGCATCAGATATGCTACTACGAGGATGTGTTCCAAGATGTACTACAATGAGTACCAGGTCCTTCATGCACAAGGATCCACTTGTCTAGTATTCCGCCTCTGATTATTTGCATAAAGTTCAAGAGTGACATGCTTTTGTCTATTTACCCCCTTGCATTTCTTTATTCTTTATTGTCAATTTGTTGCCCACAATACAGTAAGTACTTGGTCACGAAGCAAAACTAAGTTAAAGTAATGTTAACTTGGCATCCATCAAAGGTTCACTGACGCTCGTGAGGGAAACAAATTTATGTGGGATGAACTAGATCTGAGTATGTATGGGCGAAGGCACGAAGAGCTGCGAGTGTTTGTTTGGCTTTGTCTGTCAACAGCTTCTAATCCTAATAGGTGTCAATAAACCATCAATCCATGATGTAACCGTGGAAGCGGTGTGCCAGTAGAGTTGGGTTGATACTGACAGTATGGCCTTTCCAGGATCACTAGCCTGATTCCATAAGCCTGTTTCGTCGGACCACGGGAAGGATCGGTCAGTGCTCGTTGAATTAAAGTGAGCCTCAAAAGTTTGGATGGCACACACATATGTATTTAACTTCCGTGCATCTGCCACGTCTGTGTTCCATAGTGTCGGAATGCAGTGCGTGGGCGCCATCTGGCGAAAATCCCAGCAGAGTGGCAGATACAATTGGAGTGGGCATTATATGACGTGGGTGACGGACTTGTCGTGTGCACTTCGTTCAAGTTCGATTTTCGCTTTCGCCCCTCGAAAGTCCGATCTATTTGATCAAGAAGGGAATCACAGTCTTGCTTCTAGATAACCAGTGAGTACAGGAGACTACTATCTATGAGAATTGAAGTTTGAAGGTCGGCCACTTCATAGAACCATGTAATTTATTTAGTGACCTACAGCCATCAGCGGCAGACAACTCAAAATTGCCCTCCGGCCGTGTACCAACAGGCATTATAGTCCTCAACTGGATGAATTTCTGGAAAGCAGCCATCCGGGTGCTAAACATCTGGCGATTCCACGAGTCGGTGGCCATCTATGTTTAAATCATTGCCACTTAGTGGCACGCTGTGATTAATTGCTCCTGATGGCACACCTTTGGTTACGTTCAGTTAGATCCATGCCAAGCCTCATTATCCTAAGTCCCATGATCAAGATGACCTTACCGAGGTGGCTGCCTGTGAACTAATCTCCGCCTTGTGTCCTTGCGTTTGAGATCATTGTCGATGGCCATGGTGCGTTCGTCGGTTCCGCGTCGTTCAAATCTTGCTGAGTGGGCCCTGGCAGATATCGGCACAGGGGTCCACTCCTGTCATAATCACTCTTGTCGTTACCACTGTTGGATTTCAAGCCTTCAGGTTTATTTCAACTGTGCTCCCTGCCCACCCACGCCGCGTGTGCACTTCGTGCCTTGACGTCAAAGGAAGATTTCAATACCAATAATTTGGCCAATTGAGTAGCCTGAACAGGGGCTTGTGCTCACCGCTCAGATAACGCTGTACTTCTTTCACGGCATTCTGAATCTTCTGATATGCCCGTCTCCAGCTGGTGTACTTTTATCCTATCAGGTACTGATCTTTTTAGGACCTCGATATTCCTGTGCCGTGGCTACTATTGTATCATTTACTCCACCGTAGGATGATGGGTTCCTCTGCTTCCCGCTTGATTTGACTATTCTGGTCTCGGCGCCAATGGTGGGCACTATAAGATCCCCTCTTTGGCTGGCTTTTCCTCCAGCAATCCGATCCATTCTCAACAGCTTCACATACCTGGTGGGTTGTCTGAACTGAGTCCCCTGACCACGCAACTGACACGGCCTTGCAGCTTAACCACACTCCATATCATCATGTACTCCTACAACACCGAGGGTAAGTGCTGCGGCCCTGCGTGCACGTAAGTGTTGTCTCGCATTACGTTCCAATGACTGGCTTCTGACCCTCTGTCAAAAGCTGCGACTGTGTTTCTGGCAGCTGCACCTGCGGCGCCTCCCCCAAGAACTAAACACCATGCGCAAGCGCATACATAATCATCTTCGTGATTCTGCCTTGCCGTGTATATAAATATAAACATATCAGACTTCCGCGTAAACTTGTGTTGTCATTGTATTGAAGTGTTCTGGACAGAACTGACAGTCGAGACCTATCCCCGACTCGTGAATTTTTACTGCGTGTTTTATTTATGCGCTGTAAGTACATGATACGTGGATGCACGGAACAACTTGAGTAGAAACTTGCACACTTGAGGAAACTCTGAAAATGATTCAGTCTTTGATTGTGTCTTGGTTCCAGCTTTTCAGGCTATTCGTTCCTGCTACTTTTTCTTCTTTCACCACCATAATTCCGAGATTGTCGCTGCCCTTCGCGACAGGCGGTTGGGCCGTGTAGGTAGCTTCCTGGGGTGTGAAAACAAAACCTCAAATGCACGACACTCGGAGAAAATTTCCCCGCAATTCAATTCAAGATCAATAGATAACACAATATCAGGATCCTAGAACAAAAACGGCATCATTAACAACCAACAAAGAACGAGCAAAATGGCCGAGCTTAGTAAGTCTTGACACTAGGAGATGTCGATGAGACACGTCCACATTCGACCAAGGATAGTTAGCGAGGTCAGACAAGAACGTCATCACTGACATAGGCGGCGCACACTGCTGTCACGACCTTGATTTCACAAAGAGCGTTAAAATGACTATTCTGATTTTTTTTACAGCAATGAGAGGAGAGAGAAGCACACGACCACTGTCAGTAAACGACAATGATGAGGCAATAAATTCAGCGTTGAACAAAGAGCCAAGGAAAGCAACGTACTGCTCGAAAAATGCAGAAAGACTATTTGCGACTTCCAACGCCGCGGATACCTCACTGCCTCAAACGCCTGCTGAAGCTGAGTGACACAAGAGACACGAGAACACACCGAAATTCATCACAAGACCACGAAAACCAAACGGCCATCACTCAAAACAGCACGAATTTCGTGCAACAACTTGACTTGTCACGTTTAACGTCGTCAAGGACAAAGATGACGGTAAGCTAATAAGCAACGTCAATGAAGAGAAGACACCATAAGATAGCCTACTGATAGCTCAGGGTACAGCACGATGCTGCACGACAATAGACCCGATCTACCCCGCGAAAACCCTCCTCTGGGGAGTCGGGGACTACCGACTTGATTGCTTTCAGCAACTTGAAGTAGTAAGTTGCGTACCTGGATATCCCCAAAAAGTTGCATCTATTACAGAGGTCACGTGCACGGGGGTTCGGGACTTAAGAAAACGCTACCGTAAACATAAACTTTCGAGTACCCCCACCAGCCCAGGTGTACTGCCTATCGAGTCCATACATCCAATTGCAACGACAAGGGTCCAAGATGCGAAGTAACGACCATAATATGTCAAGTGCGCGTTCACGAGGTAAGTAACGCGACGATAAACTTAAAAGTCACGGATTGACCTGTGGATATGGTTTACAGCCTCAGGACCCTCTCTCCCTGTGCGATCCTATTTAATTGCGTTCAATGCATTATCTGCGGCAGGATGGGCCTATGTCATTTACCTCACTCTTGCCGTATTTAGAGGCCAACATGCTCCAATTTCAGCATACGACTTCTTCAAACCACTTGCTTCATATGTGCCAACTTCAATCATAGAATTTTTGATCCCGCAGCCTACAACAACGAACCGATTCTCTACCACCCTCGCATATCTCATACGTCCGTATTTCCCCGCGACATACGACTCCACCTTCTTCGCCCTTGCACCTGTGCAGTCGCTCGCCGCCCTTGAAATCTTGCATGTTCTCTTTGGGCTTGTGCGCTCCCCGCTCCCGACAACTGTCATCCAGGTCTCTTCGCGCCTCATCCTGGTCTGGGGAATCGTCGAGCGCTTTCCTCACACCCACTCGAGCCCGATCTATACCACTATGATCCTTGCCTGGGCGCTGACCGAAGTGCCGCGCTACGCATACTACGCGCTTTCACTTGCAGGTTGCGGCGTACCCGGGTGGCTTACGTGGATACGCTATTCCACATTTTATGTCCTGTACCCTGTCGGCGCAGGAAGTGAGGCTCTTGTAATGTTGAGCACCATTCCGGAGTGGAGCGGTGGCAAATGGGCGGTGTGGACCCTCGAGGACTGGGTCAAGGCGGGTTTGGTGGCAATTTGGGTGCCTGGTGAGTTGTGCATGTTATTTTGCATTTGGTCGCTGACTCCTAGTTCTCGTAGGGCTGTGGGTGATGTATTCGCATATGATGCGCATGCGCCGCAAGGTGCTTGGCAGCGGTAAGGGCCAGAAGTTGGGAGCGAAGCCCAAAGACAGGATTAAGGCAGAGTGAGAAGTGTCATGAATATCGGCGACAACAAAATATGACACTGACTTATTCACAATACCCTGAAATCATTTACCTTACGATATAATAACGTCTAGAATCGTCTGCCACCACTTGTTGTAGTGCAACCCAGTATGTGCATTTCATCTGTGGTATCTCGACCTAGGAAGGGTTGCATTGCATATATCGCGTTGCACGTGCAAACACGCAACAGGCACACAGAAATGTACAGGCATAGTGGGTTACTTTTATCAAAGTTCTGGCCAACGAGCCAGCAGCAGCAGTATGTTGCCTGTCGTATCTGATCCGGCCAACTCAGTGACGTGAGTGTCCAATATACTCCGAGTCAGCCAAATGCGGTGTCGCATTCAACTTTTCTTTCAGTGTAGTATTTTGATCTGGGCTGGCAGGTCAGCTCAGGCGTTACCGAAGCGCGCTGCTAGTCTAGATTGGAACTCAATGTCAGTGGGTTAAAAGGCTTAATTTGCCTTCGAATTTCCTACTTCCTCACCACTACCATGCTTCCTCACTTGCCCCTTTCCTTTCTCTTCCTGACCGCAGGCGCGTCGGGCTTTCCCATGTATGACATGGTGCTTTACCCCCCGATGTACGTGCGGGATCCATTTGGAACGTTCAACGAAACCCAGGACTGGCACAGCTCGACCGTCGTGCCAATCTTCGATGCGCAGCCTGTGGTGAGTTTCTGTCTTATACAACTTTCTACACGACCAACTTGTATGCCCAGGTGGCCGAGATAGAAGCCCTCCGACTCAAATATCAGAACGCACTTGATTTTTTGGCTGGCAAGGACCTCGTGGCGCTACCAGATGCACTTTCAGATCCCGGGCTCGATGTACTGACAGATGCAGTTTTCGCCGACACGACGAATACCGCTGGTCATAGTGCGACGGACCCCCTGACGGACGCGATACAGGGGAAGATCGATATTTACTACGGTCCACTTGGGTTTGGGAAGAAGTCACAACAACTCTCAGTGACCATTGATACGGCCTCCGGAGATCTCTGGATCCCTGTTGGCTGCATAAATTGCGATAACCTGCAATATAACGCTGCTGCGAGTTCAACATACAGAAATACCGGGAATGCGTTCAAAGTGAATTACGTGCGTCTCTCTCCTGCTATCTCGATGCAGGCTTGATGATGCTAGGCAGGGGCAGGATGGCACCGGCTATGCAGAAGGGACCCTTGCGTATGATACGATCAGTATGGGTGGTCTGAAGGTCAACAACCAATATTTTGGGGCTGTCACAGATGTGTCGAGTAATTTCAATGTCGTTCCGATATCTGGGCGTCTCGGACTTAGTTTCAGCTCCATCGCAATGTCAGGGAAGCCAACGTTCTTCGAAAACCTGATCATGCAGGAAAGGGTCGAAGCACCGTTCTTCTCTTTGCATCTGACGAGAGGAAGGGCGAGCGGGTCGGAGGTACGTTGTACTCTGGCCCTAACATGACTGTAATCGAGAATATTTTTAGATAACTCTGGGTGGCTACGACATGTCGAAGGCGGCAGGATCGTTGACATGGGTTTCAGTAATTTCCAAAGTTGGTCCTCCTGTGCCTTTATGCATCACGTCTGATTAGTTCTTATCGGCAGACCTACTGGACAGTGCATTTCGACGGAGTCGTCGTCGATGGGAACTACGTCTCCGGTGACATTGATGCGGTATGGTTCAACTTGTCAACCGGATATCTTCGTTCATCCCGTTTCTTCTGCATAGGCAATTGACGCGGCTTCTAGTTTTATACACGTTCCACAGGCATTGGCATCCTCGATCTACGCCAATGTCAGTCTCTCGCTATGTGATTCCCTCGTCAAACTGCTGATAAGTCGCAGATACCCGGGGCTGGCCCCGCAGCAAACTACGACTCCAATTTCTTCTCCTTTCCATGCGACTCCAATCTCACAATTTCATTATCGCTTGGTGGGCACGACTTCGGCCTTAGCATGCGGGACTTTAATCTCGGACAAGATGGGGATGGGTCAAAGTAAGCCAAGGTGTCTTCATATAATGCATGCTGTCTGAACGAGCACAGATACTGCATCGGCGGGATCGTCGGGATGGACGATACATTCACGCAAGGATTTGCTATCATCGGTAGGTTCTTGGTTCATTCAGTTGAATGCTTTGTTGACGTCGCGTATTGCAGGGAATGAATTTTTGAAATCATGTGAGCGGCATAGATCTTGTCGCATAACATTTGATCTTGAACACTCATGATTTGTCATTGTCCAGGGTACTCGGTGTATGACTACTCGCACGGGGCGCGGGTGGGTTTCGCGCCGAGCATCAATAATGCGCAGTAAGATATTTAGTACACTTGATACCCCCATAGATACACAGCGTGTCTTTGTTTGGAGGATGTATGATTACTTCTGCGGAACTCTGGATTACGCAAAATTACACGATTTGAACGTCAAGATGTATTGTGTCGTAGAAAATTCTAAGTGGTCGAAAGGAAGGAAGCCTGCACTTTGCTGAAGGCGGTGAATGTGACCTTAAACCCTGATATCCGGGTGGTTACGGAGATGAACTACAAAGTTGCACTGATTACTCCACTTGAAGCAGTCGGAGCATGACGTTTCAGAGTATGTTTCGTGTGTTAAAGGTGCGGCGAGGTGAACAAGATCCGGAAGAGGCTGCCACATACGTTCACATGATGCTATACAGTAAAATTGTTCTTACCAAGGCGATACGTAAGTGGGCGTACTGTAATGCACCACCCGTACAGGATTGAGAAGGCTACCATGGCTGGGCCGTTTTCATACGCAGAGACTGGCCGTTATGACAGCATAAGCGCTGTAAGGAAATGCATTTTCTGTTGCTGTGCCACCACGAGGCCAGGTGAAATCATCTGCGATGACATCACAGATTAAAGGAGGAGGTCGGCGTTGAGGATGATTCAGACGAAAGCCGAGATGTGCATGATGGCATCGCGTTGTTCAGACCACAGCAGAAGGGGAGCATGCGACGTGTGAACTTCACTGGAAAGTGATGGAGTATATGTGAAAATATCGATGTTTAGGACGAGTTCAGGTTGTATCAGGTTAGCGAGTTCGCGAATCACAGGTGCCGAAGTCCAGTGTGAACTTTCGAAGTCGGGACTGATGACTGGCAGTTCTTTATTGGGCTTCGCATTGAAAGAGGTCCAAGCCAAGGAAGAGAGAAAATTGGATGCATGTCATGAATCAACAATACCAACCTAATGGAATGCAGTCTCAGTCCACGAGATGTTTGGTGAGAATAGTGGGAGAATACACACACCTGTGCAATTTTTTGCCCTTCAGATAAAACAACGAGGCGAGACCGCAGACCCTTCAAACCCCGCTGCCCCCGAGCCAGGAAAGGAGATTGAAATTCCAGAAAGCCTGGAATCTACGCTTGCGCTTAAGCTTGTCAACCCAGGGATTCGGAGCTCGCGAAAGATGGACAGCCCATTTTTAACAGGCATACTTGAGAGCATCAGAAGCTTATCAACATTGTTCCTGTACTTTGTTTTCGAAACTCTCATCATAATCTTGTCCGGTAGAAAAAAGACGTTCTAATCAAATGTGTGAACAAGATTAAGAAGTTAACTCACTACAGATTAGCTAGGATCATGATGTAGACACGTGGACATCCTGCCTATAAGGTCACCAGTCTACCTTTTGGCCATCCTCCGCCTGATTCACCCTGCGCGATAGATAACTGTGAATTGCATATCCAGACATAGAGTCTTCCGAGCATGCTGAACCCGCCCCCCTCCGTCCCGACCCCTATGACCAAATTGCGGGGAAAATAGCACCCAAAACCTGCATTGCAGCTTCGGGACTTCCCTATGTGTGGACGTTGAGGATGAGTGAGGTAGTACTATAGGGTACTGGTATGTCACCGGAAAAGGTGTTTCATGGGCGGTTGTAGTCGTCTATTTGGCAATGGCTTCCATTCTTAACAAAGCCAAACTCTCTTTCTATGATGCATGGAGAGACAGAGAGCAGCCAAACAGTAATATTCGGGTGCGTGAACCTATGCTATCACTCCGCCCCAAAAACACCGATACAGGCCTGTTGTGTCTGCTGTATCTGCCATTAAGCACTGTACCTCACACAAAATTCAACATCCCTGTTCACACATCCTACAACCCGCTCGAATGTGCTGGCTCACATTCTTCCACTCCGTCACATTCAATCATCGGCCGCTCGCATCAAGGACACTTGCCAATCCCGACGCCCGTGTTCGGAAGAGCAAGGCAGATTTAAGATCTTGGGCTCTTGATACGCCATAAGACGCAGCCTTCACCGATACGACGAGCAACCTCTCCGGTTTTCCACTGTCCGGGTTAACCTCAATCTCACAGCAGGCAAACATGAGTGCTGCCGCTGGGAGTGCAACGGACCACTTGACCAGAAGTTGGGAGGGAAGCTCAATGTCGGGTTTTAGGCGGAATCAGAGGTTCCATGAATATTGGCGAGAACACAAAATGTCACTGATTATTCATAATAATGACTTTCTTTACGAATCGGCCTCCCCATTTTCGTAGTGCAACCCAGCACGTGTGATGTCGTCTCAGTTCGACTCAAGGGTGACTGCACGTGTCGCGTTGCATATATGGGTACACATGGACTTGTGCAGGCAAAGTAGGTCGATTTTATCAAGGTTCCCTAAAAGTTCTCGCTAACGAGTAAGTAGCAGTGGCACATCGCCTGCCGCGCTTGACCCCGATCTCAGCGATGCGTTACTTGCCCAACGTTTGGCTTCCGTCAGATATACATGGTTGACTTGCCTTCGTCTGGTTTTCAATGCGACATTTTGATCTGGGCTGCCAGATCAGCTCAAACTGTCATATTACAGTGGCTGTGTATTGAAGCGCGCCGCCAGTCTAGTTTGTAATTTCCTGTGGGATTTTATAGTCTTGCTTCATACCCAGCTCCCGTCATTTTTTCCCTTTTCCCTTTACCGTTACTACCACCATGCTTCCCCGCTCCCCCTTTCCATTTCTTCTCCTGACCGCAGGCGTGTTGGGCTCTCCCATGTATGATATGACCCTTTACACCTCAATGTACGTGCGTGATCCCTTTGGAACATTCAACCACACCTAGGGCTGGCACAGCTCGACCGGAGCAGCTAAAACTGATATCCTAATATTTGATCCGCAGGTCGTGGTAAGTTTACGTCGTATGCAACTTTCTACAAGACTAAGTTGTATACCCAGATGGCCGAGTTAAAAGCCATCCAACTAAAATACGGGAAGGCACAAGATGTTATAGCTGGCAAGAAGCTCGTGGTGCTACCAGATGCACTTTCGGATCCTAGGCTCGATGCGCTATCAGACGCGGTGTTCACCGATACGACGAGCGATCTCTCCGATTTTTCGTTGTCCAGATCAACCACATCTCAGCAGGCAAACATGAGCTTTTCTGTGATGAATGCCGTCACTCAGAGTGCGACGGATCCTCTGACGGACGAGATAGAACAGAACATTGATCTCCAGTACTACGGCCCAGTTGGGTTTGGGGACGAGGCACATACACAACAGCTCTCGGCAATTATGGATACGGGCTCTTCAGACCTCTGGGTCCCTGTGCGCTGTGGCAATTGCTTGAACAAGCAATATAAAGCTACTGCCAGCCCAACATACACGGATACTGGGACTCCGTTCAATGTGACTTACGTGCGTCTCCCTCCCACTAATTCGGTGCAGGCTTGACGTTGCTGGGCGGCAGGGATCAGGCAATGTAGCAGGCACCCTTGCGCATGATACAGTCAGTATTGGTGATTTGAGTATCAACAAGCAATACTTCGGTGCCGTCACTCACGTATCGAGTGACTTCAACGATGACCCGATCTCCGGCCTTATCGGGCTTGCTTTCAGCTCCATCGCGACATCAGGGAAGACGACATTCTTCGAGAACCTGATCATGCAGGACAAGGTCGGAGCACCATTCTTCTCTGTGCATTTGACAAGAGGAAAGGCGAGCGGGTCGAAGGTACGTTATGCTCTAGCTTTTATATGATTGTAATCGAAATAATAATATTTTAGATAACTCTGGGTGATTACGATACGACCATGGCAATGGGACCTCTAACATGGGTCCCGGTCATTTCCAAGGTTGCTCTTCCTGCTCCTTTATGCCTTCAGTCTAACTGGTTCTCATCGGCAGACTTATTGGACAGTACATTTTGACGGAGCTAATGTTGAAGGGAACTACGTGTCTTGTGACCTCCATGCGGTAAGGTTCAGCCCGTCAGCTGGATCTTCACTCAGGTCCACCTCGGTTTCTCTTCATAGGCAATCGATACAGGTACTACTTTGATATACGTCTCACAGGCATTTGCAACCTCGATCTACGCCAGTGTCAGTCTCTCGCTATTTGTTTCCTTTATCAACCTGCTGACAAGTCGTAGATACCCGGGGCTGGCCCCGCAACAAACTACGACTCTAATTTCTTCTCTTTTCCTTGTGACTCAAACACCACGATTTCATTCTCGCTTGGTGGGCACGACTTCGGCCTTAACATGCAGGACTTTAATCTTGGACAAGATGGGGACGGGTCAAAGTAAGTCGAGGTGTTTTCATATAATGCACACTGCCCGAACGAGTACAGAAACTGCATCGGCGGGATCGTCGGGATTGGTGATACATTCATGGAAGGATTTGCCATCATCGGTAGGTTCTTGGTTCATTCAGTTGAATGCTTTGTTGATGTCGCGTGCTGCAGGGGATGAGTTTTTGAAATCATGTGAGTAGTATCTTGTTGCATAACATCTAATCTCGAACGCTCGTAATTGATATTGTCCAGGGTACTCGGTGTATGACTACTCGCACGGGGCGCGGGTGGGTTTCGCGCCAAGCATCAATAATGCGCAGTAGGATATTTGGCATACTTAATACCCCCATGGACACTAGCATGTCATAGTTTGGGAGAGAAGGTGAATCAGGTCTGCCTGAGCAGTACTAGTATCAGTGGTTTATTATTGCTTCGACGGATTCTAGATCATTCCAAGATTACGTTCAGAGGCCAAAATGTGTTGTATCCCTTTGTGCTATCGCCGACGTGAGTTCTAACAAGGAACCAGATCTCTGTGGTCTAATGATGACAGAGAAACAACATTTGAGTGGTTATTATTACTTGGACGGACTTTGGATTGCACCAAAATTACACGATACGAACGGGTGACCAGTGCGATGCTGTAAACATCATCAAGTTGGTGGAAAGGTGACCTCATTCACGAAGAAAGATGATAACAGTTTCCCTGGTAAGGAAGTTGACAATTGTACTCACAGCACGTTGATCTGGTCTTACTCACCTCGAATCCCTGAAAGAAGCTGTTTGTTATCAGCCTCACCTTATCGTCATCGATCACGACGAAGCTGAGGAGCGCTGAAACTTGACATTACTGTCGCAGTTCCCGATGTTGATCGCTATGCGAAGAAAACTAGTTCATTGACCAGATTCAGAGCTATATATACATGCTCTGGTATCCCCTCAGAGACCGATCAAAGCTTGCTTACTAGGTGAGGTTGATAGTGATTACCGTCAAGTTCACTCAGTGCGCACATCTCCATTTCCCCTTCCTGGCACATCTCGACCTTCCTCGTCTCTGGCGCCGGGAGGTATAGCGCGAGCTGTATCCGGGTGGTTACGGACATGAACTACAAAGTGACGACGATTGTCCCAACATACTGCACTTGAAGCGGTCAGAGTAACAAACCTTGACGTTGAAGAGTATGATTCGTGGGTTTGCGGTGCGGTGCAGTGTCGCAATCATGTATGTGTCTTGAAGTAAACGACTGCCTACACGTGTTCGTGTTCAAGATCCGCGAGAGGCTGCCACATACGTTCACATGATGCTGTACAGAATCGTTGACGCCGAGGACCATAATACACCACCGCACAGGATTTGAAAGGCTGCCAGAAGCAGCAGTATGACAGCATAACCACCGCAAGGCAAGGCAGTTTCTATTGATGAGTCGCCACGAGGCCAAGTTAAATTACCTGGTATGACATCACAAAGGAAAGGAAGAAGATATGGTTCGGACGAAAGCCAAAAATGCACGCTTCGAGTTCGATGCGTCAATATGATGCGCATGATGCGTGCGGCTGCGTGCGGTATCGCTTTGTTCATGACCGCAGCAGACAGAGAGGGCAGTGTGACGCGTGACCTCACTTGAAAGCGATAGAGTATATATGGAAATCTCGATTATCGCTGTCCCTCCACCTCAACAACCACAACTGACTTTCGATGCAGCCAGATTCTGCGTCCGCTCAGGACGAGGTTTCTTCTTATAATGCTCCTTCAAGACCTCCTCCAGTTCCTATATCATCACAGAGACCAGCACCACGTCTGCCACCTTCTTCGGGTGGTGCTCCCCGTAACACTTTAAGTGGTCTCCTGTCAAACAGAGGAGGAAATGCTCCAATACCCCCTTCATTGCAGGCAAAAATGACAGCAGTATGTATTATACTCTGAATCTTTGATTTTACCGAACAAATTCATTCCTGTGTCTAACCTACTTTGTTCAGATGTTGAATCGCGGATCACCTGCGTCACCCGGTTCGGCCTCTTTCTCCATCGATTCCGCAGCACAGGCCCTGCAGCGCACTTCCATAAACGAATCGAGTCACCCCATTATACAGCCTTCTCACTCATTTCCTGCTTCGCCAGGCTCGTCATTGGCTGCTACACGCGCTCGCGGGCGCGATGCAGCTGCTCCTGCTGCGGGTAGACGCAATAAGCCAGGTTTTAAATTATCCGACATGAACCCTGATACAGGAGGCGGTGCTATCGGAGCAGGGCTTGGAGCAGGACGTCCATCTCTAGCTGAAGCCAGGAGAGGACCCTCATCATTTGACACTCCGTTTGCAAATTTCAACAAGATCGTGTGCGTGTATATCTCTTTTCCCGCTATCATGAGCTAAATCCGACTTTCCCCCTCTTTAGCGATCCTTCCGGACGCCTCAACTTTGCCGGGAAAGCCGTTATCCATGCTTCGGGTGTCGATTTCTCCAATGGATCATCTTTTGCTATAAATATGGAACAGCTCGTTCTCGAGCAGGAACTGGGCCGTGGTAACTATGGCACAGTCAAGAAGGTTCTACATCGACCGACAAACGTCGAAATGGCTATGAAGGTTCGACAACTGACACGTTTTGATCCCCCTTTTCTAAATATTGCTCACAGGAAATTCGCCTCGAGCTAGACTCCACTAAGCTCAATGGAATACTGATGGAGTTGGACATCCTGCACCGCGCCATAAGCTCATACATTGTAGAATTCTATGGCGCCTTCTTCGTGGAATCGTGCGTGTACTACTGCATGGAGTACATGGATGGTGGTTCGCTGGCTTCTTTGTGTTGCTTTCCGAATGGTAATGTTTCTCTGCCGCCAAGTTTATCTTCCAGCCCGGGCTCTGCATGGACGTCTAGCCCTCCTCCACTTGCCGATGAGCACCTCTGCCGCATCGCTTCATCCATGACGCATGGACTAGAATTCCTCAAGAGTGAACTTGGGGTCATGCACAGGGACGTCAAACCCACGAACGTCCTTGTGAATTCCAAGGGCGAAGTGAAGCTTTGCGACTTCGGTGTCAGTGGACAGCTGGAGAAGAGCATTGCGAAAACAAATGTCGGTTGTCAAAGTTACATGGCTGTAGGTCCCTACTTTGGATTAGCAATGTACTTTGTTAATCATGTACTCCCGCAGCCTGAGAGAATCAAGGGTTCTTCACCTTCTGGATCTAATATGGAAGATGCCTTCACTTCATACACGGTCAGTGCGGATGTATGGTCCCTGGGCCTGTCGATCGTTGAAATCGCGCGAGGAAGGTGTGTCCTAGTTGGCTGTATTTTTAGCGCAGAACTGACCAATCGAATAGATACCCATACCCTCCGGAAACCTACGAGAATGTATTTGCGCAACTAAGTGCCATAGTGGATGGCGAAGCACCTGGACTGCCAGAAGATGAGGAAGTTGCAGACGAAGAAGTCGATCTTCGTACTACAGATAATGCGTTATATGGCGCATCGCCAGGACAGTCCAGTCTCATACGCAAGGGCAAGCGAAGATGGTCTCCAGAAGCGCGTGACTGGGTTCGACGGTGCCTCATCAAGAATGCGGATGAGCGAGCCACTTACAAGGAGTTGCTTGAACATCCATGGATGCAGACTGACACACACCGAGGTGTTGACATGGTGGGTTGGGTAGCAAAGGCGATTGAATGGCGGGATCGAGGAGGGCGATGAGCAGGTAACACACATTTACAGTGGCCGTTGTACCCTGGTGCCACGTACCCCTATCTGCTTTTTCGTCGCGCATTGTCTTCTTTCCACATAGATGCTCAGTACTCAACGCACACCGCCATCGCTTTACCCATCATCCTCTTTGCTCACATGTATTATTCACATTCACTCACACTCGCCCTTTGACGCTGGTCGTTGATATACCCTAATCCCCTTGCTGTACATGTGTTGACGTTGTCCATTATTCCTCATTCTCTTGGGATCGCAGTGGGCCATTATATTGTTTTGTTTTGCGGGCATGTAGCTTTAGTTTTGACTTGCAATTAATGGGGGTGTGTCGGTTGTTTGGTCATGTTAGTATCTAAAGGTTACTCGTCACTGCTCTTTCAAGAACTTTGAGCATTTCTGTTTTAGATCATCGCGGCTTGAGCCGAGTTGTTGAAGGTTTCAAGCTGTCGTCACTCCACCCAGGTGATATTGCTTGTCCTGCAGCGTGTTATCAGATCGTACTAACCTTCCGCAGTCATCCTCAGCTTCGTGCTGTTTCTTCGCGGGGCGTACTTTTTTTTGAGCGGCTTGCTTTCTCGCCAGTCCAAGCATCCGTTCTCTGCCATGATTCATGTCAAGTGGGACCGAGAGACCCTGCATTTTCCATTGCCACCTCCGGAGACTAAGCTCGGAAAACTGAGAACAGACCTAGCAGAATATACCCACCTTCCTCTCGGATCCTTCAAGCTCATACATGCCGGAGCTGTGATGAAGGATGATTCTGCGCCACGTATGTAAAACCATGTGTGTTTTCAGTTTGGCGTCTCACCTCAATTTTTCACAGTGACAGCTTATAAGATACGCGAGAACTCTACTATTGCGCTGATCGGCGGGCATTCACTTCCATCAGCGCCGACGCCTGCGCCATCATCCAGACCACAACCTAAAGTGAAAGAGCCTCCAACAGAACAAAGTACTATCACTGCCATCCGAACCGAGCTTGATCGTGTACGAACATCACTGGTACCAGACGTTGACGCGTTGGTCAGCGCCCTTGCTCCATCCACAGCCACAACCGTGCCACCTCCCACGTCTGCTCCAACACCCGCATCAGGAAGTGCACCGACGCAGTCATTTAGCTCCCCTGCGCAGGTCTCTTCTTTCCCCCCTCCTCATCCTACGGTCGCATCCTATTCATCGAAACCCACTTCATCGGACCATACGCGTTTATCCGAACTTCTCCTGCAGTCATTGTTGCGTCTTGATGCTATGCATCTAGCGGGATCGGATTGGCCTGAAGCTCGAGCTGAACGCAAAGCTGCTGTCCGTGAGGTTCAAGGAGTGCTTGACCGGTTGGATGGAGCTTGGTCGGCGCGGTGAGCGCTGATACGTATGTATAGGTTGGCCTGGGACATATGGACGGGAGCTAGCAAGTTCTCTATTAGCATTAGATGATATGTCTTGGAATTCTGGATGCGGCACATACCTTTGATTTTACATTCGACTGAAATAATCCAAGACGGGATGCCGACTTTGGGGTTGTTGGAGAGCTCACCGAGCGCCTGATATTATATGTTCATCCTGCTCAAGCTCATCGTATACGAGGTAAAGAGTGGCTAGATCTGTGCGCATGCGGTTAACTATCAGTGTTCATAGTTAACGTCTGTATCCAGTGTCCAGTGAAGTATTCGTTTCAGGTAAGTAAGAAAAATACGAACAGCTGAAAACCAACGCGTATCAGCAGCCAAGCTGAGAATTAACATCAGTGTCAGTTTGGCAAGGTAATGGCGAGATTAGGGGGGGGGATAAATATACCTTTGCGAACTTCTGCCCTTGGCCGATAAAACAATCAGGCAAGACCGTAAGCCCTTCCAACACCACCTGGTAGCAAAGGACCTTCTGGTAATGTAGAGGCGAAATGAACCTGGTGCCTTAGAGCCAAGAACATCGGATAGCATCAAGAAATCTGGCAAACTCTTGAGCTGCTGGTAGTAAGTTCCAGCAATTCTGTGACCATTGATTATTTGCAATGGGTTCGAGAATTCTTCCTGACTCGCCTTCCTTTGCTCTGCACCCGGTCTCGCCCTGCCAGCGTTTCCTTCCTTGACTCTCCAGCCAAGCACGCTCGTCTAGGGACTCTAGCCAGGATTGTAAATCTGAACTGCGCTTTCCCCGGGGCAATAGCAGACTCATAAGGGACTCGCGTAAATCTGGCTGAACGCAATCGAACGACAAGTGGATACATTCAAAGTCAAAGCGCAATGACAATCGAATGGACGTATGTGTTCTAATCCACCTAGCTCCAGACTGCACTGCTGTGAACACCCCCCTGATGAAGGAAGGCCGATCGGCGGAGAGTCTTCTGAGAACCATTGGCGTGCCAGACGTTACATAGCTTGGGAGGAATCCGATGGACATGCTCAGGACTATGCAAATCCCTGGGGCCTGCAGGTCCACCCGTGAATCAATAATACTCCTTGGGTGAAGTTGCCTGAAAATTCTGCCGGACAAATCCTAAGAGGACACACGATTTGTCTAAACTCTAGACAGAATTCGTTAGAGCAGGGGAAAACAAGTTTCATGCAGTTACATTCAATCGAACAAAAAAGTCCAGGATAGTATTCCGACTTCAGGGGTGTTAAGAGCTCACCATGTCGGGTTGTAGCCTCATAATATGCCATATTATCATACGAATTCATACCCCTGCATCGTAATGTACAGATGCGCTGCGTATCAAAGCTATCTCCATCGTCCAGTGTTACTGCGGTCGGATGAGATTGACAATGCAATAGACGACGTGTCCTCTGGTGAGAATCTTCCTGAACCAATCCCAAGGAGACAGTATTCAATTGAGTAGAAGGAATGCACAAGCGAAAATTTCCGTGATTATCAAATGTCATTACTTTCGCAAACAACTCTAAGACGGCTTCAAGTTGGGGCGCAACCTGTGGCATGCGTTATAAGGAACCGCTGTCAACACGCAAAGGCCCCAATCCTTTTCTCTTTCTCGGTTTGTCTCTGGCTTCATTCGCCGTATTCTACTACATCGTCAAACGTCGAGAGACACTCCATCCGGCATCGAAACAACCTAGACACCACGACAACCCACTGGTTCCTCCCCGACATCAGTAATTTCAAACAAAATCCAATCGACATGGCAGAATCCACGTTGGAGCCTGTTTTTGACGCCAAGAAGGTCACCGTCATCTATGTCCTGGGTGGGCCCGGAGCTGGCAAGTTCCCACTCAGAAATCAACCTTCGCGTATATGCTGGTCTGATTAGTGTCATAGGGAAGGGCACACAATGTAGCAAGCTCGTTGACGCGTTTGGCTTTTGCCATCTTTCTGGTTAGACTTTATCGCCTCTTTATCAGGGCTGATGCGAATATGGGACCCAGCTGGAGATCTTCTACGTGAAGAACAAAACCGAGATGGGTCCGAATATGGTGAACTGATTAGAAACTATATTCGAGAGGGTACTATCGTCCCATCTCATGTCACCATGAAGCTTCTTGAGAACGCCATGACTGAGGAGATGAAGAAAAAAACGGGAGATGGGTGGGTGGATGGCCAGGGTCGGTTCTTGATCGATGGCTTCCCTCGGAAGTTGGATCAGGCTACTGGATTCGATGAAACGGTGAGGGAGGATGTTCATCTATCATATCACGATACTGATTTTAGGGTCCAGGTATGTCTTGCTTCATTGGTCATCTTCTTCAACACATCCGAAGATGTGATGCTCCAACGCCTGCTGGAGCGCGCAAAGACCAGCGGACGTGAAGATGACAACGTCGAAACTATCCGAAAGCGTTTCCGTACGTGATGCCAACTCATTCTTTCCCCCAACTTACATTACGATCAGGCACGTACAATGAGCAAACCATGCCAGTAATAGATCATTACAGGACACTGAAAAAGGTTGCAGAGGTGAGAAAAGGCTTATCATCTATTTTTCACTGGTACTCAGTCGCAGATGTGCAGATCGATAGTACGGCATCGGTTGAGGAAGTCTATCGTGCCGCGTGCGCTACTGTTAGCAACTTGTTTTCTTGAATTATACCCAGAATACCTCCGTAGACATGGAAATCCGAACACATTTTATCTGCAACTTCAAACTCTGTTGGGATATCGCCAATACCTTCAAGTAACCTCAGAAACCAAAGATACTATAGATTGTCAAGGGTTTTATGATGCTGATACTCTTGGTTCGTCTCACAGCTAGAATGGAACGAACTCGGTTCAGTTGCCCTCCGTGTTCTGGGGTACACCGCAAACCACATCCGGCGCCTTTTTAAAGGAAGGGGGGTCTTCTTGGGATCTATCGCTTTCCAATTTCAATGGTCTGACGATGGTAATGTCGGAGTAGAATCGTTAGCGCTGTCCCCCTATCCTTGCTTGATGTTTGTGCCACCTAATGGCACACGACGACAAGCACGCTACCTGACTAGGCGCCGTGACGGGCGTTGGCCTTGCTTGACATTTACTTACTAGTTGATGAACGTGTACGTTATGCCAATCCGTGCATCAGTAGTGTACTGGCTTTCGACTCTCAGCAGATGGCAGTGGATGCAACAAGGCTTACGGAGACCTCGAAACTGTAAGAAGGCCATGGATGGCGAGATGGGCGGCAATGGTTAAAATAGTAGAGATCATATTGGCGAATAAGTAAAGATATGCTGGCGTGACGGGAAGTACTGAGTCCTGGGATGGACGACAAACACGAGATACTTCAATACTCCAGTTTATATAAACTTTATTTGTACGCGTTCGCCGACTCAATTAACAAATCACGACGCGTCAGTCACGTGTTTAAAAAGTCAACCCTTATATAGCCATGTCAATGAGCAGCCAGCATCTCTCATTCTCAGCCAACTTGTGCGAATGCGTATTTCATATAAACATATTTGATTGTGTCCTACTATCAGTAATGTACATCCTTCTTCTTCCCATTGACATACAGGTGCATATAAGTTTTGTATACATAATGATGATGTGAGCAACGGTCTCAGGCAAGCGTATCCGCAGTTTAACGCTGACCGTCTACAAGAACATGTCAGACAAGACCAATGAGTAAATGGTCTGAATAAGTACTCACAAGCCTTGGTCTCGTACTTGCCAAGACCGACGATGATGTTTTGAGGCTCCTGAGCCTTACCAGAGAGGTAGTTCTCGATGATGCTCTTGGTGCCGGTTGCGTAACGAGCCTGAGCGTCGAGGGTGGTACCAGAGTAGTGGGGTACCATGCCGTTACCACCGCCAAGGGCGTTCTTAGCTGTGCGCAAGACGTGGTCTTTGGGTGCGGGCTGGACGTTCCAAACATCACCGGCGTAACCTGTTAACGTATTAGCTCGATGTGTAGTTAACAAAGTGGCGGAGGTCACGAACCGTTTAGATGACCACTTGCAAGGGAAGCAGCTACAGCGTCCTTGTCACAGATGGCACCACGAGCGGTGTTGACGAGCCATGCACCCTTCTTGAAGTGCTTGAGAAGCTCAGCGTTGACGAGGCCGATGGTGCCCTCGTGCAGGGGGCAGTTGACAGTGACAACATCGCACTGCGAGACGAAGTCCTTGAGGTCTTCGACGCGACGAGCGTTGACGGCCTTAGCAGCAGCTGTTGTAATTATGTGAATCAAGCTGGAGATGATCAATAATAGAGTGGCACGAACCTTCAGGCAGGGGAGCATAGTCGTAGTAGATGAGCTCCTTGCAGTCGAAGGGCATCAGACGCTGGAGGACGCGGTAGCCGATACGACCAGCACCAATGGTGCCAACAACCTTGCCCTCAAGATCGAAGGCGTTGCGAGCAATGTCAGACACCATCCAGTCTCCACGCTCGATCATCTAAGCATAGCGAGCAATTAACAGAGGGAAGCGTACGCCAGCGGGCCATCATACCTCATGTGCTGGAACAAAGTTCCTGACGAGGAGGAGGATAGACATCACAACGTGCTCAGCAACGGAAACGACATTGGATCCCGAGACCTCCAGAACCTGGATACCATGTTTGACAGCGGCGTTGAGGTCAACGTGGTCAGAGCCAACACCAGCTGTGACACAGAGTTTAAGGTTCTTGGCCTGTCAGGATTATGAATGAACCGTTCACATCAATGGCTCAATGATCATCATACCTTCTTGATCAAGTCCCCAGTGAGGTACCCGGGGTGGAATGGAGTTGTGATCAAGATCTCAGCCTAAGATGGAAAATTAGTACACGTGGATATATATACAGTAGTGGGGCTTGGATGTACATCAACAAGGTGCTTCTGGAAGTCGCTGTCAGGGCCCTCCTTTGAGTCGGAAACCTATATAAATGAATAGATCAGGTGACTGCGCAGGCATGCCAAGAGAAACTTCGACATACAATGTACTCATGGCCTTGAGACTCAAGCCACTTGCGGATGCCGAGCTATATGAAGAGTTAAGTAAGCAAATTACAGATAATCTAGGATTCTCGACGAAACAAACCTGGTTCTCCACAGTACCGAGGAGACGGGGCTCGCTCGTAGCAGCATTACCGCCCTTGTAGAGGATAGCTAAGATCTAGAAGCGCGTCAGATGCTGTAATTGATGACAGGGGGTTCATCATCACCTTCATGACTGAGTTTCTGTGGACTGAAGAAAGATGTGTAGGGGTGAGAGTGGGTGGAGAATGGATCTTAGTGTCGTCGAAAGTCCAGGAGCTTTATAGGGGGAGTCCGGGGTGTAAGCGGCCCTACTACAATCGGAAAAGATCATCAGCTGATGGTGTGTGGGCTTCCCGCTCTCTGTGCACATCATGGCCTTCCGGTTTGAGCCTCTGAAGAAGATGCAAGCGATCCCGTCATCGGCGCCCCATTAATGGGGATCACGTGTACTCACCCGGTCGCATCCATTGGCTAAATATAAGTTATTAGCAGCGTTCCGGAGAGCTGTGCTCGCACAGTAGTGCACTTGGAGACCTCATGCGGACGGGATCGGAAGAAACCGTTTCTTACTCACACTATGTATGGCGGACGTCCGAGTTCAATAACAATAGTTAGCAGATGGGCAGGTGGGACTGTCCGAGCAGTCAGTCTCATCTCACGTTCAGACGGAACACTCCTTACCAGACACACACACCCACCCGAGTGGCCCTGAGTGGACCTTGTTCAGATATAAGTACGGATAGCTTTAGGCGAGTGTCGGAGCACCCCGCGAGAAAGACCACCCCAGCACGGGAACTTCATATCATATCGGTGCCTAATGTATTAATAATTGCTCCAAGATGCTATACTATGAGCTGTTCCGTTAGTATAGTGTTATGAACCCTGACCAGTGAACCCGATTACTTACTACAATACAAATCACTATCCTGAGCGTTCTGATGCGCGCATCTAATCATTACCCATAGGATCAGAACGGTTTGATGGCATCAACTCAACCTCCTCTGGCACAGTTCCGTTTGACGCAATCTGAGATTTGTGTTGTGCATTCTTCACAACCTCCCATTCTACCCGAACGAAGACCCACATCCATCGTCGCAAGATTTCCGCAACCTCAAGCCAGAGCATAAGAGCACTTCCTTCCGACTGCGAATATAGATGACTTGATAGTTTAATCGACCATGTCATGCGGAGCACGAGGTTGAAAAATATAACCAGGGGGTATACCAGAAGTGGGTAGAGTAGCACTGGTCGAAGTCCATAAGGGTATGACTGGTGACGGTATATTGCGCCACCATGAACTTGGTGGCCGGAAGAGGGGTGAGACTGTGTGACGCCATGTGTCTCGGAAGACCCAGCAATGGAAGAGGCCTTTAAGTGGAGAGACGGAAGCACAAGGGGTCGCGGGGGGTTGCTTCGCGACTCCGCAGAACGTGGTTTCAGAAGGTCAAGACCCCAATCATTGGTTAGATCCCACCAGAAGGAATACAGCGAGTTCACAGCCGCGGCTAAAAGCCTAAATAATCAACGTAGCATCACTCAGCGATGGTAAATTTAAGAACCTTACCATAGGCGAAATAGCGGATGTTCCCCGTGCCATGGCTCCCGTGCGATCAATTCGCCCTTCTCTTCTGCGAGGTCTAGTACCACAATTCTTTGGGCGGCAGAAAGGAATATCACCGGGAACGAGGATGCGTATTTTAGTGCATTGAAGAGGGGTCGCTTACTGGTGTTGGTAGGAGACCGGAGCTCGATTAGGCACTGGCGGAATCGAACAATATACGGTAGACTGAATCCCGTGAGTATAGATTTGCACAAACGGGGTGAGAGGCACATACCTCATCAGCGCTGGAAGTACCCATTGAGAGAGGCCATCAAGGGGTGGGGGAGACAAAAGACTTCCGTGTGGAAGTAACATGCACAGAGAAAGCCAAACGTCGCCAAAGACTTTTGCAAATGACGTGAACACGTCCGCGAAGACTACATCTGAAAAATACACTGGGCTATCCATTGAAGAGAATAGACACCTTGCAGCGCTCCTGTTGAAAATAATTACAGCGCTATCATAAAGTGACATGGATGATAATCTTACTGGAGGAACAGATCTCTCTCGCGCTTTTGACACAACTCAAATGGACATATGAGAGTTGTGAGCACACCCAGGGAGCTCAATGCAGGGATGAATTTGAAGGCATCCACCAACATAGCGTTCGAGTGAGTAGCGAGTCTGAAGAAAGACCATCCAGCAAAACACCAAGCTGTATATCCCGCGAATAGACGGTATATGGGCATGTAAGCCACTCGTGGAGACGAAGATGGTCGTGGAGACGAGGAGGTCGTAGGCAAAAAGATACGACCAGAGTGCAAATCTAGTGCTGACCCTGCATCAATCCCGAGTAGGTGTAGTCCATGGAGGTTAGTCGCCCATCCTAGTATGCCCAAGCCGATCAGAAACAGCACGCGAAATGGGAGAGGAAAAGAGGTAGAGAGCGGAACTGCATCGCCAAAGTCCATTCTATAGACTAGAGTCGCAAAGCATGGAAAGAGCAGACGATAACTGGCTGCCACTGCGGAGGTCAGTGCAAGACGCAAATATTCCGTTGCAAGAAGGACTGGTTGAGGCGCCACGTGACGTGATCCCTTCTATACTCCAACCATCATGGCTGAGAAGGCTGGCGCATATGGTACCAAGGCCGGCGACACTGATTTCAGGAAGAAATGGGACAAGGAAGAATATGCTGAACGGGCGCGGAAAAAGGACGATGAAGAAAGGACCAGAATGCAAGAAAACGAGGAGCGCATGAAACAAGGTACGCAATATCTACAGCTAGCCTTTCAAACCGGGTACTACTTCGTCATGCAGGCAAGAAACCCCGCAAGGCCCCAAAAGAGGACCTTCCGAAGCCGACAGAGCTCATGAAACGTCGAGAAACCTCTCTCGAACTGGACAAAAATCTCGGAAAAACCATGGTTGTGCAGAATCCCGGCGCAAGAGGGCCGGGGCAGCCTGGTTTCTTCTGTGAGACTTGCGGTCGGAACTACAGGGACAGTACGGGTTATTTGGATCACATAAATAGCAAAGCACGTATGTTACCACAACGATCGCCAGTGGTGTATGTCTTTAAACATAGCCATAGATCTCAGGAAACTTGGTCAGACGACCCGTGTGGAGCGCTCTACCCTCGAACAGGTTCGCGCTCGAATAGCATACCTACGGGAAAAAACCAAAGAGGCATCATCTGCCAAGGCTTTCGATTTTGATCAGCGGCTTGCAGAGGTCAAAGCAAAAGAAGATGCTCGACGAGCGGAGAAGAAGGCTCAAAAGCAGGCTCAAAAGGAGGAGGCTCGCCTTGCACTTGCTAAAGACTCTGCTATGGACGGTGATGATGAAATGGCGAAGCTCATGGGCTTCGGTGGCTTTGGATCCACCAAGAAATGATCACTTAATGATGATACCCACACAACCTCAAACTGTATCTGTAGCCGCAACTCACTGTATCATCACACCTGTCCGACACCTGTCTGTCATTTTCCATTCTGGCATCTTCAAAATTCGCGCCTTCGCATTCGCTAACCTAATTGCACAGCAGGTAGTATTACATATTCAACTTCCGCCACCTGATTCTTGTCTACTTCGAATTCTAGCCCTTTGAAATAACTATACCCGAACCAGTGACAGCGTGAACTTCACATCTGCCACCTCCTGTTCCTCCTCTATCACGAGCTCCCCACCATTCCTAGTTTTCACATCAGCAGGCACGCTACGGATGGTCTTTTGAATGACTTCCGTGTGCTCCCTGAGTGCGTCTTGCAAATCTGCACCCGAGCCCTCCTCAAAGTGGTAGTACACATTCAAATCATCAGTGGCTTGCAGGCCAGCCTTTTTCCGAAGTTTCTGCACTCGGTTGATAACCTCTCTTGCGAGCCATTCGCTCATCAGCTCCGGGTGAACTTGGATATCCAACCTGACTACGACATCGTTATCGGTATGGGTTGCATACTGGCCTTCAGCAGCGGGTGGCAACTCGAGGTAACGTTGTACTGTCAGGTCGCCAGTGACTAGCTCGATGCCGTCAACTGTGAGCTTGCCTGAGTCTATGTATGCCTTGACATCGGTGGAGGAAACGTTGGGAAGCGCGTTCTTGACGCGTCCGAGGTCCTTACGCAGTTTGCGGCCTAGGGTGCCCCAATCTGCGACAGCTCGGTAGCGAATGCCACACGCGGCCTCGTCCGTAGTGAACACCACGTCGCGTACGTTGAGCTCTGATTGAATGTAGCGCTGTAAAGACTGTACATCGGCAATGTACTGCTCCTCAGGATGGAAGATGAGGAGTTCTCTGAGAGGCGTCTGTGCATTGCAGATTGATTATCTATAAGTAGTTCTCATGATGGCGAATAAAACCTACCTTCAAGGACAAGTTGTTCTTCTCTCGGATATACCGAGTGAGATCAATGACAGCTTGCATGCGCTTCACCTGGCGCTCGATCACCTCATCGAAGTACTCTTCCTTGACGTCGGGGAACATGAGGAAGTGAACTGATCGTGCGTCGGGAACGGAAGGATCCTCCGGAATATATTCACGCAGAGTCTGGTATAGGTTCTCCGTCATGAAAGGAGTGTACGAGGACTATTACAGATGTATCAGCATGGTCAGTCACATCGCTTTCCCGTCGAACACGCACCATAGTCCTGCAAAGGGTAAACAGTGTCTCGAATAGCGTGTTGAGAGCGGCAACCGTGTCCTCTTTGCCATCCTCACCCTTCAATCTCCGTCTGTTGAATCGGATGTACCAGTTCGTCAGCTCGTCGATAAGATCAAGGAGTCGTGGCAAGATGGTGTAGAGCCTGTAAGCCTTCATCTCTTCCTTCACAAGTTTGATGAGAGACTGACACCTAGCAAGGATCCATCGATCCATGACGTTGTTTGAGACAGGAGCATGTGGGTTGTACATGAACTGTACGCCAATGGTTTTGTCGAGGAGCGTCACTTGACCAACGAAGAATCGGACGGAGTTCAACCAGGGAAGAAGGACGCGAGAGATCACGTCGCGGACCCCTTCCTCGCGGAAGCGCAAGTTTTCACCCCGCACGATGGGAGAATTGACCAGGAACATTCTGGGGCACAAGTAAGTTTTAAAGTAATATGTATCATTTAGTGACACTGACCTTGTAGCGTCCGCACCATATTGGTCAAAGATGATATGGGGGTCAGGGTAATTTCGGAGACTTTTGCTCATCTTCTTGCCATCAGCGGCGAGCACAAGACCAGTGACGATCAAATTCTTCCACGGTGCAGTACCGAATAGATGAGTTGAAAGGATGAGCAACGTGTAGAACCAACCCCGAGTCTGATCGATACCCTCTGACACGAAGTCACCCGGGAAGTTCTTGAGGAAAGACTCTTTATTTTCAAATGGGTAGTGTGCTGATGCGTATGGCATGCTGGAATAGTCATGTCGTGAATATGGTTTGCAGTATGGGGGAACCGAGTTACCTTCCGGATTCGAACCAGCAGTCGAAAACTTCTTCCACGCGTCTTAGGACGCCCTTGCCCATCTTCGAAGGGATAGTCAGATGATCAATTTTTTCGCGGTGAATGTCCGTGAGGCCAGTGACACCAGTCAATTCCTCGAGTTCAGCGATGGAGCCGATACAGAGAACCTGTACCCTTATCAATACCGCATTTCACACCTATGCTGAAAAACGCTGATACCGACCTCTTCGTAGTCATCGCTAGCCCATAGAGGTAGTGGAGTGCCCCAGTATCTGTTTCTGGACACATTCCAGTCACGCGCATTAGCTAGCCAGTTTCCAAATCGACCATCCTTAACGTTTTGAGGCACCCTGAAGAATAGAATCGAATAAATATTTTCAGGAAAGTGAACGGTGCACTCACCATAGCGTGTTCAGGTTATTGGTGACAAGCTGGTCCACGATAGGTTGTACGCGGATGAACCACGACGGCACGGCACGATAGATTAAGGGTGTTCCTGATCTGGGAAAGAAGTCAGCGTACCGATCAATATCCTGGGGAAGAGCTTTACCTCCAGCAGAACGGATAGGAGTGCTTGATGGTTGACTGCACAATAAGACGACCGTTCGCCTTCAAGACCTTCATGATCTCTTTATCTGCGACCTAAATACCAGCTATGAGCACCGCCAAATCGTTTGATCAAAGAATAATGACAAACCTTGATGTACATGCCCTCGAAATCCGTGACTGGATTGGTAAATTTGCCACCATCGTCCAAGGGGCAAGGAGGCATTTCTTCGGCGCTGAGGACACCATTTTCAATAGCAACGCGAGCGTCATCTTCACCGAATGCCGGGGCTTGCTGTACGATACCTGTACCATCCGTCGCCGTGACATAAGTGTCCACAAAGACACGGAATGCGCGATCTTTATACTGAAAGATAGTCAGCAACTGCACGAAACAAGGAAGGGATTTCACATACCTGCTCCGTGAAATACTCGAAGAGTGGCACATATCTCCATCCCTTCATTTCGGCACCCTTGTAGGATGCCAGTTTCTTGAACTTGGCCTTCTTTGGATCTTTGTAGAGAGTCCCAAGAAGTTGATCGCAAAGTATATAATTTGCGTTGTGCTCTTCATCATGAATCTTGATGTAGGTCAGCTCGGGATGAACACACAGGGCCAGATTAGATGGCAGGGTCCATGGCGTAGTCGTCCATGCTAGAAGGGATGTGCTAGGATCATCGACTAGCGGGAATGCAATGGTGACTGCAGGATCATTTATATCCTTGTAGGCTAGCCCCGCTTCGAAGTTCGAAATCGGGGTGGTGCATCCCGTAGAATAAGGCATGACGCGCTGGCCACGGTACACCATGCCCTTTTTCCAGAGCTCCGAGAATGCCCACCACTCGCTTTCCATGAAAGGGGTGTTTAGCGTTTTGTAATCATTGTCAAAGTCAATCCATCGACCCATGCGCTCGACGGTGACGCGCCAATCTGATGCGTAACGCATGACGATGGCACGACATTCTGCGTTGTATTTGTCGATTCCCATGGCCATGACGTCTTTCTTGCCAGTGATTCCAAGTTTCTTATCGATCTCATGTTCGACGGGGAGACCATGAGTGTCCCATCCAAATCGACGCGTGACATGATGACCTGTTACATGAGCATGTCGAGTGACGATGTCCTAGATAAAGGAAACACATATCAGCTAACGGTAAAACCCAGATATTACTAGGATCGCATACCTTAATGGTACCCGCGAGAAGGTGACCATAGTGAGGCAGACCAGTCGCGAAAGGAGGACCGTCGAAGAAGACATATTCTGGCTTGCCTTCGGATAGTTTCAGACTCGTCTGGAACGCATCTATCTCGCGCCAGTAAGCGATCACTTTCTCCTCCTCCTTTGGAAAGTTGAATGGTTGTGTTACTAGTTCAGAAGACGCTGATGAGCAACATGGACGGGCGTAGTCACAAAACCACGCACTATCTTGTTTTGGGAAGGACATCCTGGTATCTCGATATCAGAAATCGTGTAACTTGTACTGTGACTGCCGCGATGAAGGTGATTCTTTTGGAGAGATATCCTTGATCTAATGCGTGACTCGAAGCTGACTCGAGATTCTGACTCGGATATCAAAACCAAACAGGGTATGTCCAAGAAACGTAGATCATGAACCAGTGGCCTAGCTATCAGCAGCGCTCGAGAAAAAGCACAGTACAAGCTGAGCGGCGTAGATCGATGGATGTGATGATCAATTCAATTCAAGGTCATATGTATCGTACAATCTTATATCTCCTTCGAAAAGGATACTCAAAAATTTGGACCCCGCAGCGTCGACCACGTTCGGCAAACAGCGACCAGGTCAACTTTCTTCTTCAGACTCCAGAGGCCACGAAGGACGCGTTCCAACTGATAGTTTGACATTGGCTCATAGCCTAAGCTGAGCCTACTATTACGAGGTTCGAGCTCGACGAGTTACTCGATTACCCGCTCAAGTTGTTTTTCCTGTTCAAGCTGCACTGGCAGCTGCCCTCAAGTCGCTGATCATCATGATGAAGAGCTTTCTTCACGCGACGCCGCGACCCTTCTGGTAAATTCTGCCTCAACATTCATGCTATCGAGCCGCCAGGGCTGTAGTTTATGACAATGTGCAGTCTTAAGGATAAGTAAGTCATTGACTATCGTGACGCTTACTAAAAGGAAGACGTCGTTTGAGGTCAGAGGTCTTCTGTGACACCTCTTCTTAGTTAACGTCTATGATACGTTGGTAGCGCATCATGATGTCAATGGACCTATGTGCAGTTAGCAGGAATTCGTGGGCGCTCATCCCAAGAACAGATCACATTCAGTTGACAACGCGTGTCTGGACTATATATCGCAGTGCCCTCAAAGCTTCGGCCTTAAAGGATGCCATGTTTGAACTGCTTCCACATCATTTCTGTCGATGCCAAACCAGGATGTCCTCATGGTGGTTCCCGCATAACTGGCACCTGAACCCAGGCTTCCGAATGGCAATAATTGAATAAAGCGTGCCTGCAGCGATAGCCATTGGAGCGGCGTCCCTTGTTGTCTTCCTGTCAGTTTGGCAGTCAAAGATAAAGTCGCCCAGTTTTCTGCTCCCTCCACCACCCAATGCAAATGCACAATAATTTACAGTTTCGGCATCGAGTCTGGCGCTGGATTCATGGCCTAGGAGATTCGATATCTGGAGAGTGTACAGGAAGTTATTTCACCAAACTCTGCGGTCTGATGCTACTATCAAGTATGATCAAGAGTCTACATGAGCAAGACAATTTCATTCCGAGTCCTTCAGGATGAAGCTGCATTCAACCTAGAGACAAGTTTGAGGACGTAGGTGTCTCACTATCAACAAGGGTGACTTCTCGTAATTTCCTTCACTGCAGTTTTGCGGCAATGGCAGTGCTGTCGCTCACATGGCCACGAATTCAAATCGCAGGACCATCCCCTGGTTCAAATGGCCCAGGATCTACCTGAAGTCGCAGTGAAGGAAGCTACACCTGAAAGAGCAGCTCTTATAGCAACCTTTCCTTTTGGTATGTTCGCCTCACCTTCGCGCCCCTCACGGACAGTGCTTGAATGTAAGAATATTCGAACATCTGCCTTCTTGGTTGCCCGGTCTTGGCTTCAAGACACATGCTGCTACCTGCAGAATGCAGGAGCGCTTCGAATACACGAAGAACGAAGTTGTGCGTAACTCAAAAGAGATGTTTGCAGTCCTCTGAAGGCTGCCGACACTGCCCTACGATCGATTGCGGCTGATTTTTTAATCGGTCAGCAAGAGAACGTTCGAACGAAGACGCTAAAGACGCTAAACTTTATGAGGAACTTGAAACCGTGATGAAGGCTGCGGCTGCTGGTATTTACCTTGGTGGGCTTTCAATGCCGTACATATCGCTACGAACTAACATGATTCCATAGCTGGAGTTGAAACAGTGAGACATAATACTTTCATTCTTGCTATGTAATCGATTTAGTCGTAGGCAATGATACCCACTTTCAAAAACGGGGATTCGTTGCCGTACGTCGAAGCTATTATATGTGAGACAATGAGATGGTGCCCGCACTCCCCTTTGGTTCCACTGTTTCTCGCCGACCACAAGGATTTCAGGAGAGTCCTTTCTTCGGGTTTAGAAGAAGGTATAAAATAGCATGCCCTGTGGGCATTCGTGTGTCGATGTAATTTATTTTTGATCAAGACGGACCTACACGTTTTGCAATAAAATGATAATAATTTGCGAATCTCCGATAACGGTTTGAATCCTTTCCCTCGCATCAGCAGTTCACAACGCCCACATCTCCTTGATAGTGGCTGATAACTCGATCTGGCAGATGAATTTGTTTATTCGCGTCTGCGAACAAATTTATCATTTCTGAGAAGTCATATACGATACAAACATGATGATCCCTGGTAAATAATACAGATGCGACGTAATAAAAAAAAGCATGACAAGACAACTGTCCTCAGGACCCTCGCTTTGCATATTCTGCACATTGCTCTTTCATAAATTTCTCGAGCTTCACTGCATTCCTATGGTATATCGATGTTTCGGGGTTGTACAGCTTGCAATTATCGACCACCAGTTGAACATCGTCAAGAAAAAATTTGAGCGAGGAATATTGGTTCGTGTCCAATTTGTGCTCCATCGTGCTGAAATCTGATGGAGATGTTAAGGCAAAAAAAAATGATACAGGGAGCTTGGTACAGACCCATAGGTCTCTTGATTACACCGTAATAATCCGGGACCTCATCGGCATTGACTGGGTTTAGGAAAGCCCAGGCTAAGGGATGGGCTTTGAGATCGGACAGGAGGCGCTGTATTTGGGTGTGCTCGGCACTTTTCCCAGAACGTGTGCTGCAAGAAGTCATATCCAACCGACCCAGAACACGAAAGCCAACTTACCTGTGTTCCATGCCAGGTGTCCAACCACTCTCTCCTACAAGAAACTTGAGACGCCAGCTCACTTAAGGAAAGATAACGTACTTAGCCCTGGAACATCCTTGGGATCCACTGTGATTCCTTCCGGAGCACCTTCTTGGAATTGCGAAAGACCCTGATACACGATGTGCGACTTCGACATCTCGCGGATCTTCGTGAGGATCGCCTCCCGCTGCTGAGAAATGATGTTGACTTTGTCAAGATAGTTGACCTTGCGCAGCATGGTGCACTGCATGATCGTCCCGCCCTCATAGTCTTTAATGTACCCAGCCCACACAGAGCGATCGAGCGTGATCTCCTTCGAGAAGCCTTGCTTCTTGAAAAATACTACAGCAAAGTTGTCGGCGTAGGTGAGGAAGTGCATCACATTGGGGTATGTACGTTTGATGTGTTGTTTGAAGTTGTCCATAAGCATGCCACCGTAACCCTGTCATAGAAGTTGTAGTCGCATACTTGATGAACAAAGCCTCGGCCCACCTTTACTTGGTCTACGGATGCAGTAGCAAAGAAGACTATCTCTGCGAAACCACGATGCGGGAAAGGCCTGTAGCAAATACCGCCTGCGACCTTATAACCACGTTTGATGATTGCGAGTGCTTTGGAGTTGTGGTCATAAACTAAACGCGCAATGTACTCGCGCGGCATCATGGGCAACTGTGTTTGGAACAAGGTCTTTAGACCAGTGAGAATGATTAAAGAGCGCGGCTGTCGGTCATTCTCCACCGCAGTTATCTCAATAATCCCCTTGCGAAGCTCAATAAAAGCAGCTTTTTCGGGCTTGTGGGAAGGCTTGAACAGCATAAGCGTTGGTCAAGCAAGAAATAGGAATAGAACTCACTGCAGCGGAGGATGCTGGCCCCGTGTCCACTGTAACTCCAGTCGCGAGGCGGGTGAGTTGGCCCTCATCCATCTTATCTTCGACTTTTACTTTTAGATCCGAGCTGCGACCATTGGGAACACCATTCTTCTCTGGCCTTTTGTCTCCTGTGGGAGCTGTCTGCGCTTTCGACTTCATACTGGAAGTCTTCTTGCCGCTTCTTTGAGTCACAGCCTTCCTGGAACTCGTTACGGTGGCGACATTCGAATCTGCGACTTGGGCGGCTAAAGGTTTATCGTCATCGTCATCATCGTCATCTTCTTCTTCTGCATCGCTGAGTGAAGATGAAGACAACCGTCGACGCTTTGAAGGGGGAGGTTCGTCACTGAGTACGGAAGAAGCCGGGGACATTGGTCGATCAGCCGGAGAAGAATGTTCTGAAACACTTGAGGAGGTCGTAGGAGGGATCAATATAAATGACGTACGGATGGAAGGAGACGCTATGCTAACCATAGAGACGGACATCTTCATTTGTTGCCTGAGGGAGTCGATCTCTTCATCTGTATAATTGAAGTCAAGTAGCCTGTCTGCCTCCTGACACAATGCGCGTGCTGTTAGCGTGTATATAATGGCGTGTGCAAAGACGTACTTGGAAAAGATCATCAAGACGAGTTGCAAGGCGTGCTTTGCGAGAAAATTCCTCCCGTCCTAAGGCGGCTACTTGACTACCGTGGTCTGCTACATCGTGGCCACATATACACGTTTCGAGGTATGCGGGCCCGTCCTCTTCGTCGGAGCCGTATTGTGTTAGATCGCCGAGTAGAGACTTTTGGTGAGCATCGTCATCTAGAACCACCTCGACGCTTGCTGGCGGTCGCAAGCCAGGACAAGAATCACACGCAGCACAGGAAGAGTGCCGGGCTATCCTGAGTGCGAGTGCAGAGTCGTTGTGATTAGCTTCAGATAAACAAGGATAAGACAGTTTCATGGGAGTGCAATGCAAGTCAAGCCAATATACGTCTACAATTAGCAAGTAATGCCAGTAGACCGGGTGTAGTAACTAGCTCAGGTCATTTCCATAAGCGGCGTGCCCCTAAAGGAAAACTCTTCAACGTCGTTTGGACTCAGTCTTGAATATCGAGAAAAGTATCAGGTATTTTGTTTTCGATCTCAGGCTATCCATTAGTGAAAAAGGTCATTTTTAGGTCACCATGTTGATGAACACATACTAGCTAAACGAGTGCAGCCGTGCCGCGCCGTGTCGATGACGAACGTTAACTCGAAGCTGAAGCGTTCAATATTCAATAGTAGCAAGCAGTAATGATACAGTAAAGTTCAACACATTCGCGCGTTGAAGATCAAAGGTGCGTATTTTACATAAAATCATAAAAATCCATGCGCATCGTCGGTCCTAAATTCCCTAATAATTCGAACACAAGTCTTCTACCATCTCCCCCGCCCTAATTGCCGCCACGCTCAATAATGTCTCGCTTAATCCATGCGTGTCCTCTGCGCAACCTTGCAAGTATATCCTCGGAATAAATCCATGACCAGTCGTTGGCAGTGGAAGAAGTCTATAACGTCGCGAAATATAGAGTGTATCTGTCATACTTGGTAAGAGATATTATCAATTACTCGGGGACGGAGGTGACGTACCGGAAATTTTGGTCTCCAAGGATGTACATGGTAAATCCTGTGCGTTGACCCCCATGTCCGGTGTCCGCGAATGACCATTTCTCCCATTCGCGGCCGCTGCAAAATTGCCATTCTTCCCGTTCACGGCCGTCAAAACATTGCCATTCTTCCTGTTCGCGGTCGCTCCCAAATCGCGCTCCACGGCGAGGCACGTATTATTTGAGGTAGCGCACAGGCCGAATTGCTTGCCTAAGCTGGATGATTTCAAGAGGTTCATCCATGAATATCGCTCGTAGCCAGTAGCGCAGATGATGACATCATATATTGCCTCAGAGAAATCCTGTGTGAGGGTATTCTGCAAAAGAATCGAGAGCGTATCTGGCTCTGAGCAGGTTTGTGAAGGATGTGTGTTGATCTCCGCTGACGACAGGTTACTATAGGGTATGATGGTAATACGCGCGCTGGTCACGGGCGTCGTATTTCCCCTGCGTCTAGCGATGTCACCGTCTACTTGATGGTCGTACATAACTTCGTAGAGCTGTTGTCACATTCATTAATTGCGATCAATTGGTAACAAAGACACGCGACTCACTGAATCAAGCGTACGCGGATTTACAGCCCCGTAATTTGTGGTCTTGTAGTCTGCCATTACTCTTTTTCGAGAGTCACTCGGCAGGTTATACATAACGTCTACATACTCCGGATTGTATACCTGGTTTGCAAAGGGACCGCCATCGCTTGGTTTCAACGAGCCACCACGAATGATGAGGTGGAGGTTGTGTGCTTGGCCGTCACTCATGCCCATGCTAGTGAGCCGCGAGCGGAGGTCGAGCAGTACTTCCACTGCGGATTGCCCCGCACCGACAACCGCAATTTTGAGTGACCGGGTGGTTGCCTTCAACGTGGCCAACACCGGCTCTACAGAACATAAGTACTCAGAACTGTGAATGATACGAGGGTGAGGTAGGATGGCCTGAATACACCGCGGGACCCATGGTGAACCTCCTGGTGAGATGATTAAATTTTCTGAACAATCCCTAATCAATTTTTGAATGGCAATATTGCAATGGATCGACACTTACTTGTAAGACGAATTATAGTTACGCCCGTGGTAAGCACCCTGCTATGGACCTGAATGGTGCCTTCACGCCCTTCTTCAAATGCAATGACATTTTCGCCATAAGCGATTCTGATGCCTTGACCTTGCACGTATTGCGCGACATAGGTAAGGTAATCCGAGTATTCCTTCCGCGTCGGAGTAGTGCAGCCACGGTTGATGAAGTCCACCAGGCGGTTTTGGGAGTGCAAGTATGCAAGGAAGGTGATAGGAGATTGTGGCGACCTCAGGGTTGCCAAATCTTTCAGGAAACTTGTGTTCCTTCCTCTCAGTTTCAAAACGCGGTCGACATAGAATTGCACTTGCCTAATCTGCATACGGGTGCCTGGGAGGAGCATGCCCGGATGCCATTTGAATTCGTGATGTCGCTCAATAAAGAGACACCTGTTCACGGATATTGGGCATGTCTGGGATACCAATAAATTCCACTGTGTGGTACATCAGGTTGATCTACCTCTCTTGGTTGTTCCAGCAGTGCTCCAGCAACAGCAAGATTTGCCGGGCCAAATCCAAGGCCAATTACATCGTACACACCCGCTGGATGAGCTTCAAGTTCAGATGATGCCATGGCAGGAAAACTGATCTGAGAACGTGTAATAAGTACTGAGCACCGTGACCCACGGTAACTAGCAGGTAGCAACCACGGATGATTCTATCAATATGTGGACACTGGATAAGTGCAGTCGACGTCGGAAGGAAATATCAGAAGTGGTGATACGTTGTGCGAGGTGTCATGCATGTCGTGGATATATAGCATCTATGATCCGAATTGCGACGGAACCCGCTCGAAGGCTTCCATTAGCGTCTAAATCAGAGAAGCATTAGTTTAATACCTCCGAAACAACATGTAACTTATTCAAAGTTGTTTCAAATGGCCATACAAGTAATAGGTGACTCCTCTCACAAGAATAAACATACAAATGTATGACCATTAATGATGGGCCACGTCTAATGTGAGTTGGCTGAATACTGAATTCAATGCAAAGTGTCTGTTGTTCAGCGCTCATCGACGAAAGGGGACACCCACTGGGATACCCCTCCACGTATTCTGGAGTATTTTGACTGCAGCTGGCCACGTCAACATAGGTGATTGGTGTGAAGCTTCACTCACCTGCAACCCTGGTTTAAGCTCTACTATACATACCGCTGAAAGTCTAGCTTTATGGTCAGTCTGGGGCTAAGCCGACTGTGGGGTAAATGTGGCACAGTCTGGGCATGCCACAACTCCATTTGGTCGCCGTTAGGGGATGGGATGACGCAGCCAGCCAGCGCGAGGCCGGAAGTGAGAAGCTGTAGCCTAGAGGCGCGGCCATTGAAACCCATTCACTCTCAGGCTAGAGTCTCTGCAAAAGACAGGGAGTGAAAGAGTACCAATTTGCGGCGAGGATCAAGCCCTTCCGCGAGTTCAGGTTGTAAACAATGTAAGGTCGTAGCCATAACCGGCCCCGAATGCTGGAGTTATACCCTCAAGTGATATATATTTTGGGAGTCGACGAATGTCGGTGATGGGTCTCTTTCCAACTCGAGCTTGAAGCCGATTTTCCCTTTGGAATTGGCGAAGGGGAAACTCGTATTTATTCAAGCTAGGGCTTCAGAGTTATAATATGTCAGCCCTAGCTAGCTGACACCATGCGCGCATGCATACCGCAGGGTTCACGCATACACCTGGCCATCTATAGCATCGACGACAAATCGGCTACAGACCTTTACGGCAATGAGTCTGATGACTGCATGCGCACAGTGATGCTGTCTTCCCTCTTCTAAATGTCTAAGGGAGACTTGAACGGTTTCGTTCAACGTTAACGCCAATGAGAGTTGTCACAGAAAGCAGGCTGTCACGGTCGCACGTCACCATTAGACATTTTTGGCACGAATTGCCGTGCACGAAGAATTCATCTTAATTCATGGCGTCAAGAATTTGGTACGCAGACCTGCCACACCACCATGAATGCATGACCAACGGAGGGAAAAGTTTTTGTTAGTTTCCCCTTAGCTAGAAATTTAGTAGTTGGAAGACAGCCGTTCCCTCTAATAAAGTCATCTTGCTGCATTACAAAGGGACATCACAGAGGACATCTCCTTACGGTTTGACGCTGACTTTCACGATGAAGATGAAACCGTCGTTGTAAGCAACGAGGGGCGCGCGCGCGCGTGCTGATTTGCCCCAGAGTATGAATCGCAATCGTTCGAGAGATCACTTAGTTTTGAATGTACTCACGAGATACCTGCGTTGACGTCAGCGGAGAATTGGTAATTGAACCGCTGGCTGGAACCACACGTGGATGCCAGTGAGTCACCGGAGCTTCACGAACTGTCGACGAAATACCGATTTTGACTGTAGTTGTGTGATTCCTATCCACTTCCAAGAAATGTGGTCACAAGACATTGCCAGTACAGCATGTGTCATAATGCCTTTCATATCAACTATACGGATGACGCGTTCCGAGGGGAGTAGATGTTTTGGGAGTCTTACGGATCATGCAGGACAGTTGAATACTATGCAAGACGATGTATTAACCTGTTAGACCACGTAGTAGAGGCTGGAATTCCAAACCCAGAATCACTAAAAATGTTTGTGGTGCGTGTCTGTTAGGTGGGTTGGATTAAAAATGAGCAAGCTTACTATGTAGCTAGTGGACTCATGATGCGCCACCATTTATTGGAAAATAAGGGAATCAAGACCCGATTGTTGACCGGCATATTTCGATCCTTTGGCTCAAGGGGTGCGTTACGACACGCGTTGAAAATTTCGATGACGGCAAATTGAAATGCATTGTGGAGATCCGCTACCAAAAACTCGGTTGCGTATTTGCTTTTCATTTGATTTGAGGGCTACTTTGTTTTGAGCGTGTGTCGAGAAACGCACGGCACTGCGGATGCGAACGATGACATGATCCAGAAGGCCACGTCAGCAATTCGGTTGAGAGCGAATAATGCCACGAGTCACCCATCAGGGACAAATGACTTGGCGGAGTGGTAAAACGATGTCAAAAAATTCCAATAGTTGCGTAGGACAACCATAGTACGTACTGGAACAATGCTCATAGCTGTAGTCATAACACAAGGACAATGTGCAGGGAACAATGAGGTGCACTAGGGCTGTAGTCGCGACCCAACGATGATGTACAACCAACCACAAGTAGAAGAGACGGGACAGAAACAATGATTGTGAGTCGAGAAAAAGAACAAAAATTAGAAGCACCAAGCTGCATATTCCATTTTAAGGCAGGAGTCGGGAGGTAACGAGAGAATGGCGTTAGGCCAGGCCAGGCCAGGCCGCGCGAGAAGTAGTGCGAGCATCTCGAATGAATAAATTTAATTTCCGCAACTTGTTCCGTGAACTTGGTCAACCACAGGCATCCACAGGCAACCACAGCTTGAAGCCCACAGCCATCAACTGCACACATGAGAACTGATGGAGTCCAAGCAAACCAAAGAGGCTAAACTTATTTCAGGCAAGTTCCAGCGTCTGGGGAGCTATGAAACAAGCAGGTTTGTGCTGGCCTCAATGGATTAGGGATAATTGTCATGGTAAGTGACGAAATGATAACCCACAACGGTTGGTAGCCTCGTGTAACGACGACGGAGATCGACACAAGTAGAAGGAAATAACACGACCAAATAGAAAAAAGATTCCACGGATGCAAATACGCGGTCACATGATGTTGTTGAGTGCCTAAGTAAGTGGTATTCCCACGGCCGAGAAAGTGGCCCATAAACCCCAGTGTAAATTGATTTCTCATTGATTTCTTTCCGCATTGTCCACCTTTGTTTCTCTCCAACAGCGACGACGACGACAGCAACGACGAATACTACGACAACAAAACAGCGGCGACGATGACGGCGCTGGTCTCGACATCCGTCCCGCAGTACATACCTTCTGTACAAAAACCCAGAACTAGGGTGCGCGACCAGAGCTTGTCGCCAATATCCCCAAGCTGTCGCGCAGCCCATTATCAAACCCCCCCGAAGTTCAGGGTATCATCTGAGCACATTTCACCAATGTTGACACCGTCTCCTCTTAGACGACGGCCTTTGTTCCCAGCAGATGCCGCACATAAAGCAGATGAACTGGATCAGGGGCAGGAGCTTGACGACAGCGATATATTCTTACAATCTCCATTCAAATCGCCCCCTCTAGTGCACCGTCTATACCCCATCTCACATCCCAAACCTATCAAACCAATCATATTAGACGACGACGAAGCGACCCTTTTCCTATCTTCTTCATCCACAGTGCCTTCTCCTTTCTTTCATCCCATGTCCACTCAACCACTGCGTACGCCAGTCAAGGATTCGCATCGTACTATACTGGCAGCAAAGCAGCTCAATACCCAGCCTGCGCATCGTGTGGGCGTGGGCACCAAACGCAAATCGGCGCAATCCGGCGGCGGCGACTTCTCTACGCCTTTGCGTCCTGTCGCATCAACCACGTGCACCCCTCTAAATATCTCTGCTCCGAAACCCGACCCTTCTTCTGGTATAGCTTTTCACCGTCTTGCACCTCTGCCAGCACCTCGCTTTACCCCCCAGCCCAAGAGTAAAGCTGACACTGATGCCTTTCTCAAGAAACAGGCAGATACTATGAAGCGACTGCGGATTCGTGATCCGGATGACTCGGATGAGGACTGGGGTATTATAGAAGATTGGGGCTCCGACGGAGAACCTGCACAAAGGCTACCTGCACTCCGCAAGTGCAAATCCCGGTCTATAAGCCCGAAGAAATCTCTCCTTATCAATGCTGCACTAGTACCACAGAAAGGTAGCACAAAGGATGAGGTCATTGAGGCTATCTCTCCAGGAGGGCACATTATCAAGCGTCGGGCACGTTCAAGGCCCGTTTCCATTGAACTCCTTGAGAGTGTGAACCACACACCATCACCCAAGGTTAGAAGCCACGCTTCGGTGAAATATGTTCATTGTGCTGATCAAACTTTACTCTAGGCTGAAGGTTCCAGTATGAAGCCACCCCCTGTACCAGTAGCATTTCCTTCTGTATCTCGTGATCGCAATCGGCCCACTTCCTTGGTTGGTTCGCCTTCTCCCGTACCACGAAGACGAGTCACAGGTTCCAGTGGCCCTAATCCTTTCTCCTCTAACACACCCTCCCGGCTAAATTCACAGTCTCAGCCTCGCGCCCGTCCCTTTACTCGACTCGCTTCCAACAGTTCGGCTACTCTCTTCTTCGGGCCCTCCATCCCTCAATCTGCACAGTGCTCGCGTACGCGGACTAATTCCTCCGTCGCCGCTACCCTGGATTTGCACGCCCAATCCCGTCTCAGCACATCCAATCGACATAGCTATGCGGGTCCAGACTCGGCAGGTTTCTCAGCCGCCCCAATGCCATGGACGATGCGGTCGGGTTTGGACACACCCTCACCAAATTCTTCGCCTCTGAACGACGGTCCAGGCACGGTCTACTCGGACGATGAGGACATGTTATTCGATGGCCCAACTGAAACATCGTTCGTGTTTAGCATTACAGAGGGTACGCCTTCTCCACGGTCACAGAAAGGCAAGGAAGGACTGTTACCCTCCAAGTATAAACCACGCGACTCTGGCATTGTTCTCAGCGATGATGAGTCAATGCCCGCACGAAATTCGGCGTTAAGCACGAGTTCGAGCTCTATTTACTCTGATAATGACAACGGCGATGATCTAGTTACGCCCGGAATCGTGCCTGGTGCACTTTCCGGGTGGCCTAGGATCTCAGGCGTCGATGACGCGCATCTTCATTCATTCAACCAATCCCATCAATATCAATACTTCCGTCATGACGAGGACGACGTTGACGCGTTCATCCTACGTACCCTAGAGGCAGGTGGGAAGCCTTCTGCAGCTGAGGGCAAGAAGCCCCCTGGAACGCCTGTGAAGAAGCTCAAGTCCCACTTTGGGCTTGATGGTGGGCGACCGTGGCAAAGTGCTGTTGCGTCGAAGGTGGGATTCTCATTTGATGGTGCGGAGGGGGGCAAGGGGAATGGGAATGGGAATGGGAAGAAGCCACGGAAGAGTTTGCCTGCTGCATTCCCTCCCCCGCTTGGGAAAGGCAATTTTGGGATGATCAAGACTGGTGGATCGGATACTGAGGAGGACGATGAGGCAATAAGCCCTAGTTCGAGGAAGCAGTATAAGGGTCTCGGGCTTGGCCGTCCAGGCGGAAGGTGGCTTATGCGCCGCAGTAGCAGTGGGGCATTCTCGAGTGGGGAAAGCGCGGGTGGGACGCCCACACGGCGAAACATTAATCTGAAGGGTTTGTCCGGTTCCGAGTTCATTTGTGATCGGTCGTCTCATTGTATTTCATGTTTTAGACTGGCCTATGCCCGCAGCGCGTACTTTGACCGTGGACACCACGGGCTCACGCTCGAGCCCGAATAGCTCAGCGATCTCATTGAACTCCCCCACGATCGCGCGGCATCTGCCCTCGAAAGCATCTGCCCCTCATTCACATTCTCCGCTTGGGCCACGGTCGCAGAAGACGTCTGCTATCGAGCACGTGAGGAACGTCTCAGATGCTGGTCGTTTTGAGAAGGAGTTTGTTGAGATTGAGCAGGTTGGAAGCGGAGAGTTTGGAAAGGTCATGAAAGTGCGCGCTAAGATTGGGCGCGGACTTGAAGACACGGTGTGGGCTGTCAAACGGTCGAAGCCATTTGAAGGCCCTCGGCATCGGTGGGTTGTTCTGTCATTCGGATATATGTATTTGCTTATCTGACATATGATGACAGCCTGCGACTGCGAGAAGAAGTGGACATATTGGCACAACTATCGGCGCGGGGTGCTCACCCGAACGTACTGACATATGTGGACAGTTGGGAGCAGGACGACGCGCTTTTCATACGCACAGAGCTCTGCGAGCTTGGCAATTTTGGGAGGTTCTTATGGGAGTACGGGCGGGCGTTCCCGCGCCTGGACGAGGCGCGGGTGTGGAAGGTCATGGTGGACTTGAGTAACGTGAGTACCTGCGGATGAACGGAAAAACTTTTTTTGGTCCCTTCTTCCGTTATGCATACATATTTTCACCTTGGTCTAATCATCTGATCTAAGAAGATGTTTTGTATGATCTATTCTTCACCCTTGTTTCCGTCTTGACATGTCTTTTCTTGGAAATTAACCTCGTGCCTGCAGGGTCTGCGTTTCATCCATGAAGCTGGGATCATCCATCTAGACCTTAAGCCGGCGAATATCTTCCTCACTCGCGAAGGGCGATTCAAGATCGGGGATTTTGGAATGGCCTCGGTGTGGCCCCGACCTGGGGGCGCGTTCGAGCGTGAGGGGGACAAGGTGTACCTCGCACGGGAAGTTCTACATGGCACGTACGGCAAGGCTGCCGATATTTTCAGGTATGTTGAGCCGTGGATATGGACGTGAGCATAGGGTGGACCCTGATGTATCCATGTTTCTGCAGTCTTGGGATGACGATGCTTGAAACGGCCACGAATATCGTTGTGCCTGATCAGTGAGTGACATTTAATTTTCTTTTTGGAACGAGTTATTAATTTTTGGATTGTTTGTAGGGGAGATGGGTGGCACAGGCTACGGCAGGAAGATTTCAGCCAGATGGATCTGGATGGAAGTCCGGAGCTGTTTGGGTTGATCAAGAGCATGATGCGAACTGATCCTGGTAGACGCGTGGATGTGCAGGCTGTTTGCGCGCATGCTGTTGTTAGCCGAGCTCGCGCGGCTATGGAACGGACGTATGAAGAAGCCAAACGGGATTGTACCTCTGTGTTCGCTGCGTCACCGCTTGCAGGTGTTTCCAATACGTTCTTGGAGGAGATCTTGTGTCGTGAGGGCGACGCTATGGACGTGAGCTTCTAAAAATGTGAAATTTTTGTTGTATGTTTTTTTGGGACATTGTTTGCGATCTTGCTAAAGGTTGCAGCGGACGATATCTATGATGACCTCTATTGATATACCTACGACATTCTAGGCCCCCCAGGTGGATTGTGTACCAAGGGAATTGTTATAACCGTAACCCATACATAGTTCGTAATATTATGCGCAATATGATAGTAGAGCAATTGGTAAATCTTGGATTCGACGGGGATCAGATGGACTCTCGACCAAAGAAGCAGGACCCTAAGAAGAGGGTTTCCGCGGAAAGAGAAGGTAAGATAGATGCGTGTTGATAGAAGAAAAGAAGAAAGGGTGGCGCTGTCCCGAGCATGATGCTACGGTGACTCTAGGCCTGTCGGGGGTTAGGATTTGCATTCCATCAACCAACTTCATAAAAAGAGTACCCTCTCTCTGTTCCGTACGTCGTCGTCCTTCATCGTTTCACTTCCCAGTGCCATTGGCACTGCACAGTTCCTGATAACAGTTAACCCTGGACTGACAGTTTTGATTGACAGTGACCCCAGATCAACCTAGCAACGTTCCACAGCCACGAACTTGTTGGTTTCTTTTTTTTTCTTTTGCAGAAAGGCAAGCTTAAGCTAGTCGCTCGTTTCATTGTAAGTTAACCAACTTTTTTCAAAAGCTTTTATGGGATTACAATCAAGTTCACGCTTAAAATCAATAAAAGTTGCTGTTTGTGTCAGATCGTGAACTCTATAATATGGACCCTGGCTTTATTGCCAAGCCTCACTCTCGTTTCTCTCCCTCCCACACAAATCCTCTTTCCGCGTTATATCGCGTCGATCTCTTTCCTACCCCTTCTCACAGCTACTTCCTCCCAAACCAAATGGACCAAAGCTCAAGATACACAGCCGGAACAACCTGTATCCCTTCCCTCTTTCCTCCAGGCGTAGACCCAAATACCGTCGATTTCAGAACTTTCTTTCCTTATATTCCAAACGAGGTCAAGCATAGAAAGCGCACCTCTCGTACACAGCTCAAGGTCCTAGAAGATATATTTCGTAAAGATACAAAGCCAAATGCTGCCCTTCGTAAAAAGTTAGCAGCAGAGCTAGATATGCTTCCACGCGCAGTTCAGGTGCGTTATAATCATTTAAACCTCAATTCGTCGCGTCCTAACTCGCGTGTAGGTCTGGTTTCAAAACAGGTATATCACATCTACTACTCTCATTTTTCACTCATTTCATTATCTCTTAGGCGTGCAAAGGACAAGGCTCTTCGTAAAAGAGTTCAAGACTCGACTCACCAGGATTCTCCTTCTGCTCTTTCTCCTCAAAAGTCTCAGTCGTCTAGGGACACCTCCCCCAATGACTCTTCAAATTCATCAACCCCCACGGAAAAACCCACGCACCCTGCAGAAGACGATCAACCGCCCTCGCCAGAGCCACACGCAGTGGAGCGATCACCCATTGCTGAAAGTCCTCTTGCCAAGTTTTCCTTTTCTCCTGCGCCGCCCACTCAAGCATGGCCACCCTCTCCTGCCGAAATTCCCCCTCATGTTCGCCCTTTACCAACTGACTTGACTTGGCAGGACAATAATGACCTTCTAAACGCACGCAGAGGGTCCCTGCCAATTACCATGTCCATGCCAAGTACAGATGCCAACCAGCCCCCTACACACTTCCCAGACAGACGCAAGTCCATGGACGTCAGCCTCCTTAGGCTCATGCACCATCCGTTCGCACGCGTTGCAAAGGAGAAGAATGACGCGATATTTCTCAGGCCGCCCATATCTCCTGCAGGGTCGGGTCAGTCCATGGCCCGTCCACCGTCCGGCCTCGGTGGGCCAAGCATACGTGCAACAAGTTACGGTTCCTCCCCTTCATACAACCCTTATTCCCGCCCTTCTCTCGCTCATAGAGCGTCAGAGCCCCATGTTTTTGCACCCACTCGCTCCTCCCTTGTACCAGAGATACGCACACCGTCTTCGCACGTGCCACGCCGGCTCTCGGACAACCGCTATACGACAAGCTCAAGGGCACTCCCTTCGCCTATTCCTGGGCCCCTGCCGAAACCTGATTTCCAATTTGGCGCCCCGTCATCTGCCTCCCCTCCGCATGCCTCGCCGGATGCAGAATCCCCCGGGAATATGCACGCGTGGGCGTTTCCTCGCAACGAGGCAGATCAGGACACGGAGGACTCGTACAGTTCGACCGGATTGTCTAGATTTGGCTCGATTGCTAGCATCTGTGGGAGCGACACCAGCGCGGTTTATTCAGACGTCAGTAGTTGTGTAGGCGTCGATCATTTCGATCCGAATGGAAGGAGAGGGTCTTGGTATGCTGCGCTTTTACGATCAATACGTTCGTTCCTTGACGTTTTTACGTTACAGTGCATCCAACTCCCTCGAGACGCGCATGTCCGGTCTGAACATGCGGTCTAGCCAGGGCTCGCTCAATGAGGCTCACTTAAACGCCGCATCTTCGTTTGCCTATCAGCACAGGGAGCACCTGTTATCACAGGAACCTGGGTACACTTCACCTGCTTCCACCGTTTCGCCCGGGGGAAGTCCGCACCCTGGATACGGCAAGGACCCTGGCCCTTCTGGTCTGCGAACGAGCGAGGCCTCGTTTGGCTACAATCCTGTAATTAGTCATTTTACCTTGAATGTTTCTGACGAGATGCTGACGTGTTTCTGCGCAGCTCCCACCAGAAACTAGCGCCAATGCCTATCTAGGTCCCACAGAGCCTGCCACTGCGAGTCGCAGGCCCAGTATACCCACCATCCAAGAAGGCATACCGCACAGTCATGTCCAGAACACTCTCGAGCACAACTCTTCATACCCGACGCCCGTAGACACGACGTCTCCTTCCAATGCATATCATTTCGCCTCGGAATCCAACCAATACTCCCACACAGGAAACTATCCGCCATTCCCGCGCGACAGCACGTTTCCTCCCACGGAGGCCTCATACGCCCAACCTGGATTGCAGTACCCAGCAGAGAGCAGTTTTTCGTTGAGCTCTGCTCCGTCTGCTAATATTGGAATTGCCAATGGTATGAGCTCGTATGTGTCGCCTCCGGCTGAATATTCTTTCGCTGTGCCTCCTGCGAATAGCGTGGGGCATGGTGGGGAGCGGTTCAGTGCGTATAACTGAGGCGGCCGTCGAGCTCCCGTTGTTCCGTTCATGCCATCCTCGTCTTCCGTCCGTCTGGAATTCGCATGTACCATATTTTACTACTCTCTTTGCTCGCTGCTATTATTCCATGGTCGCTGCAAACTAATTTGGTTGTGGTTTCATGGGCTTTTTTTGAATCTGTCATTTCATCGTGTTTTATGTTCATCGCTTTATTTACTCTTTTTTTTTCTTCTCAATACTCAATATTGATACTCACTCAGCACTCGCACTGCCAGCACGTTCCTTTCGTTCCGCTGTCCACCACCCTGTCGCTCGTTCGTTAGCTCCCCCCTGCTCATCGTTGTCCTGGTCATGCTTGCTGTTTTCTGTTTTGTCTCGTCCGTCATAGTTAATATTGCCCCGCGCTGGTTTCTTTAGTTCCCTATCTCGATATCCATCTTTTTTTGCTCATCCAACACCATCTTTATCCAATCATATTTTTGTCTCGTGCGATTTTTGCTCGGGGTTCAGGCTCTACTTAAATTAATGTACTTAGTTTAATGCTTTGGTGAATTCAAGTCGTAACCCGCTTTGGTGCAATGTCTTGGGGGATCGACAGGGTCGTGTAGAAGGGCCGGCCGTCGTCGTCGTGGCTGGTTTTCAAGATCGCGATTACGGAGAAGCTAGAACGAAGACTGGTCGAGGCTCTCGAGCCGGTACCCTAATCCAAAAGAAAGGCTGATAATCGGTTTATCCAAGCGACCTATCGGACGAAGCCCATAGATAATCATAATCAATTACAGAACTAAGATAACAAGAGATCGAACGACCATAAACCGCAGGACTGGGTCAGAGCTTCGTCCCAGGCGTCCCAGGAAATGGAGGTGCCATCATGGGAGGGTAAAAGATAGTCTGAGTACCGGGTAGGCCTAAAGGCGGTTCTCCGACTCTCCCCGTCACCTGCGCGTTCCTATCCATCATCAAACGGTGAAGCTGTATCCAAAAACATCATCAGAACGACGCCGCATGACGCATGACGCAAAATAGAAATAGAGATAGAAGGGAAGGGATAAGATAACAAGAATGCAAGCGGGACGTACTTGCAGTCGTATGCCGTGAACGGCATATTTGAGAGAGCCAAGTTCTTCATTGAGACGCATGCTCTCGTTCGTAAGTGCGATGTCGTTTCGACGCGCTAGGGAATCGACGGATGTGGATACGGCGGTTACGGAGTCGCGTAAGCCATTCAGTGAACCCTCGAGAGAGGTGCTAAGATTTAGAGGCGCGACGGGCGTTAACGGCAGTGTCCGTTGAGACAAGTGTGGATCTACGATCCCGCTGAACGATCGGCGTGATCGGGGATAATTATGGGATTCCGAGAATGCGTGCTCGGTTGTGAGTGGGAAGTAGGGTGCGAGCGCGTCGATTTCGTTATGGGCCGCGGGAAATATGAGTTCTCCGTGATCTGCGGAGGAAGATGAATGAGCTTGATTGGGAGTGGTTCTGGAGGAGGAAGGAGAAGGACCGGGGGGTGCCGAGAAGAGGTGATCGAAGGCGTCGATGGATGGGGGAATGATTGGAGGGGTTTGGTCTTGGGTGTGTGATCGGTACCATGGACCGAGGACGTTTCTGAATGTTTGGATGTCTCTTCGTATCGTCTGGACGACCGATTCGAGTGCGTGGACTTTTTGTCTGAGAGCGGCGTTTTCCGTGTTTAGGGATGATATTTGAGCACCGTTTATAGAGAAGAATCCTTTGATAGCCTCGTATGGGCAGGACAGAGCGTGTTCGTCAGAGAGCTGACGCCGGGGACCAGTCCAAGAGCAGCCGTTGTCAGCCTGCGTGCATGGAATTTCAAAGTCAAGACAGGTGGCAGTGTGCGATTGCGACTGTGACCTCGGGAACTCTTCAAAACAGAAAATGCACGTTGCAGACTTGGAAGGACACTCAGAGTTGTGAGTCTATCCACGCTTGGTTAGTAAATCGAGGAAGAATTATCATAGACACGCACACTGAGATCGCTGTACTTGATTGTCGCATCGCACCCATCGCACTGCGTCGAGCGATACACGCAAGCGTCTTGATGCTTACCAACGTCCTTCCGAAGGATGAGCTTATCGCATTGCTCTTCCGAACATGGGATCTCGACGTATTGACAGGCGTCTTTGACGTGAGCGGACAATAATTGTCTTTGAAATGTCTGGGTGCATCCGGAGACTCGTTTTGGGCATTCTATTATGAGTTCGTCTACGAGCTGATGCGGGTATATCAGGGATTCCGCCTGCAGTCCTACCGTATCTCACTCACGTGTTTCACGATAGGATTCGCTGGCGACAGATCGTCAAGCGAAAGCGGGGAGCGGTCGATGGGACATTGAGGAGAGTGCTGTACAGCTGTTATTATGCAGTCATGACAGAATGTGTGTAAGCATGTCCGTGCGGTCGTAGGATTTGTGAACGGGGCGCTACATGACGTTGTGTTAGAAGAATTTCAATCAGAAGTGGCGAGCTTACTGGCAGATGCAGCAGATCTATACGGAAATTGTGAGAGTGCATTTCCTTAGCAAGGGCTGACGCACCAGATTGCTATTTGGCTGTTCTACGTAGTCCATGGCTTGAATCGGGTGACTTAAGAATTGCGAGTTAGGAGTGGATGTTTGGCTTTGTTAGATTTGGAAGCTGTTGACAAATAGACAACTTCGGCGACTACACTCCACCTCGTCCTCGCCCGCAGATACGTAGAGGACTGGTGTTCTGAATGGAATGGAGCCGGGACGTATGGAATTTTCGGAAGCTTCAAGGAAGTGTCTCCATGTTTGGATACGTTATATAAATGTGCATTCGAGGGCCCTTGAACAGCTATCTTCAATAACAGGATGATCCGTCTGTAAACCAATGACAATGTTCCCTCAAGGGGATTTTCTTTTTTCGTCACACAGGATGTCGGCATGCACAGCAGCCTCGTGTCTTCCAGCGGCTACTGTCCAGCAAGCTTTCCATAGCACGACGTCGTGACAATAGAACACTCATCACATAATTTGGGGAGGAGTCGTCAATGAGCCAGGATCAATGTCAGCATTTCCATCTCCTATCCCTTTCTTGCTCTCTAACCCCATTGATAGTTCTTCCATCCTTTGAAGGAACTTGGGCGAGGCTATCCCAGGTCGCTGTCAACGGCGCAGAATATAACTCTCGTGAACGTCAGCCCCACCCGAAATGTTTGGAAGGGACCCGGGTTGATCTCCTCAATTACATACACGACTCACTAGACGACCAAGAAAAGAATCGACTTATTTGGCTGCATGGCACAGCAGGCGTCGGAAAGTCTGCTGTTGCGTTCACAGTAGCTGAAAGGATGAGAGGTCTAAAAGTCACAGAGCAGACCTATGTCGAGAAGCGGCTCGCAGGAACATTCTTTTTCTCGCGCAAGCACACCAAACGTTGCACGACTGGATATTTCTTTGCGACACTTGTCTACCAGCTTGCCACCAATTTCCCCAGCATCCGGAAGGATGTGAACAGAGCTATCCGCGACAATCCCGCTCTACTAGACCCAGATAAGGCTCTCTGCGACCAGATGGAGGCTCTCTTTCTCCAACCTCTCCGAAATCTTCGACTCAGATTGCGCGGGTGTCAGCCTTTGTCGTTTGTTATTGATGCCCTTGATGAATGCACATCCCAACCCGAGCTCACCGATCTCATTCTTTCCCTCGCACAAGCTCTTCGTGAACCTGATATTCCCGTGACTCACATTCTGCTCACCAGTCGCTCGGAATCACATATCCGCAAAGCCTTTCAGAACGCCAAGGTGCAACCGTTGTTGTGCGAAATACCAGTGAAAACTTCTGGGGATGGCATTGGGAGCATCATCTCGCTAGACGGCGCCGATGTTGACAACGACATCTATTTATTTTTGCAGCATTCCTTCGGAGAGCTGGGAAGTCGCCATCCTGATTTCCCTCAGCCATCGAGGGATCAACTTGCGCAGCTGGCGATCCGCGCAGGTAGACGTTTCATCGTGGCCTCTACGATGATGAAGTTTATTATCGATGATGAAGACCATGACCCTCGCGATCGGTTACAGCTGATGCTCGAGCTGACGAGCGAGCTACTACCAGGAACGGAGGTGTACAAGTTATATGACTCTATCCTTTCCACGTGTACCAACCCCAAGCGGGCATTCCTGCACTTGTCTATTGTTGCTTCCCTCGCAGACCCTCTGTCGATGTTACAAATCTCGAAACTACTCGGCCCTGGTCTTGGCAGGGATGTCGAGACAACGCTAGTGCAGCTACGGTCAGTCTTGGGTATTCCCACCGACACCAGTCTCCCCGTAAATATCTACCACTCGTCCATTCGTGACTATGTTTCCAACCCCTCAAACTGCAGCCTCCCTCAAGTACAAGATATGCAATCACCCCACTCCCTACTCGCTGATTCCTCTCTCCGCTTGATGATGAAGGAGATTCCAGAAAGCACAGCCCTCTTGGATGCGCTCTCAGAATTGCATAAGCAGAGCCAAGCTATGACGCCTGATGACCCCCATAGATTAAAAGACTCATTATCATTTCTCGTTAAACCACCGGAGCCACTGTCGGTTCTTATCGGTATGATATGGCTTCGGGGAGATGGCGGATCAGATCTACGATCCTGGATAGATACCCTGGACGGGCGCGCCTGGCTGCGGACCCAGGGAGGGAAAGACTGGTTACAGAAAGAGGGTGGGCAAGACTGGCTGCAGACCCAAGGAGGGATATATTGGCTGCAGACCCAAGGAGGGAAAGACTGGTTACAGAAAGCGGGCGGGAAAGACTGGCTGCAGACACAAGGAGGGAAAGACTGGCTGCAGACACGACAAGGGAAAGACTGGCAGCGGACGCAAAACTACGGGTTGCAGATCGCATTTGACGTAAAACGCTTGCTGTCGTTGGTTGACTTGGGGGGATCCCCGCCCGTGTGCGAACGGGGGCGAGACGGGCTAAAGACTCTGGACAGCTTGAAGGAAGGGAAAGAGTGGCTCGAAACTGTGGACGGCTGTGTCTGGTTGCAAACCGAGGAAGGGCACAACTGGCTAGAGACCCTGGTCGGGCGCGTCTGGTTGCAGATGCAACGAGGACAAGAGTGGCTACAGATCCCGGGAGGGCAGGAGTGGCTGCAGACCAGGAGTGGGCGAGATTGGCTGCAGATTAGGAGCGGGCGAGACTGGCTGCGGACCCAAGGAGGGCGAGACTGGCTGCGGACCCGAGGAGGGCGAGAATGGCTGCGGACACCGTGCGGATGGGCCTGGCTGGAGACCCCGGGCATGCGAGCCTGGCTGGAGGCTCCGGGCATACGAGCCTGTCTGCAGACCCCGCGTGGGCGAGCCTGGCTGGAGACCCCGCGCGGGCGAGCATGGCTGGAGACCCCCCCTGTGCGAGATTGGCTGCAAAGCCCAGGTGGGAGAGTCTGGCTGCAGATCCCGAGAGGGGAAGACTGGCTGGAGACACGAGCAGGAATAGACTGGCTGCGGACCCAGCGAGGGCAAGACTGGCTGCAGACCCAGCGACAGCGAGAGCGAGAGCCGCTGCAGATACCACGCAAGAGAGCCTGGCTGCAGACCCAGAGCGGGAGAGACTGGCTGCAGACCCAGAGCGGGAGAGACTGGCTGCAGACCCAGAGCGGGAGAGACTGGCTGAAGACCGAACGAGGGCAAGACTGGCTGCAGACCCAGCGCGGGAAAGACTGGCTGCAGACACAGAGCGGGAGAGGCCGGCCGCGGGACTCGGGGGGGCGAGTGTGGCTGCGGACCCGGCGCGGGCAAGACTGGCTGTATACTGAAGGAGGGAAAGACTGGCTGCGGACTCATCGTGGGAAAGAATGGCTGCAAACCGAACACGGGAGACGCTGGCTGCTTGCCCAAGGAGGGCAACACTGGTTGAAGACCGAGGGAGGGCTAGACTGGCTGCAAACCCAACGCGGGCATGACTGGTTACATACAAAAGGAGGGGAAGATTGGCTACAGACCCTGGGCATGCGCACCTGGCTACAGACCCAAGGAGGGCAGGACTGGTTGCAGACCCCGCGCGCGCGAGACTGGTTGCAGACGCTGTGCGGGCGAGAATGGCTGCAAACACCCCATGGACAAGCATGGCAGTCTACTCCTGCGGCGTCTGTCTGGGTGACGATGGAAGAATTCTCGAGCACATTGCAAGCTATGAACGACTATACCATTGTTCCAGAATTGCTTTCATTGTCAGCTTTCCGAGCAGTCCAGCAGTTCAAGAGCTTGCCGGATTTCTTGATGTTTCCAATGTTCCTGGCATTAATGCACCAGGACCATTCTGCCTCTACATCACCAGAAGATTTGTTCTCATCCGGCAGGGAGATCATTCATGCTATGAATGCTTTTACCACTTTCGCAAATGACGCACGGGAACAAAGTCGATCAGCTTCTGATGCTCTCAAGTATGCTTGTCAAAACTGGGCCATCCATCTCTCGCGAGCTCCGAATCACAAGCTTGATCATGTATTCCAGGCTTTCTGGACACGTCATCTCCTCTCCTGGCTTGAAATGCAGTGGTGTTTGAAGGGTCTGCAGTCTTGCCTCAACGTTTTATCTCAAGGGCAGAAGCTTACAAGGGTGTGTGTATTTCCCACTATTCTCGCCATTCCCTCGCCAGACGTTCGAAAACTGATACTGCATTGTGTCAGGTTGATATCATTAATTCTTAGCTCCATGCTTACTACACGCTGGTTCTCTTTCTTTTTTCCTTACCTGAAACAGATAATTCACACGATATGGACCTGGCTAGTGATATTCGAATCTCGATATAACTCCGATGTGCACCCCTGAAACTGCTTGCATCTCAATTGCCTTGCGTAGCTAGGTTTCTCGACATTTGGCTCTGTCCTTCCCCTCAGGTGACTAGACCGAAACATTCCTGTCTTCCTTTTTGTTCTCCTCGGTTCCGCACCCTGCATATGCGATCGGTCTTAGTTTGAGTGTCTCAACGTGTTTCTCGACGTCAAATCTACGTCAGAACAATGGAACTCCAAACAACTTATATAAGTGCCACAACGAAACTTGTTGTAAATACGAATTCTCCCGCACTGCGGTGCCCAACAAGTGTTACGAACATTTCCTATGCTACACACTGCTGCTAGTCGACACATGCACACGTTCCTGAAGAGCAACCGAAGTTATCCCTATTGCTGCGTCGGAGTCGGTCACAAGCTTAGCGTGATATTGTCGAACGCCAAGGATCAGGCGCGGGCCCAGCACAAACGACTGCACGACCACAAAAATCTGAGAAGAGCCAAAATAGATCTGGGTTCCCAGAGAGAAATTGTCCTATCAAACGATGAATTGTGGTGGCGTGGAACAGTTAGTGATAGATCAACATACTGCTGAGATCGTTGGAGACAAATCAACGAGGTTGAAGCAAGAGATAGCAACGAAACTACACAGCATGGGCAGAATTTCAGTGAGAAATTTTAGAATTCCATTCATGTTATGAGCTCACCTTGCGAAGTAAACCACATGAGATTTCATCAGCACCTTGAAAGAGTCCCCGATGATCCCTCCCGCTGAGTGTCGCCGCAGTTCGCGTAAGTGTTTTACAACAATCCAGATTGCGAGTCCCAGTGCGATGACCTCCCATACAGTCGTGATTATCCAAGCCACAGAAACCAGAAGTAAGCCATCTCCCTCCGGGCCAGCAGTGCACTGATAGTTGCCGGAGAGAATGAGCTCCTCTGTTATTCGTCAACGAGCTTGATGCACGCAAGTCTTCATCCATAATTGAAGCTTACCAGCTGAAATATGCCTCATTGTCGTTGCAACGATCACTACATCGAAAATGTTGACAGCCAGGAAGATGACGATGAGAAATATCAGCACATTTCTGGATCGCTGATACATGGCATATAACCGAGCGATCATGATGGCTTGCATGATGTGTCAGTCAAGCTAAGGTATTGCAGTTGTATAGCTCACCGCCTAGTATTGCAGTGACGACGACATTCATCCAATTCAATACGAGGTACATAATAAGGCCTGATCAAATCCAGTTGGTGATCAGCCTCGGAGGATCATGCGCTGCAAAGAAACTCACATCTGCGGCAGTCATTATTGAAGCAACAAGTCAGTCGAATAATCTAACTCACCCCTAGTACATGAGAATCCAGTTAATTAAACAGGAATGTGAGGCATCTGTGCAGAATACTCACTGCATCTGTCACCGAGATTGTCGGAACACTGACTGCATGCCGTCAGTCAGAAGAAACAAACGCGGTGTATGTGAGAAGACATACACAGTATGTTGATCCTGGTTGTGAACAGATGACTAATTAGCACAACACCGATTGCCTCTTATCGTCGAAACATACACAGCATATGATATTCCAAGATAGCGCGCCTAGGATATTTTCAGCATCAGTATAGCTTGCCAACCACAATTATGACACGAGGTGAATACACTCAGATACAGAACGGTCATAAGGGACCAGCGTTGCTTCTGTTGTGAATTAATTTTGTTCTTCTGACGTGGGACTCTGCTCACCCAGATCAGTTCGAACTATGAAATGATTCTTAGCGAGATGGCTACTGCAGTAATGGGATCAACGTACCTCTTGTCCAAATGCAAGTGCTGAAAATACTATGAGGATATCGGCAGTTCTTGAATATGATCATGCTCACCCCAATCATATATCATTCCAACAGAGGCGGCAACTGCAAAATGTCAGCCAAGGTTAGATCGAGGCACCACCGTCATCATCCGACTGCACAAACCTACGAAATAGCTGTAAAAACGATACGAATTGATGAACGGCCACCAGCTAGAGGCATTTGAAACCAGGGTCATGTTGTTAGAGGATGGGTGCGAGAGGGGATCTTGGTGGACGTATCGCGATGAGATTTGTGCTAGATATACCACCATCAGGCGGCTGCTCCTGCCTTGATTGACCAAGGGAAGTATTTTGAGAGCATGTAGAGATGGGAAGTCAATCCAGTGCCCCCGATTGAATCAACGTAGATGTTGGACTTGAAACTGCAAAGTATTTGGTTAAGTTACACGCACAGGATAAGTATATGAATACCGGAAAATATCAAAGAACTGTTCATCATCTTAGTGGCTTTTTATATTTTGCAGACAACTCCCTTGACACACATGTGTCAGTCTAGGAGTTCCACGATATCACTGATCGGTAAAGTCAAGTAGCAACGCAAGCCTAGATACGATGTGACATCGAATAAGCCCGTCTCAATGATTCTCGATGAGCATTGCATGCTGCCCGCATCACTGGCTAGGGCCCGAGGAGCGTAACAGCTCCTCCCAGGTCAGTCAACATGCCAGCCTGAGAATGTCGGACATAACATACAGGCAATTTGATATGAAGAAAACAGAGAACTCACCTGCCCCGCCTGGGTTGCTAACACCTTTCTTGGACACACCTCTCAACGCCTAATCCCCTCTCCCTGAACATCGTCGTCCTCAGTATCATACCGTTGCCTCATGCACATCTTCTCGCACCGTCTCGGTCATCAGGCTATCTTATGGTAATGATGCCAACAAGCATTGGATCTTTATAAAAAACAAAGAATGCCAAAAAGTGGTAGGCGTAGAATCCGATGCAAACCCCGCCACAATACTAACACAGCCGATGGAAAGGTGGTGCCCGCGGCCAAAATCCGCGGTTGAAATCTTGTGAGTAAACGAGACCATCTTTAGAATCAGATCTAAACCGAAATGAGAAGGAAAAGAAGACTCGGACGCACCCTCATGACCACAGGAAGCCCGACTGTGTTCTTTGATTGTACCGGCTCGTTCCATGAAATATTTATGGCGACATTGTTGATGAGCACCAGCAGCGTCCCATCCAAGGTCTGTCAGGGAGACGCACGCCATCAGAAAGTATTGGAGATGAACAAGTAGATTTCACAAACAGGTGACTCGCGCGCACCATACAGGCTGCTAACGCACACCCCTCGACACTCAATCCAATGTGTCACCTTCCTCATCCTCCCTCCCAAGTCCACGGTTTAGGGATCAGTCGCATCGTGCACCTGCTCGCTCTCCTCGGCCTCGGCCATCAAGCTATAATATCATAAGGAAGCGAAAAATATGGTATATAAGGGTAGTGCGGCTCTGATGCAAACCAATACAAAACGTACCATACCAAATTCATCATGCAGTTGATACACTGGTGTCTGGTATAGCTTGCTGTGTTGTGCTTGGATTGTGCTTGCTTGTACAAGAGTTAATCAGTTCATCAGTATATCGTTGTGTTTGGAATAGTACCTCACACGAGCCAGCTACAAGAATTCCCTGGAACAGCCAAGTTACGATCCCTCTTCTTCCATACTACAAATAGAGCGGTCCATCCTAGGTTTGTTCCGCGTGCTTTCCATTCTCCAGGAGTGATGTTAGGAATGCAGAAGCTCTGTGTGTAATGAGTTAGTGACACACTGTGGCCGGGTAGATGGCGGAGATGCATGCTCGACGAGTGTACCAGGATGACCGTTTTGGTATGGTGGGGTTGGCTGGCTGAACCAGTTCGGTGCGAGATTGGTTGGTGTCAGTGAGCAGGATTACTAGTTGGTCATGATGTTCACAGTACTTCTTAGACTCTATGAATGATCGAGCATGATGCATGAGCGCTGAGCAGCAGTGTGAAACATGTGATGATGGCCCGAATGTGATCTGCGGCTGGCCTCTGCTGGCTTGGCCAGTGCCAGTGGTATAGAGCTGGAGGAAGAGAGAGCGAAATTCGAAAATGAGTGATCCTTTACCAATGTTCTACACTGAATAGTCTTCCGTACTCCCTAGCCCTTCTAGAGGTACCTATGGGCAGGGTGCGCGCATAAGACCCTACTAGAAGCTGAAATCATGATGCATTGGTTTGGATGACAGTATTATGCGAAATTGAGATTGCGCATGCTGAGCTCGGTCACAAATTTACATCCTATTTTGATCCTACTATAGGCAAAACTTTGTATGTCGGAAATTTCCTAAATCGATTGTAATCAGGAACCGTTTAGATCACGCTACAATTACGTTTCAATGACGTTTACAACCTTGCTGTAAGATTGATGGCGGGGTTTCAAGCGGTTGCAATGTGTATGCAATGTGATTGATATATTGATTTGTGTCTGATTTTCCCCTTCGCAGCGTTTTTGAGTGTGTTCTCCCCATTCTTTCCATCCATATCGATCCTAGTACATAACTTGTACATTCCTGTTGACAAAATGGGCCCTGAGAGGACCAAATATTGCGACTTGTGTCAACAAGACATCAAACCTCGTGGTTATACTACTCACCGCAAGGCTTGCGAGAAGAGAGCCGAAAAACAACGGCAAAATCAAGATTTTGTCGATTCTATTCGAGGGCGCACAGGTACACACAGTTTCTCGTTGTTTACAATGTCTAATTTCGCTAGTGGGTCCCTCAAATCCACAACAGATAACTGTAACGGGTCCAGGAGACCGTACTGATACAGCGTCTCGACCGGGAGGTAGGCACCCTTTAGTCTACTGTTAATTGATACATTCAGGTTGAAACAGGGCAACGCAATATCTCACCAGGCGCTTGGAATGATTTAAATGATGTGGAGTACCAAGGTGAGCTCAGATCTTTTTTTGTTATGTTTGTTATATTATCATTGACTTTACTAGAACCTCCCTCGTTTCTCGACGCTGATGTCCCTGAACGCGTGGATCCCATGTTCCAGGTCGACGACATCAAGTGTGAATATCATCCCAGTAGCGGGATCGCACCAGAAGTACACGCCTTCAACGAATTCAAACACCATCCAACGCCATTAGCATCTTCTGTGCCACCAAGTAAATGTCCTTGGGCTCCATTCAAGTCGCGATTGGAATTTGAGATTGCTGATGTAGGAGACGCCCAGGCTGCAGCCCCGTACGGCACCATTTCCCCCTTACCGGACGAAGTCATGCCTACCTTCCACAGGCCGTTGCGGACCATCACACGAGGTTGCGGAATCCACGCATCACATCGCATCGCAACGTACCGTCCGTCCATATCCTGTCCGTATCTGTCAGTTCCCACTGGTGCGTTCTTATCTCTTATTACTGGATCCTGATCATTCGCAGAACTATGTGCATACCGTTCCCATGCATGAGGTCGCATAGCGCTACTTACATATTATCCCCTCCGACTTCGCGTACATATGCGCTCGCTTATACAGTTCCGGTTTCTTACGGACTATGATATATACTACGTTGCGGACTCGTATCCAGTACTTTTCCTACATTCGCTCTCTGGTTGTGTGTTGCGGAGTCACTAGCTTAGTCTTACCTTGTCTTTCCTTGCTTGAGCAATCATCTGTTTGCCTTCTCATCTCGCGCGAACGCTCGCATCATCATCGACAGTTGGCTATTGCTAGATCCAGTTGAGTTCACTCGCAAGACAGTCCCGTCGCGTCCTGCATATACCTGGTACCTTACCTGCTTTACCTGTTTTCCTGTCCTGATACCTGGTACCTTCCCCGTCTCGCATACCTGGTACTCCCTAGACTTCGCATCCACATACTCCGCATCCCTGCGCATCCTCGCACCTCTACGCATTCTCCCACAAGCAGCTGTTCCGTCTCCAGCGCATCACTTCCCTACTCACTGTTCCCCTCGCTCATACTTGAGGAACTGCTCTCAGAGCTATCCCCTTGGGTCGACTACTATTCTCACACCCAGCAGGATTGGTACGCTATCACTATAGCGGACTTCTACGATTTCTCCCACACCGAACTTGCTCTGGAGGCCTGCCTAAACAATGATCAAACTGACCGTCTCATCAAGTTCTGTATCAGGTGCGCTTCCTGGCAGGAAAAATTTACGTTCCAAAACCACAAAGACATCTGCGAAAGGTGGGATGCTGTCTCCCATCGCACTACTGGGGTGATCTTCTTTTGTTCTTTCTGATATTCGATGTCTGACAATTTGCACCACCGAGATCTCTGGGAGTGGGCAGCCGATCTCCTCCGCGATCCTCGGCTGTTCCCCCATATGGTTTTTGATGCACAGCGCCTCTCAAAATTTGATGGCAAGACCTTCGTACGTTTTATAGATGAGCCTTTCACAGCTGACACCTTTTGGAATGTTCAAGTAGGTACTTAATATTATCATTCTGTCAATTTTGGTCGCCCTTATTTCGCCTTGTAGTCACAGCTACCACCGGGCGGCAAGCCCTTAGCATTTGTTTTGTATGCTGACAAGACTAGGTTGTCGTCATTTGGTACCGCAAGAGGGTATCCCGTCGTTGCACGCTTAGTGAATCTGCCCGCAGACATCCATAATGGACAGGGTGTTGGTAGCGGGTATGTAGTTGGATGGCTACTGATTGTAATATGGCAGCAATATTGATATATTTGTGGTTGGGACTGATGCTCTGACACAGGTAAAGGAAGACAGGGACCACGCCGGCAAACCAAACTGGGTCAACTTCAAGAATGCTGTTTGGCATGAATCCCTCTCAAAGATCCTATCTTCGCTCGCATCGAAATCGCACACTGGACAGTGGTTTGAGTGCCTTGATAACATTCAGCGGTGGTTCTTTCCTATCATCCTAATTTTATCTGCAGACTACGAGGAACAGTGAGTAATATCACGCTTCAATGTCTATCTGAATTGCTAATGAATCATATCGTTAACTATGTAAGATGTGTTATGTCGCTAATCCGAGGCATCAAATGCCTTTGGCCGTGTCCGGTCTGTCTTGTTCCCCACGACCAGCTTTTGAACACGTTGAAGTGTTATCCTTGTTGGACGTCTGCCCAATTGCAGGAAGTGTTGAAGGCTGCACGGGACGAGGCGACTGCGGAGGAGAAGGAGGAGAAACTCAAAGAGTATGGCCTTCGTGATATCGCGGTAATATTTTCTCTATCGTAAGTTCATTCTAATTAAACAAAGCTACAGAATGCCTTTTCGACCATGATGTGTACTGATGTACACAATGCGTTGTTGTGGGATCAACTCCACTTCAATGGCGGTCTATATCGTGACCATCTCTGGGCTGAACTACAGAAATTCATTGTCAGTTTGGGACGAGCAAAAGTAGCACAAATAGACAAAAAGTAAGTTTGCGACTCGAGCACTCTAAAATTATATCTTGAACTGATTCATTAAACTAGCTATGAAGCCTTCCCTCGCTGGCGGAACTTGAGGCATCTAGCTCAGGTCATGAACATTTCTTTCGCTGATGGTGGTGTGTACAAGGATATCTCCAAGGTTTGTTTTTGATTCAAATTATTACTTAAATGCCACTGACACTCTTTTTCAGATGGTGGTCCATGCTGCGCATGCGATTTTGACGGAGGACGACTGCCCACGTGGCTACCTCCTACTTCGTTGCACTCGCCTCTTCCTCGAAGTTGACGCGTATGCGGCACTTGAAGTTCACACAACATCAGGAAAATGTGTTTTTGCCATAACAGGTATTTGTTCCTACAAGTAGCTACTGAGACCTGCTAAGAGCTACTGAGACCAGCCAAGAGCTGCTAAATGCTATTACCAGATGTCATGAATTTTTTTCACTTGAAGTGTATATACTATACTACTATCAATTACTAATGAAAGTTGTAGTCCTTGTCAAGGGGAGTCTATCCATAGTCTCATGACGTCCATAGAGTAAGATCCTAGGGAGTTATTAGCAAAATACTAGAAAGTGATGTGTTCAAGAAAGTTCAGGCACACCAAATATTAGTTGGTTGAAAAATTTCCCACGATCTGCCCTAGTCATTCCTTATCATTCGAAATCCTAGTCGCTATTAAGCAATCATAGTTTAATAAGCAAAACATGGTCACATGACTTGTGTGCCTGAACTTTCTTGAACACATCACTTTCTAGTATTTTGCTAATAACTCACTAGGATCTTACCCTATGGACGACATGAGACTATGGATGGACTTCCCTTGACAATGTCTATAACTTTCATTTTGGTTGAAAACTTTCCCACAGTTTACCCTAGTTGTTCCTTATTCTTGGCTTAATCAAAAGGACTTAGACAAATTTTTGCAATTGTGATGATATAAGCACAAACACAAACAAACATGAATAATGTCTGACGTCTCTTCTCTTTCTTACCTTTTGGTTTCATTTTGCTCTCTTCACTGATAACTGTAGGCACTGTGGGAAACAGTGAGCGGGGGGCGCTAAAGTAACTGGGTTACTTTCCCGCCCATCAACAGTGAGCAAGCATAGGTCTTTTTTGTGAGTTTTTCTAATGTTTTTTCTTCTTTCTTGCTCTCATTCACGCTCTTCCCTTGGCAATTTCTGATCTTTTTTGTCATTTGGTGAGTCCACTCTTCTTTCCTTTGTTTTTCTCTGACACTCAGGCTCTGCTCCTGCTCCTGCCCCTCCTCTTTTTCGCTCTCCTCTCTCTCTCCAGCTCTCTGCACCTGCACCTGTTTTCACTCTTCCTTCTGCTCTTGCTCCTGCTCTCACTCCTACACCTGCTCCTGTTGTGGCTTTTGGTATGTTTTTTATCTCTCTCCGGTTCTCTCTTTCATGGTGTCCTCGCGCAGTTGTGAAGCAGAAGTACTCATGGTGTTACACCAATGTCACCACTTGTAGCAGCTTCTATAGGTGTGTGACTGTAACGAGGTGTTGCATTACAGTCGAAGCTGTCACGCACATTTTCCAGTTTGGGGAAAGGGAAAAAAATGTGCGACATGAAGGTTAAAGAGCCTGGAAATAGATTAGTCCCTAGCCCATTGGCGAAGTAATGGGACGTACATATGCCGCGCGCCACACATAACAAGCGTCAACGATCTTGCAATGCGTATACCAAGAGGTGCGATCCATTGGTTCCGTGAACATTGAGCAACAAAGAGGAGGTAAAAATGTTGTTTGCCAGACAGTGTGATGCGGGTAGGTCTGCAGCAGGCAAACCACCGTTGACACGTCCATCATATTTCCAGCAGGAACAGTTTTGGAGATGGAAACAGTGCAGGAAGGGACATTGGTACCACTTCTAATTTCAGTAGTTGCGGCGGGCGCTGGTATAATACATGTGTTGGAAGTCAGTACAAACGACGATAACGGTTATCGTAACACGTGACTGTTTACTTACATAATCACGTACGGTTTTCTTTGTTCATTGTCATCTATGCACCTCAGTTGCTTGTATAGCCAACTGAGGTGAGACACTTTCGTTTACGGTCTACTTACCTAGCTAATACTTTCATTCAGTGTATATTCAATAGGTACATATACTAATTCAGTTGCTTGTATAGCCAACTGAGTGTATATTCAATAACATGTGGTTGCATGACCCCAGAGCAAATAGGGCAAGACGGCAAGGCCTCGAGAGCCTGAGTGATTCTGTTGCGTTCCGCTTGCAGGAACATTCTCACCCAGGTCTGGCTAGATACTGATGTCGCCTCTGGATTCCCGGTGAGAGCCCCTGCAACAAGTCTCACCCAAGCGTTGTGGTCGCACACAGCAGGGAGCGCGTGGCTCGATTGCTGGATGCATGGGGGCGTGATTGTGTGAGGGCAAGCGTTGACGCACTGCATGATATATTGGGAGTCATAGGTGTTCTCCGCAGTGAGGACATGTATGATGTTGGAAGCTGATGCACTGCACATTCCACGACGCGGAAATGCCTTGGAGTCCAGGGTGGTGAGGGAGTCCCTGAACTGATCTCGAAGGGCATCAAATGCGGCTGCTGATTGCATCAGCTCGTTGGATGAGGTCAGCATGTCGTAGGAAGCGGCCAGTCCGCTTGCAATGGCATTGGAGGAGCGCCATTGTTGCCTCCATGCATCTCCCGCGGATCGGTATATGTACCACAGAACCATGAAGGTGCTGTCGTACGCGCAAGACCAGTCTGTGGGAGACCATCTGCACCCAGCCGAGCCTCCATCAAGGCCAATCTGCCCAGCCCCCGCGCTGCGCACTGGACGTGGGCCTGCCTGGTTTTTGACAACCTTCAGAGGAGGCAGTGAGGCGCCTCCCGGTGCCACAGGTGCACGACGCTTGTGTTTAGCCTGAATGGGCGCATCAACGTCGAAGGTGGCCCTCAAACGTCCTCCCCGAAATTCATGTTCAGATTCGGGGTCTGGGACACTTACCAGTTCGCTGTCCAAAAGGCTGTGACACACGTGAGTGTTGTGCTCCAGCGCCTCGAAATGTCTCACCTCTAACAGCAAATCATAAGGCAGCAGCTTGTTTAACTGCTCAAGTGTGACGGGTTTAGTGATACACAAACCATCCTGAGTTCGCGCCTGTGAAGCTGCAACGTATGCCGCGAATCCTCCCTCATGGAGGTTGACAATAACCATTGGCAGAGTTTTGCCTTGGGCAGAGTGTCCCGTTACAGTGAATGCAGGCTGGATGGGCAACTGTTCGCGTGTGACACACAACCTGAACGATCTGTCGAAGGACCCGGGTGCGAGGGTTGTAAATGTCCATGAAATGGGGGTTATGGGGAAAGTACCCTCTGGCAAACCGGGGATTCGGACACGACTCCCCGCAAAGTCTACAAGAGCACAGGTACAGTAAGTGAAACCTTGCACGCATTGTGCGGTATAAATCTTACACACCACGCCCTGAGAACCATTAGCTACGCCAAGATCTGTCGACAGATTTCTTGACCGAAGGATTACCAGCATGCCAACATACAGCGAAACAAATGGAGGAAGGGCACCAGCAGAGCTGAACGCAGCGACATCGAGGCTGAGGAGGTGTTGTCATATTTCTCGTGTTAAAGTACCCGACGTTTGTTTGACTTTGTCGTTCGCTGCACAGACAACAAGGTCTTGGGGACGTGCACCACAGTTCGCTGCAGCCTTGCACATGTTCAAATGCTCCCGTGAAGCATTCGTGCTCACGATCGCTGCTGCCAGTTCGTTGTCGTTTGTGCCGAGGTCGATGCCCTTGGGGTTGCTCGAAGAACGAATGACTCTGGAGTTTTTTTTTTTTTTTTTTTTAAATCATATTATTGTCCGTTTGGGGTATAATACCCTATGTAGGACATTTCTATCTAGGAAGGGGGACACCCGTGTCCCCCACCGCGTCTCCTACTCTGCAAATGCCCCGACGAAGGTTTGACCTTCGCCGGTCTGCCGTTCCTGCCGGCCGTTTTAGATGCACGAGTCTGCTACTCTGCGGGCCGTGATTGGTACATTTCGATGGTGGTATGACGCTGACGAGTGATGAGGTTATACATGTACTCGGAATACCGTTTAAGGCTTCTAGTACGAGGGAGTGAATGGATGGCGGTTGGAAAGTGAAAGATATATTGGATTAGAGTCGAGCTGGTGGATTGTCGTTGCATCGTGTTTTGGTTCTTCTCTCCTCTCTGAATCGGATTTTCTATGCCTCCTTCTATTATCTTTGGGTCTCCTGCCGGCTAATCTCCAGTTGGGCCGGGGGATGGCGCCGTTTTCCCTGCGTGTACGAGTGGAGTGGGTGATGGGCTTGTTGGTGCCGGTGTTGCTGAATATATTACTTTTGTTTGGGTCTCTGCTAGTGTGGCGGTCATTTGTTTGATACTTTAGCTTGGAATGAGAGGGACATCACCGAATGTGGGTTTCAATCTGCCGGTGCTATTTACAAATCTGATGAGCGGGGCTGTAGCTTTGGCATTGGATAGCAGGTACGTGATGGATGCTGCTCGTCTTTTGAGGACGGACGTTAAAATGTGTCGTTCTCTTGCATATTGCGGGCATGAGAGAAGAAAATGCGGTATCGTCTCGGGTGAGTTAATACAGTGGGGGCAGTTGGGGCTTGGACTCCTTCCGATTCGGTGTAGATGTTGATTTAGTGCTACGTGGCGGGTGCGTAGACCTATAAACATGCTGATGTGGCGCTTCGGCAGGTTTTTGACGAGGGATATGAATGATTTGCTTGCTGCTGCGAGTTGCGGGTCTATGTTGATGGTACGAGCGTGGCGCGGCGATTTCGACCAAATCCTATCCCATCTGTCTGTTGACTCCTTCCGTTGCGCTTGCTTCAGTGCGGAGATGCTGCTTGGTAGTACACCCTTCTTCAGGTATGGAGGTAAGCGTCTTGTCGCGCTGTTTGCTTCTCTTCCCTCCGCTGCGTCCTTCGCTTCTTGATCCGCTTTCTCATTGCCCTCTACGCCATCGTGTCCTGAGATCCAGTGAACTCTGACTTGAAAGTTTCGGTCTTTGCTGTTTTTCTTCAGCATTTTGATTAATCTGCGGAAATGGTCGATTATATAGTGGCCTGATTTAGTAGAGAATAAGTCACCGGATCTCAGTGTTGCTTGATTATCGACATAGATCGTGATTGGGTACGTGAGATCGTCTTCTAACGAAAGAAGTTGGGCTGCCAACGTTAATCCTACCGCTTCTGCTTCGTAGACAGTGTGATCAGTATCTGATCCTAAGTGATAACGAAGGATACTGGGCCGGGGCTGCCCTCTTCTATACAATACTGCTGCTGCCCCGATGTTACCGTTTAAACCGGAGCCGTCACTATATACCTTGATTTCGTCTGCGCTGTTATTGTGGTCTTCGATTGCTTGTTCCCTGGTTTTGGCGATGTTGATGGAGTACGGATTCCTGTCGTTTGGTGAGCGTCGATTGTGCGTGATGGTTTCTATTGACCCTATATCGATCTGTGAGGCGTGGAATAGCTGGTGTAAGGACGAGCGGTGGCTCTTGACGTATTTCTTCGCCGCTTTTCTGACTGGGCCGTGCAGTGGGTGAGATTTCGGGTGTGCTGCTAACCGGATCGCTGCCTGATAGCAGAGGTTTTGCATCCTGTGTTCTAGCGGTAGAAGCTTAGCGTGAACTTCCAAGGTGTCGGTTGCCGTGGAGCGCATCGCCCCTGTTATACTCAGGGCCGCTATTCTCTGTACTCTACCTATTCTTCGAGCGACCCCGATTGATCCCGAATGTTGAGTGTCGCCGTCGCCAACGAATATTGGGCGAAACCAGATGTCTACTGCGTACAACATCTTTGGCATACATAGCTACTGAAAGGTAAATCTGTCTCATTAGCGATAGTGGGATTCCCATTGATGATGATGAAAGACGGCGTAGCTGGTGAATATACGCTGTTCCCTTCGCGATAGCGTAGGCTATGTGAGCTTTCCACCTCAACGCTTGGTCTAGAATGACCCAGAGGAACTTGTGAGTTGCGGTCGGCGTGATTGTAGTGTTCTGCGTGATTAGTGGTGGTCGAGTCTTCATTTGATTCATAGAAAAGTCGACCAATGCGAATTTTGTTGTTTCGAAGTTAGAGTTGTGATCGGCCGCCCATTCGTACCCTCCTCCTGGTCTCTCTAGCATGTCTTTCAAAATATCGTGAGTTTCATGAAAGTCTACGCCGATCACTATGAACGCAGTGTCATCGACGAACACCAGAGTGCGTTCTTTCTTTTCGTGGCCTAAGGAAATGTCAACTAAGTCAGAATCATATATAACATATAAAATCATTGATAACGGGTTGCCTTGTCTTATTCCATTCGTTATTGGTATCCAGTCTGATAAGTGGCCGTCAAATTTGAGTTGCGTGTGTCGATCGGATAATAAGTGTTCGGTGAAATCTACCATCGATTTTGGTAGTCTGCGAGTGCGCATGTTATGGAGTAAATGGTTAGTGACAGCATTAGGGAATGCTCCTTCTATGTCCAAAAATAACACTGATACCACCTTCTTCGTCCTCCACGCGTCTTTGATTGTGGCTTCCAGCAAATGTAGGGAGTCCGTCGTTGAGCAGCCAGGTCGCCCCCCAAAATGGGTGCTGGGCAAGAGTGCGTGGTGTTCCAGTAGGTATGTCATCTGATCTGCTACTACGGCCGTTAACAACTTGCATGTGGTATTCAGCAGCGCTATCGGTCTGTATGCCTTGGTGACCGTATAATCGGGTTTTCCTGGTTTGCGCAATACTATAGTAGTAAAGTCCTTCCAAGGACTGTAATATGTTTTGAGGGTGAATACCGCTCTGAATAAATGAGCTAGAAACGGGCATAATAGATTAGCGCAACGTATGAAAACGATGTTGGAGATCCCGTCTGGGCCTGGGGCCTTGTACGGGCTTAACTTTGATATGCTGCGTTTTAGCTGTTCGATGGTGATTGGGGCTGGGGTTGGTACAGCGTCGGGGTAGTCGAAGTCTTGTGGTACTGATGAGATTGCCGGCGGGGAGGGAAGAAGGCCTGCGCTAATGCTGCACTTTTTTCCTCGTTGGTGTTCGCGCTGCCGCCTCCTGATCGTTTGAGTGTAGGGATTCGCAACAGTCCACCATCTCCTGCTGGGGCTGTAAGGTAACTATTAGCAGTCCAGATATCGTTACCTTCCAGGTTTTCGAGCCAATCCGTCCAATGGTCCTTTTTCGTCTTCTTAACGGCCTCGCTGTATTGGTTCCGTTTGATCCGGTGTTCCTCGTGGCTGTAATGGTTAGCAGAGTCCCTGTTACGGTACGATAAGTGGCTGAGTTTCGCCATCTCCCGTCTCAGTATGGTCAGATCTCGTGTCCACCACCTTTTAGAGTGGGGATTTGGCTTCGAGAGGGGGACGGTGAGTTCTGTGACTTGCTGGATGGCAGTTGTGAGGTTGCGGGCCGCTGCCTGGAAGTCCGCTTCGGATGTGATTGGTTGTGCGCTGGGGATCTTGTTCAGTTCGGCTTCTAGTCTCTCGTTAAAGGTATCCCAGTCCGTTTCTCGGTAGTTATGCTTGGTGTCTGCGGTCGCGCGGGGGATCTCGAGTTCTAGGGTGCTGAGAATAGGTACGTGATCCGTTGCTGGTCCTCGTAAAGCTGGGTTTGTGGTGCAGCTAACAAATGAAGCTCCTGTATGATCAGTACAGAACACGTTGTCTGGACGTGTCCAATTCTTGGAGCTTGAAGACTGAAGGGTCGGCAAACCTTTGGGTAGCGCCATGATCATTCCATAGTCTGCAATGAGGTCCAGTAAGGGTTGCGCTGCATTAAGGTACCGATTGGTGAATAATTGAGTGTTCCGATCTTCATCCCACAGTGGATGGTGTCTATTGAAGTCGCCGAGCCATATCATGTGATCCTCCGCCGATGGCCGTATTTGCGTGATCTCCCGTTCAAGGTATGTCGCCATCGTTTCTTGGGTCTTCGTTCTGATGCAGTTGTTGTATATGTTGAAGATGGTGCAGCGCCCAAATTGACCTTTGAATTGGATTACGGTGACGTCTGGTGAGGGAAAGGGCAATTGTTGCCACGAGTTAGTGTCGATGTTCTTTGATATTAGTGTGACGGCGCGTGAAGTTAAGTCTGGTGAAATGAATTGGGTTGTTGGGTATATCGCGTGATAATATGGGGATGATATCGTGTTCTTCATGTTGTTGATATGAGGTTCTTGTAGGGCTACGACGTCCCAATTCTGGGCTATGGGGCTATTGAGGAGAGAATGTTGAGTGATAAGGGAGGTGTTCATATTTTGTTGCCATATTCGTAGTCTGGTTGTTGAGTCATGTTGTTGTTCAAACATTGGCATGGGTAGGGGTCTGTGGGTTGGGTGCGTTTGAGGGGGGTGATGTGCTTGATGAGATTGGGGTAGTCGGGGGTTGGTGATGTGGTGTCGTCGGGTTTGATTTGGTTTGTGATGTTGAGCTGTTGACTATTTGCGGGAGGTTGTTCTCTGGGCCCCTTCGTGGTGAGATTGGGATTGAATTTGATCCTGTTGGAGTGAAACCGCGTGTGGAGCGGTGTCCGAAGTGGGGGGGTGCACCGCGCATAGGTGGACCTTGGGGGCGTCTTGTTTCGAAAGGAAGATTGGTCTGTCGATAGGTTGTTATATGGTCAGTGGGGGCTTGTTCTGCTGGCTTTCGATACGGCGCTGGTTTTGGGGGTAGCATGACCTGAGTCCATACATCGTTAGTAGGGAAAAAAGGCATTGAGTTTTCTGGAATATTAGCGTCTAATCCTGCGCATCTGTTTTCGAACTCGGGGCAATTTCTATCCCAGCTTGCGTGGTTCGGTGAGTTGCAACTAACACAGTGGAAGGTGCGGTATGCATTGCATTCGTTTGTTCTGTGATTCTTGCCGCACGTCCCACAAACGTCTTTAGGTGCATTGCAGTCTCTTGCCATATGGCCCCATAATTGGCATTTAACGCAGCGTATTGGTTCGCGTTTGTCCTTGCGTGGATGGAATTTCTCTTGCCCGATGTAGATGCCGTCTCGTAGGGTCAAGTTTGCTGCTGATGGATCTGCGAAGTGAAGTGTTGCGTGGGCTACACTTTGCCCTGGTGCTCTTCGTACCCTGGGTTTGATCCATCCTGCTGCTTCGATGACGCCTGTTTGCATTCCGTTTTCTATCTCTATCTCTCTTCTCCAGTCGGCGTCTTCGATGCCTAGATTGACCGGGAGGAATGGGACGATGATGGTGTATCTGCGTTCTTGATTAGGGCTGGGGATTCGAATGCGTTGGTGATCTTCAATCTGTTTTCCGGAACTCGTATCCATTTTGCTGCTTCCACTGTCGTTAATTCGATAATCAGACCTCCACTGCGTAGACGTGTGGTGGCTTTGATCTGTATATCTGGTGAATCAGTGGTCTGTATTGTTGCGAATACTTGTTTCATCTTCTTGGCGATGTCTGCTGGGTTGTCATTGAGTTCGTAGAGTTTTCCACCTATTGCTGGCTCGATGAGGATCTGTCGTTCCTTAAGTGCTGCTCTTGTCAGGGCCGCTGATACTGGGGCTGAAGTCTGCGTTTTCTGTTGTTGGGTTACTGCGCTGTATGATCGCGTGTTTTCGGGTTGTTCAGAGGGAGGTTGTGTTGATTTGTCGATTATGGTCTGCGATATGGTTTTGATGCTGGTTTGGGTGGCGCTAAGGGATGGGGTCAGGGTGTCGATAGCCTCTTTTACTTCCTTGATACTGTTGAGTACGGTATCTGCTTCGTGTTCCGCTCTTGAAGCCGCTGCTGTTGCTGAGTCTTGGTTGTTTTGGTTGTTTTCTGTTAAGGTGCTTTTAAGCTTCGTGATGTCTTCTGCGTTTTTCTTCATGGTTTCGGAGGCCGTGAGCATGGCTGCTATCTGGGGCGATATGGCTGCTATGACGTGTTGAGTGAGTGTTGTGGTGAGGGTATCCGTTATTTCTTTTATCGTTGGGTTGGTCGCTGGTGAGTCGTCTGGGTCGGATTCCATGAGGCAGGAGATCGCTCTAAGTCCTTCTATTACTATACGGGGTATGCCTGGGTACTGTGTGATGTGTAGTATTGTCAGTATAAGGTTCGTTTGCGTGATTTGCTCGCCTGCATGGCGAAAAGGGGATTTTTCTAGAAACGTTTCTCCACTCTGTCTATCTTTTACGTCGAATTCTTGATTTAATATTTCTTCTTTTGTTAGCAGTAGTGATACAGTATTGCGTGCAGATGTTCTTGTTTTGGCAGTGGGGGTAGGAGCTCGGGTGTTTGAATTTCCCGTTCCTCAACCTTTCCCTGATGCCATTGGGTCTACTATTAGTGAGGTAGCTTTCGAGGCTACTTCAGAGGGTTTAACTAGGTAACTGAAGAACAGTTTAGACGTTGGTGACGTCGTATAGTGCTGGTGGGCGCAGTGTGGAAAAGTTTTTTCCGGGGTCCTAGTAAGAGTGCCACTTGGTACAGGTCCAAGAAGCGATCGACTCTGGAGTTAAAGAGGTCAATGTCCTCGTACGTAGATTGTCTCACATGCAAGCGTTGAACGGCAGCGCCAAACTCAGGGTCGGTATTCATTCGCTGTTGTTCTGACAAAGTGACAACGGTGTTGATAGATTTCCATGCCAGTCTTCCTAAGCGTTTGAGGATCTCGCGCTCCGTCTGTGTGGCATGTGAAGAAACTGGCGTAAACAAGGGAGAACCACCTACAGGCGGAAACTGGAAAAAATCGCCAGCATATACTATAGCAACACCGCCGAAGTACTCATTCGGTTTCTCTTTAGCGTAGTGCCATGCATGGTCCATCTCACAGATTAACTGCAAACTCAACATGGACGACTCGTCAATGAAAATGATCTCAACGAAACGCCACTCGTCATGCAGTTGTGTTCTGCTCTGTACACTGACAAGGACAGTGTAATCTTTGGCACTCTCTCCAGGCTGTCGATTCGATTTCCCGTTCCGATTCACCTTAATTTTGATACCCAATCCTTTGTGAATTGTCATTCCGTTGATGAGTGATGCCGCTGAACCAGTGGGTGCAAGGTATCTAATCTGGTGATCACATCTGTAGTGTGACATCACAGCTTTGACTGCATTGATGACGTACATCTTGCCTGTTCCACCAGGGCCGGTCATCACCATAGACAATGGCGGCTGATTGTTGTTTTTCAGGATGTGTTTGTTGACGAACCACTGACAGATAATCCGGAAGCAGTTCTTCTGCTTTGCATTCAGACCGAAGTGTTTCTCATAGTGGCGCATGACATCATCTGGTGTGACCATGCTTGTGAGCGTTGAGTCCGCGTTATGTGTGGAAGTGGAAGGTGGGCACTCAGACAAGTTACCAGGCACAGGGGGGTGCGCATGCGCAACCTGTTCAGAAATGGTTTCAGCTGACATAGCGCCCTGCTGATCAGGATCAAGTGCGTTTCGATGGCTCTGGGATACAGCTTTCTCCTGCAATTGAATTTGCTTCCTCCAGTCTTTGAGAAGGCGCTCAGTAACGTCGGTAGGCAGATGGGACTCAGTATCAGGAACTCTCTTGTTCAGATCCTCAACACGACCGGATGGAGCTTTCAGCCAACCTGCCGTCCGAAGGATGAATTCAGCTCACTGAACCTGCATGTCTCATGCACTGCCCTTCGCCGGTAGACCAGGGACTTCAACAGCATCGTCATCGTCTCCACCAGCGAAGCTCTGCATCAGAGACTTTGTGGCTGCTACACTCCTGGCTGCTAGCGCTGAATGCTTCCGCAATCTGTCGGCATCTCACTCATCTTCACACTTGTGCATCGCCTCCCAGTTCCTCATGATTTGTTGCGAAAACTCACTGAATGTATAGCTAGCAAAGACAGCAGTAAGTTGCTGATCCTCATCAAACAATGGAACAGACTCGCTAAAAGGTTTGAAGTGTGCTAGGGTAAAGAGGGCCCAAGCATCGTCGCTAACTCTCCTAGGAACCACCATGCCAATCACCCGAGGGACCAATACTCGTGCCCCCTCTCCACGGTCTACATTGGTATGTTCGACGAGTACGTGTGACTCACATAGATCGTGACCGTCTTTCAGCGCATGTCGTCGAAGGACCCCCAGGCGTGTGTCTGCAGTGTGTATGTTTTTCTCTCTTTTATCTTTCAATTACAAACGAACGAAACGACTAAAATCGTAGAAGTTCAAGTGTTGGAGGCCGTCCCCTCGATACCAATAATGATGAACCTGATTCATCATGATCAAGCGGCCAGCTTTGTCAGTCTGCACTGTGAGTGACGAGTGTTCCACATCATCTGCATCATCATTGTTGTCATTGCTGATCACTACATACTGCTCCTTAACCAGTGCCAACAGCAAGCCAGACAACATGGGTACTGTGTTGTGTGAAGGTATGTTGTCACTGAAGCCTCGGAGATAGTGTGCGGCCTGCTGCACATGTATTTGCTGCTGCTTCACATACTGCGACAGGCACCTGTGTAGCAGTTGTTTGGCTCCTTCAACCTCTGACTGTTGCGGACGGGAGGACATCTGCACTACGACACATGACAACAACGACAACATCTCGTGAGTCTTGAGGTCTGATTTGGTGATGTAGTCGGTAATGTAGAACATGGCCGCTTTCGCTGCTCTTCCAGACAGTATACATTTTAAATCATGATTGTGCCTACAGTACATGAGTATGTAAGGATTGAAAAAGTTGACTGTACCATCGCGACACTTCAACACAACTGACTTGCTGTCTGCATCATAGTAAGACTGCTCAACAATTTCATGCAGAAAAAGAAATCTACACTGGTCATTATTTCCATACTTGTGACATACACATTTACAGCTATGTCATTGTAGTACTTCACCGCACCGCTTGATTTCGGTGGCCATGATCGACTCCCACTCGGTGAGTGCGGTCGAAGCAGTGTCAAACAAAAGATCAGGTGGGTGAGGCGGTCGCGGTTCAAAACTGGATTCAAAGTCAATGTCGATGTCAGGCAAATGGTGATGGATCACATCCTTGAAAAAGGCAAAAAATTGTCGCTGGTATTTGGGACATTCCAATCGCTGGTGAAGCTCAGTGGGATTGAGGCCTCCCAACAGCCAGATGACGAAGTGACCGTGCAAGCTGCCACGCTCAGTGAACTCACTTGTTCCATAGAAAGCTTCTAAGTGACCTAGGATACCCCCACGCTCCGTCGACGACTGCGTGTCGAAATCCTAACCAAACAAATGAGTAAATATGCACTTAAACGAAAAATGAAAAAAAATCTGCTGCTGCCACTGGGTCGTGAGCTAAGCGAATCGCACGCTCGCGGGCAGGAACCAGGCATGGATATTGTTGTGTCAAGTCTACTGTCGTGTCACCAAACATGAGTTGAAAAGTAGGACTATGAGACGCATTCGGGTTGCAAGTAAAGAACAAGTGAGGCATACCGAAGAAACCAAAGTAACTACGAATTTCGCTGCACACGAACATCTTAGATGACTGCGACCTGGGAATTCGCGCAGCGACGGTGTTAACTTGATTGAGCAGATTGAGAGCATTCCAGTCATTGGGGCCCAGGTTCAAGTACTTGTGCTCCTTTTGCAACTGGTTGACCAAGCGAGTCAGTGTGTGTGGTGAGACAGAGGTGAGGTGCTTGGTGAGAGACTCAAAATGAGTCCGTCAAACTGTGAAATGTGTGTGAAGATGAGCAGTGCGACACTGGAATATATTGAGTACCACAAACATATATGAACGGTGGTAGTGAAAGGAACTATCTACCAGATCAAAATTGTAATTGGCTTGATTCTGAAAACTGAGGGAGGTGATACAAGAGTCGTCATCAAAGCCGCCTATGCCAAAAGGATAGAGGGTCGGGAACATACCTGGGACCAGGTCAGGATTACAATATTCATCCACAGGCTCCAAGCTTCGAGGAATCACAAGGTCGGGCTTCCCAGTTGAAGAACCGGCAGGCAGGAGGTTGCGCAGTGCAGAGGCCGTGAACACACATCCAGGCAAACAGGTGCATTCGGGATGAGATACGCCCATACTTTCAATGAGGATGTCAGGCTCATTCACCCCTGAAGGGTTAGCACACACACCAGATACAAATAACTCAGCTGGGTGCTCACTAAAGCCTGCTGTCTCTTCAGAAAATGTGGTCGGCACGTCTGACTCGTGATCGTAGATTACACGATCAGCAATGCCAGGAACTGCGCCATCCTCCAGATACAGGTCCATTACAGCATCATCTAGAACAATGTGTTCGTACAAACGGTTATGGTTGCACAGCCAGCGCAAGAACGACCATACCAACTGTTTCCAAATTCTAAACAAGGTCTTGAGGGAATGTGGAGTCAGTTTCGCAGGCCCTACAAATACAACAGTCAGCATCCCATTTATATCCGCAGGAGTGCGAGGCAGGACCTTGGCCGTGGACACTATGTTCGTTTCATGGGCACAAGTGTTGCCGTGAAAAACCAATGGTTGAGCAGGGTCACTGGACTGATAGAGGCGTGTGACATGGGCCGTGTTGTGGTAGATGGCACATACCATTTCCTTGACCCATGTGAGTTCTTGAAACTGTGGTGGTAGATGGCCTCGATAAAGCTTGTTTGCCAATGCAAAGCGGGGGACGTTCGACCGGGACAACAAATTGAAGCAAGCCTCGCAAACACTCAGAGTGCACGCGAGAGGGGTACATCCGGTAATTCCTGTTTTGTCCAACATAAGCCCATCAAGAATGCTGCATTCATAAGTGAATTCGGTCGACAATGACTGAATGACACACTTCGCTGTAATGAACACGTCATTCAACTGCAACAATTCCAAGCTCAACGGGAGATCAGTGTCAGCTTCGACTTGCAACTCATGCACACTACGAACCTGGCGTGAGCACACCGCACAGACAGCACCAGGCTGCCAGCGTGATCCAACCACATAATCGCGCAAACAATCCATGACTGAAAGCGACTGAACTGACTTGCACTATAGGCCTCTGTCAAAGACATGTGCACCGTCAAAGCGCAGTTCCAGCTTAGGACTCTGGATGATGACTATCCACCAGATGTGGTTGTATGCAGCAAGAAGGCAGCAAACACCCTTATGTACGCTATCAGCAAGACTGAAAACCTGAGATGGACTGGTAAGCATCGCTTGATCTATAATTGCTCAGGGTCTCACATGCCATCACTGGCAGACGGTCGCGAGGCCATACCTTTTATGCGCAGCTCAGGGACTTCAAGCTCTGACCAACTGCATTTTGTTGTGCACTCAGAACACTTGTTCCCCGACACATCTGAACAGACTCGTGATTTAGTGTCAGAATTCTCACTTGAAGACTTCGAAAGTATGTACATCCCTACATGATGCTGACATTGTCTAATGTGCTGTTGCAATCCAGATACTGACTTCACTTTTACGGGAGGTATGTTGGATCTTAGCAGATAAATTTGCAGTGCGGCGAAAGGTCTAACAAATTTCCAATAGACGTGCTCAAGCACCAATTCTCGCCTAAGAAAAACCAACCTAACAGTGGCAGATCGTGATCCATGCGAGGTAGTATCTGCTCCCTGCGATGTTGTTTAAACTGGCTGTTGACAACTTGAATATTTGCTTAGGTATCAATGAGTGGAAGCTTAAGGACATGCCGGACCCGCAAGGGCACTACTGCACGGCAATTAATCTCTTCAACCTCGAAGACATTCCAGTGGTGGTCCCCAACATTCAGGACACGCATGGAGTTCTCATCCACCCCTTGGAATACTCCGTGAAGATCAAGACGGCCGTGCCAGTGGCAGTCGAAATTGTGTTGCGTCTGTGAGTGTGGGACATGCACCATAATCACAAGAAATTCTGACACGCAGGCAGGTGGACCTTTGGGATTGACGACAAACACCCAACAGGTTCACGTATTTACCAGACGGCTCTCAAGTCAATGAAACTCCTGCCCACCAGCGGGGCAGCTAAGTCTCTCTTCACCAAAGCCACAGCTGCAGATCCAAAGGGGAAGTGCAAGGCCCCCGATGCGCCCCCACCGGAAGCATCTCCCTTGAAGAGAAGCACACGCAAGTAATGATTTGCGTGGGTGTTGGTTGACCCTTTTATACTGCTGGTGATATTTCTTGAGTGATGGCCGATGATAACCAGTGTAGGCTCCGACTCTGCTTGTTCGTGTACTACTATATACCAAGGCCACCTCTTTTTGTACCCTTGCTGCGATACAGATCGCGAATTCATTGGTTTGCTTGATTGTATAGAATTGCTTTTGTTCGTGTGAGTCAAAGTAGGGAGGTTCAACATTCAGTGTCGCAATTTGATAAGTATTATTATTCACAAGTTGGGAACTTTGTCAACGAGTATAGAAAGGTATGGACCAACTGATGTATCTATGCATAGGTTAACTTTGTGTACGTAGTTTTTGTGCGCATGGAAGTATAAGGAAGCGAATTCGGGCTGACCTTGCTTACTTTTTCACATTCCCTCCAACGCATTATCAGCTATAGATGATGGTCGCCCCCATGGTTCTGGGTCAGTTCGGGCGGAAGGGGACAGAATAAGGCACGGGAAAAGGAAGTCGGAATCCGGGTGTAGAGAAAGTAAGAGAGAGAGTGATTTTTGTGTTCTACAAAGCCCTCCTTTACTTACGTAAAGAGTCGGGGATACATCTTTTTCTTCACATCTATTCTTGTTATCTTGACTGCTTATCAACATGCTCTGCATGAACATTCCTAGGATATGTTTAGGCCTTCCTTTGTTGTACTCTTACAAGCAACCTTTAGCTATATCTAGCCTGGTCTGTGCACTCCTTGTACTATATAGGTAGCAATACTTATGATTGTATTCCTCACTTAAATCTACTGGGTTTTACCTGGAACACTCTGATCTACTAAGTCTTCCACTTAGTAGCCTTTGACCTAAGAACTCTAGACAAGTCCTTAACACTTGTGCTAGTCAGACTCCCTTAATCCTCTACTATCTGTAGAGTAGAACCACCCTCTCAACTAGACAAGCCGTTATTGACTCTTGAGAGTAGACTTATTACAGTCGTAATACACAATAGTGTGTGCAACAGATTTAATGGTCATTCAAATGATACTGGTGATTTTGGTGAGCAATGTGATTGATGTCACTGTGTCTGGAAGGTAGTATTTGTTTGGATGAGTGTTCAGAGTGCCTACAATGGCTTCCACTAACACAGCACATACCATGATGAAATTATTGTTATTTTCTGACAGCACTGTTCATCACATCTTCAACCTCACACTGGTGTGGACCTCCTCAACTCACCTAGTAGGTACAGGAATCAGGGGATTAGCCTGAGGATTATCTAGTGCTTCCTATTAGGGGGACTAGAATGAGGAACAAAATCACTAAGATTATGGGCCTGAGGAGGGGGGGGATAGGGTTGTGGATGAAATGTGGTGGTAGGCCTTTTGTTGTGAGGTGTTTGTGAGCAACATCTGTGCTGCTTCCAGCCTAGCTAAAATTAAGGTGAATAACGAGGTTAACATATGTCTGAATGCACATGAAGAACACTCATGTTTTGCCACTCACTATGGTAATACTCATACTGATGATGAGGGCAAAGAGCGGGTAGGTCATGCCTGTAGGTCCCGCAGGTTTCTGCTGAGGCACTCTATACCTTACACAGTAGGAGGAAGAGGTTCACTGATGGAGCAAGCGAGGAAGAGATCTACTGCAGTCATGGTGTGCTGCATGAATGAGGCCTGGTTCATCTGAGGCCAATATTGCTGACATGAATCATAGTTTATTTAAGGTGCGTTGTAGGTGTTTTGTCACACTCTGACCCTAGGTCTGCTGTTTGCTCAATTGCACGTCCCACTAAGCTATCATCTGCATTCAAACAGGAGTTCACTGGGTTTTGGATTTGTTGTTGTCAGTGATATATTAGGTTAGCACTCTTTTACTGGTGCAAGAAATTCATACCTTGCTATTTTTCACCTCTCTGAAGACCCACAGGAAATGCTCAATTAACTATTGTGCTCATATTCTGGCCATCCATGCACTTTTAAGGGACAACAAGGCTAGATGAAGCACATTCACACTAAGCATGATGTGTGGTCAATAAGTGCCAAATCAGACAAGGTACCCCACCAGAACAGGGTAATCCCTGTGGCATCAGAGATGGTGATTTTGAAAAAAGATTTTGTGAATTTTAAACTGTTTAACATAGTGAATAAACCACAACAGCAGAACATTGTCACTCACCCCCATTTATAAGGTATGCTGGCAACTATCTCAATAATCCTGATTTTGATGGTCAATTTGATTATACTCCTTATATTCAATATGACAAAGATGGACAGTGTCAATGGAAAAACTTCACGTCTAAAAACTACATCTGGTGAAAATCTGTAAGCCTGTGATATAATTTATTGTATGCTACATTAGGAAATTTTTCATAAAACTTAGCATTATTTAATAAATATGAAGTTGGATTGAGCCAAAAAAAAATTAAGAAGATTGTGGCTTGCTACAAATATGGTCTTTGGATGAATGTGACTTAGCTACTCTGATTGCTATGCTTATTAGAGCTAAAGTACTATGCAGTCAACTTACCCTGAAGTGATACTTATATTTACTAGTAGGGAGACTGTTTTAAAGCACTTTGATGCCCTAACATTTTAAAAGTTAATATCAAATGAAAAAGAAGAACTTTTGCAACTGTGATTTAGTGCTATTTCTATTAGAAAGATAAATAAAGGTACTGAGCCACCGGCAAACCTTGTCACAGTAGAAGTGCCTTCCTTCTGAACTACTTCTTGAGCAATTTTCTCAAAGTTCTTCACCTTCTAGTTATATATCTTTACTAAGAAAGAATGCCCTTATAATGCAGCCAAGCTTGATATTCAGACACCAACATTATCAACTGACTAGTGATATCTGTACCTGGGGGTGGGGAAAGCGAAACACTTTTCCAGAAGGTTAGTGATGTCCTATAGAGCTTGGTACCTAATGAACAAAATAACCCTATGCTGAGCAACAAACCCACCATAGATGGGCCTGAGTGGATCTAATGTATATCCCATTACAACTACTTATGTAATATGTGAGGTATCTTAACACTATAATTCTGTGTTAACAAACAATGCCACATCACCCTACCAGACTAAAGTCGCCAGATGCAAAAGATGATAACATGAGCATATGTATGAAGACCCTACAGAAAGAGAACACCTCAGGTTACACATTAATATAGTCATGAGCAAGTCCCTCAAATCATTTCACTCGTATGGACGCAGGTTTGAGAATGCCGAGGGGATCACTAAAGACATTGTGAGCAATCATATTAATGGCAAACAATCTGCAGGAGCATGAATCACGCTGATTGGCATGTGGCAAGGAATTTCCTTGGTCTTTGAATGGGCCATCAAAATGTTTGGTGAGCCACTATTGTATCTTTGTAATGAACCCTTCGAGTTTCCCTTGGAGATTCAGAAAGTTGCTTGTGTTCAAATGAGTTGTACAGTAGCACAAAGTTTTCTGTGGAAAAAATGTAAAATGCAACAAAGTTACTAGAACATTCCAGGGATGCACACTGGGAAAAACAGGACCTTCTCTTCAGTGAGTGTCTGTTCTAACGGCTTGAATGCATGAATGAGGCAATGAATCAAAATCTGGTTTTTCTTTGCCAATCACATCCGTGAGCTCGATATCCATGATGTGACTACTCCCCAACACATTGTTCTTCTTTATTTTTTTTCCTGGAATGATGCATCCACACCAACCCACATTATTTTAGCCCTGCACACCACATGTAGCTTTTCCCAGAAAGCCAACATCTATAGAGGCAGTGTCTGGTCTTTGAATTGGGGATGGAGGATGGACTGCTTTCCGTCATGAATCTCATCATTGAGAGACTGTCTGAGGCTTTGAACCTAAGACTTTGAAGGTATTGTTGATAGGAGCTCCAGGTTTTCGTTGGGATGTGCTCTGTGAAAGCATGATGTCCCTGTCCCTGTGAAGCTCCCAATATCAATATTGGGCAGCTTGATGTTCAAGATTTGTTGCACAGTGTACATGATCTGTGACAGCACGCACATTGAGGTCTTCAGGATCCAACAGTTTGTCTGCTCCATCAAGCCATTTTCCAACAGGAACATGGAGGGAAATAGATGGAGGAATTGGGGTGACTTCAGGGGAAGAAATGAGGGCAACTGCAGCGGGGGGTATAATGTCATCCTCATTCTTGTCTCTGGGATTATTGTTTGCCAAATTGGGTTTGTGAACTGTGAAATTTATGAATTACACCACAAATAAATTGCTTTCACATCATCATCAATTTTTTTCCCCTTCTTTCATCATCCTCACCTTATCATGTCTTCTGACACCAATATCAATGTCTTTGCTCTGCCTCCTGCTGTACCTGATGACAAGCAAACCTCTGCTATCAAACACAAGATTCAAGAGCTCTGCGACAGTATGCAAGCGCTCATTGATTCAGCTCCTGCTAAAAATGATGACACACTGTATATCAAAAGGAAGAATGGTGCAACCAAACATTTAAAACAATAATTCTCCTATAGCATGCAATAAGGCACTGTTCAGAGAAATAAGCAACATAGGCAGCCAGTATGGTGAACACTCGCTGAACAAACAAGTCAGTGCATACCATCTCCACACCCTCCTGACCAGCTGCAATCAGCGGTTCAAGCAGTAGGGACAAACAGTGATGAAAAAGTCAGTATTCAGTGAAGTGGTGAAGCAGTTGAGCTTTGTGGCTGGTAGGTACCCAATAAGGACTGTTGCACATGCAGAGTTTGTTGTTTCCGTCTCTGCCCACTTTTTACTGTGAGTCTTTTGAACTTCTTTGGCTCTGGAATGGCAGAAGTAGAGAGTGTTAGTGATTTCCCCCCATTATCCCCCTGATCCAAAATGGGGGCTTTCCATCCGGCATGCACTAACCCGCCCAGTAACAATACCTTTCTCAGTCAGTTCTTGAGATACTGGGGCTGGAAACCATTTGCCAACATGATGGTACAGGGCGCCAGATATGGATATTAAGATATCTCCAGGTTGATAGCTGAGGAGGCAATCAACAAGTGTTGAAGGAAGCAAGACAAGCGCTTACACTAATTTTGCATCTAAATTAGGCAGAATTGCCTCCCTGCCAGTGAAAATACCATGGAAAAACTAGTGCAAGGGCCTGCGTCCAAGCTATCCATATGCATGTAGACCTGGAGTTTAAAAATGAGTGCGCCCCAGCCACAGGCCTGGGTCTGATGTCAGCCATATGCCAGCATGGAAAGCCTGGCAGTACTTTTGATAGAACTTGGGAAAGCATACAGAGAATATGCCCGCCAACACTTGAGCCACTTGGGCAGATGCTAGAAAGTACCACTCAACAGCTTGGGACTGGGTTCTGGATTTTCCAGCCATATCTGCAGAGGGTGTTCATACCAAACTGAGGCTAGAGAGTCAGCTATAAGATTGAATATATGCCCACAGAACAAATTGCCTTTTGGCCGAATGTCCATGGGCTTCCCAGAGGTGGATCAGATGGGTAGTCTCACAATATGGCACAAACTCAATGTGGGCTGAATCCCAGGCCTGCTTTCATCAGTGTAGGAATCTCTAGGCACCAGCCGTGCAGCTATCATCAAAGGGATATCTCTGTAGAAGAGTCGAGGGTTAGAAGCCTGGGAGTCCTTTGGACCTTCCCTCTCAGGTTGGTGGTATATGTCGCTGGAGCTGAAAAACAGTTGACAAAATGAAGCCAATATCTGAGTTACCTCAAGCATTCTTTGACACATTTCAGGCTGAAATTATTGTTAGTTTGCAGGAGAGTAAGAAAGTCAACTTCAAACTTACCTACAAACCATCTCTAACTACTTTACCTCCAGTTCCAGGATAAAAATTCTCTAAGGTCTTGTTAGGACAATGTTGCTCCTTGAGAGGGCAGCTGTGATTCAATGTATCCTGCAGATATTGCTCAAATGAGACACACAGCAAGCAAGAGAAAATGTATCCTACTGTGTCTGGATCTTCCATGGCCTTGTTTTCAGCTACATCATTCCTGTCTGCCTGGTCCTCTCCTTCATCTACTTCCATCTTATCCTCAGGGATCTATCTTCATGATCATTTATGACACTATCAACAGCCTCTTTGTTGCACATTCTAGATGACAAATAGAAAGCCAGCAAGATGCCATTCTCATCTATCCAGTGAGCAGAGCTGTAATGGGCAGGCCTAATTCTTGGACCAAGATTCTAATTGGTGGTGGGCGCACGGAAGAGAGGTGCAGCTGACACGAATTTTTGGGCCCAATGGGCTGATTGGTCGAAGACTATCTGATCTAGTCCTTTGTCGCCTGAGATCAAAATTTTGTAAATCTAGGAGCTACTGAGGCAAGGAGGAGGGGATGTTCCGGCTGGACCATGTGAAAGGATTGGTCCAAGGGAGGGAGCTAAAGATGTCACTCACACAGTATAGGCATTGAAGGATGCCTGACCTTTGGCTTTGGCTTTAGCTTTTTTTGTTTTTTGTTTTTTTGGGTGGCATAGTATGTGGGGTGATGAAAACAGCTGAGAAGTATATTGTGATTGTGGGACTTCTCACTATCGGCATGATCAGTCGGCACAGCCACCAGCAAAACAGTGGCTCTACACGATGCTTCTGATAACAGTGACAGTTTAATAGATTCCTCCACCTAATCTGGATAATGCTTAGTACATCAGGACAACCTTTTGGCTATATAGAGTTATATGGGATAACCCTAACTTTATGTAACTTAACACATAATTATAGACCTATATTGTTTGACAATTTGTCAACAAGGTCTATTATAGCTAAAATAGTAGCCAATCAAACAATATAGCAAATTTTAAAGACAAGACATTGAAAACTACCACAAGGATTAATATGCATATTTACTAGACCAATTGGTCAACTAAAAATTATTTAAACAACTTGAGAGGTGCCTTTTTCACTTAATACATCTTAAGTATTAGCAAGAGAAGCATACCACTCCACATAAGCTAAAATTTCTTTGGGCCAATATGTGGGAGCATCTATAGCTCCATACACTGTGTTGGGTATTTTGAATATGAGACAGAGGTGACCAACACCAGTTACTGCAGAAGCATACAATATAAAGCTACATTATGAATGTGTTAAACCTGACCTTCAATTCCTGTACTCACACTGGTCATCCAACTTGTCGAAAAGTATGTTACTCAACTCAACTTTCCTTCTATTCAAGAGAGTAGTGCCAGCTCTTTTGGATTGGCATTTGTTGAGAAATACCTTGAGATTATCAACCAAACCTAGATAATAATAGGTGAGTATGAGGATCATGCTATGCATCGCTTGAGAGTATACGGTATATCTGGACAATGATGAGTGAGCATTGTATCTTGTAAGGTTTGGAAAACCCTTGGATGAGGAGTATTTGGTTAGAAAAATCATCTGAGGGGAATGTTGCAAATCATATTCCAATACTTGTTCTTCTCTCTCCTGCCTCTCCAGATATTGGTGGAATAATGCGACCTTCTTCTGTCTTGTAAGCCAAGCCACCATCTGGGGTTTTCATCTCTCTTATTAGTGCCTCTGTATTGTAATTATTGGTGTAGCCAAAGTAGCATATGGACTCAACATAATAGACCATGGAGGAATTTTTGGTATATTGAGATGGTCATGAATACCAAGGTGTATCAGAATATCTTTATGTTTGTGGAAAGTGTCAAGGGTGTCTTGAATATAGCCAAGAATGACATCATCATGGCTGGGATACTGAGCTATGTACATAAAATCCAGCAGAGAACAATATACCACCAGTACTTTGCACAGCACCTTCCCACCACAGTTTCCCCAACCGCGCGCACCCTGCAAGACACAGGGATCACAGTCTCCCCTACTACGCGCAACCTGGAGGACACCAGCATCACAGTCTCCCCAATCCCACAACATACTGGTATCACAGTTTCCCCAACCGCGCAGGACACCAGGATCACAGTTTCCCCAACTCCCTCTGACCACACCAATATCTATGATGGGATCTTAACTGTCCCCAACTCACCCTCTATTATAGCGGCTTACCCCAGAACCTTGGATGATGCTACCACACATTATGTGGCAGAGACTCAGTCTACCATGGGTAACCGTATCTACCCATCACAGTCTATTCACACTAACAACGTCTTTGACTTGCCAGCGCTTCAAAGTCTTATTCCACCTATCGCAACCCTTTCTCTAACCCTCTTTTGCTAGCTATCTCTCTTCCTTCTTCTTCTACTAGTATTCCTCAAAATTCAAGATTTTGACTTTTTGGTAAGATCTCTTAGATATTGTAGTTAGTATTATACACCCATGTATTAGTTAGTGTGAATATACTTGAATTTTCGCTTTCTGTTTTGTGTCATAATGCCAACAAATAGCTACTAAGAGCTATAATGCCAAGGTCATTGAAATTTTTTTGACTTGTCCATTATAGCTACTAGGAGCAATTATAGCCATTATAAAAAATATGCCGCTATTATGAGGGCTATAGAAGGGACTTGCCAATAATTGGCATTTATGCTATAACAGCTATTATAGCTCCTAGATACTACTAGGAGCTATTAAGAGCTATAATTGCAAGTACACATTTTCCTGATGAACCGAGACTCTCAGTGCTGGCCGACATGCAGTGCAGGCTTTCTCGACCTATCTACAGGTATGTCTTCCTGAGTTCTCTCAGATAATCACGCACTAATTAAGCTTATGATAGCAATACATAGACGAGAGCGCCGACGAGAATGACAAAAATTGGAACTTCCCCAAACTGCACATGAGTGTGCACATTTTCGATAATATCGAAGCAAAAGATGCAACGCGCAACTACAATACAAAACCAAATGAAAAGATGCATGGGTCGCTGAAAGACTCCTACTTACTGCGCACCAATTTCAGGGATGTGGCGCCTCAGGTGACATTTTCTAACTCTAACTATCATTTTGATATTAATTTCATTTCAGATACTCCACATAAACCACTGGCAAGTGGTCGCTGAGAGCATCCGCCGCCACATATCAGACCTCAATGAGTACGAGTCACGAGACAGTGAAGATTTGGATGCTCTGGAGGATTCAGAAGATGTGAATGATTTGGTCACGTCAAATGATGCAGTTTCGCCTCATGTGAAGCTTGGATCAAGGCAAGCTGTGCAGACCTTCGAATTGATCAAGAACACTCACAAAGAGGACGACACATTCAAAAAATTTCGGATCAAGCTCAACGAGTTTTTGACTAACTTTCTACAGGCTATTCAAGTCCCTTTACCAGGTGGAAAGCAGGTCCAACTCAGAGCAAGTGATATGGTCCGTTATATTCAGTCCGGCTCTGTATTTTGCTACACTGATATGGTCAAACAGATTACTGAGTGCCGTTTTTTGAAGGTCAACTACGAGTCCATGGTCAGTTGGCGGCAACAAACAGACTACCTTCGATGCAATCCCAAATTCTTCAATAATTCGTGTTTTGATTGTGTTTTGATTCAGACAACAGACAAAGTGATATTTGGTCGCCTGCTCTTTCTGTTTGAATGTGTAGTGGGGGATATGACCCTCTCCCTAGCTCTCATTCATCCGTGGGATGCTCCCACTGGTGTGCGGCTCTGAAAGGACAAACACCTCAACCTTTATCGTGTTCGAGCAAGACCCTGTGCGCACACTGAGTTTTTCTCAGTAAGGTCAATAATTCGTGGAGCTCTCCTCGTTCCAGATGGTAGTACCGATTACCTTGTCGTCAACACCATCGACACTGACATGTTCCTTTGGGTGAGGGCACTGCATCTTGAGGCAGGTCATCCAATCCGTGTTTGATTGTGTGCCTTCAAACCGTCTTCCCCTCTTTATACCTGGTATGTCTGCTCATTTTCTTCACTCGTGGCATCTTGGTCTCATAGATGGTCTATTACTAGAAGCAGGATTTCCGTACCAGACTTGACCTATGCCTCCCCCATCCCTGTTCATTACATGCCACTGCCAGCTTCCCGTCCTATCATCTGGAACCATACCCCACCTACCGCAAGTCAATCAGCTTCTGGCGCATCATCTGGAACCATACCCCACCTACCGCGAGTCAATCATCCTCTGGCACATCATCTAGAACCATACCCCACCTACCGCGAGTCAATCATCTTCTGGCGCATCATCTGGTCCAGGAACCATACCCCACCTACCGCAAGTCAATCATCCTCTGGCACATCATCTAGAACCATACCACACCTACCGCGAGTCAATCATCCTCTGGCGCATCATCTGGTCCAGGAACCATACCCCACCTACCGCGAGTCAATCATCCTCTGGCGCATCATCTGGAACCATACCCCACCTACCGCAAGTCAATTAGCTTCTGGTGCATCATCTGTTGTGAGGTAAGTGCCATCAACTGCTACAGATATCTATCATGTGAACAAGCTCAACAGATATTTATTGGGCCAACGAGCTCCACTGACATATATCGAGCCAACGAGCTCAACAGATATCTATCGTGGCCAACAAGCTCGCCAGACATTGTTTGTGGCCTCCATTATTATATTCTTACGTCTTTATCGGACCTTACTTGCCATAGACCACTGTAACTAATGCCACCACCGACGCAGTTGCTCTATAACCTAATATCGCAAACTGGGGTACCGAGCACGTTCTTTTTAATTGTGAGTAATAAATCCTTCCGACACGCATGCATCAACATGCGGCCTCCAGTCATGCTTTTGTTTACGTGCCTCTCCACAGTTCGCCGCTATTATTATGTTCAAGACTGAATTAATGCTGTCACTCAGAAAGAAGTTACGTCTAGTGCACATAAGGTACATCACCGAAATTCCCCAACTCGGATAAGGGCTGATAATGACTGACCAGGATGCGCAAGGTCACAAAAGGTGCACCAGGTGTATCAGCGTGCGGAAGGCGGGGGAACCGACGTATAAGATCTGGTTGAGAAACTCAATTGAAGGTAAGATGGCGGAGGTTGGGTAAGTAACTCGTACCTTAGCATAGATTTCGAGCTTATAAGCATTGATATGGCAATGCTACTTATATGTTCTGATCTGGTGTTGGATTCTGATAAGAACACTTCATTTCGGTATTGTATTACATGATATGCGCAGACAGTAAAAGTACATCTAAGAGCACCAAAGCTTCTCTTAGAGGCAGACACACGCCAAAGCTTCTGAAGGAGACTGACAGCGACAACAAGGAAACATGCGATGATCAGAGAGCAGCTTGAATGTGAATTGCGAATGAGAATAGGGACGACGACAAGAGCGAAACGTGCGACAAGTGGACAGCGGCTTGCGAGTGAGACAGACAGACATCGTTCTGAGTGAGAAATCAGTGTTGACGATGAGATGAAGTGGAAGATCATTAACACATCATTTTTTTCCCTTCCATTTCTTCGGTGTGCTAGTGGATTTAGCAGTCTTGGCCTTGGATTGAGTTTTTCGGGGCAATTTTCGAACTGGAGTCTCAACTTCTTCCGCTTCGGATTCCGTAAGTGGGCTTTCTTGTTGGGCTAACTTCTGCTTTTTGCGGGGAAGTGGTGTGGATGCCTCGGATGGTGCTGTGTCAACGGGATGCGAGTTTGAAACCAGGGGAGCAGCTGCAGGTGAGAACAGATCTTGCACCTGGGGCTTCCTAACTGGCATAGGCCGTGGTTTGGGGTGTGGCTTTGGAGCCGGGGGAGCAGCTGCAGGTGAGGACAGAGCCGGGGGAGAAGGTGAGGTTGCCGGGCTTGGGTCATTGTGAGTATGCAGCCGTTGAGGAAAAGGTGAGACTGCCGGGCTTGGGTCCTGGTGAGTACGCAGCCGTGGAGGAAGCACCTCTGAGCCAATAGAACTCGATAGAGCAGGCGGTGGTGGAGCAGGTCGCACTGTGTTTGTGGGATTAGCAGACCGAAGAGCATACTGTTTGCGCATCAATGCAACGTTGTCTTCATCTTCGTCCAAGTCTCCAGCATCTGAGGTTGGATAGGTTGAGAGGGCGGCAGCACGTCCAGCCTTGTCTTTGAATAATTTTCTTAAAAAGAAGTGATCAGCAAATGTACCACCAGAACGTTTAGACGTACAGGTTGTAGTGTTGTAGGATTGCTGTTGCCCATCCTTTGTCTGGCGGATTGTGGATGACGTCGATGATCCTGTAATAAAACTTTCGATATGAGAATTTACCATCCTCTGCGGTCCATTTGTCGCGAGAAGTAATGGCTGAGCGTGCCTATCGTGGTGTGTTGAAGACAGTGTCATGCGCTATATAATGACTCACCTGAACGGCTGCATAAGCAATGTTTTCGGCTTCTACTGTCATCATTCCGTGGATCACAGCATTGCAAGAATTGGAGACGTGAAAGTCGTCTCCAGCAAGTGCAGACGAGGGACCGGTAAGTACATGTTTCATAACCTTGAGCAAGGTGAGTGGTCTGTTGTTGTGAGATACGGAAACTCACGCGTTCAAGTAGAAATCCTTCGAAAAGGCCATCCTGTACATTGGTCAGGTCAAAGGCCTCCCCAGCCACTCCAGCGGCTCCAGCCTTATACAACAGTGCGGGCCAAGCTCGCGCATCCATGTTGATAGTTCCAGCCTCAAGTTTGGCTTTAGTACTGGCCAGGTGATATTAGTATTAAACACGCAACAAAAAAAGTACATACGCTGAGGGGTCCTTTTGATATTCAGAAAGGAATTTGATGGGACACAACAAGAGCGCGATTTGTGGGTGGTTGAGACCCATTTTGGCGCGTGATTCCTTGCTTTCGGGGAAGACCGAAGGCTGCAGACCCTTACCATCGAAGGTAGCATATCGGGTGATGCTCCTTTTCAAGTGAGCAGCGTCTTCGGATCGCACCTGTCCAATCAAATATTGCATCTGTGCGGTCATTAGTCAACTGAAAGGTGCATATATGCGCACGTACATCATCAAGAATCTTCTGTAGCTCGTTAGACTTCTTTCGATCACCTTTCATGAGTTCTTGGAGATAAGGTGCACCGGCAATGATCTTCTTGTAGGTTTGGAGCATCTGGTCCTGTGTATCCTTCGATCTAGTAGTTGTCAGTAATACAGCTATGAAACACGACGAAGATCACTTACATGTTAGCCAGAAGAGTAAGGTGCGCATCGTCTACGTCGGAGTCATCGCCAGATTGAGCACGCACATCCTCGATTAGAGGTGCGATGCGGAAGACATCCTTGAGAATGCAGAACATGTCAATCCCTCGAGGGATCCACCGAGCGAAGTTCAGACATTGATCACGCGGTGTCAAAGCACCCCTTCATACATTGTTAGAACAATATCCATGAGTGTTGAAAATACTTACTTTTCCTCCTTTCGATGGCTAAAATAAAACATAAAGTCAATATATGCGCGTATAAATGCCAAGAACTCACGATCGTGGACGTTTAGACGACTTAGCTTTCAGATGCCGCTTCGCTTCAACTTGATCCTCTTCCTCATCAGAAGGTTTATGCTTCCGTTTACCAAGTTTCGATGATTGTAGGGGTGGATTGGGCTTGCGCTTGTGTTTGCCGAGTTTCACAGGCTCTGGAGACTTGAATGAAGTCTCAGATGTGCTACGCATATACGAATCCGATGTTTCATGGAGGACAGAGGAGCTCGATGGACGCGATGACATGATGGTGGGTTAAGGGTTAAATGATATGGTGTGCGTGTCATTATCTCAAGTCGATATTTGGTTATGTTTGCTCGTCAGTTCTGTTACCCTAAACAATTATACGCAAAGATCGATCGAGTGTACCAAGGTGTACCAAGTGCGAACTTTCAGCGCGTTGTTGGAATTTGCCGGCTGACTTTGAAATGTCATGTGATCACGTTGAACCAAATTTTCGAGATTTTGTCTTGTTCTTCAGTCTGCTAGCTGTGCTGTAAGTCAGCGCGCTAGCTCTGGTATGTCTTGTTTTTGTTTTGCTTGGTTCCTTCCCCCTCTCCCTGCAAAGTCCGGTATGGCCGTTTTGCCCCGAGGCTAAGTAGGGAGTAGGTCTTTTCCCCCAATAACAGAATCATAGCTCGGTCGATCTCAAAGTACGCTTTCATGCTCGTCGTTTTGCGGTATCCCTAACTTCAGTCTTGCAGAAAACCATCCAAGGCCCAAAGCCTCACCCACAACGCGCTGCTCGCAGTCCCGGGCACTTCTACCATCTCACCTCGATCTACCAGACTCCGGAGCGTCATACCTTTCCCTTCCAGCCTGACGTGAGTCTTCTGCCTCATGTTTTGTTTTGTCATGATTGGCCTTAGCTAACCTCATGCAGTTCTTCCTGTCCATGGACATTGTGGTGGACGGCGTTCTGATGAACGATTCGCACTGCAGGCCGTGGAGTTCTGGACCACCGTATGTGAGATACCAGCGTCTATCGTCCCCCCACCACTAAGCCCAGCCTCCATCCCGATAACCCCGACGTCTTTCTCGCGCGTGAGATGCGGAGGAACGTCATAGCAGCTGGCGAGAAGTGTGAACGTATGTTCCTTCCTTCCCTCTACACACATACACATCTAACACGAACCCCAGCTATCGATCCCCAATCAAGCTTAAGGTCTCCACCTCGCACCTTGAAACTGCCGTTCGACACTAGGCAAATGTATTGAAGGTACATTTTGCTAACCCTAACCCTATACAGCTACTTAGCTCACATATGGTTCCGCCATCAGCCTACTGAACTATCTATGTTTCCTAATTCCCCATGACACATTTACGCCTATCCCACTTTCAAGTATAGTGGTGACTACGCCATTGTGCTCGAGCTGCCATTGAGTCTCCCTCTTCCCATCAATTAATCGATCTTTTCGCGGACCACCCCAATATTCCAAGCGAGAGGCCCGGTGTGCAATAGCATTCATGGCTGTCAAGGAGCTTCACAAACTGGGGGTATTCGACGACTACCTACTTCCAGACACTAGCTGTAGTAGACACACAGGCAAATCATACTAGAGTGCACCATATCCTGTCTGAGTGAGGAAATCGTCATCCAGCTCCTCGTCTGAGTCAGGAATGACCTTGTCATCAGCCAGTGGTTGGTCAATAGATGGCAAACCTTGGTCAGAAGGCTCTGATCGAAGTCATGGAGGAGATGGGTGATGTGTGGGCTGCTGTGTCATGTGTGCCAGAGGTATGTCTGAGCCAGGAAGGTAGTCGACGAACCGTTGAGGCATGCGGATAGCACGCCCCGAACATTTTGAAACAACGGGTGGGGGTGGGGTGGGCAGAAGTGCTGGACCTGAAGGCCCTGCGAGAGGTACGTCCTGAAAATTACTATAAATACAGGTGCATGATAGTTAAAAACAAACTTACATTGTCAAAGGTATCGTCCGTATCAAGGTTGACGTAGTCGAGTTCTTGCTCGTCAACGGGGGTAGCTACACGAGCCTTCTTATCACGAAGCTTGGTTCTCGTTTGCAATTTCCGTTTTTTCTCTCGTTTTTCACGAATCGAGTCGAAAGTGAAGTTGAGATTTTCCTGGCATTTCAAAGCATGAGCGGAGAGCTGTTTCTGTGTCTTAAAAGTTCGTTTACAAATGCAGCGGGGAAGATCCATGTGGTAGTAGTGAACGTCTGCAGAAAAACCCGAGAACACAAAGGACGGGGAATTAACACACGCAGCGTGACAGACAGGAAATGAGCTTACCTATGTAAGCTGGGCTATAGTGAAGAAGAAATGAAAGTTCCATCTGCGGAGAGAAGTTGAGAATGGTGAATCACTCACGAGCAGCCCACCTTGTCATCTTGAGGTGCATAGTTACTAGTATAGTCAAGCAGCAGTACCAATTTCAACAGACCCTAGAGTTTGCAGACAATTGTGTGCAAACTCTGAGATCTGTTGAAATTGCAGGTGCCATGAGACGAGGGTATGAACAAACTGTCAAGTTGTGTCCATCAGTCAGTTGATACGGTAATAACATATAAGGTAAATCCTGAACTTACCAGGGGCGCATCAGACTTGCATCAGACTGATGGCGGCCTTACACGTTTAGGAGGGTATTGAGGTATGTCTGAGGGAGTGTCGTTGAACCTGCGAGCCCATTGTCATCAACCATCATTGCGTCATTGGCCCGTAAAAGATTGTGGCGCGGGAAAGTGTCCGCATAAGGTAATTTCAGACTTGGGGAATTTTTGTGATGTAGGCAGTGCATCTCAATATCATATACGGATTACTGGACAGCCGAGAGAAGAATCGTCTCATCTGGTTGCATGGTACAGCAGGCGTCGGAAAGTCTGCCGTTGCATTCACTGTCGCTGAAAGGATGAAGAATGTGAAAGTGAGAGAGCAGGTGGCCAATGAAAAGCGGCTGGCAGGATCGTTCTTTTTCTCGCGCAAGCACACCAAACGTTGCACGACTGGATATTTCTTTGCGACACTTGTCTACCAGCTTGCCAGCAATTTCCCTAGCATCCGGGAGGACGTGAACAAAGCCATCCGCGAGAATCCCGCTCTTCTAGACCCCGATACCCCTCTTTGCGACCAGATGGAGGCTCTCTTTCTCCAACCTCTCCGGAGGCTTCGATTCAGACTGCGCGGGTGTCCTCCTTTGTCGTTTGTTGTCGATGCCCTTGATGAATGCACATCCGAACCCGAGCTTACCGATCTCATTCTTTCCCTTGCACAAGCTCTTCGTGAACCTGATCTTCCCGTGATCCACATTCTGCTCACGAGTCGCTCGGAATCGTATATCCGCAAAGCCTTTCAGAACGCCAATGTGCAGCCGTTGTTGTGCGAAATACCAGTGAAAACTTCTGGGGATGGCATTGGGAGCATCATCTCGCTAGACGGCGCCGATGTTGACAAAGACATATTTTTTTTTTTGCAGCATTCCTTCGGGGAGTTGGGAAGTCGCCATCCTGATTTCCCTCAGCCATCGAGGGATCAACTTGGGCAGCTGGCGAGCCGCGTGGGCAGACGTTTCATCGTGGCCTCTACGATGATGAAGTTTATTATCGGCGATGAAGACCATGATCCCCACGATCGGTTACAGCTGATGCTCGAGCTGACGAGCGAGCTACTACCAGGAACGGAGGTGTACGAGTTGTATGACTCTATCCTTTCCACGTGTACCGACCCCAAGCGGGCATTCCTGCACTTGTCGATTGTTGCTTCCCTTGCAGACCCTCTGTCGATGTCACAAATTTCGAAACTACTCGGCCCTGGTCGGGGCATGGATGTCGAGACAACGCTAGTGCAGCTACGGTCAGTCTTGGATATTTCCACTGACACCAGTCTCCCCGTAAATATCCACCACTCGTCCATTCGTGACTATGTTTCCAACCCCTCAAACTGCAGCCTCACTCGTGCACACGATATGCCATCACCCCATTCCCTACTCGCCGATTCCTCTCTCCGCTTGATGATGAAGGAAATTCCAGAAAGTACAGCCCTTCTCGATGCGCTCTCAGAACTGAAGAAGCAGAGCCAAGCTATGCGACCTGAGGACCCCCGTAGATTAAAAGACTCATTGGCCTTCCTCGTTCAGGCACCGGAGCCAGTGTCTGTCCTTGTCAGTATGCTATGGCTCCGGGGTGATCGCAGGTCAGATATACGATCTTGGCTAGAGATTGTAGACGGGCGTGCCTGGTTGCACACCCTGGGAGGACGAGTCTGGCTTTGGACCCAGGGAGGACGAGAGTGGCTGCAAACCCAGGGAGGACGAGAGTGGCTGCAGACCGAGGCAGGACTAGAGTGGTTTACCCAGGCAGGACGAGAGTGGCTGCAGACCCAGACAGGACGAGAGTGGCTGCAGACCCAGGCAGGACGAGAGTGGTTGCACACCATGGGAGGACAAGTCTGGCTGCAGACTCAGGCAGGAGGAGAGTGGTTGCACACCATGGGAGGACAAGTCTGGCTGCAGACCCAGGCAGGAGGAGAGTGGCTGCAGACCCAGGCAGGAGGAGAGTGGCTGCAGACCCAGGCAGGACAAGAGTGGCTGCAGACCCAGGGAGGGCTGGCCTGGGCGTGGAAACCTGGCACGGAAGCCTGGGAGGAGGTCCAGGGAGGCCAAGACTGGCTCCAGACCCCGGGCGGGCGAGACTGGCTGCCAACCCAGGGAGGCCAAGACTGGCTCCAGACCCCGGACGGGCGAGACTGGCTGCCAACCCAGGGAGGGCGGGGCTGGCTGCCGACCCCGGGCGGGCGAGGCTGGCTTCAGACCCTGGGCGGGCGGGACTGGCTTCAGACCCTGGGTGGGCGAGACTGGCTGCAGACGTCATATGGTCAAGCATGGCAATCCACTCCTGCGGCATCTGTCTGGGTGACTATGGAAGAATTCTCAACCACGTTCGAAGCGATCAGCGAATATTCTGTTGTCCCAGAATTGCCTTTACCGCCAACCTTCCAAGTAATCCAACAGATTAAAAGTTTGCCGGATTTCTTGATGCTTTCGATGTTCCTGGCGTTGATGCCCCGGGATCATTCTGCCTCTGCATTGCCAGAAGGTTGTTTTCCACCTGACAGGGAGGTTATCCGTGCTATGAATGTGTTTACAACTTTCGCAAACGAGGCACGGGAACAAAGTCGATCAGCTTCCGGCGCTCTCAAGTATGCATCTCAAAACTGGGTCGTTCATTTGTCGCGTACTCCAAATCCATGGAATGATACACTCAACTGTATATTCCAGGCTTTCTGGAATCATCACCTCCTTTCTTGGCTCGAATGGCAGTGGTGTTTGAAGGGTCTGCGGTCTTGTCTTGATATTTTATCTCAAGGGCAGAAACTTGCCAAGGTATGCATTTTCTAATTCTCAATTCACCTGCTGATATCGCCTTGTTTCAGGTTTGGCACCCATATCCACGTCTGAACTGATGAGAGGACTGTCAACTTCCACAACTATTCTTCCCACCAAAGAGCTCATGACGGCCCTAAGAGCCAGTTCGGTAACTGCTGTATAAGCAAAATGTTCGAAATTCAGAATTGTGTTGTGGCGCAAGAATGTCGGGATGTAAACGGAGTCTGAATCCAATCGGTAAGATTATTGTTATCAATCTCCAGCAGTATATACAATAGTTTGACGACTTGCTCGATTGCATAGCCCGCTCTAAGTACTTAATATCATGCTTCCTGATGGGCCTGCGCATATTAGGCCCCCCGCTCAGCCCCTTCTCAGCCCTGTGTTTGCTAACCCCTTGATCCCACATGAGCGCCTTCTGACTGCTCACCGCATTCGGCCAACTGACCAGCATCTGACGCTAGTGACAGTCCGCCAGCGAATGCTTCGTTACATCGTCCTTCTCATCAGTATCCTTATCTCTGCTACCACACAGCTGGTTCTCACCCAAATTCCACGAGTCCCCGAGCCATATCATACTTCGGCACTCTCCGGCCATGAATGGGTCATCGAGCTCATCGTCGGTCATCCCGAACGAATCCATTGCGAGCTTGGGGTGCACGTCCACGTGTTTGAGGGATTGATCATTGAGCTCCGCGCCTTCGGTCACACAGATTCGCGATATGTCTCGCTCGAAGAACAATTCGCAATCTTTCTGTACTCCTGCGTGACGGGATTGACGATCCGACATGTTGGTGAGCGCTTCCAGCGCTCGAATGATATGATTTCTCGGTACGTTTATTTGTATTTTAAAAGAATTTATTAGTTCTAACACCTTTATAGCTATTTTCGCAAGATGCTCGACATATTCGCGTCACCCCCATTCTACAGCAAATATGTATCCTTCCCCGGTGACGATTTTCCTGTCCCCACACAAATACGCAACAATCCGAAACGCTGGCCGTATTTTAGGGGTGCTATAGGAGCACTGGACGGCAGCCACATTCACGCATTCCCTCCCGCGGCTGAGCGCCATGTGTATCACAACCGCAAAGGATTTGTATCACAGAATTGCCTTTTTGCGTGTGGATTCAACTTGCAATTTACATACTCATTGACCGGCTGGGAAGGATCCGTGACTGATGCACGGCTTTGGGATCAAGCACTCGAAGGCGGGTTAAAAATTCCCGCTGGTAAATACCTTCTCGCAGATGCAGGATTTCCTTCCTGCGAACAACTCTTGATTCCATACTGCGGTGTTCGATACCACCTGGCTGAATGGGGGCGTGCCAATGTCAGGTAAGTGTTTCACTCATTTCATATTTAAATCAAACTAATTAATTTTCAGACCTGTCAATAAGGAAGAGCTATTTAATCTTCGCCATTCCTCAGCACGAAACGTCATCGAACGAATCTTCAGCGTCCTCAAACGACGCTTTCGCATTCTCCTCTTATCCCCGGAGTACAAGATGGACATACAAGCCCGCATTCCAGCGGCACTATGCTCCATTCACAACTTCATCCAGATTCACGACCCAGCCGAAGACCCTCTGCCGCCGACGAACGTTGTCAACGACAACCCGAGCCATCAAGGATATGTTGCGGCGGATGAGAATGGGCCGCAAGTACAAGCTGCAAATGCACACCGTGATCGTATCGCGACACACATGTGGGAGGACTACGAGGCGTTCTTACGCGAACAAGACTTGGAAGGCGTTGATCACATCTTGGATGTTGATCTTGGTGAGGAAGACGAGGGCGAAGATGATCTCTATCATGGGCGCAAGGGCGATGAGGAGAACGAGAACAGCGCGTAGTAGATTCGTGATATAGCTAGTACAATGAAAACTTGATGCGAGAATGAAACACGATGAACGAAACGAGACGCAGGGCTACAAACGAACGAAGGGACAAGCGCGAGGAAGTAAGAGCTACATCATGGGGTTTTCTTGTTTGGCGCGGGCAATTATAGAATATAAGAATGCCATGCGCAGTTCAGGATCCTCAATATCGTTGAACGTATCACATGCCGCTGAGTTATTCATGAATATATTGATGGCAACCACCTTGTCCTCCTTTGAAAGCTCCGGTTCTGACTGCAGGGCCTTAACCGCGCGCGACCTACTTTCAGCCACACGAGCCTCTTCAGAAGCGGAAAAATTTGTGTTGAGTGAATCTGAGAGGCGGTTGATGGTTCCTTGAAGGTTCATCAACACAGCGGTGTTGGCAGTGTCTTGAACAGTAGTCTTCTTGCTCGCGCTTGGGCGTGTCTTGCCACTCATTGTTGACAGCCTTGGCTTCTTCTCTGATTCCGGCCTCATCAATTGTGAGACCGAAGTGTAGGTGGTTGAAGGGGGAGCTGAATGACCGTGAGTCATTTCTGCATGCGAGCGCTTGCCAGCGCTCGAGCCTGAAGACATTGGTGCAGGCATAGCGGGGGCAGACATGGGTGCAGACATAGCAGGGGCAGACATGGGTGCAGACATAGCAGGGGCAGACATAGGTGCAGACATGGGGGGGGCAGGCATAGGTGCAGACATAGGTGCAAACATAGCGGGGAGAGACTTAGAAGGGGCAGACATAGCGGGGGCAGACAAGGCGGAGGTAGAAGCGCGGGAAGACACAGGAGGGGCTGCCATTGTAGAGCTGCCATAATCTTCAAATGCAGGATTGGGGGAAGGGGGAACACCCCAGCTGATCTCCGGCCGGGCCATGCTAGGAATGAGGGGAATAAAACGATGCTGGTACATGGCACCAACGCCACTGTCATTGAGATCGCCATCGCGATTGACATCTGACATACTGTCGTCAGTGTCGTAAGGTGCACTGCTAGTACTGGCAGCTGGGGGTGGTTCGTTTGATGATGATGAGGCGGGGTTATAGGCAGCAACACCTCGTGCGGAGCTGTGGCGGGGCAGAATTTCCTCCATCTTGGGATGGTATGGCCAGCCGCAGTTTTTGAAACTCTTCATGGGGAAGTTGGGCTGTAAAGACAAAATAAGCGTCAGATCTAACAGATACCTAGGCAATATCTCTGCGTACCTTCCTGCTAACATACTCCTCCCAGACAGCTTCAGCGGCGGGCCCCTGAATGTTGGCCCCGCGCTCATTGTCCCAGTGACAACCTGATTTATGATGCCGATATGACTCAATGGCGTTGTATGTCTGCTTTAACTACATCGCTAAGATTAGTATAGCCATGGTAGTGATCGATGAAAGATAACATACCATTGCCCATTTATTCTTGCAATGAGCCCCAGTCTTCACAGGCCCAACTGTCCTCAAGCTCTCAATATATTTCGCAGCTTCGTTGAATGTCGCCTCCTTGAAGCTCGTGCCTGCCATCGCTGATTTGACTGAGATAAGATATGTGAGGAAGGAGTCGATTTCATTGGGGTTCCACTGGGCTTTAGGCTGAGCCTGTTGAACACCCTTTCGTGTCATCTCAGCTACTTGTAGCTGGGTACAGAGGATGACGATAGCGACCGCTAGCCAGACTTGCTGGCGCTGAGGACCACTAGGGCGACATTTGAGAGTCATGGTCGGAAGGAGAGGCATTTCAAACTCAGCTTCCGGCAGATATCATGCCGGGACAAACACAATTCTAAATTTCGAACATTTTGCTTATACAGCAGTTACCGAACTGGCTCTAATGCGGGACCCGTTCCTAATTCTCGCACAATCAAATCAAGCTCGCGGCGTCCGCGTTCTACTTCAAGCCTGTTTACTCGTTCCACGAGAGCATGACTGTACTTAGTTTGATAAATGTGTAGTGAAGTATCTTTGCATTTGCATTTTTTGCGTTCTTGATCAACCTACAGTACTTTTATAATTTTATACCAGCAGCAGACAGTCACATCACTAAATAGAAGGTAGCTCGCTATGACCCGATGCTGATTACATATGATCATCTACTAAGTCATGTATATACATAGCTTGATATCAGGTTATAATGCTCGGGGTACTTCAAGTAAATTACTTCTTACACTTCAGAACGCAGACTCGTAGACCATACTTCTCTCATTTCATATCTAAGGCTTACAATGAAAAATCATCCGTTCACAAGTGGACCATGTAACATCAACAAGAAATCATGTGACCAGAGCATTGGCTTGGTCTTAGCGATAGATTCAAAATATCTGGTAAGAATTCCAGTGCAACGGCAATATCCCTACGTATATATACACTCCTCTCATCTCATTACAAGGGGAGATTATTTTGTCACCATTGGATCACGAGTTAGCTACTCACATAAGTGAGAAATAACAAGACAGCTCACAACAGAGTGTTGGCTAGTCCAGGCAATATTATTATGTGATGAATTTGGACAGCATGTCGGAGATATTGAGTGATACGACTGTTAAGTTTGAAGGGGTCTCGAGCAAAGCATAGTTTTCGAGGCTTGGCCTATGCACATGTGAAAGATATGAGATAAAAGGATTGACATTCAGTTAAAATCCCGTGCATTCAATGTCGCAAAATTCAGAATGTCCTGCTCGGCGCATGCATGCCATCATATAGATGACACCGAAAATATGTCCTTATATGCGTATTGGATTAAAAATTACCACCCTCATCGGCATCAGAGTCATCGTCCTCGTCCTCGTCCTCCTCGTCCTCCTCCTCGTCCTCCTCCTCGTCCTCCTCCTCGTCATCATCTTCCTCCTCCTCGCTCCCCTCATCATCCCCGCCATCGTCGTCCTCTCCCATTTGGCTCGCCTCGTCTTCCTCTTCCCCTATCTCGTTGTCCTCCTCCTCCTCCCCAGGTTCATGGCTGTAGGCTTCTTCTGAATCCTCGCTTGAATCACCTACTCTCCAGGGTCCGTGTCCGACACCAGCACCGGTAAAACGAAGGAACATATCACGATCTACAAACCTGCCAATGACATGAGACTATCAAAAAATCCGAGACGAGGACTCACATATTGACGTAGTATGCAGTCCGACATCCGCCATCTGATGTTTGCTGTGGTGTGGACTGGAACACCCTTTCATCTGCGAAAGCTGGAATCAGGTGCACCCCGCGAATCACTAATGCAGGATCGACGAAACCGAAAGCTGAGTCATCAGTCTCGGGTACAAAAGCAACTTTTGGCAGACGAGCTGCTTGAATCCCCGAATGGTACCGCCGCACCGGATCAAACCATCGGACAAACAACATCTCCATCTGAGTTTTTTGTGGATGCGCTCCACCCGATCGTAGGTCAAGTACGTTGACATGGAAAATACGTAGCACTCGAGCATACCAATAAGGATGAGTTAAGCAGGCCTTGGAATCGCCCGATAACACCATGATATCAGCATGGTTGCGCGGGTTAATCAGATCTTGCTCGCATTGCAGATCGTACGAGGTGTAGTTGATCCGTAGCGTATTGACAGAGAACAGAACATTGTCGCATATGACAATGTTGTTTCTGTCATCGCTCGAAAATTCGACGAGGCTATCGCTGTCTTGCCCTCGTAAGCAACGCAATACGTGGTCCTTGAGTTTTGGGATGAATTTCTTGAAGGGCGGTTGATTAGTTAGCGCACACAAGCTTGTACAAATACACACCTTAAGCGCTGGATCTTTCTCATTGTCCTGTAGTAGTTGGTGTATGTGAACAGGAGAATTGCGATGATGCGATAGTTGGTGATGAAGGCGCGGATCCGGGGGTGGAAGATTTTCGGGGGAGTCGGGAGCCAAAGTCGATTCTTTCTCTAACTCCTGCATCTTTTGAAGCCGGCGTCGGCGGCGTTCATGTTTGGAAAGCTGTTTGGCCGTATTCTTCTTGTTGGTGAATGGGTAGAATGCCTTGATGGCTCGATGGGCAAGTTCGCCCTGAACTCAGTATTCAGTAGAAGCTCAAAGTCATAATAAACTGGCGCCATACGATTTGTGTTGTGAAGGAATCGGTGGTTCCAAATAACTTAATGGACTGAACATAATCTCCAAGGGCGTGAAACTTGTAGGTTTTCATATTGAATGACTTCTTCTTTGGAGAAGACGAAGATACATCAGTAGGTCGGTTTTCATTATGCGCTTGTCGTCGATACCGTGCTGCCTTTTCCTTCGGTAGTTCGAGAGTAGTATAGTGATCACAGACCTGACGACGGAACTTTCGTAGCTGCCGAGTGAGGGAAGTAAACGCTCGTGACATGGAATCCAGGGTTACTTCAGTGTGTATCCGCATTTTTGCATAGGCGTGCCATTCAGCGAACCTGAACAGCAGGGTCTGCACTATCGCATCATATGGGGAAGGCAGGAGTCCCTCAAAAACGGGCATAGCACACTGCAATACCATCAGTAGCGATCTCCCCAAAGAAAGAATGATGACCTGTAGAATATCCTCGAAGTCTCTTGCAGCCAACCTCTTCATGCTCGATGTGTCATCAGAGAATCTGCGGATAACACCTCGGCCAAATGTGGGCACACGTCTGAATCTGATGGTGTTCCAAATATTTCTGCAAGTTTGAAAAGAAGGGACTTACCTTTCATTGAGTGTAATGACAACTTCAGCGCCATTGGGGAGGGCATATAGAAGGCGGACCAAATGACTAAAAACACCCTTCCACGTTCCTAATTCACATTCGTGCATCAAATCAACGACCAACATGCGAAATGGGTCAAATCCGAAGCGCCCAAGCTTTTGAGCGAAGACATTCTGAATGTCGTGTCTCAGCCAGTAAACGAGACACATGAAATCATGCTTACAATAGTTGGAACCCATGACTCACGGAAAAGAAGGTTCTCCACTGCAGTTCCATCAACTGCGTACCCTGACTCGTATACAAAATCTCGTGCAGTCTGTATCGTTTGCAAGCAGTAGACCCTTAGGCCTTCAATCCGCGCACGCACGTCTCTCAAAAATCCGACATGATCAGATTTTGATTTCGTCACCAGGCAGCGTGGACAGAGACAGGATCCCATGTCTTTGATGGTTGCAATAAGTATCCTGGTATTCGCATTACATTGGTGGTGCGTGACTAGATTTTTCGAGCTCACTCACTTTTCCGGATAATCTGCAGAATATGTAAATATTCGAGGAAACACACGGCGAAGGATGCCATCGGCGCATCTCATTACGATACCATGGTGGTACGCATGGATAAATTCCTCGTCCAAAAGAACGTCCCAACATCCCTGGAAAAGCTCTCTTCGACAGTGTGCGAACAGAGCAGCTATGCCGCTTTTCGTAACGACCCCAAGGGTTCGGAAGGTATTTTTGATTCGATCTGGGAGCTTTACGCAGATGTGAAACCATTTCAAGAAATGTGGTAGCAGACAAATAACACTCACAGATGGCAGAAATCCGATTAAATGACACGCTCCAGAGTCAGGCCTTGCACGAGCATACTTTGACAGGTTCCCAAAAAACAAATATAACGGCCACGCCGACGCGTTTCCGAAGTTAGCAAGTTGAGTCGCGTCTGAGGAAAACATCAAGCCTGCGATGACTCGCTCGAGAGCACAATCAGGCTCCTTGGGCTGTTTCTGTAGGTCATTATGAGCTTGTATCCACGCATCTGATGTATAAAGTTCATCATAAACACGATACGTATTCCCATCGTTTGGATCAGTCCAGAGACGACGAAAGGGCCATAAATGAAATGCTTTTGCTTGAGCGTCTGAAAACGCTTCGCGAATAGCACTGACCAAAGGCCGATAGTGAAATCCTGGGACTTGAAACAGATGCCCACCAGAAGCATCCGCCTTCCGACTTGGGATTTTAATAGTCACATCCGTCTCAATCCAACCTTCCGGAAACTTCGCAGCGCCATTCAGCGAATTTTGGTTTGGAGTGCTATCGAGAAGGCTCAGATGCTTCCTCATACTGAAGCCTTGAAGGTCATGGACATCGAAATCCTCTGCAAGCAGCACATCGTGCACAAGACGCGAAACCTCCGCCTCCGACTTTCTGGTACTTCCGCTGGACATCCAGTTGAGCAGTCGATACACAGTCATGTTCGGAAAGGGATGCGGGGGCGGAGGAATTGATGGAAGGGGCTGTAATGTTGGACATTTATTGACCAGAAGACGTGATGGAACGAATATGTCCGGTTCATAGGACGGGCGCTGTGGATAGTCACGAGATAAACCAAACGCTCCCACGACGTTACGAATGGATTCAGTGACAAGAAGAATGACCCTTTGGACAATACTTCTGGCTGGTGGTATATCATGTGTCGCCAAGGTGTCTTCGTGTACGGCATTCTGATCAGAGGTTTCAATATTATGGACGACATGTTCCACAGGCCCATCGACGTGATACCGCTTGGGCAGTCTGATATTTCTTTGTGGTTTAGAGCGAGCTATGTGAAACATTAGCATGTACTAAAGTGTAAGGCTCGTTTCTCACCAATGCATTCCAAGTTCATGTTCCCGTCACCAGGAAGAGCACGCAATTGACCAGAGATGCAGTGATCTGATATATAACTGGTCAGTGCAAGAAATCGATAGCGTTTCCAGGCCTACCAATGTCCGTCGTTGACGTATCAATATCAGTACCCCGGAGGTCAACATCCATAGGCGACTCAGAAGCGTGAACCAAGGGGGTGATCTCTTCGATAATTGGATGTTCAGCCGGCAATACCAGATCTATCGATTCAGTATTTCTTGGGTCTCCGATCTCTGCGACCGCAATGGCGGAGCACTTGAGAATTGTTTTGTAGTAAGCACAAGCATCCCAGATGATATAGAGAACATTCTATGTACTGGAGGCCCGCATGTTCTGTCTTTCAATACCTTTGACGTTATTGCGTTACGCATGCGATCTTTTCGCTTCTGAGACACAGCAAACACTGTTTTTCTATATTCAAGACAAGTTTTGCGGTGCAACGTGAGTGCGCGCTGGTCTTGCAATACCCGTTGGCAACCTTGGGCGCCACAGACAAGTTGGACCATCAATACAACGCAGGAAATCAAGACGAGTGATATTGTGATAGAGAGTTTGCCAGTAGAACAAAACTGGACCATGGCCCAGGCTTGTCAACCAGATGTTACAGTGACGATCGTGGTCAACTGGAAATGGCGTGTGCAGACTTAGAAATATTATGTACTTTGAATCAAACCAATTATATGTTGGGACTGAAACAATTATCGGACACCTCTCAGAACTGTACTTCATTTAATTCAATTGAATCATAATGTATGTGACATGCGCTATAGCTAGTGTAATACGTGTGATATTCAATAAGATACGGACAAGTCCAATCCAATCCTTGATCAGGCTCTGGGTCAACGCCATCTCCTTCACGGGCGGTATCACATCACTCTCCATTTTGACAGAAAACTGACTGTAATTATCGACACTCGCCTAAGTCAGAGTGTGCATCGAGCTTGTGGCTTCAGCATATCATGTTGCATAATATATCTAGGCAAAGGAAGTCGGTCATTGAGCTCCACGTATCATACAACGCTAAGATGTACCTTATCGCTTGTGACGGCTCAATGGAAAGTTGCGGGATGACACCGAACAGTTCCTTTCACTTGGCAGTCGGAAAGACAGTTCACCAGGTCAAAAACATGTCCTTCCATCTTGCTACGGGCCGCTGGGCAACTCTGCTGGTAAGTGTCCAGAAACAAACCAATGACGAAGGGTGTGAAATGGCGCATATGGGTCGTAGACATTCTTCGAAATAGTGTCGAGTAAGCCGAAGGCCGGGGGTTTCATCCATAGGGGAACCTAGCGATGCGAGAACGCCACACCAAAAAGGCTGGCGTCAGTCAGCATTGATGCTGATGATGGCAGGCGTAGGACCAAATAATATGTTTATACACCCAATCATAGGTACTGGTGCGCTGACTTACAGCACCAGCACCTCTTGGACGCATAAGTCAAAAAAGCAACCTAGAATAAATCATTAGTATACCCACAGCAGTCAAAATTAAAATAAAATAAAGAGCCTTCCCAGGGCGCCCTTTGATCCTCAGGGACCTAGTCGCGCAAGATAACAGCTGACGTTCACGGATCAGCGCCTGAGCAGCTGAAAGTGTCCGCATAATGCGGAGCCGTGCGTGGTGCGTGTATTGGCAACTGGAATGAGGTGGGAGCGCCCAGTGGTACTAGCTGGAATGAAATAAAATAAAAAGAGCCTTCCCAGGGCGCCCTTTGATCCTCAGGGACCTAGTCGCACAAGATAACAGCTGACGTTCACGGATCAGCGCCTGAGCAACTGAAAGTGTCCGCATAATGCGGAGCCGTGTGTGGTGCGTGTATTGGCAACTGGAATGAGGTGAGAGCGCCCAGTGGTACTAGCTGAGGATGCAAAAAATGAGTTTCAGGATCCCTCTATATGTTTCAAACTCAGATTGAAATATTTCGGTGGAAACCGCATTCCCGGCCCTGACCTGTAGATTTTAGTTCGCACGGCTGCACGCGGCCAGATTTGCGAAAGTCAAAGCAAGAAAATGAAAATGAGTTGAAAATGAGTTAATACGATTTGAAGCGAACTCACCTCAAAGTTCACAAATTGAGCAATTTAGCAAAGGTTGACTAAATGTAACCAGGTTTCATTTGTCCGTCAAAGGCTGAGTTAAGGCAAGGACTGGCGATTGACTGATGTTACATAACGAGTACAAAACCGTTGAACTACAGTGTTATTTGATGAGTAGCGAAGAAAGAAAGAAAAACAAGCGCTACAATGTTGCATGCCATTTCAACACCGAGTCCAAAATTATAGAATAATAAATGGTTACCGAATGAAAAATCATGCATCAACGGTTCGAGTGTCGTTCTTCTGAGCCAAAGACAGGATCGTTTGTTCAGCCTCCTGTTCCTTCCATTTCCAATCCTCCAGTTCTTCGGACAGTGCTCTCAACAACAGCATGAACTGGTCAACGCGAGCCTGAGCCGCAACTCGACCATTGCGCATGGCGCGATGTGATGTTTTAGCAATCATCAACGCTGACTGGCATTCAGTATGATTGTCGGTAATGCAATGCTACATATACAGTGAGAATTGATTAATGGGAAAAGTGATCAATCGACCTACCATATGTTGCCAGAACTCGATACCGAGTCCCATTCCATCATGTGCAATTGCCGGTGGACTATTAGTGTCCCTCGAGGGTGTCATTGAGAAGGGAACTTGGAAAAGATGGGAGGCATTACCAAGCGAGCGCACCGAAGGTGAGTCAGATCGCATGAGGCCCGTAGGGATAGCGTATGTCATGGACATGGCTTCTCACAAGTTGAAGGGCGGTTAGACCGTGCGAAATTGGCACGGTGATACATTTTTTTATAGTGGAAAATTTTAAAAGAACAACGTACCATATACGGGACGTAACTTAACATTACGAAGGTCCCTGGTTGAAATTATTGACGCCGTGGAGCTGCTGTGGAGCTGCCGTACATGGAGCCTCGTCATGATCAGGCAACTAGAAAGTCAAAAGAAAGTGTACAATAATGTTAGTGCTTAAGAAGCTACTTACCTAAAGAGATTTGGGACACTGCCCAGTGAACCCACCTGAATTCTTCGTGATGCAGCCTAGCAGTCCAAGCTCTAGGTACAACGACGACACTTCACAACTTCTTGGACTACTAGGAGACTCACCAGGTCCTCACGAATTCCGTTACCTAGCAAACGGTCAAGGAGCGCCTGCTGATTCACAAGGAAATTATATTTACAACTGGCGCGGGATTAATCCAGAATGTCATCGGCCGAGACATGAGCCAGGTGATATGCAGGATGATTTTAAGTCCACAAGGCCGCGGTCGCCAACACCAAAAGCACCTGGCATCGCAGTTGTACAGCCAGATCTGAGGCTGGAAGTACGTGAAAAAATGTCGATTACTGGATTTTTATATGTACTCACCTGATTTCAAGAACCAAAGGCCTAATTTGAAACGCGCGTTGTCGGGTGACTCGCACTCCGGCTGCGATTCCGGTGGGGTAAGTGTTTCACATTGTTGATGAACCGGAAAAATCAAATTCACATTCAAAACCAGGATTTTACCAAGAAGCGGCGTGTGGCCTTATCGAGTAGCACGACCAATACGACTGAAGGTGTTGATCCAGTGGTAGAAAATCTGAGATTGGGAAAAGAAATCGTCAGCGTGTGTCGGGAACAAATTGCCATTTTGGCACACGTTCTCGACGTTGTGTTGCAGTAATCATTACCGTAGTGTTTGTCGATGGTAGAAATTGTCTGCCATTTCTTATGTAAATACATAATGCATTGGTAAATCTAAAGGCTCATTAGACAGTGTAAATGCAGACGAGTCCGCGATAGGCAACAACTTACTATCTTGACAGTCGTCGTCGAAATTTTTGCACGAAGTCACAACACGCATTGAAACATTGATGACAGGACCACCATTAAGTATTGAGAGGGGGGAGCAAATTTAATCATCTGCAATGTTGTACAAAAGCTATCTATGGGAAGTACATCGTCGTTGAGTAAACGTGAAACAGACGTATGAGTGAATTCCAGCAAATGGTGAACATGACGGTGCATGAGGAAAAGAAACATTGTTCATACCAACCCCTAAGCTGCCCTAGTCCTCTTTGAAGTTCCAGACCCTCCGGTGGTTACTTCGTCTGCTTCCGCTTTGCGCTTGAGTATTTTTTGATGGCAGCCAGCATAACGTGTGTACCCTGTTTGCCTCGCGCCGACAATGATCTCATCAGCGAGCAGGTCCCATTCGATCAGCGGTGTCGGAGGAGACCATGCATGAATACGATCGAAGGGGGCATCCTCAACCACGCTGGAAAACGAACAAACATTGATTAGAACATTGATTAGGTCGATTCGTTGACGATAATAAGAAAAACGTACCGTGGAGACCTAACTCCAATCAAGGAGACGACGTGGTCTCTGATCCTCTCCAAGGTACACCGAAAAACGCGGTCAACGTCTTCAAGATCACTGCGCTCAGGGAACAAATACTAAAATTGGTCAGAATATGGACTGAAGGAAGGGATCAATCATACCGCTGTTGCGCAGAGATCAGGATCCTCTTCATCGATACGGAAGCTGCCGTCGGGGCGGCGAAGCCACGTTGTGATTGTCACGGTGAGGGGTTGCTGCCAGACGTGACGAAACGTTCTCATGACAGTAGGGTCCTCATCGTTGGTGGCCGTGAACGACAGCCATTGCGAGAATGTCGAGACTGATGGGCGTTCTTCTAAGACATCTACCGCCTCCGACCCTGACCGGGGCCCCGCATGCTTCTTCATTTCTTCTACATCGATGGAGGTGATTGCGAGAAGATCCTTGCGTTTCACCATGTAGTTGCCGAGTCTCCTTGTCGCCGATTTCTTCGTCTGTGAGACGCTGATCTCCGTGGCCCATAGTGGAATACAATCACCGTCCGGGTCCTTATATTCCATCACCATGTCCGGCACTCCAAGTTTGACACCGACGGCGCTCAGAAGATGGATATCTGTCTGGATCCGAATCTGCCCGTAACGATAGGGAATGCCCATCGACCCCACAGCGCCGAGCAGGGTGGCGCTCATTGGGGCGAGATATGCTTGATGAAGTCGGTTAGGCAGGGTGGCGGTAAGGAGTTTGAGTTCCTCAGCATAAACCAGTCTGATGGAGGTAAATGGACGAGTTCAGGATTAGTCGGATATAGAAATACGGAGGCACTTACTTGCGGATTACTTTATCTCCATCGCCATCTTCATCTTCATCGATTGCATCTAAAATATAAAGATAATCGTCTTGTGACACATTGAAGAATTCCTGTGGAGCGCGAGTCAATTGAAGATAACCGAATGAATGGGTTACATACTTCGACTTCTTCCACGTTATCGGGATCTCTGATGGCGGCGATAATCCGCTTGCGTAAGTCTATCGCTAGGGTTAGGGTGGCGCGATACGTGACGCACAGAGCGCTCAACACACACTCACCATCTCTTGGGACATATTCATCAGCTGGTTTGGGGGATGCCTCCCTCTGCAAAGGTGTTGGTGCTGGGTGTTTGATTACTTGAACTTTGGATTTTGATAGTGGCTCCAATGAAGTGACAGTGTTGTTGGGGGGGTGAGTACTAGTATGTGGGGAGGGACTTTTCACAAAGGTTGTGTGCATTTTGCCCCCAAGACGAGGACCCTGCAAGCAGGACCCTCTGTATGATGTTGCAGATGGTTGTTGCAACTTGCATTCATAGGAACCATTAATGCATGCATCTGCAGCTGATGACAGGAGGCGGGTAGTAACGGGCATGATGATGCAGATGTGTGCCTCTCATGGGTGCCACATACACCTATAATATAGCCTGCGCAATCTGTGCAGGCTGAGTCAGCTGTCAACAAGTTTCTTTGTTTCTATCTTGGTAACAGTACTTGCTTCTCAGCTGTTACCTGTACTCACTAATATCAAGTAGAGCCTCAGAACTTAGAATTCTTGCATGCACAAGAGAATGCATAAATTTTTTTGAGAACTGCAGGGGAAACCATGCAGGCAAACTCATTGTTTCAATCAATTTGACTTGCTATATATTTATTTGCCATCTGGATCCAATGTTTGCCGGTTCACTCACTGACACAGCGCATGACCGCGGTGTACACACTAAGTGTTGTACCTGACAATAAATCATGGGCATGTCAATGAGACTCGGACTTGAATGATATGTAAATCCTGGACCACTGAATTTAAGAGTTGTTGAAGTGCTTCTACCAACGTGGGAATATGATGACAGCTTCCGGGTCGTGCCGTATCAACGATTTCTCAGTACAGTCACTGGTTGATAATTTGTGAGCATACATGAGTCCAAGGCCCTGCAAAAATCCGGATCATCCTTTATGATGACAAATAGTCTAACTCGCGACCAGCTCTCTTGTAAAGACGTCTCCGAGAAGCTTATATGTACGTGACACTGATATTCGCATCTCTTTTTCGCCGAAGCTAACTCGATACATGTGTACACCCTAAATTTCCAAAATGGAAAGCTCCACACCCAGATCAGCATTACTCCACCGCTTGTGCCTCATTCCCGCCAGTGAGTCATGTTATTGAATAACAATTCAATCGTACTCGAGCGCACTTGGTCGATTCCGAGATGCACCTGGAGGACTGATTCAGTGACTTACAGATGCTTATACTTTATGCTCAGTCTATAAAGCATGAGGCGGCGTCTATCCTACTCATTTTCGACCATCGTGATCCTGCAGCAATGAGCATCCAGGATGGCGGTGAAACAGGTATCGACATCCACGATGACTCAGATCAAGCCCCTCAGCCTGTCGGCACCTATGACCCGTACTATATCGGTACTTTAAGTCAGCCATTTTGTCCAATGGCTTCAGTGAGTTGATGTTCCTCCGCGGGCCACATTCGACTTCATACTGATATAATCGCACTTACAGATCTCCAAACGAGTGTTCCACAACCTTCATCAAGAGGTTTTTGGAGCAGCGCTCCTACGATGCTTCAACATGCATCCCAGTGTCTTATCTGGTGAAGCGAGTCGGCATTTTCATCTTGCTGTGCTGCGAAATACTACCGGTAAGTTTCCCAATAGTCACACTTGTCAATTGCTGATCACCGTGTATCATCATAACAGACATTAGCCTGCAACAGTCCTTAAGCTCTTTGAAAGATGAGATTGGCGCACGTGGGCCAACACGACTTCTTTCGATGTGGAAAAAGTGCAGTCTTGGGTTCTTTCTCGAGGCAGAAATATTGGACCCGGTCACTTTTGTGTTCAATCCCGCCATTTCGGCTGCCATCGCTATGGCCAATCAAGTTGGCACAGCATTCGAATGGCTGCATGTTCGTGATATAGGATTGGTTAGTCTACTGATCGATTCTTTGTCTTCGTGCTGATGTCTTTTTAGGGCCAGAGATTTTCGTATCAGGCCCCCCTGCCCTATTGCCTACTAGCTGAATTTCTTTCCAGTCCGAAGTTTTTTGGGAACGCGCTGAGAAACGAATTGCAAAGCACGCGCTCCATAAGGAGCCTGGTTTGCCCAGCAGCGCTTTCTAACATGCGGTTCAGCCTTGCTTGCGTGATTATTGTTGTAAGTATATATATATATATATGTTTTCAACCTACAGTGACTCAAGAGACTCTAGCTACATCGCGCATTCAAAGGGCAGTGGAACTGGGCCTTGATCCAGGCGTTTGATCCTCTATACGCCCAAGAGTTGGCTACTGACGCTGAGACCGCAGGTTTTCTTACCGACGTCCACATCATGGCTGGCGATCTGGTTGCTGCTGGGGAAATTGTTCGCGGGCAACTGAAGGATGCGGTGAATCTCGCTATGTAAGTTCTTGTAGCATTCCTTTGCCAGGGTTCACTCAATTGATTTTTTTGCAGGCGCAAAACGGATCCTGCCATGTACCTTGCATGTTCATAGTTATTTTAGGACACATTTGTTTCTCCAAAGCAGCTGCTATTGCTGGCGGCACAATTCTATTCCTCGTGAACTTCTCAGCATTTCTGCACTTTTCGCCCTTGGCACATCCAATGTGATCGATTCGTTGACTTACTAATGTCGTGCTTCTTTTTTTCAATGTTTACGGAATGACAGTACATTACAGCAGCGAACGGCTCCACACCTCAAGCGAGCATGTTCTGGAAGACCTTGGGCTCCACAGCATCTTAAGCGAGCGTGCGTCTACCTTCTTACAGTTTACTCCTATTTCTTAATATGATATAAGAATTGAACACTGCGCTACCTGTAAGTTGCTCGTTCTGTACCCAAGTTAATCCTCATGGCTCACTTACCTCAACAAGAATCTGACAGTGACCGCGAGGATGATACTGCTACCGCCCGTGCCAAACGACGTATTGCGGCTCTGGAGCAAGAGCTCGAAACTATTAGGGCGAGCAAGCGGAGCAAGCCGTGAGTCCCCAACCCCCTTTAACTTGCATGACGAGCTCTTACTCATTTGGTTGTAATGCGCACAGATCCAACTCCAATGTACACAAAGGACGGGGAATTCGCCGGCTCGTTTCTCTGTTCGACAGCCTCGAGGACCTCGTGGCCGAAAACGATCGACGCGAAGACTTATTGCAATCCCTCGATTCCCAAGACGAGCTTGTCACGAGCCGAGAGTATGTTCAAGTTCTCATTCGCAGTGTAGCTGCCATATTCTGATGTGGACCAGTGAGGATAGGACATTCAGCTCGTTTAACGAACTCCTTCGTTGCCTCCCATGGCTAAAGAAGAAACTTTATTTAGATGTCGAGGAATTGGATTCGATTTTGAAAGAGGTGAACATTTCTTCTGGCCATACTTCTACTTTTCTCACTGTGTGTTCTTAGCTGCGAAAAGGCGCAGACAGCGCACGCGGGGACGACACCGCAAACCTCAAACACGCAGTAGTGTCATGGCTTACAGAGCTTTTCCATCCGTTGGACCCCCCCCTTCGCACCACAATCAAAGACGATCGGGGGTTTGTTCATAACACCACCGGCATGCTCTTGTGTCCGGTTGAGTATATGTGGTCCCTCTCTTCGTAAGTATCATTCACATGATTCAGCATTGATTTTATTTTCACTATTACCACAGGACCAAGGACAAGATTCGAGACAGGGATTCGGACTTCTTAGTCACCGCTTACTCTTGGCCAGCCTTCATATACAAAGACTACTCGTTTGACTCGGCCAATATCGAGAAAGGTCTCTTTCGTTCTACTCTCCTCCTTAAAGTAAGTTTTACCACATGTCGAGGGTAGCGCTGCTTATTTGTGCAGGCCTTCAAACACCTTTTTACGTCTCCGTCCTCCGCCAAAGAAATCGACGCTGATGGTAATGGCGCTGATGTCATCACGGCATCTCAACGCCGCCGGTCCTCGGAGAATGACACCGTCAACCGTAGCCACGTCGCTAATATCATCGGCATGAGGACAGTAACCCCGCGCGCCATTGCATACACCGCTTGTCAGGTTTGTTGACCTTTTCTGCTGTTGACCTTTTAAAACTGATTGTACGCATAGCTTCGTTTCGCCCTTTCCAATATCAACTCCTGGCGAAGTGTTGACGGAGACTTCGACTACTACGATTTCTACAACAACATTGTAGACTTTTTTGAGGTCGTACCGGGCGCTGATGCTCAGGCCCGCATCAACGAGTTGCTCAAATGGTGGAACAGGTAAATTTTCACTATTGTCGTGTCTCATATTCTAATTTTTCGCATCGCTTGCAGGAAAGTCTTTGGAAAGATCCGCACAGTTCCCCTTACTTCAGCACAGCTTGGGAAATTTTCAGTTGCGAGGATGAGTTCGCAGAGGGAAGCTCATGAGGGGGATTCTCCTTAACATACTAGTCACCTTGCGCGCAATTACCTAGCGGATGCCCGCACTCTAGATAACCAATTATTTCTAAATTTGAATATATATGTCTTGATGTTTCACTCCTGGCATAGCCTCTCTGAATGAACAATGTTAAATTTTGATGCGCTCAACCATGTCCTAGTCGCTTCTACCTGTCTTTGCTGACCGAAGTTATGCGGATGATCAACTTGCGCGTATGCGTTCAAACCTGGCAAAGCCCCTCCAATAGAACAATTTTTGCACATGTGTTCGAACCTGATAACGCCCTCCGAACGATCAAAGCTTCTTGGCGCGCTCAATCCTATCCTAAATGCTTCTACTTATCTTTCCGGACTGAATTTATGCTGTTTTGACTTGCGCACATTCATTCGAACCCTTGCAAAACTTCTCAGTCACATGCATTCATGGACATGGTACTCAAAGACTGAGCTCCTCTGGCTTTGGCACAAGAAAAACTCAAGATGGTCATTTTGAGCATAAAATAACAGATTGTAATCTGCTTCAAGCATGTTCAATGTGATAATACAGTAGAATTAATGATGTCCCGCAAAATTGCGCTCTAGAACTGAAGATTTATACAAACAGGGTTCCTATACATTGCAGGATATGTCAGACTTCAGAAAGACTGTGATGATACAATTACAAATTAAAGTCCATGAATTCCTTCCCGCTCCAATCATGTCCAATAGTTCTAATGACTCGAAAATGAAGCAGAAAAATTTGTGCCTGTCCGAACTGCGATCTAAATTTGTAGTGTTATGCAAAGAGGGATCCTATATATTCCATTGCGCGAATCGATCATTCCACCTGCCTATATTTCGCTGATGATTGACATTATGTAAGTTACTGGGGTATGTAGAGCATGGTCCATTTTTTCATGGGACAGTGATGCAAGCAAGGGGATCACGGGGAGGAGGAAGAATACTAGTGATATTTCCGCGTTTCCTGAGCTGCGCTACATGATCCTAGCTACTCCAACACGCAAAACCCGCGTTTTCGAATCCGGACAAATTTTGCGCTCATGGTCGAACCTAGGACGGGATATGGACAAGTTAGGGCCTCCGCCAACCTGAGTTCCAAAGGCATTATCAGGGATCTTGTCCAACACAAGGTTTTCCACAGCGCCTCATCATGAGCTGAGGCTCAGCTCAGAACGGCGTGAGTCCAGCCACTTGCCTTCAGCTCACTCCCTTGGGTCATGGGGCAAGGGAGTAGCACCACTGAACCATCAGAATGATATCCTTCGAGCAGTCTGCTTCAGTGGGCACGGGATATGTATCCCGCAAAAGAGTAGAAGCAGCTGTAAAAGCTGAGACAAAGTATAGAAATAATGAGGCTCGCTCCAGGGAGCTGGAGGAGGAACTCGCCTTGAAAAGGGGAGCAAGAAGTACGAGGTAGCGTCAAGCGCCCTCTAGGGAAACCAAACCGGTAAAAGCCTTGGTAGATTGAGTCCTTGACATGGCATCGAGCTCGCATCCGACCATGTTAACCCCAATCGATGGATCCCGTTCAGCAGGTCGCTCCTCGAAGTTACATTGGACAGGCGCTTGGTCCACTTAATAAATCAAAGAAAACCAAGAGTAAGAGGAGGCCTAAGCCAAAGGTATTTCATAGGCTAGTTAAAAGCACCACACCGCTAGTGCTGTATAGAAACAGAGAAACTGAAAGCCCTGCCGTCTGACTACAGCCGATAGCCATTGACAAGTGAATCCAAAGCAGCGCCTGATGCAATCTGAAACTCGTCTGTCCCACTGCTAATCATCTTGCCGCCCTTCTTCGACAGCCGGCCCTGAGCACGGACAATATCTTGCATCCGTTGCTCTGCGTCGCCGACATCGTGCTGCTTTGTAGATTTGACAGGACGCGAGCCACGACCTTTGGATGCACTAGATATTTTGTTCTTCCCGTCAGTGATCGTCTTCGGCGCTTCACGCAGCGCGAATGCTTTTGCAAGATGGCCGATATGAAGGTGCCGGACGTGGAAGATATGTTTCTCGTTCGAGGGATGGGTCGCATATGCTCTCATGTGAGAAGTGAATGCTCTCCGAGCCAGTTCAGCGTTCTGCAAAGACAACGTCAACGCACGCTCGACTTCCTCTCTAAATCAATGTTACCTCTTTGCGCCGCAAAACCCACCGTTCAAAAGAAAGTTGTACTTCTGTAGCGCGGGCCTCGTACTCGGTGCCTTTACCACCAAAGCCCTTCGCCAATATGTTCTCGATACTTGTGCCTGCGAGAGTGATGTCACTGTCGGGATGATCTCCGCTCATATCCCCCCGCATCTTCCCCTCCACCCATTTCACCCATTCAGACTCGCTGGGCGCGACAATACTCCAAGCTTCGCCACCCTTTCCTGCACGTGCTGTCCGTCCCACTCTGTGCACATACTCAGTCGCACCGCCTTCGGTCGGCAGGTCATACTGTATGACTGCACGAACTAGGGGTAGGTCGAGACCACGGGATGCCACAGACGTACAAAGGAGAATAGAGGACGTGGGAGCAGGTTTTTTGGACTTTGAGGAAGGAATGGCGGAGAATCCGCGCAGAGAGGCGAGACGGATTGGTGTAGGAAGGGAGCCGTGAAGACGGAAGATTGAGGCGCCCGGAAGGAGCGAAGACTGCGCAGCGATTTTATTCTCCTCTCGGTCTTTCTCCTCTTCAGCAGATTCATCGACCTTGTCGTCTTCGTCGTCACTCTTGTCCTTGTCAGACTCGGCACTTTCCGCCTTCTCGCCGTCCATCGATGAATCACCCAACAGGCGCCAGTGAAAATCCACCGAATCCGTGCAACTGAGGAATACGATGATTTTCGACCCCTTTTGTCCTTGTGTCTGTGCGAGCAAGGAGCGGAGAAGCGCGACCAGTGCGACAAGACGCATCTTGAGGGGAACAACGACATGTTTCTGGGATAGCTGTGATGGTGGAGTGAACTTCTCGGTACTGGTGGTAGCTGCCTCATTGTCGAGTTTTGATGTAGACGAATCCTCCGAATTCTCTTTGTCGAGGCCCTTGATTACCAGCGGCCGTATGAGAGTGGTGCCTGCCAGCTTCTGCACATCTTCGCGGATGGTAGCTGAACAAAGGATTGTCCGTCTCTGCCGATCCCAATCCCATCCTCCGACCTCGAAGCTCTTACCATCCTGGACAGCTTGGAACGCGAGCTTCCTCCTCCCATCTAGACCCTGTATGATCCCTTTGATAGTGTCTTCGAAACCAAGTTCCATCAAGCGGTCCGCTTCGTCGAGAACTAGCCATCTGCATTTTCCAACGTTGAAAGAAGATGTATTTTGCAGATGATCTAGTAGCCGACCTGGTGTCGAGACAAGAATGGGTATACCTTTCCGTAGACGCGCCTTCTCATGCGCACGGGTTGCGCCTCCGCTCAGCAAGCCGGAAACTAACCATCGAGTATAACGTGTCGAGCTCTCTGCCTCCTGTTCGCCTTCTGCACGCAGCTTCAGCGTTAATAGCGCTTCTAGGACGTCAGAAATTTGCTTCGCCAGTTCACGAGTAGGCGCGATTATGATTGCGAGTGTGCCTATTGAGCGGTCGATGTAGGAGTGCGTACTGAGGGGGAGAAGATCCTGGATTATAGGTAGGAGGAACGACATAGTCTTTCCGGAGCCAGTTTGCGATTGTATAAATACATCTCGTGCGTTTATGTCCTCAGAAGACGGGTTCGTGAATATGGGAAGGGCAGCGCGTTGAATAGACGTTGGTTTTGTTATGCTCATCTTGGACTGCAAGTGAGCGACGAGGAGGGGATGAAGACCCAGGTCTGCAAACGTGGCTGAGCCAGTTAATGGTGCGTTGCTAGGTTTAGAGGGTATTTTGTCGACAGCGGAGGGTATGGGTGCTTCAACTGTTGGATTGTATGAGAATAGAGAGGATATGATCTGAGTAGGCTTGGCTGGAAGTGCCGGACGGCGGTCCGGTGCAGAAGCTGCTTTGGTAGCAGGGAGGGACTTGTCAGGTCGCATCCGCTTCGCAGGGCGAGAGTGGTCATCATCATCACTGCCAGGATGATGATCAGGCTGGTCAGTCTTTCGTTTCTGGACTCGTTTAGCCTTCAACCTAGGCTATGATGATCAGCTGCACACAGTAGATCGGTTTTCCGCTCACCTGTCCGTCCAACGACCAGATTTTTTTGATGTTAGCTTTATTGGCACTGCAGATGCATACTCTGCAATGTTTAGGACAAGTTCATCGTCCATTTCCCCCTGCGGCGCTGATGTCAGTCTTTTGTAAATTTCTGTCTTGATCTCGAGAAGCAAGATGAATCGAAAAGGAATATTGTTCCCACATTTGATAACCTTTCTTTCTCAAAGTCAAATTGGATGAACACGTCTGCATTCACACCTTCACTACTTTGCTGCACAATATGTTCGGTCGGATTTCTCTTGCGCTCATTTTAATTTCTGTAGCTGCGATTTTCTGTGCGCAGTCTGCGGATGCAGCCAAGGGCCCAAGAATCACCAATAAGGTCTACTTCGATATCAAGCATGGTGACAAGGACCTAGGTCGAGGTTTGTGTCATACATTGAGACCGCCCGTTTACATCTGACAATGTTCAAACGTTTAACAGTTGTCATCGGTCTTTACGGTGGGGTATGTTGCTTTAATTATTCTGACAAACATGCAGTGGACTAATGCTCTTCCCAGACCGTTCCCAAGACAGTGGAGAACTTCCGTGCACTTGCAACTGGTGTCGGCAAGGATGGTAATGAGCTCGGCTACGGTTACAAGGGTTCCAAGTTCCACCGCGTTATTAAGAACTTCATGTGAGTTACTTGCCTGTTGTTTTTGCGGACATTCACCTAATATCTTCTTTTCTCAGGATCCAAGGCGGTGACTTCAGTATGTGTGCCATCGTCATCTCATATGCTCCGAGGCTGACTTGGTCTGACTTTAATAGCCCGAGGTGACGGCACCGGTGGAAAGGTAATTTAGGGCCAATCGCGGCATGCACGTCACTTACCCAAGTCCTTCAGTCCATTTACGGCGACCGCTTCAAGGATGAGAACTTGTGATTGCTTCGTCATTGTACTTCCTGTTTTCAACTCTGACATCTACTTTCAGCAAGCTCAAGCACACTGGACCTGGCACTCTTTCCATGGCTAATGCAGGCAAGGACACCAACGGTAAGTAAGCTTTCTCGCCTTGATCCTGTCATTAACATAGCTTATCTAGGATCTCAATTCGTAAGCCGGTAATTGCTGCCAACGAGCTTTACTGAGTTGTTTTCTAGTTCATTTGCACTATTGTCACCGGCTGGCTGGACGGTAAACACGTGAGTTCGGTGTCACTTTTCTTCACGACTGTATCGTCTGAGGTCCGTCGAACCAGGTTGTCTTCGGAAAAGTCCTGGAGGGAATGGACATCGTATACGCTATCGGTTCGCTTCATATTATTTCTACAGCACCATTAGTTCTGACCTCTACTCAGAGGACGTTCCTAAGGGAAGCAACGATCGTCCATTGGAAGATGTCGTCATCTCCGACTCTGGAGAGGTATGTTATTCAACTGGTCAGTGATATATTCAGCGTATTTATCCCATGTTTCTAGTTGCCAGTTGAGCCTGCTATGGATGAGGGAGGAAATGAGGTACCCCTACATGCTGAGCTATGATTCAGCTGCTTCTGTGTCCCTTGAGATCTTAATGCAAATAAAATATTGTTGCTTGCCAACAGGATATCGCCACCGTACCCGTGAATTCCATAACTTCGTCAGCCGAGGCTGAATTGCCTGCCTCCACACCCATCTCGCCAGCGTCTGGTGAGAAGACGAGCCCTGCGGAGTCGGCTCCCTCTCCAGTTTTGGATACCACTGATCCTGACATTGTGGAGGATCTTGCTGGGTCGTCGGACCGTCTGAGATACGCAGCTATCTTCTTGGTGGTCGTCGTGGTTGCAGTGGGTCTGTGTGCTTGGTGTGGCGGCGGACTCCGTCGTTTCAAAGGCATATTACAACGTGCAGATCGTGCGCATTACAAACGCGTTGGGGACGAGGATTTGGAGAAGTAAACGCAATAGATGTTTGCAGTCGGCGGAGTATACCAGGCCATGAAATTTGTGCAATGTACCATAGATATATACCTTGCTTGGCTAACACAACTGTCGTTTCTCCATACGAAGTCCATCATAGGAGCTCTTTACCGAAGTGTGAGTCAGTGCCGCAATCATGATTCTGTGAGTTCTTAACAGGCGTCTTCTTAGAATCTAGCTCCTATAAAGTGATTGTTCTTCGGACTTCATCAGACTTACTTCCCTGTTTCTATGTTGTTCCCATGAAATGCCTACAATCTGTGGGGGTCGCATAGTTCTCCCTTGCACTGATTGGAAGTGGGAGTTGTGTTGTGGACACGTCGGCGCGTCGTAGTGAGCACGTGCATTGTTTTTTTTGGTCCCCTCAGCCGAAGTAGTTACGTCTGCAACTGCATGCTGCAGTTATAAGTTAACGCCACGTTCACGCACACGATCTTTACACGCAAACCTCGAATTCAGCCTACTCCAGTGCACATAGATCTTGTATCATATTTCATTCAGCGAAATGTCAGTTGATGTGCGTTATGCAGCATTCGGAGGAATAACAGCGATCCTCCTCTTCGGAACACTCTACTCTGTCACATACGACACTTATCTCGACACCTCCAATCCCCTCCTTACACACCTCCCTCACCACCTACATGCGACGCACTATTTTGCAAACAAAGCCAATATCCTCAATTCATATTTCATCAAACGCGCCTGGGGCTGGACTTCCGCCGCCTTCCTCACCCTCTGGCTCACAAGCCCACCGCACAAGCGCACAGCGCACAGAGTAGTCAAGTGGGGCGTAGAAACAGCCGTATGGCTCGTATTCACAAGCTGGTTCTTCGGACCTGCCCTCCTCGAAAGGCTCACAGCAGCTTCGGGAGGCGTGTGCACGGTCACCCTCCAGCCTTCTGGCGCGGTGGTCACTATCCCGAATGACTACTGTCTCACCCGGACGGCGATATCACTAGAGACACATCCATCCTTGTTTGCAGAGTCGTTTGCTGAGTCGTTATGGGTGCCGGATGATAGGTTGCCGGTGCTCCCGCGTCTCAGGAAGGGACATGACGTCTCGGGTCACGTCTTCCTCCTCACTATGTCCGCCTTGTTCTTGGTGGACCAGATCAGGGTGTCTCTGCGCGCGAGGACGTGGTCGCTCGCGCATGCTTGTGCAGTCGCGTTCAATATCGTGCTCGTCGCGATCTGGTTGTTTGCGGTCTCCACCACCAGCGTGTACTTCCATTCACCATTTGAGAAGTTCACCGGATATCGTACGTCCTGTTTCATTGTAGGATCAACACCATGCTTACTATGTTTACAGTGTTGGGAGTCGCGGGTTATATGGTGACTTTGTTGTTGTAGTATACCAGCGGGATTCTATTAGTGCTATGGATGTAATATTTCTACATAGCTACCCCATCCGCTTGTAGTATACTGTATTATACAAAGTCGACGTCGCTCCAAACTCATCAGATCCATGTCAAAGCGTGTGCGAAGAGCTCGTACTGGTCATGCAATGTACGCTACGCCATTCATTATACGGGCGATAATCATGTAAGTATCGGATAGTCTGACCAAAGTCTAACGGTCAATCAATGTCAAAAGAACAGCCAGCCAATCAAAGCCCACGTAACAACAGCAGGCAGCGCAACGCTCATGCTGTCACCCGCCAGCCTCCATACCATGCCCCTCCGCTTGCCTCTGCTGGTACTGTCGTTGTTCAAAGACGCACCAAACCTCCTCATTTCCCCCCACGTCGGCAGCGCAATCGTCACCCGCCGTCTCCTCTCTCTGAACACGAAACTCCAGCTCCAGCTCCACGATGACCATTTCCTTTCTGATCGATGCGCACTCGGCGAGGGAAGGAACGACGGCGCTTCGTGAGTGTCCTCGCCAGAAGGCCAGATATTGTCGTTGTGATGTTGCGATGGATAGTGTACGGGGTTCATCTCGTCCTCATGTCCGGCGTGGAAAAGCGGGATGGGGCTCAGGAGCGGGGAATCAAGCGGTGACCCAGGGGTTGAGGACGAGGACAAGGCACGGAATGTGAATATTTCTTTTGCACTGGAGACACGCAGTGAGGGTGGGAGTGCCGTCGACGGAGTTGTCGGTCCGTTTGACCTCCGTGGGGACCAGTTGCTCCATATTGCGGACTCTGGGCCTGGCGGCGGGGAACCTGGTCTGCTCCTGCTGACGGAGACAGGCGAAAGAGTGGAGGAACGGCGATGGTGCCTGTCGGGTGAAATATTAAAGTACAACAGCGCAATCGCGGTGAGCACGAGTGCGGGGACGTATATTGAGCTGAAGATGCGAAAGGTATCGGGCAGAAGACAATGCGCATCTGCGAACGTAGGGCCATGGGGTGATACGGCAGAGTCTGGATGGACGAGGGAGAGGAGCTGGAAGCCCGGGCGTCGGATGTGCCTGGATGGGGAGAATGATTTTACTGTCACTTCGCGGACGGTGGTTTTTGCCAATATATTGGCATCTGTTGAACGGAGTTGGTGGGTGATGTTGCAGTAATCTCGATTGTCGCCGCTGTATAGGGGCGTGCAATATAAACACGGGAATGTGGGGCTGATGTATTTTTATAAACGTACCTGAATACCACTGCTGGATGAAGTGTGTGCAGAACAAATCTGGTGGTCTGTTTGCCAAGCATGTTCTGATAGCCATGACCTGCACTAGCTCGTATAGAGCCTTGTTCTCGTAGTGGTCCACACGATGTACTTGCTGGTCGGGACAGTGGAATATGGCTGAATAAGATGATAGGGCTAGACGACGCTAAAAATAAACCCAACATCAGCGAAACGCATACAGGAAATGCAAGACAGCGCCCACCCTTGATGGCGACAGAGGCGATGAACTCAATTGGACCTCCAACAGCTGGAGTCCAAGTCTCATACTGCTTGCCCATCCCATGCCGACGGTAATCCTCATCAACTAAACCAGGGGCGTCGATGAAGAGCAGCCTATGGCCAGCCAGATTAACCTCCTGATTCAAAGGTCCAAAGTACTCGGTAAAGTATTTTCGCGAATTCTTGGAGAAAGTAGAGGATTCTCCGAGACTGGAAAGCACGGGCCGTATCACTAAGCTCCCGAATGACCACGTCACAAGTTAAGGACATACCCTACATCTCTATTCCCTGGAACAAAATAGTTCGGGACGGATTTGTCGGTTGAGAATATCCCTTTGAATTCATCCACGTAGTTTTCATACCTATCGGGAACACGAGACCGATTAGCGCATATAAGAAGGTGGTCGCAATAGCGACACGTACTCATCTTCACTCGTGACGTAGCGTCCAGAGGCAAGGACGTCACCCAGCCATACAACTGCGTGAGGATGCAGGCGAGTTACGACGCTCCAGCCTTTCCGCAGATATCTCGTAGAAGATGCACTATAGCCGAACCATGAAATCCCTGAACGCCTTGGATTGGGGAGTTGGGGGTCTGAAATTAAGAGGACTCGGGTTGGCTTTTCGGTGGATCCAGCCTTGACAGCACATCATTATGATGAAGACAGAACGCCGCACGCGGACTCACCTCCTTCAACTCCTTGTCTGGCCACTTGCAATCTGATAAACTGTAGAAAAAGACACCGAACTCGCACCAAATGACTAGTATGACCCAGAAGAAGCGTAGGAGGTTGATGATGGTGTTTCGCGATAGAAGACGCGAATTCCTCGTGCGCCTTTCATGGATAAAGCTCATTCCGCATCACTTGTAAGTGAGGAATTAGCAAGTGTAAGGCAAAACCGAGATTCGGTTGTAAGAGATCAAGCAGAAATGCTTTTAGGGTGGCTAGGGCTCGCTTGATTGAAATCAACGTAAATAGCACTCAACATCCTGTGTACCGGCCCCGAGGGTATTATTATAAGCTCGTCCAGACCACCATACAATTACATGTAAGAACATTTATATCTCACTCCCAGTCACTCTCCTCTTCCTCGTCTTCATCCTTCTGTACATGTTCCTGTGCATCTCCCGCAACACTGACGTTACCAGAAACAACATCATAACTGTCCTCGCTGCTTTCCCTAGGACTCATGGTCATAGGAGTATTGAATTGTGAGGAATTTGGAAGCGATTGGACGTCACTTGTATCTGCCGCTTTCGGTGCCAAGGTTCGTTGTGATGACGTTGACGATTCGAGCGCTCCGAGGGATTTAGATTCAGGGGCGACGGATTCGTCGTCGTCATCTTCCCAGCTGAAATCTTCTTCAGTCTGGTTTGCTCCTGTGAAGATGTAAATCAATAAATATGCTACAGTGAAAACACAACAGTCATGTACCGTGAATAAGAGCCTTGCGTCTCATTTCTTCTTGCTCGATCTGATACACGCGGAAGAAGTATCGTGTCCAGAATTCTTCGTCAGAAAGTATGGAAGGTACTGAGGCAGCGATTAGTGGCGACATTGAGGATCAGAATAGTCAACGTACCTAGCACATCAAACGTCTCCTGCAGGGTTTGACCGTCATCTGTATCAGACAGCGCGCTTGCGACGCGTTCTGACCAAGCTTTAGTACCAAAGTGTTCGTCCTTGCTCTGCACCTCAGACACCCAAGTATGGAACGTCCCACTCGACGCTTCAGCCTCGGGATCAAGCTTCATGATCTCGGGATTGCTCTTCAGCTGCTTCAACAGCGCTTGCGCACGAGTCGCCACAGCCTGACGAGCGTCTTCACTCTGCCGCCTTGAGGGAACGCCCGAATCCGTTTCCTTGCCCTTGCCCTTCACATCCCCTCCTTCCGTCGGTAGCATCCATACGTCAGTTCCATCCCAAACCAAACCCTGATTCGAATATCCACTGCTTTCCTCTGGCGGAATTACTTTCACCGCATCCCGCAGGGCTTCACTGGCTTCCTTCATAGCTTCCCGCAGCAGATGTTCGCTCTTGTGGACATATTCCTCAGCCTGTGTACGCGTCACCCCCTGGACGCGCTGAAATTCGGTAGTTAGCGTCGTCCGCAGCTGCGAAAGATCGATGTTCTGTGGGTGTTTAAGGCTTTCCGGAAGCTGAGCTTGGACTGTCGAAACGATATTAGGCGGAAGCGAAGATTGGAGGCGCGCAAAGAATGATTGTGAAGTTGAAAGTGAGTCTGCTGCGCTGGGCGATTCGGCGGTGGGCGTCTCAGGAGCCGTACCACACTCGCTCTCGCTCTCCTTGTCAGAGTCGTCCTCAGCCTGATCAGCGGGGGTATCGGCAGGAGTGTCGGTTGATATAGCGAGCTTGCCAAGCTCCTTCTGCGCTTGTGTGACTACCTCGCCGAGATCCTTGCGCGCAGTCGCGAACGCAGTTTCGCTCTATCAGATCTTCTGCGTGAGTTTCGATTGTCGCAATCATAGAGCATATGTGAACGTGCCTGCTTCCTAAATCCTCCCCAGAACTTTCCGAGCTGGCCGATGACCTGAGAAACCTCTTCGTTGAGGCTCTGTTCTGCGTGAGCATTCACGGGCGGCGTGTTCGCACCCGTCCCAGTCAATCCATAAGTGTCAAAGAAGTTCATGGTCAATGTTCATCGATTTATCAAGGAAGGTTGCGTGCATGCGGCGACCCAACAGAGACTAGTCACAACGTGATCCACGAACGCCCGAATAGGCAAGTTTTCAAGCCACAAAGAGGTACATTTTTGAGACAAGTACAACAAAAAAAGTCCATCAATCACCGGAAGAAACTACTCTAGTATCGTACACATTTATTCATGGATATGATGAGAACGGTTAGAAATATTTCAAGCAGCAACTGCGACACGGGCAGGCTGTTCCGCCATGAAAGTCGCAGCGTCTATGGTATTATCCACAGGCGCTTGAATATTCTCTGCTTTGTACACACGGCATTCATCAAGGAAGTCGGTGAACATCTGCGCGATGAAAATCAGCAACAGCTAAGCTAGATGAATGACGAGAACAGACCTCAATTGTGTCGAGGGGACCACCTGCACTCTCGGGATGGAACTGAACACCCCACACCCTCTTGCCAGACTCAGGGGTGGACCTGATGCCCTCGACGGAAGAGTCGTTGCAGTTGATGAAATATGGTTCCCAGCCTTGCGGGAAGGGGTCGGACAGCTTGAGAGCATACTGGTGGTTTTGACTAATGACGCCATTTAGCATCATCCATGACTCATAATAACTGGTGAGAGAAGGAACGCATACCTGGTGACATAAACCCTTCCAGCTTTAATTGAACGTGCAGATGCGAGAGCGAGGACAGGCTGGTTGTGTCCACGATTGCCGAACGTCATGCGGTATGCCTCGAGGCCGGCAGCCATACCAATAATCTGATGTCCCATACAGATGCCAAACACTGGCTTGTCCCATTCCTGAAGTGTCTTGCGAAGTATCGAAACTGCTTCCATGCATTGGCCCGGGTTTCCGGGGCCATTGGTCAGAAATAGACCATCGAATTTGTTGCGAACGGAGTTAAAATCGTAGTTCCATGGCAGTACTGTGACTGCGGCATTCCGGCGAACAAGGGAACGCAGGATATTGGCCTTGACACCGAAGTCTAGAACTGCGATCTTGATATCGCCAGTAGGGTTAAGCTGGTAAGGATGCTTTGTTGAAACCTGGTCGACAAGATTCTCAATGGAAGGGTCCCAATATTGCTCGGAGGCAGGAGCAGGAGCGGAAGCATCAGCACCAATAGCAAGGCGGCCGAGGGTGGTTCCTTGATCACGAAGAAGGCGTGTAATTGCACGTGTGTCTACGCCGGTGATAGCGGGAACATTTGAGCGGCGACACCATGATGCCAATGATTCCACCGCGGAATGATGAGAAAACTTTTCTGCGACATCAGCTACCACAATAGCACTGCATTGGATGCCCTCGGATTCCAGGACCACACCAACGTCCTGAGAGTTAATTGGTGCTTTGTTGGACGGAATACCGTAGTTGCCGATGAGGGGTGTGGTAAATACGAGAATTTGACCACGGTAAGAAGGGTCAGTCATGGACTCGGTGTCTAAAGAATGAGGCAATGAGAAGATTGCGGATGATATGATGAATATTTCGACATACATGACGTGATGGATGTTGAGAAGACAGTCTCGCCGAAGACGCTCCTGGGAGAGCCAAATGAACGGCCATGGAAGGACTGGCCGGTTTTGAGATGTAAGACTGCTGGTAAAGCTGAGAGGGGCCCTGTGTGTGTGGCAAAGCCCCTGGAGAGAGTGGTTGGTACACGAATAATGGATCGCATCAACATGATCAAAATCCGATGAGGGAGAAGACGAGGTCGCCGAGATAGCTAAAGGGCGAAGTTGTGAGGAGTAATTGGGCTTAAAAGCAAAATACATACTCGTCGCGTGTGTTCTGGGTGAAGATCATAGACGAGCTTAAAAGCTCAAAAGGATAATGCAGCTGGAGATTGCTGACTGTCAGAGGGAACTGCAGAAAAAATTTGACACCAAGACGACGGCGTTTATATAGTCGCTGTAATCGTTGGTCGTTGTTTGCACACCAAAGCGCGTGATCTTCGTTTGCCTTTTTTAAGTATCCATCCCCCTAATCCACGAAATTTGAAAGTCACAAAGTTTGACATGTTCCTACGCCAGCATGATGCCCCACATGTCCAGTTGACCCCAGTACCGATTTGTCCACCGTGTGATATTTTTTCACAAACGTCTTAGATCGAGCAGGTCATGCAACATTTCACAGGTGCTGACACGCACTCTGTTGACACGCACAGTACCCCCAGTAAATCTCATCATTCCTAAATCCGATCTAACTTGCATGATCTTCCCTAGGCTCGTGATCAGTCGCCCCCACGAGTGGACCGAGTGTCAGGGTACGTTCATTCCAATCACTCGTCACGAAGGACAGCGAGCAGGCGGTGACGAGACTCTATGATCGATAATTCTGTTGAGAATTGACGCAAGTATGTAGATGGGTGAGGCAAGTCCAACGGATTGGATCGTCAAGATAGAGTTCCGTAAATTGACAAATCGTCAATAATTCATAGACGCCAAAAGTCCTTTCGTCTTTTTCGAGCGTAGCTTCCCTGCCCTGTTCGCATCTGGAATATGTGACTGGCCCTCGTCATCAGATTCGGATGACGAATCGTCGTCGTCGTCATCATCCACCTGCCCTCCCTTACCATTAGCCATAGTGCCGGGACCAGGCCCAACCGGAGTACTTTGGGAGAAGAGAGCCCCCTGACTCGCGATATCTGTGAGTCTGCGATAGGGTGGTATCGATCTGCGCATTTTAGCATTCGTCGTCTTCTTCTTCTTTTCGCCTTCTGCCTCTGCCTCAGACTCCGAGTCCGAAACCACCTCCATGCTTTTGTGTACAGACGCATTATACTGTGAGTATGGAAAGGGTACCTGGCTTGCAGGCAACGTGAAAAGTGGTTCGCTGACCCTGGCTGTTAAATCATCATCAGAATGTTCCCCCGCGCCATTTGGATCAGATGCTTTGCCAGCAAGCTCGCCCAGTATTCCGCCCAGCCCAATAGGAGAACCATCCGAATCAAGTTCGTCTGTCATGATGGACGGCGAAAGTTCGCGAAGGGCAGACCATTTGGCAAGGGAAGCTGGAGGTTTTGGTAAAGGTTGTGAATGGGAGGGTGTTGCGTTATGACCCTTCAAGTTTGCGCTCCTTTTGACTGGTTGCGAAGACATGCGAACGGGTTCTGTCCGTGTTGCTCCCTTACCGCCGCGAATTGACAGTTTGTCAAGGCCTGTCCGAGTGACAGCACGATTCTTCTTTTTCTCCTCACCATCCGCTCTCTGGGTTCCATTGACCTTGGACTCATCAGCACGTACAGGGAATTGTGATGGGCTGGGAAGTTGCCCATGTCGATTCCTCATCAGCTTTGCTAGGCTAGGCTTTGGAGTCGAGTGGGCTGCTGGAGAAAGAGGTCTTGTAGTTTTCAGACCCGGCGGTGTCGTAACTTCGATGGGATCATTATCAGATGTTAGCATTTGCCGGAATTCCATCAGATCGTCGGCTGGTTCAATGGGGTCATCATTAGTGTCGGCCTTGTTATGAGGGAGCGCTGTACCGCGGGCAGGTGATGTATCTGATGCTTTGTCCAGGTCTACAGCATCAGGTGCTTCATCATCATCTTTGGCCGAGTCTTTGTCGCTATCTTGAACCTTTGACACAGAAACACGGGTGTCGTCCGTGTCAGAAGCATCTCTTTGCACACCATCTTTCCTGCTTCCAGCTGGGTCTGTAGCGTTGGACGTCTCATGAGCATCCGCAGAAGGTTGCGGCGCGACAGTTGAAGGCAACGGGTAGGAAATGTTCTGGTTCGGCTGCGGCATTGAACGCTGCTCGCTGTCATCGTCATCCTCCCCTTCCTCTTCAGATGATTCTGCCCGGCGTTGCGAAAACGGACGATACTTCCGCTCATTCTTGCCGTCGTCTTCCACTTCCAGGAGCCCAATATCACCGTCTTCATCCTCGGTGTCAGATTCATCTTCTTTCGACTCCATGGTCTCGATCAAGTCGCGAATTTTGATTGGCGTCGGGCCCCGCATGATCGCGTCCAAGTCAACGTCATCGAGCGAAGGTTGGCCAGCCTCATGTTCATGCTCCTCTTGTACTGGATCATCTTGTTCTAGCTCCTGAGCAAACTCGTCTTCTTCCTCCGAGCTACTTCCTTCGCCGCGGCTCTCCACAGTCACCTCTGAAAGTAGCGAGTGACTTGGCACAAGGGGCGTCCATGAAGGAGACTCCTTATCGACTTTCGTAGCTTCCCCTTCAGACTCTTCGTCACTCTCCAAGCGCTTTTTTGACGGCTTCGTAGTATCTGATGCGTTGCGTTTTGCAAAAGACACTGCAGCGCTAGAAGACTTTAATAGCGACTCCAAATCCTTGATGGTGAGTTGATGCTCCTTTGCCCCTGCTTTCCTCAGTTCCTCAAGTCTATTCTGTATCGCTTCCTGGCCTGCCCTCACGGTTGGGCACTGATACAAGGGATGAAAGGAACCAGAGCAAGCATGACAAAGCGGACTAGATGACACACCACCTTTCGTGGTCGTAATTACAGGGGGCGCCGGTGAAGTGGACGGCTGGGAATCGTTAACCGAATTCACCTCAGCATTGGTATCATTCTTTTTAGCCTTTTCCTCCGATGCACGTGCTATCGAATCCACAATGTCTTGAATATTTATTGGATTATGAGGTTGGCCAGCTATTGATCTAGCATTGGTTAGACCGTGACCGCTGTCAGAATGAGTTGCGCACCATCTGCATCAGAAGCCTTGGGTTTGGTCGGTTTGCTTTGCTTTGTCTTCTCTGTTGAACATCAGAAAGCGCTGGATCAATGCATGATACCACGCACTTTCTTTCGGGGCTGGAGCCTCTGAAGCGTCCGCAATTGTAACTTTCTTGCGGCCTTTCGTTGAAGCTGTATTAAAATTATCGGTTACAAGGAACTTCTGATGAAACCGGATGACGAACTAGATGTCTCAGGAGCTGGTTCGCTTTCAACTTCTTTACCTTTCACTTTGCCCTTCTTCTTCTCTAAAGGTAGTCAATCAAGACATGTTTAATCAATGTGTGCAACTCCTGCGTACTTTCAGAGGCTGCTGCGCCGTCAACTGCACCGTTCTTGGATTTCACGCTCCCAACTTTTGGAATGCGATATTCAACGTCCAGAAGCGTGGAAGGGATACATGTGCCTACCAGACTGAAGATCCAACGAGTGTGCGGCAATCTTCTTCACCCTCGATGATTTCTTCGCCGTTTCCGAGGGACCAGAAGCAGCTGGAACTTCCTTGTCATCTGGTACTGTTAGTTTCGAGGTCTCCTTTGTCTTTTCTGTCTCCTTCGCCTTCTTGGTCTTCTTTGGTGGTTTCTCTGCAGCATCCTTGGCCGTACTAGCCTTGGACGTCCTCGGCTTCTTCGGCGGTGCTCCACCAGTGGGGGCTGGTGCTTTGGTGCTGATCAAGACTTCGGGCTTTGCAGAGGGCTTCAGTGAGGATGCTGCTGGAGCACTGACTGAGGCCAGCTCCTCTATTCTCCCAATGTTCGCCATAAATTCTTCTACAAAATTGTCCTCAGGGACGACCTTGGAACTTTTCGCAATTTCCGTATGCCTGGGAGCAATGCTCACTGCAGGCTGATCTGTCTTCCGTTTCTTAGTCTTCGGTTCGGGTGCCACAGACGCGTCGCCATCCTTGGGCTGGATATTACTGGCTTTGCGTTTCTTCTTGGCAACGCCCGTCTCCGAAGCTTTCGACGCGTCACGCGTGCTGGTGGAAGATGTGGCTCCGTTTGCTGGAGGCGTTTGCTGGAATGGGTCAACACGAGCCAACCACACGCGAACCACTGGGCTTACTGAAATCTCCACCGTCACATCAACCAACTTCATCAATCTAGCCCGCGCGGAAAATGCGTCGAAATCATCATCTGGAGCAAAATGACGTCAGATAAGAGGTACCAAACCGCAGAGCCGGCGTGTTTACCATCGTCTAAATCAATAACCTTGCTGCCACGCAGCTGCTTTAGCTTGACCGTCGAGTTCGACGGCAGCTGCAGTTTTCGCCGTACCACATTCTGTATTTCTTCCAGAGATTGTTCTGTATATACTGAGATGAGCACAAAGCCACCCATAGTGAGTTAGGGAGGGGGTACCCTTGAAAAGTCTATCAAAAGATCTTTCTCCAACGAGATATGTAATGCTCGGTAGCAGGTCCTCTTCTCGCTTTCGTTTTCCGCTTTGCACTTCCATTGCAGCGGGATGAACGAGCGACGCGACAGCCTGTGACAGTGCGTGGCTTGGAGATGTGGGCGTCGATGGGTGTCGGGCTTTTCTAGAGGAGCACTTTATAAACAAACGCAAATATCACCCTCAACCCGGAACATTCATTATGGCTGGTGGAAGTCATCGTACGTGACGCTCAGCTCGTCCTTTTTGCTGCGCTCACGATGTATTTGCAGCTTCAGGTTTTAATCCTCATCTTCCCGGGTTCAGATACCAGTTCCTTGCGAAAGCACTTGGAGCCACTATGTGGTTCTTCATTTTATATCGGGCCCGGTAAGTCCCAACACTCTCTATCTACAGCCGCATGCTAACTTCTTATCAGTGAGGACGGACCTAAGCTTCTTGTATTTATCCTGTTCTCCTCTGAATGCTACTTTGTGTCTCTAACACGCTATTTTTACAGGGCCTCCGGCATCCATGGGAGGGCCATGGTCATGGCCACCACGACGAGCACTCAGAGCATCATTGACCATCTCGATAGAAATGTTGTAATCTTTTGGGTATTCACTGATATATCCGCATTTTGTTTGCACCATAGGATTGAATTGGCCTCAAAATGAACTTTCATTATCTATCGTCCTCGCTGCCAACAATCGATGACCACTAGAAGCGAATCCATTATTCGTGCTCCGAGCTCTTGACCCCCAAGTGTCTCGCGCCGAGATCTATATCTTAAACCCAATCTCTCGCCGATCCTTTCGCCCCATGGTTCATGAGCAGGGAAATAATTCAGATAGCTGTCAACGCTTCATGTTTGCAAGAACATATACTAATGGGAATCCATACCAAAGCCAATCAAGTGCACAGTCTGAGGACTTGCATATGAATATTGACTCGTGTGTAAGGTGTTCATGATCATCTATCTGCGTCTCATCATAGTTGCAGCGTTCATATCACATCTCAGCAGAGCTATCATGGCGGTCTCTTGGTCATGAGCGCCTCCAATACCCCTGCCGTCTGTTCTACGTAGGCTAGTTTTTGGGCTGTTGGCCCAAAGTTCGCGAAGTCTCAGATTGCAGCTGTATTACCCACGACCGACTTATCAAAGATGGACTCCATTACGCGGAATCTATCTACAACATATAATCTTACGAGGTCCTTGGAACGGCGTCCACCTGCGTGCATCTACCATGTCTTTCGCATGCTAAAGCGCAAACGTTGGGCCCGCTATGTCTGTCGACGCCTGCGATTGTAGTGCTTAGTTGGATCTTCTTCGGCCCCCCGTGGATCCCATTGAAAACGAGCCAATTCCAGGACCTGAACATCTTGAGCATGTGCGGGACCATATAGAGCCTCAGAGGTAAGCCGGGCTTACATTTCCCCAGTGACTATATACTTAATTCGAGTTAGATACTTTGGCGGCACTTGGTTGTGAACTCTCCCCAACGCGGAGCGCCTCCTCCCTCGTCATACGCGCAGCCTCTATGCGCATCTTGACTGCATCCCGAAATACCACCCCGGGCTTGGCGGGAAGTCTATGGTCGAGACTTTACATCTCGAAATACCACCTCGGGCTTGGCGGGAAGTCTACGGTCGAGACTTTGCATCTCGAAATACCACCCCGGGCTTGGCGGGAAGTCTACGGTCGTGGCTTTGCGTGTATTCTTAGCCACGCTCGTCTCTGAAGCTTGTAAAACATCCACCGCGCCGGTGAAAATGTGGCTTCATTTGCGGCAGGAGGAGGTTGCAGGAGCGGGTTAACACAAGCTGACTACATTCAAATCACCACGCTCAATGAGATATTTACCTTCACATCCATCGACCTCCCGATTCTCGCCCACACGCAGAATGCATCGAAATCGTCATCTGGAGCAAATTGGTGTTCAGATAAGAAGTGTTGTAATGCAGAAACGATGCATTTTACCATCATCCAAATCAATGAATGCGCTACTGCTTTAACTTGACCGTCGAGTTCGACGATAGGTGCAGTTTTGTTCTCACCACATTCTTGATTTCCATGAGAGTTGCAACGTTGAACGTTGAACATGATCCCCATACAAAGTTGGTTTGGGATATATGTACCTTTGAACACTCTTTCGAATTTCCTGTCTCTAGGTCTCGTTTTCCACTTTACATTGCGGGTTGAAGAGGAGGCAGTCCTGACCACAGATTGCCAATAACAAAAAGTTCTGAACCAATAGTCCGACCTGCCTGGCTCGAACAGGCGACCTCAAGATGAATTGTTTATCCATTACAGTCTCGCGCTCTTCCAACTGAGCTAAGGTCGGTTAATGGCCCTCATTATATTTGATTTATAAACAAGTGACGGCAGACTGATTGACGTCGATTGACGTTTGCACCTAGCACAAGCTACTAGCCAAGATTCCACCCAAAACTAGTCTGATGGGCAAACAGAACAAAGACGACATCCCCAACCCAAGTAGAGTCGGCAATCGTGATATCATCCAACGTCTCAACTTCCTTTACCAAGCCAGTGTTCTCCTCAATGCCGTGACAGCTGATCTTTCGGAGGTTCCGTTTAGCCCTTGCGAGACTAACGACACGCACAACCCACCAAAGAAATGGCAAAAGAGGGTCGTGTCTACTGCGGAGCTATCTAGGAGCTACATAGACACGATGAAAGTCGTTGGGCAGAAAACGAATGTCAAGATGTGAGCACATGCATTACACACTTCATATCGGATCGTAGAGCTAATAGAAGGCAGCGATCCAACAGTCAAACGCGTTATATGTAAGGGATGTCATATCGTGTTGATGCCCGGCGCCTCCTCGACTGTGCGGGTGAAGAGTGCGTGTTGAGTATCCATTTTTTTTTGTATATGTGTTCATCAAGTCGCCGTCATATCCAGATTCCGCGTCGCACAGGCACCTTATCATCCACACTTGTAAGTCGTGTAGAACATCACGACGAATACCTGCGCCTCCAGTTTTGGATGCGAATGAACTTCAACCGGAATCCACCACGACGGACCCACTAGCTCCCGGAGCTATTACTGAAATTACTTCAATTCCACGGTCAGCACAGCGTAGACAGAAGAGGCCACGTGCGCTCCGTCTGCCGCCCCATTTTGATCGAGACCTCGGTCATGTTGTTTTCCGAGGAAATGAGAGGTTGCCCGATGCCACTCCGTGATATCAAATTGGATCATTCTATGACTTGTCGTCCCCCTACTTAATCCGTCGATGGCCCGAGTTGGTCAATTCAGTGAGTCAATTGGCCATCTCACACTGCCACGTTGCCTATGACGACTGTGAATAACATTACTCAGTTCCCCTCAACAGGTTCGAAGAACAGTGGAGATCACGTAGGCGGCGGCGGGGAATACCCACGAGAAGTTCAGAGTTTACGGCTTCAGCACTCTAGTAACAGCATCTCAAAGTTTGGCTGTCCTACACTCATCTCAAGATCTCTTGATGCCAGGACCGTTCTACGTTTCACGATGTTCTGAGTTTTCTTTTGCTAAGTCCACCCTGAGGCTATCACACATGTGCTAAGTCGCCGGTCGTTCCTCCTCCACAAGCTTAAATCTGATCAGACCGTATTTCACTGGGCTCACACAAAACCTATGGCTGGATTCGTTGTACACGCTCACACACAAAATTAAACACACCCACAGAGTCACATTTATATACTTACACACTCAGAGTCCATGCGACTCGACCGTCGCAGGTCGTCACCCAAACCCGAACTCAGCTGTTCGCTGCCAAATTTAAGTTCCATATACCACAGGTGAGACGACTTTTTAAGTTGCCCTCTTTCTTCCTGCATCTAATGCAGGATTACACAGTTGGAAAGCCGAACGTCCTAATCTTGGGAATACCATATCCAGAGCTTTACATTGCACCATTGCTTATTTGAGGGACACGAGCGCATTCGAGTCTCGGCCTTCTCTGCTTCAGCTCAGCGCTCGGAGATTGTCAGTAGCTCTAATCACGGAACAAAAAATTGTAGTCTATGTTTGGTCTATGTAAGTGTGTGGTGTGTATTTTATATAGGTCTGTGGGCGTGTGTAAGAATACTTGAACGAATCCAACGCCCTATAGTTGCCCTATAGCCTTCAAGTTGTACGGCATGTTCTAATTGGTCGACGTCGGACTCGGAAGCGTATTCGTTCTTCCGTTTTTCGTCTACGAAGGCACCTATAATAACGAAGAAACGACGGGAAACGACTATCTTCCTTGTATTGGCCTGTCTAGAGGGGAGACTAAATAATTCACACTCTGACGCATCTCACTGGTTCCAGAGCTTGCCTGCTGGCTTCGGTCCATCACTTCCTATGTCAGGTTATCTACCTAGTGACCTGAAGCTATGGCCGCCATCACATATCATGTTCGTGAATGGCCTTCGGGCAGCGTGGATCGTCGTCGTCATTTGGTATGAGGTTTGCACATTCGACTATGTCTTGGATACTTGTCAGTGGCCCGATATCCACCAGGTGAAGTAATATTAATGCCCTATGGTCTCAAGTTAATGCTTATGCGTCAGTTATCAGCCTGACACGCCAAACTCCCGTATTGCACGCGTATTAGTGGTAGCAGACCCTCAAATCATCGACCACCGCTCGTATCCCACACGTGGCTTCTTGACGAAAGCCTCGGGCCAGTTCTTCATCGATCTCAACCTCCGGAGGAGCTGGCACTCGACGATAAATAGAGTGAAACCTCATGCCGTTGTTTTCTTGGGCGACCTAATGGATAACGGCCGCGCGACCATGTCGAATAGCGAGTATGTTTTTCATAATTCATAGCTGCATTCAAGCGGTGGAACTTCAGCCTGCGACTAAGGTTGCTCGTTTGCTTACAAGGTACAATGCATATGCCGCGCGATTTTTCGACATCTTCAAGTTAAAGGATTTGGCCATGCCGACATTTTTTCTTCCCGGGAATCATGACCTAGGGTGCGTCATGAATTCTCCACGTTTAGAACATTCTTGTGAACATTCTTTTGAACCTACAGACTTGGAGAAGACGTTTCCTTTTCTCTTGAAGCTCCAACGAGGTTCACCTCTCACTTTGGACCATGGAATCACAAGACTACGATTGGAAACCATACTGTCATGTTCATCGACGCAGTCGCCTTGGTCGAAGAAGATGTTGTCCGCGCAGACCGAGGGTATTCGTACGACAACTGGCCTGCAGTAGCAGGAGGATCTGTCGACTTCGTGAAGCGGTATGCTGCGCATGAGCACGCCAGTCCAATTGTACTCTTCACGCACATCCCTCTTGCTCGGCCTCATGGTACAGACTGCGGTCCGCTGCGAGAACGGGGCACCATCCGCCAGGGACAAGGTTTTGGGTACCAGAACACCCTTTCTAATGAAGCATCGCAATTTCTACTCCACTCGCTGCGACCATCCCTTATATTCAGGTTCGTTGTCCCCCTGTTTGTCACGCAACCCAGTCATTGAGCATAGTTACATATTCAGCGGGGACGATCACGACTACTGTGAATATTCACACCCCTTGCCCTTTTCATCCGCTTCTGGGTCGACCACAGTGCGAGAAATCACAGTGAAGTCATTTTCAATGGCAATGGGAATACGCCGACCAGGATTCCAACTTCTCTCGTTGATTTCAACAGTCCCTGCATTAGAGACCCTGACACAATTGCCAAATTCACCGCCTTCGCTTCTAGATACACCTTGTTTCCTCCCGGACCAGCTCGGTATCTATCTCAATGTCTACCTCCCTTTCATTTTGCTCTCGGTGCTTGGCCTCCTTGCGTTTAATGTTCATCGAACTCTCGCCGGGGGCAACAAACAGGCGCAGCGCCGGCCCGAAGTCTATCCTCGGCCCAGCCATCCGGAACACAGCTCCAGTCGTGCAAACAGCGATTATGAATTATATCGACGTTCGCTCGGGCAAACCAATACGGAAGATACCGACGAGGATCCAATCCTACCTCTCCCTGTGACTAAACTTACAGGGTCGGCGCACTCTAGCAAACTCCGCGGCAGATCCTCGTCTTCTTCCCATTCATGGCCCTTCTATTTTCTAGGGCGGCGAAGACGCATATCGCTGTCCCTGCCGTGTTCAAGTGCGAACCGCGGAGTGCACGAGGTGGGGCTCCTTCATGGCTTTTTCAGTGATGTGGTGGATGTGGCGTGGCCTCCTCTTCTGGCGTTTTGCGTCGCGGCATGGTGTGCAACGCACGTATGAGGTGGGATGGGATGATACTCGTTGCCGGATGACCATCCTGATAGAGGATCACGAAGCTTGGTGTGTACAACTGATTTGACTACCATTATGCTTTCGAATTATAGTCGGACTAATTTCACAATGCCAATATTCAAAGGCAAACTTTACTCTGCAAATGCAAATGACACCGTAATCTCCGAATTGACAGGCGTGGTCATGATCGTACAAAAACGTACGATCCTTATGGATGACGAGCATGCAAGGGACAGATGGCGGCGAACTGCCAAAACTTCCCCTTGTGATTGACAGAACATGCATTAACCTGCTCTGAAGATAGATATGCACCTGTCAAGGATTGGTGACTGAAATGATGCGTCCTGAAGGGCACAGACTCAGTGAATGCCCCGTCCAATATCCCCTGAACCAGCGCAGGAATGACGGCTTGCGATAGCAGGCCAACCCCAAAATGGACCATAATTGCCTTGGCTTGCGTAAGGCACGGAAACGCAACGAGGGGCGAAAAGCCACGGTACGCAAAATCTAAGGAGACGGGCAAAGAAATTGTCCCGACAAGGCACCCCCCAAGTTTAGCCCGTGTCATTGATAAGATGGCATGGGCATGGTTTCTTGTAAATGAAGGGACGGTCCTTGAAAGCTCGATATTGAGGTCCGCGTTCAAAAAAAAGTGTGCCTTGGCATGGCATTTACTCCGACGAGGGCGGTGGAGGATGATGCCTGAAGTGATAGGACAGGATTCGGGTTGGTTTTCGCAAGCACGGATCCTCACAAGTGATGATCACTCATGTATGCCGGCGTTGTGGGAATTGATCTGCAATCATCGAGTCTGACCTACTTTCAAAGACCCAGTCTGGGCTTCACAGCCGCTTTGTTTGACAGGTGAAACTTTCCCTGAGCTTAGCCTCATCGAAATCGACTGGTTCTCTGAGTCGCTATACACTTGTCTAGCAGAGATAATCTTTGACGCATATGATCGCGTGAATGTAGCGAAGTATTCACCTGTAAGAAGTTCGAAGATAAGCGTTCGGATGAGCTCGGGTTGACGGTTAACGGACGGGTTTAGCGCTGGCATATGATGCGTGGTATGCACTGCCTGGATGGATAAGGCGCATAACGTACCAGTGGCATAAACACCGGGTATAGTAGAGGAGAAGATCTGATGATCCGACAGGCGCCATAGCCATTCTAGAGCTGGGCCCCGATATGTAAAAGCTGTCTGAAAAGTCAGTTGAATTCGTTATAAAAGCCAGGATCAGGAAAAGAGTCGAACGTTGTCCAGTCGAACGCAGCATTTTGGGCGTATCCATTTTGCGGCGAGACGCGGGGGTCCCTTTATCGATTTTATGCAAGCACGTTCGTCCTCAAACAGCAGAAGTTCATATAGCGACCTCTACCGACCACTGAAATTGCTTGGTCTACAACCGCGATCCTTCCTCCCTCATTCAACTTCTCCTCCAACGCCTTCATCACCGTTAGCCAAATCTTCTTTTAGGGAGTTCAACGACAGACGAACTAGCCAAAGGAAATCGTTGTGTGAGCTCATACCAGAGGAGCTGAACGTTCTCGGTTCGGACTTGTCCGCGTCTCTCCACAACAATCTTGATCTCAGCTCAGAACTCTACAAACGACACCACAAACCAAGGAGCCCCCTCATCAGAGCTCAAACAGAACCCTGTTACCTGTCTACAACTACGACAAAGCCAATACATATTCCAAGTTCCAAGTATGTCTATCGAATTTGCAGAGTCAATGGCACATGCATATCTTGGATACATTACTAGAACCATGGCAACTTTAACTCCCCGTGACAACCTCAATGCTCGCGTCAAAGGCAGCAGTCATATCGACTTCAAAACAGCCACCACCGGTGTCGCAGCAAAGTCAATGCGCAATGAAATCAGCCATTTGGTGAGCACCTGCGATGATGACAAGGTCAGGAAGGTGCGTCCCGTATACCATACACGCGTACGCCATGTTTGATGCGCAGCAGGCCTTTGATATCGAAATGCAATCATTCTTCTATCTTTTTACTCGCTATCTTTCAGAACGCGCAAAAAGCGTGGATCTGTGCGTGTTTCCTTTTTTGCTAAGAAGGAGAAAATTAAATAATTTCATCTTATCAGTGACTGGGATCGCATCAAGTCCCCCGCCGATGACCAGATTGTAGCCTATGACGGTCTATCTCAGCCTCATGACCACAGTAACCTTAACAAGCTTGCAGTGCTCAAGGTCAATGGTGGTCTTGGTACCTCCATGGGTATGTTCCACGTTGTGAATCCGATTGCGTCATGTTGATGATCGATAGGCATGACTGGCGCCAAGAGTGCGCTGGAAGTCAAGGATGACATGACCTTCCTCGACCTTACCGTGCGTCAGATTGAGCACCTCAATACCAGCAACCGGGTCGATGTTCCGCTTATTCTCATGACGTCTTTCAACACCCATGAGGACACCCTGCGTATCATTAAGAAGTACGCAAATCAACAACTGCGCATCACGACATTCAATCAATCGCGGTACCCCCGGATCTTTAAGGAGAGCTTACTCCCCTGCCCAAGGCGTGCCGACGACGACAAGACACACTGGTACCCTCCCGGCCATGGTGACTTGTACAACGCGTTGCTGTACTCTGGTGTATTGGATCAATTGCTCGCTGAGGGCAAGGAGTACCTCTTCGTCTCTAACTCGGATAACTTGGGCGCAGTGTCAGTACCAAATGGGTATTCGCGTTGCGCCGTCATTGACTGATGGGCTTGATTCTAGTGTCGACGAAAAGATCCTGCAACACATGATCGACTCCCAAGCAGAATTCTTAATGGAAGTCACTGACAAAACGAAGGCCGATATCAAGGTTCGTACCTAGTTGATATATTTACTTGTCTCTAATTCTCTCGCAGGGCGGTACTCTCATTGACTACGAGGGATCAGTTCGCCTTCTTGAGATTGCGCAAGTTCCATCAGAGCATGTCGAAGACTTCAAGTCTGGTTAGTTCATGAGCCTGTGCCTGTACTTTAGCTTCTGACGTAATATCTAGTACGCAAGTTCAAGATCTTCAACACTAACAACTTGTGGATCAACCTCCCAGGTACCGGGGTTTGGTCACTTATTTTCGTACATTATTAATTCCCTTTCAGCGCTCAAGCGCATCATGGAGACCGAGGGCATGGAACTCGAGATCATCATTAATCCGAAGACCAATGAAGATGGCCAATCAGTCATCCAGCTCGAGACCGCCGCCGGTGCAGCCATCAAGCACTTCAAGAATGGCCATGGTATCAACGTCCCACGATCGCGCTTCTTGCCGGTCAAATCATGCTCTGATTTGCTTCTGATCAAGAGTGACATCTACTCCTTGCAACACGGACAGCTTGTCCTCAACGAGAGTCGAATGTTCGAGACCACACCTGTGATCAAACTCGGCGACCACTTCAAAAAGATCCAGCAGTTCCAGAAACGCTTCAAAAAGATCCCCAAGATTATCGAGCTCGATCACTTGACAGTTACGGGTGACGTGAATTTCGGCCGGAATGTGACGCTTCGCGGGACGGTAATCAGTGAGTCTCAATGAACCGATCTGATGCAAGTTGCTGACAAACCTCGTAGTCGTTGCCAATGAGGGTCAGCGCATTGATATCCCTGACGGTTGTATCCTGGAGAACAGTATGTCTTTCTGCATTCTATAACTCCCAATCTCACATTTTCCGTTCGCTTGCAGGGTTGTTGTCTGGAAACTTGAACATGATCGTAAGTGACGCACGAGACTTGCTGAGTCGCTGCTGATTGCTCTTCTCTTTTGCAGGAGTTGTAATTTGCTTAGGAAGAAACCCTACGACGACGCACGGACAATTAGATAGATAGCATATTTCCTTTTTTTTATCTTACTTGTTTTCTGCTCCCTCTTTTTTCACTCTCGCATGATCTTGTTGTTCATCATGTCTTGTACTGTCTTTCCATTGTGGACAACGAGCACCCGACGGCTTTGGTTCCATGATAGTGTCGCGTTACCTGACTACTTTTACATTTGCACAATCTGACTCGTGTATTCCTTTGGAGTACTACTGTGGGATGACAACAAAAGTCCAAGAATGGCATTGATAACCATCATTGATGAGCAATGCCGCAATCTAAAACATAGCTTAAATTAATGAATCAAAGTTCCTGCAGAAATAAATCAGCAAGCTAGGTTAAAGTGCAGATGCCTGGTAGGCCTCACCGTCATATTGAGATTCCCAGAGACTAAACCTGTAAAAGGTCATCAGTCAAATACCATCACGAAGACATTGAAGTATGTTTACGATTCTCCAGCACGCAACCATCTGGAATGTCAATCCTCTGACCTTCGTTCGCCACCACTAAGGCATAAGTTCTAGCCACATTCAACAAATGCAGAGACAATCCAGGTGCCTACCTATCACAGTACCACGAAGCGTGACCCCTCGACCAAAATGGACGTCGCCCGTCACCGTCAGATGATCCAAGTCGATGATATTAGGGATCTTCTTGAATCGTGGCTGGAAATCAGTTATCTGGCCATGCATCATGGCTATAAGCAAATTAAAAATCCCAGCGCCAACATTGCTCCAACCTTCTTGAAGTGGTCACCCAGCTTGATCACCGGGACGCTGCCAAACATCCTACTCTCGCTCATATCCAAGCGGCCGTTTTGCAACGAGTATATATCGCTCCTAATGAGCAATAGGTCGGAGCAGGATTTCACGGGCAGGAAGCGCGAACGCGGAACGTTGATGCCGTGGGCGTTGTTGAAGTGTTTGATCGCTGCGCCTGCAGCAGTCTCGAGCTGCTAGCAGTCAGAAATCGTGCCTCGCGTCCAAAGGTGGACAACAAACCTGGATCACTGCTTGGCCGTCGTCTGTCATTTTGGGATTGACAATGATGTCCAGGTCCATGCCGCCTTCATCCATGATCCGCTTCAATGCTGGGAAATAACTCATTAATGCGGTCGTTGCAGTTGCATGAATAAATCCCTAATAAATACCTTTAAGATTGATCCATAGGTTATTCGTGTTAAATATCTTGAATTTGCGGACTTGCGCATGATTAGCTGCACGGTAAGTCAAGGGAGAAGATATGTACTACCTGATTTGAAGTCGTCAACATGATCTGGAGGTACCTGGGCGATTTCCAGAAGTCTCATGGAAGAATCGTACTCGATGAGAGTGCCGCCCTGTGAACGAAGCATGAACATCCGAGTTCCAGGGTTTTTAGATATTGACCGACCTTGACGTCCGCTTTGGTCTTGTCAGTAACCTCCATTAAAAATTCAGCATCGGTATCAACCATGTGCTGAAGAATGCGCTGGTCGACTCTGCAAACATTGTTAACTACTTATTTGACTCTTCGTCAATGCGAAAACTTACACAGCACCAAGATTGTCGGAGTTCGAGACGAACAAATACTCTTTGCCTTCAGCAAGGAGACGATCGAGCACACCAGTGTGCACCAGCGACTCGTACAGATCGCCATGACCTGGAGGATACCAGTGTTTCTTGTCGTCTGATACACGCTTCGGACACGGCTGCAACGTCTCTTTCCAGATCCTCGGATACCGAGACTGGTTGAATGTAGTTATGCTGATGCGCTGAGACACGTATTTTTTAATGATACGTAATGTATCATCATGCGTGTTGAAGGATGTCATGAGGATGAGCGGTACGTCGACCTTGTGTGTTGTATTCAAATGCTCGACCTGTTGCACGATGAGGTCCAAGAAGGTCATCCCGTCCTTGACCTCGAGGGCACTTTTCGCACCACTGATGCCTTGGGAGTACGTAAGTATAGCTATAGGGGAAATTAAAGAACCATACCCATAGAGGTCCCGAGACCCCCATTGACCTTTAGGACGGCCAACTTGGACAGAGCATCTGGACCGGTAATCTGTGGAAGGTGACTGTAAGGTATGACCTGCTTGTCATTGGGCGATTTAATGCGATCCCAATCACTTATCATCTCTATATTAATTACACGAAAAGGGGCAAGGAAAATAAAGCTGCATGGCTTACAGTTCCTCTCGGTTCTCCTTTTCTGCGAGATAACGAGCATGCAGCTTGGAGAATGACTGCATTTCCACATCGAATGTCTAGTGAAATGATTATACGTCAGGACACAGGCGGGATCAGGAAGCTGGAACAGGGTGTCACCTTCCTGACTGCAGGATCCGCAGTGCGGACTAGTCGGCTAAGGTCACTTTGAGTGCTTTTGGCCAACGCAGATCGTTCATTCGGTCGAACAGCCTTGCGGTGGTGAAATCGTCGGAAGCTGGCTGCCTTGAATAAAGTCATATAAAAACGGACACAGAACAACGAGAGGGAAAACGGGGGCCATAAACACGGAGTTGGAGCACATAGATATACACGCCAAGATGGGCACGCGTAGTCAATGAGGCCTCGAGATAAGCGCACGGCATGCGACATTCGGCCGTCCTACGAGCCTATGATTCTCGGAGTTGTACAGAAATGACGGATTGGGCGACGGGCAAAAGGAGGCTCGATGCACATGCCCGTTGACGGAACGTTATTTCATATTGGGGATCCGTAGGATACTTACCTTTTGAACGAGTTTGACATGGGCACAGGGCGTGCGAGCGACTCATGTTAGCCCAGCCAGGGCAGTAATGCCCACAACTTAATTGAATTCGCGCGTCATGAGGAAAGCCTAAAGGTTCCACGACAAACAATATGGATGAACGCGGAGGGAAGACAGCACCGACCGAAATAAGCGACGCCTACTGAAATGTACGGATCAGTGAACTACGATGCAGCACGCACCCAGCTGATTATGCGACTGGCTGCTGACTGGGCCTTTCGATAGAATATCTGTAGGTACGTCCTCAAATTTGATAGAGAAACATACAGGTGATATTCAGATTTGCAAGAAAGGTGGCAGAGATCATGTCACGTTCGTGCTAGAGGGGTGGATCAACGCCACGGGAGGTTCGTGTCCAGACATGCTGTATCATAATCCCGAATATTAACATGGTGCACTACAGGAAAGAAGTAGCAATGCAACCGTGACGCGTGCAAAGCAGAACCAAATTCAGGTTTATCGGCATTTGCCGATCTGAGTGCGAATAAGTCAAACCTTGATTTTCAGTACTATCATCAAAACCTCGACTCGACTACACGACTCCCATCCTCAAGGCTATCCGACATGGGTGAGTGCTGCTCTTCCGATATACTAACACACAAATATTTTGATTGCATTCTGATGATATCAAACTACTATTTATGCAGGTATATCTCGTTCATCCCGGCACAAACGTTCGGCAACAGGTGCCCAGCGCGCCTACTATCGCAAGAAGAGAAAATTCGAGCTCGGCCGTCAGCCTGCCAGCACTAAGCTTGGTGTCAAGCGCATTCATCCCGTGCGCGTCCGTGGTGGTAACACTAAGTACCGTGCCCTCCGTCTCGACACTGGTAACTTCGCATGGGCATCTGAGCATGTCACAAGAAAGACTAGGCTTATCAGTGTTGTAAGTACCCTTGATACTGCATACAGTTTAATACAATACTGCGTGCTTGACTGACGCCCACTTTAGGTTTACAACGCATCAAACAATGAGCTCGTCCGCACCAATACCTTGGTGAAAGGTGCTATCATTCAGATTGATGCTACCCCTTTCAGGCAGTGGTATGAGTCCCACGTGCGTATTCGAAGTCTATCCCTTTAATCCTGCTAATTTATGCAATAATAGTATGCCCAACCCATTAGCAAGAAGAGCGCAAAGACTACTGCCACTGCGGAGGAGGAAAAAAAATCTAACCATCTTCAACGTGTCATCGCTGAGAGGAAGCAGAGTAAGACTGCCGTTTTGTCTTTTCGCATTGTATAACTCATTACTTGTCCCAGATGCTAAAATTGATCCCCTTCTCGAGTCTCAATTCTCTGCTGGTCGTCTCTATGCTTGCATCTCAAGCAGACCTGGACAGTCCGGTCGTGGTGACGGCTACATTCTGGAGGGCAAGGAGCTTGAGGTTTGTCTTCTAGCTCGAAATTATGTATCGCTTATTGACATTACACAAATAGTTCTACGTCAGGAAGCTCCGGTCAGGCAAACAGAAGCACGCCCACAACGCATAAACTTCGTGACCCTAGTGATTTACCCCTTTGATTTGTCTCTGAGCATACACATAAGATCACGAGGACATGGTGAAAATATGGGAAATCCTTAGTGCTATAGTGTATGACGACCATGCCGCATCTTATCGTATGCTCTGTCGAATTGCAATCCATGTCCTCTCCATGCATGTTGCTTCTGGAAAGATAACCGCGTTTATTATTGTTCGCAAGCAAGTGTGGGTTTGAGCTGACATAATCGAAGTGGGTTAGTGCCGTAATTGCGCCAGCAACAGTGCTTTCACCTTGTTCCTTTTCCCTTCCGTTCGCGTCATTGCTGTCCTCGTCCAGCCTCTGCTTTTTTTTCTTTTTGAGTCCCGAACGCGTAAATTTTCGTTTACCGTTCAATGGCGCCAGCGTCCACGACAGCGACCGCCAATGGCTCTTCCACACGAGCCAGAGGGACAGTTCTCATATGGCGTCCTACCAAAATCATGAACATGGGTGACCTCTCCAAGGATGATGACTTCCTTAGCCATCTGCTAGTCGAGAAGCTTGGAACTGGCGCTGTTCCATTGCTCGTGCATAAGATGGATCCATCTCGAAGACTCCCAAAGACCAATACCGAGGATCTCATGCAAATCGTTAGACGCGTGAGTATATCCTTAGCTCGCTTCGTCTACACGCAACTAATTGTTCCCTGGACGCGCGTATGGTGTCATGCATCATCGTGTCATAGCTGGTTATAAGTAAGCTCGGTCCTCAGAATGCTGTTCGACAAGCCGTGGACGACCTCCTTGTGTTCGTCTAATTTCTCTGTATTGTATATGTTCACCAGACATTCAGGGACGATCGTTATTTAGTCTGCCTTCTGTTCGTTACTACCTCAAGCCCTACACGCAGAAGCAGATTAATGCTTTCGCCACGTGTGTGCAATCAGGTTTTGTATCAATATCCTGCTCCTGATGCAACTCCATTTTATCACAGACACGCCTCGCGATACTTTGAGCTCTACAACCCTGCAGGGTGCATAGAAATTGCTCACACGTCTAGATATTCTCACAGGACAGGAAAATCAGAGTTATGCATCCTCGCTACGCGCCCCTTAGCCCCTGGAGTGGTAATTATTGAGCTGAAGGGATCAATGGCACATCTTTCGACGGAGGAAGACAAGGAACTCAAGCGCACCGACCTGAGAAATATCGATATCAGGAGGGACTTTAGTGTCATCCATTCACGTCAAATGAAGAAGAACCATCTATTTTTGGGGCCCGCCCGATTTGTGAACGTAAGTTTCTGACGGTCTATGCGTTTTTTCTTCCGTTGGTATTCACGTTGACGTTGAATTGTGCAGCACGATTGTGACAACAACTGTGAACTTTTTCGCGAGGGCAAGTATATCACATTTCGCACTCTTCGGGCTATCTCCATGGGCGAGGAGATTACCGCGCATTACGGCGATGGTTACTGTGCGTATCCGTTATCCGGTCTGTTTCCATGGCTCACATTGATGTCATACGCCGCAGTTGGTGGCAAGAATCGACACTGCCTCTGTGAAACTTGCGAGAAGAACGGTAGAGGAGGCTACGCTCCAGATCATTCCGATGGCGATGTGGATTCGGGCGGCGAACAAGATGCCGAAGTATCAGATGACGACGCTGAAGTGTGTGCCGCGACAGTTGCCGATGTCAACGAGCGCAGGACGCGGCGTGGCGTTTACGCCATCATTCAGGAGGAAGATTCTGATTCTGAGGAGAGCGATGACGAAGACAAAGAGGGTGACAAACCACTTGCGAATGCCCCTGACGCTTCTGGGGATGATGAAGTTGATATGGAGCTAGGTGGGGAAGCTTGCCGCTCGGTAGCCATTTCCTCGTCCTCTCGTCATTCTGCAGTCATAGGTGCAACAGTCGCCACGCCTGATCCTGATGTTCAACTATCACGTATGACATCGTTGAGCGCCGAGGGATCAGCGTCTTCCAATAAGGGGAAAGCGCCGGCAAAGTGCGTCATTTCCGCTCGCCGACAGAAGATGGAGTCGTCCAGCAAACATTCTACTCCTGTCGCCCATGATACTTTGCACAACCTGTCGTCCCGTCTTAGGGGTCAACATCTTCGGGATAGCGTGTCGGTCACACCTAGTAGGAGCAAAGGAAAGGAGGCAGAGAAGGCTCAGGTCAAGGAAGAGTCTGAGGCAAGAGTTCTCCGAGCGCGTCCTTCTGTAATCGCGGAAAAGCTTGATTCGGCGGGGCCCCCGAAACGCGAGATTCCTCGTGGCTCAGATGGTCGTCCCCTGCCAACGTGCGTGACGTGCTCGAATGTCTTGCCTGTGATTTCCGTGGATTCCAAAGTTGTGTGGGGTCTGAATTTAGACTCCCCGCGGAAAGGCAAGAAGTCCAAACAAAGACAAGAGTGTCCAAGGTGACTCCACTGATATCTGTTCATTTTTGTGTGCTGATAGGCTTCCTTTGCGCCAGGTGTATGCGCCATGTCGCTATATATGGTCAGCCATGGCCAGCTCGTATTCCAAGCCAAGCTGTTGTTGCTCCACCCCGTGATGACGTCGAAGCCAGCTCCTCGCGGCGCCCCCCTCAGAAGACTGCCCCTGCCGTAGAACGCAAGCATGTGCCCTCCGTCGACGAGCGTCCTCTGAAGAAGCGCAAAGCTGATGACGGACCAAGTGTAGAAATGTCAGCCAAAGCAAAGGAGCTTTTTGGGCCACTGAAGAGAAAAAGGGGCCGACCACGCAAGTACCCTCTTCCTGAAGAAGAGCTGCCAAAACGGAAAAGAGGCCGGCCCCGTAAATATCCTGTTCCTGAGGCGTCTCCCCGATCTCAGCCACCCTCACCTCCTAAGCCTCCATTGACTCCACCGGCACCCGTGATTATGCCTTCCGTTCCCCCATCCCCAAGCGTCAAGAATAGCGACCATTCCCCCTCTTCATCACGCAGTCATACCAGACCAAAGGCTTTGGCGGTGCAATCACAACCTCGAGACTCGAACGGCCGTTTCGGCAAGAAAGCCACTACGAACGGAAGATTTGTCCGAAGGAAGTTTGGTGCTTTACAGAACCTGACACGCACAGAGAGGCTTTTCCACAGAAATATTAAGGTCACGCAGTGGCTCGCTGGCAGACATGAAGAAGATGAGACGGACGACGAAGAAGCAGACGCACAGGACTGGGATCAAGCGAATGATCCAGAGACCCTTCCTACTGGAAAACGAGCGGCATCATTCCCACCTGAAAGCTCAGCACCGCTAACGAAGAAGCCCCGACATTTTGCCAGTCCATTTGAAAGAAATGACGAAGCGTTGGAATACAGCCCCTCTGTACCCTCGGCTTACAGGTTCAAAGGAGTGGGTAGCAGCCTTCTATATCACCCCAATCCGACAAATTACGCTCGTCGGAAGTGGGCACCGTGCCCTGATGACGTATCTCAGGATGAAGAGGACAGTGGCCCCTCTCTTCCAACTCTGGAAAGTGACAGTAATGGTCCCGTCACGCCCGATGATCATACGCCGTTACCCATAGCTGGTCCGTCTCAGCTTGAGTATACAGTCGCGGAAAAATTAGCCCAGCGATCTAGTTGGCGAGGGCCTGCACATAATAGCGTTCTAACCTTCCAACCATCTCCAGTCAATTTTGCCAGACGTCGTTGGTCTTCAATGTCCAAGCCCCCCCTTGACTCTGGTTCAGGAACACGCCGCAGCGAGCGGCTGAATCCAAAGGCTTCCTTCTCTGGAGAAGACGGTTCCACGAAAGTTCCTAGCGCAGATGGACCACATGCGACCCCCACTGTTGGTTCACGATCAAGCGTTCGCGTTTCGTCTGGGTCGGAGAATATGTATATAGAAGGTGGTGCAGTTCCTCGTGCCGGGTCCTACGCATCATCATTTGACGACGTACGTACATCTACTTCTTATACTTAGAATTGCACATGAACAATTCACAGCTGGGCGAGCAGTTTCCGATCTCAGATGTGCACCGCCGCACTTCTTTTCCGGATGATGGTACACTTGACTCCGCCAATTCTGACGACGATCGAGTTGTCGAAGGGCTTCTTTCTGAAAGCAAGGAAGCTCATACCGGCGTTGTAAATGAGGAGCAATTCTCTCATCTCCGTGTCACATATACGGCTAAACTTCCTGCCCCAGTACCCTGGAAGAACGCTCGTGGAACACCCATGTCTCATTATTTGCGCAAATCCGCTTCATTTCATGCCGACGACGAATCATCCTCTCCCACTCGTTTCATTGATGCAGGTTGGGAGTCTGACTACTCTCACTCAACAGCTTCACTAATTGCCAGGGCGGAGTCTGAGTTGTATGGACACGTTTAATATTAAACTAAATTATGTGGTCCCGTCCGCCTTCGAAATCGGTTAGCTCGTTACTTGTATCAACTACGGTAGCATTTTGTAATTCTCGTCCATACACCCCATACATACACCATTCTCTACCACCACGTATCGAATGCGTATTTCAACGGTACAATGAGGCACGTTGTACCCACAATTTCACAAAATTCTTGCACCTCTTCACGACTGCCCATCTGGCTTCAATGAACTGCGGCCAGCCCGCAAGATTTCGTCTGTAGAAAGGAGGTTCACTGCGATCACAGAACTGAGAATTGGGTCTCAGCAACCGTCCTTCTGATGGAAAGGTATATCCACTTACCATGAGTGTAACATCTGCCTTTTTACCCTGTAGTTGTCCCAGATGCCCTCCACAGTCGGATCAAACGGCTCCCCTGATTGTAAATCGATGCCAACCGTGTTTCCCTCCGCTTGTTCGTCCTATTTCGATCGACGTAAGCAAATCGAATTCAAACGGAATGATATCGCGAACCTGCAGCGCCACTACCACATCCTGAACGTCGAAGCCTCCGTTTTGCGCAAGAGTTTTTGGAATGATCAATAGTGCATCTGCATATGCTTGCACACCCATTTTAACGCGGCCCTTGGCAGCTTTCTTTACAGGACCACTCAAATGACCTGCGCATGCAACCTCAAAGGCCCCCGCACCGGGAATGAGAGCCTCATCCTCCAGTGCATTTTTGACGGCGCGAAGACCGTCCCGTAAAGCATCCTGGATTTGTTGAATCGTGTGCGCGTTTGGACCCTTGATAAGGAGCGTGACGCTCTTAGGTTGCTTAACCTCTTCCACGAAGGTGTACTTCTCTTCGCCTAGAGTGTGCTCATAAACTAGACCCGCCCAACCGAGAATATCTGGGGTTAGATCGTCTACGGAATTTTGCGCAACACCTCCGCAAATGAGCTGCAGGCTAAGATACGACAGTAATCAGAGTAATATCTTTACGTAGCGCTGAAGACATTACCGTTCCATATTGCGTCGCTTAGCACGACGTAAAGCGAAAATGCCATTCTTTGCAAGGATATCGAGACTAAGCGGATCGATGCCTTTTTGATTGATAACGACAAAGTTTTTTGGTTTTTCGCTGCCGCCAACGGCTTGATCGCACACGAGATTCTTGAGCTCCACGATCTTCGCCACTTTAGCGTCTACGAAACGCCGCTCTGATTCGATGAGCTTTTCACGTTGCTCGGCAGACGAATAGAAGAAGCCAGAATTAACCTCTCTAAGCTTTTGTGAGTTTAGAGTTGAGGAATGCAGTGCTGAACGACGCACGTCTTTTCGTACTCTAAGCTGACGTTCAACGTCAGAATGAATGCATTTTCGACGCGTTTGGGCATGTCCGGATGCCTGGCACCGTGATCCATGACCAGGCCACGCACGAGCTGAGTTTCTGACGCAGTGCGGTGTTGCATCTTCATAATTTCCACCATGTGCAGATCTATTGGGTCGCGATACTGATCTTTTGCTTCTGCAGGAGGTTTTAGCAGGAAGACCCTGTTGTTTACATGAAAGGCGTGCCTCTGAGGGGTGCTGGCGGCCTGATGGTGAGCACAGCATCTACCACATCTGCAGCAAGCTGCTTCGCTAACGAGGCGTGCAGCTTAGTGGCAAGCGAAGTGTGTGCGACGTTGATCAGAGTTGGCCTATCCAATTTGGATGGCAGTTTGAACGTGTCAAGGAACTAGACGTGTCCATCAGGAGCGTAAATAGATGCAAATGCGGAAACCAACCGCTAAAGCCTCTTTCTTCGCGAGATCGAATCCTTCTCCTATAACGGTTGGATGTACACCTTCAGATATGTAACGATCGGCTTGCTTAAGTAACTCTCCGACCAGTAGAACTACTGAAGTAGTTCCGTCGCCAACTTGATCATCTTGAGCGACCGCAGTACGAGCGATCATAGCGGCTGTTGGGTTTTGTATTTGCATCTCGGATAGCAGCACTTTACCATCCTTGGTCATTTTGATCTGACCGGAGCCGTCCACAAGCATTTTCAGAGTACCTCTTGGACCTGAAGTGGAGTCCGATCGGAACAAAACGGTCGGTCGAGAGATGATGCTAAAGCTTACCGAGATTACCCTTCACTACGTTAGCAAGACCCATCGCGCCGGTGGTGTTGACCTTACGAAGCATGAAATTGGAGCAACAAAAAGCCAGGACATGCGACTTACCTGCAAGGCAGCAGCGCGTCTGACGCTCTCTGCCTTTGGATTGATCAATTCTATTGAGGAGGACATGATGGAAGGAGCAATGGAAGGAAATACGCGAGACCAGTAAAGAGCAGCAGATTTGGAAGTTAGTAAATGAGCTCGGATGGCGGAGTACCAAACCTATCTTTGCGCGTTTGCTTTGCATTGAAATTCGTTCAATGAATCATTTCACTCCTTACGCTCATTGTTTTGAGCTACGGAGGCCTGGGTGCACAAGGCAGTCGCGTTTTTATCAGTAAAACGTGCTAAAGCCTTAATACTGATCATGATGCTCCACCTAACGAACTGATATATATCCTCAGCTGAAAATGCTTTTTTTCTCCTCAAAAAACCAAAACCTTCAGCCAGCTGGTCTTGCAGCAGCTTGAGCTTCTTGTAAACAGAGTATCTCTTCTCTATTCAATAGGACATGCAGCGCTCTCAAAAGGCTTCCTCGTCTTCGGATTCATCACCTTCGCCCACTCTCCCCGGAAGTCATGCTCCTCAGCTGACCGCAATTCGTACAGAATCAGTACGTCTCATCCTCGTACATCGTTTTATTCACCAAAGCCTAACGTCTAAAATCAGAAGGCGGAGCTAAAACCGTTGTTCACGCTGAAACCCCTGTCTTTTTCAGATCGGGAGAAGAAGCCTTCTCCCCCTCCGCGCAAGCGCAGGAGGCAAATAATCCCGGAAACCCCCGCTCTGACCTTCAACCCTTCTCAGAGAATGATTCCGTCAGGGCGACAGGAGCCTACGCAGACACCAGTGTCTCAGCTTACACCTATTTCATCCACCAATGAATTCTTTGATGAAGCTGATGACCAACCACCCCCTGATACCTCCGCACACGCTCACTCCACCGCTTCCAAACGCCCTCGCGCCTCGAGTGGGAGCGATGACTCACCGCAGTTACCTAGTTATCCTGCCACGTACTACAATTTCAGGTATGCGGATCCAGCGGATCATTACGATTCTCCATTGTCTGGAAGTTCCTCCTCTCCGGCTACTTCCTACGGTTCATCTCCCGCACATCACCACTATGGAGCGGACGGTGAACGTCAACCTTTTCATCAGGAGATGACGGGACAACATTGCGCAGATTACACGCAACCACCGCGTAGAGAAGTCTACGGAGACCCTAGCTACCTCTCGCCTCAAGAGGGTGTCCCCTGGTCCTACGGCCCCACCTATCCCAATGTGTATCGCGATTAGTCGCTTTAGACGTTCATCTTGCTTGTCAAGAATCTCCCTTGACTACATCACTGGTTGATGTTCATTGGACAAGAGTATACTAGACATAGTGGTATTGGTGGAATGTTTTGCAGAACCGTGTATCTTGAGCCATTTACTTCGCGTCCGACTTTGCTTGTTTATACCGAATTTTCTCCGTATTTTGTCACCGCCTTCTAATTAGGGTTCTATGAATATTGTCACTGGTTTTCGGTTACAATAAGAGCTCACTGAGACACGAAGCGCCGAGCTTATATGAAGAGCGAACTTCTAGTAGCAACTCTCACACCACTCAACACCTATCATGCCTTCTCCTCCGTATGCTGCTCAAGGAAGGCAGCCTAGCCCAGAAGAACATCACCAGCGCACTCTTGTCCGCATTGGCCAAATTCAATCGCACCTCTCGAACTCTCCGCGCGGACAGCGACTCAAAGGTAAAACATGCATCATTACCGGTGTTGGATCTTTACATGGCATAGGGTAGATCCTTACTCGTTGATTTTTGCGATGAAATTGACCTGATATTTGCACCAGCCGTGCTTCTGCGCTCTTGTTCGCACATGAAGGTTCGTGGACTATCACCTTCTGAAAGCAGCACCCGTAGTAATTTCTATTCAGGAGCGACTCATCTATACTTGCTCGATTTCTCGCCAGAGAACCTGCCTGAACTCAAGTCGACGATTGAGAATTCATATCCGGACGTGAAGGTGTGTCGTCCTGGCATTTGCTATGCGTCTAATGACTAAATATATCACAGGTAACCACAATTCAAGCCGACGCAGCGAATGAAACTGCCATAGCAGATGTCTGCGAACAAGCATTGCAAGATGAAGGTCGATTGGATATATTCTTTGCAAACGTGTGTGTCAGATCCGATAAATGAAACCTCATTTTACACTGAACAAACACGCCTAAAAGGCTGGTTTTGCAAGTAACAAGGCGCTTCCCGATATAACCGCAGAAGGTTTCATGGAAAGCATGCGAATCAATGCATTGTCGTCAGTTTGTCTGTATCGTTTATCGTAATACTTGGTTTGACAAGAAACAATAATAACAGGTGCTTCCTTGCCGTCAAGTACGGTTCTAACGCGATGATGAAGACTAATTCGTCGAGAGGTAAAGATCTCAGTAGCGGAAGCATCATCTTGACTGCATCTGGTACGTTTATTCATCCCCTTTGCATTATTGTATATGGTTCTAGCGAAACATCTCAGTGGCAGGACTGAGGTCCGGGGCAGGGACCATAGACTGTGAGTATTGCTCCTCCCCCCTCTACCTGCTATGACTGACCTAACAATCAGATAGCGCAAGCAAAGCGGCGTAATGTTTCGATCATTGTTCTCAGCGGAGAAACTAATTTCGGATCACAGTGTGAACTCGATCGCGAAGACAAGCGTGTATCAACTTCAGAAGACTGACATTCGCGTAAACGCAATCTGCCCGGGCCTGATCGAGACAAATATGACCAAGGACATGTTTGACTCTGCTCGTCAACGAGGCAGGGAGAGTAAGATTGGTCAATTAAACCCAATGGGTCGGTTCGGCGTTGCCCAAGGTACGGACCTCGTGCTGTGATCATGTATGCATCTCAGTTTATCACGTCTTGCAGAAATTGCTCGAATGACTTTGTTTTTGGCTTCGGGTAAGGACACCTCCCTTCGCGAAAGGAGATCCAGATCTGATCTTACCCTGACAAAGATGAATCGAGTTATGTCAATGGACAGAACATTGCGGTTGACGGGGGACTTTCGTCATCGCACCCTGTTGTCCCAGGACGGTGGGCCTGATGCCGCCGGACAATCTCAGACATCTTCATGAGATCTCTCATTTTTTTGTCATAGATTTTGTACTTAATACTGATTGAATCACTACCATGCTTTATGAAGTTTTGACACCGCATGCATATTTGTGGCGCGACTCCGCGACAAGGTCGCTCGCGGAGTTACTCCCAACTACAGTCACCCTTTTGGAGTCGCAGTTCAGTCTTTTTTCTTATCGATCGTGCGAAATGTAGGATGATCCAAAACTCGAGGCAGCAGAATCAAGATAGTCGGTGCATGCGCAATGCGTTGGTTCAATGATTGTGTACCCAACTTACCCTCACTGTTCATACCCTATGACACAACGGAGACAGTGCTCAGTGTCTGATAGTACCTTTAAACTCCGTCCTCACATTAAGTCTCGCAACTTAAGCTTCTCGTTGCGTGTCATCGAGGTCTTAATACCCCCAAATGTTAATCTTCATCGTAACAAAAAGCACTATTGAATGATTTCTCGAATCAAATCGCGAGGGGTAAGGGAATCTGGTTCTTCAAGATCCTCGATCGAATCGCGGTTCCGCGCCTCGTGGTTGATTTTTCTGGATGACGTTTTGATGCCGAGATTTTGAGGAGACGGTTCACGGAGCTGCAGCGCACCACTAGTCTATCATGGATAGATATGGATAGATGATGCTGCATCATGCATTAATTTTTAACGCACCCACATCTCATACTCCTACCACGGACCAGTCAATTGTTTAAGTCCAGATATTTCGCAAAACTGACCGTCAGCCAGCACCAACACTTCGGTCTGTTCTGTTTCGAGCGACACAAACTTGTCTTCAAGCCAGTTCTCTTCTAGCGCAGATGGATGGCCCGGGTAGGCTTCTCATTCTGGCTGTCAAGACTTTAGGATTCAGGATGGATGACCAACAAAATACGTGATGCAACGGAGATCATGGATTTAGAATGGTTTTCCGTCTCCTCTTGTCTAAACCGCAGGTTCCGTGCTCTTCAAGTGCGCCTGTAGGACCATCGAGTTTGGATCTTGATCCGGTACCAATCGGCCGACAACTTGGACGGAGTAGCAGTGTTCAGGCGAGCGTTCGAGGATTCACATACAAAGACGACTATGGTCGATGAATTGGACAGGCTAGCGTGCGAGACATGGTAAATCAAGAATGCAAATCCAATACACCTCTCCCACCACCAACAACTTCTGCAAAACTCGGAAGGATGAGCACCCCATACTAGGCGGAAAGCAATTCTGACATAGGATCTTGAGAGGTGGCGTGCTCCAGTTGGCCGGGTATGGTGCCTTTAACGAAACAATACGTGATGCTGTCTCGCTGATAGAAACTCGGAAACCGAACTTACTGCGAAAGACTCCGCGCACTCGAAACGGCTCATTGTAGCGCGCGCATCCTGATACCACTTTATCTGCGCGGTCTGTTAAGGGCACTGTCTCGTGCTTCTGGGCGCGGCTCCGCCAATCAATCACAGCCAGAGTGCCGCATGGTCGATTCGTATAGACAACCATCGGGAATATACTGTCTGCTGTGCGTAATCATAATCAGTGTCTTCAGCGTAACTGGCTTCTGAAGAAGATATGAGGACTAGGGCTGGCGGTGGATACCCTGAACACTGGTCGAAACCCCCTTCCATTCCCATGGTATGTAAAGCTCGCTGCAGCCATAAAGAAATGAGCTTAAGCACAAGAATACATATGGGATGGAAGGGAGTCTGACCATAGCACAGAATGTCACTTTGCCAAAGAGTGGGCTGCGATATCCTAGGACACGGAGGGCTCGCCCTGCTTTATATGAGTGGGTCTTATCCGATCGAAGTCAGCCACTCACGGCCCATGTGTGTGCACCCGGAAATACCCCTCTGCTCCCTGATACCGAACGAAAGAGGGTAGGAATGCTCGTGCCTTCTGTCATGCAAGAAATTGAATGACTCCAAAGATGCCGCGCAACCACAGTGTTGGGGAGTTCGTACTCCTACCGGAGAACAATGTATAGCACTAAACAAATCAACAATCCAGCGGAGCGTGCTTGCCGATCAGAAGTGATGCTGGGCCTCGACTGCCGCAATGTAGAGGAGAGTCACTTGTCTTGTAGGGGTAAGCAGCATGGAAAAAATGCTGCATTCTCCTTATCCGTGTGGGTTTCCGCACAGTGATTGACCCATTCGTAGATTATCACCGGAGGTGGCCTTCCTCTCGTGTCCTCTAGAAGTCAGCCGACTCATGCACTTGGTGATGGGGTGTTGGACTTTGACCCTGCGTAACACGAGTTCTAACTTTGCGCCAGGCCTTGTAGATCGGCTGGAAGTTGACGGAAATGGAGTCTTTGCTCCGGTGGTGGACACCTCCCATGTTTAGCTTCAAGGCAACGCTGGTCTAGCATCTTATTCTCGACGCGACGAGACCTCTGGAAAGTATTTGTTTCTGTTTTGTGATTTTGCGTGCTCGCGGAGTATTGTCACATTTGCTCAGAAACCCCGACGCTCATCGGATGTCTTTTAGGCCATCGATCTCTAATTTTTATACCCCATATCGCCTATTTGTTTTTAGCTGTCTCGAACTTGCCAAAGAAAGCGTATAACTGCGCTTCCGCATGGGCCCTTCCGCAATTATCTATTTGATGGCTGGTGGCATGCGATCGTGGGTAGCCTGGGCTGCTGACCTTAGAAGCCCGCGATACTTCCACGAGTTTGTGCTTCTGAACAGTGCAAACCATCCAACCATCCGAGGCGGTAGACAAATTGATGAGCAGTGGCGTCTGGTCTCATCTGCGTGTCTGATACCTCCATGACTGCCGCAGGGTCGCCCTACGCCCAGATATTAATAAAGAGACATGTAGTCAGGGTTTTCAGGGTGAGTTTTCTGTATAAGAGACTTGGAAGTCAATTTGTGACGTGTTTACTTTCTTTAGGCTCTTCTCAAGTTCTTTTCGTCCGGGGAATCAAGCACGGGGTGCAAGTCATGATGTACGAGGCATATATGCTTGGAAATTTTCGTCTCTTTAGGCTCTTCTCGAGTTCTTTTCGTCCTGGATATCGAACATGGGGACAAGTCGCAACGTACGAGGCATATATGCATGGAGCAATTGTTTCTTTACGCTCTTCTCGAGTTCTTTTCGTCCGGGATATCGAGCATGGAGTACAAGTCACAACGTACGAGGCATATATGCATGGAGCAATTGTTTCTTCACGCTCTTCTCGAGTTCTTTTCGTCCTGGATATCGAGCACGGGGTACAAGTCACAATGTATAAGGCATATATGCATGGAGCAATCGTTTCTATACGCTCTTCTCGAGTTCTTTTCGCCCGCGATATCAAGCACGGGGATGGTACAGGTTACAAGGTACGGGGCATATACGCATGGAGAAATCGTGAGATGTATGGTAGAATTTTCCGCTGCCTCACGGCTTCCTTGCATTGAGTCGAGTGCACGAAAGGCGGAAGGGTCACTTGTGGACCAGAATTCTGATGCACAATTATAATTAGTTCTATACATTCGCATCCATCCGGGACCATCCCATCTGAATGTGAAGTTAGCTGTGGTCGCAACGATTACTAGTTATGGTTGAACACCCCGGTAACAACTTCTGCACGAGGAGGCGGAGCAGCTGTTTTTGACAATGAGCATCAAAACCTGCCCGAATATCACCGACTTGAGTTTGATGCTTAAGGCAGCTTTGGAAGGGGTCAGAATTCACTGTCTCCGCGAGGGCGGACTTATTTCAGCGTGCGGTTCTCTGCCGCGGAGTTTCTGGGTTCGTCTTTGCTTGTCTTCCTTATCGGTGACTCCTGCCAGGAGGCGGGAGCACATGTGTGTTTTGGCCAGAAATATGCAATTTCAGCGCTATGTAGAGGGTTACTGACTATCTCGTTGCCTTCGGGACCTTCAGTCAGCTCCTCCAGGGCTTTCGTCGTGCACGATCGGGGACTACCATGTCCGAGCCTGTCTTTCATGTCAGTGAGGCGGGATACACCACTTGGCACTCATCGACATCAGTAATGGCTAAACGCACCGCCGACACCTCTGAGATTTATGACCACCAGTACTCCGATGTCATATAACGGCAGGGGGAAGACAATGTTCTGAGTGTTTTTTGGTCGCAAGTGCTTGTCCCTGCACAAATGCCGATCTGGGTGAGTTTTACGCTAGTTGAATGAGCTGAATTCCATATGTCGAAAAATTCTTCCAGTAAGTTATGCGCCTGCCATGCATATCTTGAAGCCATGAAGGTCGGTGCGTCGTGACAAATGGGCCAGTCCGATCCGTCAAACATTTGTCGCCAGGAGAACGATGCATGAAATGTGCGGTTGCAGGTTCTTCGGGGGAAAAAACAATAAAAGCTTTGAATTCTGCCCAACGACTACTACACAGTCAAATGTAATCGCCCAGAACTGCCCTTAGTCTGCACACCTTGTAGACAATGCGACGTCGGTCAAAACTGGAGTGATCATCTTTCAGGTTAAAGGATTCCTGCCACTAGTAGAGCTCGGACGTAAGGAACCTTCTCACCTTTGCTTTTAGTCTGAGTTCCCAGGCAACCTTGCGCTCTCCTTCCCTTTATCTGTCATCGAGTCGCCGTCCAAGATTTCACATATGCATGACTCGGATTATGTTCTACCAGCCTAACATTTTTGTTCTGCTGTCGTTCGCGCTTGGACGTAGTACGTACGGACTATATGATTCATCAGTTCCCGGCGGCTGTTGACGGCAGCCACACTGAAGTAAAATGGGACCTTTCTTAACCAAGTCCGACATTCATTCCATGCATGCTCCATTTGACTGTGACACTAACTGGCACCAACCATACTATCGGAACCATCGATGAACCTGAACCTGCTCTGCTATCAGCTCGTTTGAAAGTCTGCACAGAGTTACGCACCTTCTAATTACGCCGAAGGTCCGCTCGCTAATCGGTAATCCGTCTTAGTAGCCGCAGAGCAAACTTGCCGTCGTCCTAACGCAGAGTCCCCACCGATACATGTACGATGTGCTATGAACATTCGTCGTCCATCAGAATGGTTCGCGTGGCAAGGTACGATCACTGTGACGATGCTGCCATCCACTGTACCATGGTCCTGGGCATCTTCCATTCCCATGGTATGTACTGGGGCAGTATCCTTTGTATGCGGGGCATATGTCTGCAGTACAGATGGGAAGGAGGCGCCCCTGACCATGGACGAGCACATACATACATCGCAAGAAGTGCAAGTACTGAACGCAGGGTCGGTATCCCGAGTTCTAGCCTTGGCTAAGGCTGCTGAGGGCACGGACGCGGTGGGAGGTCCCACTAATCAGTCTCCTTCGTGACAGTGAAGAAGTGACTCGCCCCGCATCTACAAGAAAAGGATCCAAAGTACGGATTCTTGAGAGACATGGAAGATGAAACGACATAGGTGGGCAAGAGGGTACACCTCCTCTGTCTCGAACTTGTGGCTAATTTATAGACCGCGGATTGTGGCCAATTGATTGTGTGGCCTGGCCTTAGCAGGGGAACCTCATTTCCACCTGTCGAAGCACGGGGAAATGGATTCCATCAGGTTATCATGAATCAATTTGATGAACAAATAAATGGAAAACGGTGAGATATGTCAAAGAACCTCGAGGCTTGTGACATATTTGAGACTTGAGCGCTCACAATGTTTGATGTTATAGCTTTCTCCACGATCATCATCCAGAATCGTCACTGTTGTCCAGTAATGTGCGATCTGGCACGTACGATAACCATCTTCTCGGAATTCTTAGCTTGCATAGGAACGTGTCCGACATGCTGTTGCAAGATCAGGCAGTCTCCTTTCCCCTTCTGTGAAGTTGTGTGAGTTTCTTTGGACTAGTTAGTTTATGGACTTTTTCTAATTTAGCCGACAAAAAAGAGCAATAGATTGTCATGGCCCAGTCCGACAGTCGACAAGTTTTTTTTCTTATCTGAGATCTTTCCCATAGGTCCCTTTCGCCATCAATTGTGTCACTCCGAACTTGGCTACCAGGTGCATATGAGTTTTGGGGTTCTCCTTAGGTTCTGCCATTCGAACCACCGCCGGCGGTATTCTTACACTGTACACACTCCACACCGACCCCGATTGCATTCCGATCTATCTCCAAATCTCGGGGCGAGAACCTCGTATCCTGGTCACTACTATTCAACAAGCCTCATTTTTGAAAAAGGAATCTTGACAACAGTCATGTGCTCCATCGATGATCTACAAGGTTTGCTCCTGAATTCCGAGCCAGCTAGCTTGTACTACTTGGGGACACATCAGCTGCCCGCTGTTAGAGATGATTCTTGTACAACGCCATTCCTCATCTCAGAATTTTCTTGCGCCACTCATGTTATGACCTCCGAACAGGATCAAGGTCCATTATACGGAAGCATTCATGTATGGGCGCTCTTCAAACACTATATCGGTGTTGTGCGTAGGAATCTCATGGTCAGCGCGAGGGTCACAGTGAAGTTATTGCTACCTTTCGTTACCGCTGCCACGGCTGGGCGATGACCGTTTGAATGGCAGGATTACCCGGAGTTCATGATTAATAGTATGGCAAGTCGACGATGGAAGAGTAGAATGTGGACGCTGATTGGTGAGGACAATAACTACTATCGCCAACCCTTCCACTATATCATGTTTTGAAGCCTCCAGTTGGTCGCCTAGAGCCTCGCGGCTTCCATCCGCTGAGGAACTCGTCAGGGGCGTTTTCTGGTAAGTAGCCTAATCACCTACACGCCCTCTATGCAGTCCCAACTCACGGAGACCCTGTTATTAATCAGATCAGCCTCTGGAACATTTGTCAATCATTCTGCCACCACATATGATTCGAAAAGCTTCCTTTCACCTCCGCCGATGCAGGTTGATCGTCCAAGCATTTTTCATGTCCGCAGGGTTCACTACCATCACCTGCCGAGCAGACATAAATTTGCAGTGTTATACACCAATAACGCACAGTCCTGTTATGAGGGGGAGTATTATGATCAACATGCTTACGTCGCCGCGGCGGATCTTTGCGCACTCGACAAGGTCCTTGTGGTGATGTGGGTCCTACTAGTACTACTCCAGGAAATACAGCGCTTTGGGGAATTGCAGGGGAACTGCTAGCCAACTTTATGTCTTTCTCTTCCTTTTTTCAACATAACCCATCAACCGCATGCGGCATGAGCGTTTCTAATCACGTCAACACCCTTGATCAGTACGTAGGTCCGAGTCGCTACCCATGGGTATCGTCGTTCCAGTCCTCTCAGCCAGATGTCCAGGTCCCAGGAAGCTTCTCGGGCTTCAAAATCGAGTCAATTGTAGCCGAGGAGTTGGCTATCCGGCAACTTGGATGAAAAGTGTTCAACGTTCATTGTCCAAGCATTTTGGGACCTTGGACGTGCAACATGCAGCATTGAAGATCATATCATTTTAAGATCTTGCAGTGTTCACGTATTTTTTGAGCGGATTAACGTAGTTGTACTGCTTTGGAGGCTGTTAACCATATTGTTCGGTGACATCCATTGCTCTCGTCACACAGTTATTTTATAACATTATATCATGCCGGCATCACAGGACTCCGTATTGCCTCCTCAGTTTTTCCATCTTCTCTCAGGTCGGGATGTGCCCGATACACCGGGACGGAACCAGACGAATGACAGACTGCTAGAAGAAATAGGCACTTGGGCTCATAATCTCCAACTGAAAACCCATATGTAGGAGTTTGTAGGCGCCATGGGCTCAGGGTCACGAACGAGGTCCAAGTCATTTTCCCCAATTGGCGTTGGGCTTGGCAAGACAGTGCCGTTGTTGGCTTGAAGGCTTTTGGAGATCCGGGAGGATCCGTGCTGCTTTGAAAATGATGAGTTCATGTTCGGATCAGCGGATCGCAAGACAGTTCAAGTCACAACCGAGGTCAACAGATATACCAGCAGATACTAATCATAACATGCTATCATATACTAGAATGTCCGGGTCTGCGACCCCATTTTACTTGATCTCCAGACACTTCACCTCTATATTTCAATGAGCCGCCGGACCTTCATCACATAGAGGAGGAATCACTCACCAAAGATCAGAGTGGAGTTGGCAGGGATGCCAGACGTCTTCCGCGCGCCATACCCCATTGCTGGTGGAACAATAATCTCACGTTCCCCACCAATTTGCATACCGGCAACTCCAACGTCCCACCCTGACACGATGTCAACAATGAGGGCAAGGTCATGAACTGAAGCCGCTAACCTTTAATCACATCACCCGCTCCAAGCTTGAAATTGAACTGCAGCATAGTGAACACATGCCCGGCAACCAAGAAACATAATGCCTGCTTACAGGTTTACCCTTAGTGTTCTGGTCAAAGATACTTCCGTTCTGCAATTTTCCGATGTAACGCATGGAAACCTTGGCGCCATTCTTGGCGGTCTTGCCATCACCGGTTTTCACGTCTCGGATCTTGACCCCACCAGCGAGCTCTTTGGATGCGCCACCCTTCTTCTCCTCAGTAGCCTTTTGTTTTTTCTTATCCTTCTTGTCGGCTTTCTTTTCTTCTTCCTTCTCGCCCTTGGGCTCGGCTGCTTTTTCCTCAGCGGTGACGGGAATTGCCTTGCCGTCTTCACCCTTCTGTTTCTTCGCTTTCTTCTTTTTGGAGAGCTTCTCGACAGGTTGCTCGTCGGTGTCCATGGCGTCATCACGAGGACGTTTTGATGGTTTGGGCTCTGCTGCCTTTGGTTCATCCTCAGCATGGTCGGACAATTCCTCGAAGCGCCTAACATGATTAGATACACGGCGTGGAACAACTGACGGTGGTGTACTTACTCAAGGTCATCCTCGAGGCCCTGGAGCTCGTCAGGATGTACTTCAACGTCCGAGCTAACATCACCCAGATTGTAGGCCTCCTCGTCACTCATGTCAGACTCCATGTCAGAATCGTAAGGTGGTTGATTAGCATTCTGGTCTATACCACGTGTTACTTGATTTTAATAGACGCAAGGACACTCGGGGCTTACCAATGTAGTTTCCGTAGAGGTAGACAGTGCTGGATAGGGGACGTGCATGAGTTGCATTGGCCAATAATAGTTTGAAAACTGCTTACTTTTTTCCGATGAGCTCAAAGGTATACTCCTCGTCACTCTCAAGGATGAGGTCACATGCTGCCTGCTCAATCTGTGCAAGCATGGCATGTTAGGCGCGTACTAGGATAAAGTAAGGCGTGCCGTGCCACTGACCTTGCCAGCAGTTAGCGAACAGAGAACAGTGGTCATCTCATCTTCTGGAGACTTTTGGTCGATTTCATCCTCTTCATCATCAATTTTCGCAGGATTTATGTAGCTTAACCTGACGGTCGTTCTGCCAGACTCATCAGATATTTTCTCTCCGAGAGCGGCGTTCTTGATCTGCAAGTCTGCCTGAGGGACGATTGTCTCCGGCTGACCTGGCGTCAACACAATGCTCCTGCAAAAAAGTATGAGATATAGCAAGGACTAGAAGCATGAAAAAAACATGCCAAACAGCGACGGCAGTCATAGTGGTAGTAGTCGTTCTTAACACGAAGACAAAGCTCAAAATTTTTGGCGAGGACGCGTTTCCTGAAAGAGACGCGCTCTTTCCGAATTGGTTATTATGTACTTGTCCATCAATTCAGACTCCGCAGTCTCTAGATTCCTCCTCAAGACTCAATGGTGGGTTAATTGGCAGTGTATATGGCTAAAGCTACTGATCAGACTCTTCTCTGGACCGTAGTCGAACACGCTCAGGCCGTATCTCTCAGCCGTTAAATCAACTTTAACAGCCGCTCTGACGCTTGAGAACTTCTCGTCACAAGTAACCATCATAATTAATGCTATCTGACACTTTCACGAGCTCACAATGGCCTAGGTCGTTGAGCGGCACAACAAGCCAGAGGTAGAGGTTAGGTGCGATCATAGGTTTCGTGTCATCATTGCGTGTACTCACGGCGATCGGTTGCAGGGGCTCAAAAGAGGTCCTCCTCAACCCACTGACCATATCACGCAACGAGAATGAACGCGTCTTGATCGAGCCATCTGTCAACTCAATACGCATGAGTATTAAGATAAAGCAGGCCGATGAAATCGAGCGTATTCTATGTCACAAGTTCACGCGATTCTTGATGCAGAGAGCGGAGAGCTTTGTTGTGCTGCGCAGGAAGCCCGTCCTCGTGAGTGATTTGCTCGAACATGAGCGGCCATCGTGCTCTAACCCTTGCACAGGGATATGACATATCGTTCCTTATTACGAACGTCCATTCAGAGACCATGTTGAAACACAAGGTCGTCGATTTCATCATACAGTGCGTGGCATCCGAATGCTTCTACATCGTTCTCTCATCCCCGGTACCAGATTTATGGAAGAAGTAGACAGGGAAATAAGCGAGATGAAGCTTAGCCTCAATGCGCGCGCGCGCACGGTAGCCGAATCGTATCTTACCGCTGTATGTGTCTCACTCACTGCGTGCCTCTCAGTAAGCTAATTGGTGTGCATCACAGTTCAACTCATGAAACATCGTTGCTATTCCCACGATCACCATATTTCACCGCACGCAACTTTCCCTTGCGCTGTATAACCTGTTCTCGTAGGAAGGACGTCAGACTGTAATATTGCAAAACATTTTCCTTGATGCGGGTGAATACCAAGACAACCATCTGGTATAGTCGTGTCGATTGACGCATTGATATCTTGTACCAAAGGAATGATTCGGCTCATTTCACCTTCGCGAGTTTCGTCACGCATCAGTACTTCCATCTGAGGCCAATTTTTGAAAAATCGCCCGCCTATCGAGCTGCCTACCACACCTACCGATTACTTGGGGCGAATTGGCTGCCATACAGATACTAGCTTCTACCAGTTATAAGTACGTAGGCAACACTTCAGAGTATTTTACGTGAGTACATGAGGTATAAGGCCTACATATTAAATCCACCTTCGCGGGTGATCTTAGATTCATCGCTCCACGACCCATTACCCGCTCGTCACCAGTGTTGAGATTTACACGAGTAGCCATACCTTGCCTAATGCCGACCATTTAAACCTCTCCCAAATTTCCGAGTCATAGCCTATAGGTCACCGTAGACTGTTATATTGACTGAATACCGGTCGAACATTATAGAACGCTTCTTGCCAGCAGAAGCGTGACCACCGCTCTTCACCGACGCTGTCACTTTCCTGCCTGCTTTGAGCTGGTAAGAAGTCCAGTCGATCTTGAGTCGACTGAGTTGATCAGGATGCTTCTCTGGAGTAATTCGGAGCCATGGGCCCCCATCTTGTACCCAAGATATCCCCACAGTGACGATGAATTGTTCTGTCGTCGTTGAGTTGTGGTAGGTGAACGATGCTAACCACGAGGAATCCACAGTCTGAGGTAGATGGTGTGAACCTTTGAAATCTTGTGAGGGCTTCAGTAGCGGGAATGGCCTGCTCATCTGCAGGACAAAATTACTGTCGCGCATCTGCAGGACACATGAAGGCGCCGTCTCCACATCGATCACGGAGAAGCCGTGCGATCCTACCCCGATATTTTGAATGAAGAGCGACGTTGAGGTGCTGAAGAAAGTACCATGGGATAAACCCGATAGTAACGGGTACGAAATGTGTATTTGTTTGAATTTGAATTCTTGACGAGGGTCGATGATGTCCTCGAGGGTATGATCATCTATCCTCTCGTAGCGTTCCGCATTGGGCATGGAACGCCGTAGACGAATACCGACGAAATGCTGCTCTCCGTCGCTTGTGCGACGTTGACAGCTCAGGAGGGCGATGAACTCGTCCGATTCATCCACCAGAGGTAGTAAGGGAAGGCTTATATCCAAGCCGTCGTTGGTGGCGGCGAAGTCAAGCCTGGGGACATCTGAGCTAATGAATTCTTGGCTATAGCGTATCCATTGATCGGAGGGCACGTCTTCAACGTTGTCTGACTTGGCAAAGTAATCGGGGTATAGAGCGAAGGGCCAAGTCCCTGATTTTTTGCTACCTGCCAAAGGATTGCTCCAAGCAAAAATGCTCTGGTCATGCGAAGTACGCATAATCTCCAGTTGCAGTCTGAAAAAAGCCTTTTTCTCCCCCTCTCCGTAGATGACAGGCATGTGAACCTTAAATATTCCCATGAGGGAGTAGGCTCTGTCTTCTGGTCTAGTTGACTTCCTCCCAGCAGCCCATGACATCTTGGTTGCGACGCTGAAGGATACTCTGGTGGCCATTAACTTGTCTGAGCCGGCGTTTACGCGCGTCAATACGTCGGGATGCACTCTCGTAATGGACGAGATAAGCCCAGCCAAGCTGTTTTTGCTTCCAATCTCCCTCCAGTGGCTGTCGAAGAAGAATAAGCTCGTGGGCGCGATGAGCTCTTGTAGAGTCCACCCTCTGGTGAACCAGTCGCTTTGCGCAAATGCGGACTCGGTTCCCGGGTCTCCGTTATCAGCAACATCGCCCAAGTACACGTAGCATACCTGGGCGTTCTCATACCACGTGAACATGGAGTTGATTGCTTCTGCAAGCTCCGCGCTGCTGTTTTTGTCGATGCAGCATGCATCAATCCAGACGTATTGATACCCATCGCGCCGCGCCTGTTCACAGCACCCCTCTACTTTGGCATAGCCTTTCATGCCTTTCGCATGCTCCTGATGGATATCTGCAAACAGGACTTCTTCCTCGCGCCATCGGTGCGAGAGTATCGCATAATCTGGAGGATTGACAAATTCCTCTAGTTTCTTGGTCGTAGAGTGCAAAAGGTGCATGCTACAGACAACAATGGCGGTAAGCTGGCGAAATGAAGAAACAGTTTGTGGATACACGCACATAATTTACACCACGGGATACGTCGTTCTTGTGGACCCACCACTAACACTGGTTGACCACTGATCTGATCCTATCAACGATGTATTGACCGATATGGAAGAACTTGCTGACGAGCGCTTGATAATGGGATGGAAGATCTGTTATCTGACAGCCCGGGCGCAATATACAAATGTTTAAACACTCATTGAGCTATCATAGTGCGGCGCGCCTTTTAATTATGCAAGCGAAAGAAGGTCCAACTTATCATCTATTTCACATTTATTGACTGGTAAGGCGAACTTCGTGTTGGCCATGACACCTGGCGTCGCCTGCCAACCAGGGTGCGTCAGGGAGCCAATGAGGTGAGGTGGGATAAAATTAAATAGATAATCCACCGTTGCGCACTTGTGTATGTGCACAGGTTCGATCGCAGTTGTGCACGGCATGCATACATCACAACGGATGTCTCCCCTTCGGGGTATGACCTGCACAACCTGCAGCCAGTAGAAGCTGAAGGACGTACTCAAATTCTTGACGGAGAGACAGTATTTCTCGCCCCAGAGGTGTGTATGTCGAGGAAAATGGGGGTGCTTTGGCTTGTGTTTATCACCAGTTGATACTCTGACTTCCTTGCATAAAGTGAACTCTACTGGAGGCGAAATAAAATTGGTAAACCCATGGTACCTGTAGGACACGGGCAAAGTCTCCTTCACAGGATTGCGGACAAGGAAAGGAAGGGATGCAAGCCAGCCGTGAGTCATGTACGAAACACGCCATCAGAAACGCTAGTTTATGTGCACCGCCCCCAGGCCAGGCTCGCGAAAACCACCTCATTTGCGGTACCTGGAATGCAATCATGAGCATAATTCAAGACACATAAGAGAGTACAACTCACCAAAGCACACTCTTCCTGTTTCTTCTCATTTTGCGCTGAAGTTGCAACATACCATAAAGCAACGCTTCAGCAGTTGGCGGGCACCCAGGGACGTATATATCCACGGGCACAATCCCTACCAGACAAGCGTTAACTCGGGCCACCATTGGACCAGTACGGAAGAATGCTTACGATCACAACCGCGGACAACAGCGTATGAGTAGTGGTAGTAACCGCCACCATTTGCGCAAGATCCCATGGACACTACCCATCTTGGTTCAGGCATTTGGTCGTAGACTTTACGGAGAGCAGGAGCCATTTTGTTTGTGAGAGTACCCGCGACAATCATAACGTCAGATTGACGCGGAGAGGCACGGAAAACGACACCGAGACGATCCTGGTCATAGCGAGCAGCAGCCATGTGCATCATTTCGACAGCGCAACATGCAAGACCAAAAGTCATGGGCCATATTGAACCCTGGCGTGCCCAGTTGACAACTTTGTCTAATGTTGACAGGACGTATTCTAAAATACAATTAAGCCTACTCAGTGGGAAGTGCATGAGGTATACTCACCAGCCTTGTTCTGAGGCTGCTCAAGGCTGAATTGATTCGAGCCGCGCATCGCTAACGTGGTGATCGGCTCAGAAGCAGAGGTGGTCGAAGTAGGTATAGTTTCGGGTGCTTGCGCAGAATTCGAGGTATACACAGAGCGAGCGGCTGCAGCGTAAAGGCTAAGGAAGGGGTTCCCAAATAATGAATCGATAGAACATACCATAAATCCCGAGAACGGGTCTGAGTGCTGCTGCCTTATAGGCACTGGTAACTGTACGACAGACTCATCAACTATATTGAAATATTGCACGCCACGCGTATTCACCTGGAGCTCTTAAAATGGCGAGCGACATGACGGTCGGAGGAGAAAAAGTTGAGCTCGATGCTGTCCCCGACGATGCGGAACGAACAGCGAGTGGATATCTGGGGTTCTCACGGTCTGGATGCTTACTTCAGCAAGTCCGTATAAGCGACTCAACCCCTGTCACTTTTTCCGAGTATTATTCTCGTGATGGCTGACCCGGGCTTGCATCCTTTCAAAGATATTGCGTTGCGTCAAGTTTCAACAGTGTTCGAACACGCCAAAGTGTATAATTGAAAATTCCCCTTTGAAGTTTGTTACTGATGGAGTCTCATAAGTACAAAAGAAATTGAAGTCCAGGAACTCGGAGCGCAGTATGTGGGGTAGCTAGGTCAACTTGAACCTTTCCACAAGTCATTAACTTGCCAGTGGCTGAGGCTCGTTCAAGCTGTATCATAGGGTCGACCCTTATCATATGTAGGACCCCCTAATCGGGATCTGATATTCTCTGTCTTCAAACAAGTGGGTGGGAAGCACTGTTACAAGCATCACCTGGATGGGTAGGTGGATCCGTATAAAAACCAATTGCAAGATGGATTGTTATGATTTCCACGCAAGTTGATGAATCTGGATGCGGGTATGATTTCTAGCTTCTGAATCCGAACAACTGCATGAAGGAATTGCAATGCACTCTGGCTTAGCAGCTTTCGTAAATTCTTATGCTCCCATATAGAGCGATTATCCATCACTTTCTTTGAACTAGTCCTCCTCTGAGCGGTGCCATCGCAGGATACATACACCACTAGTTCCGCTTCCGTTCAGTTCTGAAACTAAAAGTTCAAACACTTTCACCAACCTAACCGATGGCCATCCAAGCTCTAAGTTCCACCTAGAATCAACCATGAAGTTCAGTCTCCAGTTGTGTCTTGTCTCGAACCTGTTCGAACCTATACACTCTTGCAGTAAACCATCCCCTCATCAGCCCATGGCGCCGAGAGAAGCGCCAGTTCTTCATCAGTGATGTTAAAGGCCGCCAAATCTAGTGTCACGACTCAGTTATCGTATTTTCCTGTAGTATGCGATAAGTTGGACGCGAAACCGAGAGTCGGGATGAGGAGTTGGCAAGCACCCACAGAGCTGTGTATGCCCTGCCGCGGTCGCGAAACTTGCCGAAGGGCGAACATGATACCGCTGTTGCAGCTCAGTGAGTTTCACAAATGAATGCTATCTCATTCGAGTGCGGTTAGGCGATCTAGTGGTGCCCAGTTAGCTCTGCAATTGCTAATAATTATGTGCACCTCACCAGCACGCGGTGATACGGCATCAGCTAGTATGTACAAGATATCCGAAAGAGTCGAGTATGGGATACGAAAAAGATAGCCTGCTGCATCACACTGCGGCTTCAAGCGAGGCGGGAGCAGATGGTTGTACCAATGCTCATGTAGCCTGTGCAGGGCGATCAGGCAAGACTATTTGGATGTCGACCCCCCTTTGAGAGGCCGAGTTTCCATTTACGCGTTACTCGTTCTGTCGATCCCTGTATTCTTGATGTGGGAATGCGTTCATCCTGAGAACTTCCCTTGCATAGACTTCTCTCAAGCTTGTCGCCTTCTGCCACGAGGAAACTGGTTGCTGGCCAAGTGCCCCGCCGTACAATGATTGAGTCCTATTCTGAGCGAGCAAGGTAATTCAAGCCTCGTTCTCCATTCTCACGCAGAAGTTTGGTACTCAGTTCAGCTACTTAAGTTACGTGACTAGGGTCTCGTTCTTACTCTCAGCTCGCTTTTTCGTTGAGTTTTTTCCCCCCTTCTCTAGCAGCGCGAGTTCATTACGATGTTGACCTTCCTCAAGTCCGCTGGTGTTCGCATGTCGGTTGCGACCACTACAGAGCCATCCAAGGTCAAGCAGGCAGACCTTGAAGCTGCCCCCACAGTTCCGGTGCCAGACGCATCTGCGGCCGCAGACGTTGCTTCCATTCATTCAGCCAACTCGTCCTCTTCGTTGAATTCATCTACTTCGAAATCCTCCCATACAGATGCCTATGGAGCACCCTCAAATACGGGTACTCCTCAAGCAGTCAGCCGGTCGCTCACGCCTGTGCAGCCCCAGTCTGTGCCCTTGCCACAGTCATCTGTGCAGTCACTTTTAGTCCCTCCTAGCTCCGAGCGAGGTCCTGCTGCTGAATCCGCAGGAAACTCCTCCCTGGGGGTGCCGGGTGCGAGTCCTTACCCCAACGCTAAGACTGGGAAGGACCTTCGTCGTTTTTCCTTCCGCTCATTTTCCTTCCTGCGCACTGAGTCAAAACTTACTCAGTCGGAGGGCAAGCATTCCCAGCACTCTGAATCTATTCACACACAGCATCACGCGCTATCCAAGGTGCATGAAAAAGAGAAGAAATCACGTGCTGGCAAGGCATTCACGGTTCGTGCGCTGCAGTCCAAGGCCTCTGATAGGCGTGCCAGGGATACCGCAGCCATGATTCGTTCTGTCATCGTAGGAGACCATGAAATGGTGGACGGCACAGTAAAGAGGTCAAAATCGCTCTCTAAATCTGACCTAGTGCGTATCAAATCGCAGCTTCTCGAGCCGAAATCGGCCTGCAAGATTATTGGCCACCTGCACGCAATGTCTGCATCGTCAAGAGATGTGGGGTCCGCTGATACTGGGCTAATCCATGCAGTGTGTCTTGACGCGATCGATAAGGACGTCCACGAGCAACACTTTGTGCAACTTGGCTCAGTCGCTACTGCAACAGTAACTGCGGCATCTGAAGCGATGGCCAATGTGCACCTCATCGACCTTCTCGCTGCCCCTGACATGGGTTTCGGCGCGCCAGCATCATCGCCAGGACTTCTGGCAGGTGCCGTTCCCAGTGCAGAAGCTATCATTGATGGCCTTCAGCAAATAACACCGCAGTTACTTGCACTTGGCTACGCGACAAGCAAGGCAATTTTGCCGGATCACAAGGGTGTTGTCGTGCCCACAGATCGTCTCTCTGTTTTGACGTGTGCGTATTTTCAATTTACTGGGTGTTGTATAAATTCTAATTGATCATTACTAGACTGGTGGGGCTTTGAAATCTGCATGCCGCCTCCCACTATCGAGCATCTCGGTGCAGCAGCCTATCCAGGAACTGCTTTGCTCAATCTGCTAACTGCATTGTCGCTGGTCAGCCCCGGAGTCCGCGAAGTATTGCCATTCGTTCGCTTTATCGCTCAGTACGTGCAAACTGAGTGGCACATGATCAAAGCAGCCGATAAGGGTAAGGGAGTTGTTTGTTGTGCTACCTGGTAGGTTTTTGGTATCCAACAACAACCTGATTACTGATCATGTATCTCAGGATCATGCCAGCGGCGATGAATCCTCGTCCGTGGGATTTCGCTGACCCGCCTCCTGCAACTATTGTAGTTAGCCCAGGAGCAAACCTTGCACCTACTGCGTCAAGGCCTACTACAATTGCCGCCACGCCCAAGCCTTCCGTTGATGTACCACGCGCCTCGTCTGCTTACTCCAGCGAAACTGGCGAGGAGGGGGCACGACACGGGATATCAAGTGACCCTCCTGTTCTCCCAGAGCTCAAAGTCAGTTCCCCTGCGTCGAACGAAGGCGCAACTTCCATCGACCTTCAAGTCCACAAGCCTTCTGCGGATGTTCCCAGGGATATCGATTCTACTGCTCTGTAGTCATTTTCGCTATCTTTCTCGTCACGACCCATCACGATCTTCTTAATCTGTTGTCTCGCTTGTTGGACATCGCCTCGGCTGTTTGATACCCATTTTCCATTTTTTTTTTTTTTGTTCTCAGTCAGAACACACTCTGGTAATCGTCTAGACTTACTATACCCTCTTACACCCCACACTCATTAGCTACGTACCTATTTGCCATTCGTTTTCTCATCGCTCTCCACGGCAGGACTTATTTTACCATCCCTGCAATTTATGCATAGTAATGGCTCTCAGTTGGACTATTAATATTGAGATCCCGAGATATCAAGGAGTCGCTTAGATCATTCAGGGAAGCTTATCAGATCACAACATCTCTCCGCTGCATTGTTTGTTCTACATCCTCAAATAATGAACTGTACAAGTCTGTCTCCACTCATTCATATCCTGCATCACACTGCCACCATGCATCTCCCAGCGTCCTGTCCTATATCGCATGTGTCAATGCTATCAGGCGGCTGCCTGGGTCGAAACTTGTTGGTCAGGTTCTGAAACAAACAGTGAGCACCGGCCCGTCCTGTGATTAAAAGTAGAGAGCACGCACCGACTGAAATGACATCGCTAGTGAGTGATTTCAGACATGAAGCGCCTTCATCAGACATCTCGACGGTGATCATCTACATGAGCAAAGTATGTCAGTCACTGAAGAAACCTGAAGCTCGGTCAACAAACCCCAAGAATCCGCATCGTGTCATCGACGATCTTTCCGCCTGTCGAGGGTTTGTCAAGGGTCTGAAGATGGTACGATGACTTGAGAAGCCTACCTTGATCCTCGATGGTTTGCTTGGTAGCGTCATAGTCTGCGTCGGGCGAGAGAGCGACGATGTATTCTGATAGAGATGAGCTTCAGACTTGACATTTCCTTGAGATTGGTGTACGCACTCTGTACAGATTCAGGCATTGTTCAGCAAAATCTATGGTTTCGAGGTTGGTATGGATATCAAAAGGCCAGCTAGCTACGATATTTATCGGATCTCCTGGAGACTGCGGGGCCTGCTGTGCCGCTCTGTGCCGGCATGACTGAAATGGCCTTGCCTGAAAAGGAAACCGAGTACCGTGGACGCGACGCGCTGAGTCACGTATTCGCGCGTTATTAGTATGCCGGGGGACTGGTTTGAACTTTGTTGCTAACCAAGCTCTTGCATGAGCTTGTTTGCATTCTCTAGACTTGCATTTTCTGCGCGATCCAAGCCTAGATTTATCATGCCTGTAACGCGATCAGCTACTCGGTCAGTTTCATCAACCCCAGTAGGAGGAAGCAACGTGACAACTACAGCGGCATTATCGTCTGCAGTCAAGTCCAGCAAGCGAAAAGCCGTTGAAGAATCCACGACGACAGCCAAGAAGACGCCTCGCGCTAAGAAGGCAAAGTCTTCCGACAAGAGCGCTGCGACACCGCTCACATCGGATACCTTCATACCGCCTCCTCCACCTCCCTTGCAGAATGAGCCCGGGAAGGAAACCTTGGTTCCTGCAGTATTGACATTCTCGTTTGAGGAGGCTAAAGCGCATCTAATTCGCGCTGACCACCGCTTTGAAGATATATTCATAAAGCTCAAATGTAAGCCTTTTGAGTCCCTTGAGCAGGTCCATCCATTCCGGTGAGCGCGGTATTTTATTTTTGACCGAGTGACGTGGAATGCTCATGTATCTGTAGGGCGCTTGTAGAGTCGATTCTGTAAGAATTCTCTCCCGGATAAGTAAGGTCACTATACTGAGTGCCTATTTTGTAGTGGCCAACAAATTTCATGGCTGGCAGCCCGATCGATTATTCATAGGTTTACTCGGATGTATGACCCCTCATTACCTGAAAAGCCAGCGGATTATTCGTGAGTCTAATTTATATGCCAAGGGCATGCTGGCGTTATGCTACGCCTGCTCGTTGCGCGGTATTAATGGTTTCATTATGAAGTGCATCAAAATCCCCAACATCTTTCTTCCCTACCCCTTATCAAGTCGCCAATACGGATATCGTAACACTCAAGTCTGCTGGTCTCAGTACACGCAAAGCCGAGTATGGTCAGTGTCATCGTCGGTTTTGCTGGGAATCTCCATCAAACGAGTCTAAGCTGTGATTTGCCGTCAGTAAAAGACCTTGCTGCACGATTTGCAGATGGAAGGCTTTCAACAGAAAATTTGCTTGCTGCAGATGATGAAAACCTTGCCGAAATGCTTATAGAAGTGCGAGGGATTGGGCGGGTATGTAGTCCAAATGATACTTTATTGTTTTGCACTGCATTAACATCTCGCCTCCTGTCACCAAGTGGACTGGTGAGTGTTATGTTGCTTTTAACCCAAAGAGTATTTCATAATTCCAGTACAGTTGATATGTTCGCAATCTTCTCCCTCCGTCGTCCAAACATCCTCCCAGTAGGTGACCTCGGTGTCCAGCGAGGAATGTTGCGCTGGTTCCTCTCGCGCCACTCGTCTAAGCACGCGTTTACGCTTTCACCGCATAAACTGAGCGGTGGCGAACCCAAAGATGATAAAACAAAAGGGGCAAGTACTAGCGCAATGGGACCACCACCTACAACGCCTGCACCAAGGACAACCTCTGGTTCTCGACTGACAGGAGATGTAGAACCGGATAATGATGTGTTGCCGACATCATCTGAATCACAATCGCAAACTCCGGCTTCAAACAAATTGATTCCTGCGCTTCCTGAACCGTTCACTCCCTCAATTGACAAGACTCTTGAGGCAGACGCGATGAACACAGAACCTCTCCCCGAAGGTCTGAGCGTTGCAAATTTGAAATCGAGGCTTGAAGGAAAGAAAATCAAGTATGTCATCTGGATTTTGTCTTGTGGATATTTTCTCACCAAGGCTCTCCGAAGGGGGGCGTTCCTTACCCCGAAAGAAATGGAAGATTTAACCGCGTCTTGGGCTCCGTATCGAAGTATAGGTGTTTACTATATGTGGGCTTTATCAGAGGAGAAGAACTAGGTTGTCACCCGTATTTCGATCTTGGCTTATATCTTTTTGCTTTGTGATATGTATATTAGCTTGTAAAGTACACACAGTACTTGCTGTCAGGTTCAGGAGGCCTTGAATTTCCAACGTCCAGCTTTGAACGTTTCAACTTGTATTGTCAGTGCTCCGGTTCAGCCACTGTCGGGTTGAACCATTTCCTTCACAGCCGCATCATTCGTCGCAATAAATCCAATACGGTCTGCAAGGTTGGATCTTTGTCGGAATGTGGATGATCGATTAATTACCGTGGTTCAATGCGCCATAGTCTGAATCTATAGCTCGCGTGGATACCAAACGGCATGGCTTGCACAATAGCACTGCTCGTCATTAAAAGACGGTAGCTGGAAGTTAATGATACCTACTGCTATTGTGCCGACAGTAGGGCGGTATAAACATCTATGAAGGGCAAATACATGGATCGCCAAATTGACTCCTTCCATAACATGGAAAAAGTAAGCAGAGGAGGACTTAGGGCCTGATATACACAAGCACACTATCTGAGCAAGGATATCTGTGCACGTGGCGGTTCTTACCGATAAGACACCGAGACCCGCCAGACACGACCCCTCGCCGACTGATACGTCCAGGAGAAGAGCAATGCCATACTAAAACGCTATATACGCTCGTCTCTGCTGAAAGAATCCGTGATCAAAAGTTCCTGCAGCGGTATTAGCCTGGGCCGAGTTCGAGATGCTGAATTTTACCTCAGGTGCAAAGGGCCACCGATCGAAGGCACTGACGACGGCAGCCCAGTCCTCTACATTCAGTTTCTTGATGATCTTCTTCATGTCAGTCCTCTGTTCGAGTGGAACGTCATCGCTCGTGAGGTAGGACTTGAGAATGTCTGATCCGGGCGCTAGATGACTAAAGGAAGGTCAATGATTTTTCACGATTAAAAGTGAATTCTGAGCATACCCAACGGCGTTCTTCAGAGGGGTGCACTTCAGCACGAAGAGCTTCCGTAGGCAGTAATCCCATTTGTCCAGCATGCCTGGCTGAATGATCTGCACGATATCAGTAATTTAAATGTGAAAGAAGCATGGCAAGTACCTGATGCTCCAATGGTCTAAAGGTACCTGCTACGAATGGCGTACCTCTGCGCCTGTTTTCCGTTCTCGAGGAGTATGCAGGGTTTACGGCATGAGGAAAAAAGTGGTCATCATATGGTTGTAGCAGTTGTGGGTCAATGGTGAGATTAAACTCAGAAACGGCCTGTGCAATGACGCTCAGCTTGCACCGAGCCCGATCCTCAGTAGACGCCGAGATACGCTACCACTTGTATCAGATAGGGATAGCTAGTTTGTGGAACGAGATAACCTACATCCCATACCCAGTCGTGCATCACATAACTCATTGGAATACGACCGTGTTTGAAAAGCCAAGACTGTTCTGGTGCACAACGCAATAGTTGCGCTAAGAGCTGCTCGCCCAGGACATCCATAGGAAGGTGGGAAATGAAGTGTAGATATGGATTTGACTGATTCCATGGAGTAGTTTCCACGTCTTTCAGGAAGCCTTGGACGTCTAGCTGATGATACGTGTCCCACAAAAAGCCGTTCATTGGCAAAACTTGTACTCTAGGGTCCGCTTCCTGCAGCGGCTGTTTGAAGACTATTAGCGTGATAAAACTTTGTGAGGCACATCTCGCACCTTCAGAAAGTGGAGGTATTGTTCTGTATCCTCAAGCACAATGATTTTTCTGATTCGCTCTTTCGGTAACTGCATCAAAGCACGAGTTAACGCGCCAGGACCTTTGTGGGCTCTTTAAGCACCAAGAAATGAGAGTATAAATATCGGTGTCCTCACCGGGATACGCTTCTATGATAACTTTATCCCTCGAGCCTTTAGGAACGAACGAATCTGCAACTAGTGCCGCCGTTTCGGGGTTAGAGATGGAAATACGGCTTTTCAGCGTCATGCCGGCGGTGAGAAAGTAGTGTCGCCACTCCGTACGCGGGGGAAGATCAACCCTATTGACCGGGAGTTGTATGTGACCTTTCCGTGCATTGGGTCTGCGGACAACTTTCGAAGTCGAGGCACTTTGAGGCTCAACTTCGGGGTTGATGTCCTCGATGTCTGCCTTCTTGGGACGACCGCGTCTTACTGGGTATTTCGTGAGTGCATTCGCGATGATATCCTCGGGAATATTCTTAGCCCTGTAGGCACATCTGGTGCTTGTAGAAAATGGCCTCCGAAGGAGAAACGGGAAAGACATTGAATGATGACTAAGCAACACGAAAACGCGTCGTAGACAGAACGTGACTTGATGCTTAATTATTCGGTAATCCAGGCTGTTCACAAGTCCGCCTGAGACCATCAGTTTGGTTCAACACGACAACTTCAAAAAAGCTTTATCACTGTGCAACCCGCATTTTCCATCCGCCCCATTCAGAGGACTTCTCACCACACGGATTATCGCACATTAGGATTATCGACCAATATTAATGTTGGAATATAAATTGACAAGGCGTGTTCCTGCTTCCTGATCTTCGAGATGTTTCGTCCACAGCCAATCACCAGTATTGCAATGTTATGCAACTGAGTTTTTTCAATTGTATCATGGGAATCTGGAGGCTGAGCGCGTGCGTTCTGATGACCCTTCACTGGCAACTGTTTTTACAGATACCAAAAACTACCGGGACGTCACCAAAACTCGGGCATCAAATTTGCATCAAACTTCAAGATTTTGCTACGTACATCGACTGTCATGTACGCGTATTTGGGTCAGCTCCTGAAGACTACATACGCTTTTCTTGGATGGAATGTGATATATGCCCATGATAATTCGCATGTGAAGATCTACCCCTTGAACAACACGGTGGTTTCTGCAGCGGATAGGCTTATCATGTCTATTGATGGCAAGAAATTGAGCTTTTTCTGCTGTGCCTCGACCTTGATTGTCACTGCACTGAAGGATAAAATGATGGACATGTAAGTTGTTGTAATGTGTCATGCATAGCATTTTTATGGCCAGTTATCAGCTCACAGTTTGTTCTGCGTACGGGCGTCTCGCATATTCATCAAAGTAGCAAGGCAACTGGAGTGGAGCAAACACCGTTTTCAACATATCGACCCACACACATTCTCTTCTCCTGATTAGATTTCTGATTCACCCTTACTATAGTCTATGGGCAACTGATTAGGGATCAGCGCTCAGTCCGCACTGCGTGGAGAGATTTAGTGCCACCATCAGCTTCACGATACAGATTGGACAGGATTGGACTGCAGTACTGCTGGTTCCCACTGAATTTAATCACAGCCTATTTTAATCTCACTGCGGATCTAAACCGGATTTTCTAATGATACGAGTGTATAAGAATAAGTTCTGGAGTCTTATCTGCTATGAGCGTGCATGATGGTCGCGCCCATAGTCAATACGGGGATTCAGACGGCGAAGGTAAGAATTCCCGAATATACTCTCCAGATGAAAGTCATTGACAGGAACTGCTCTAGTATTGCAATGGTACGTGGACTTCATACAAGATTTTCCACTATTTTCATCTTGAATATGCGTAGTGGCTGGTCTAGGAGTTTTGGTGGGTCTGCAAGTCATGCCGAGTATCCTCTCTTATGCTTTATAGATTTTTGACTATTTTTTAACGCTCGATTCTGAGGTGAGCATTTCTTTATCGTGTTCGAACATCATTGACAATGTTTTAAGATTCGATGGACATGGAACAGGCGCTGGAACGCCAGTCGTTTTCTTTTCGTGATTGCACGCTACATGGCATTTGTAGCTGCTGGCATGACTTCATATGGTGAGCAGCTACCTGTATCTCCTGACATGTGAGATAAACTGGCAACTAGCTGCTATTGCTACACGAGCGAACGAGGATGTTAGTGTATATTTTTTATATGGCTGTTGCATGAACTGATGGGCATCGATGTCCAGTGCTCGCATTTCAGCTCGGCTTCAAATGGTAATCAATATCCTGAATAGTCAGCGTCTTGTCACTGATTTTTACCACAGCAATTCACATCATCAGTATCGTAGCTGCTGAAGGTTCGCTCCATGTCTATTGTGTCGTCTGGGCCTGAAATATCTTTTTATAGGTCTTTTGATCATTCGTACATATGCGTTCTGGAAACAGAGCAAAAGGCTCTTGGCAATATTACTGGTCTTGGCAGCAGTACGTTGGTCTGATAATATTTGCATGCTCATGCTCATCGTCTGTTGATATCGAAACGTAGATTTGCATAGCGTGTGCTGTTAGTATTACACAAGTTGTCGGTAAACTAGTAGCGGCGCCTGTAAATCCTTCAGGTGGGTCACCCTCATTCTTCTTTCATTGTTGTAGACGAAAACATTGGTTTTAAAGCTCCTCCCACAAGCAACTGCACTTTTGAAGCGGGTCGCAGCAGTGCCATTCAATACGGCTTTCTCGTGGCCTTCGAACTGGGTAAGGATATACTGTTTCAGTCCCATCTTAGTGCGATTTTTCAATCCCACCCACAGTGTTGATGTCTTTAACGGTTTTCAAGAGATATCAAGACTACAGGAATTGCAACGGCCGTCTAGTGAGAGCAGTCTTCCAGGGCGGAGTACGATATATGACTGCCATAATTTGTGCGGTGCCCTTTTTGTTCATTGTGACATGTCCCGTGCTGAAGCACTTTTCCAGTTGTTTCTGTGGCCAATATAGTGATCATGTCTGTAGTGCCGGTAAGTTGCATGCGGTATCTGCTCATTTCACAATTTTTGCTGATTTGGGAAAGGCATCGTATGACGAGATGATGGATGCGTGCGTGGCAATTCGTTTAGAATGGTCTGATGAAATAACTGATGCGCCATGACAGGCCACAACTTGTCCTTCACAGCATGCTGGCATCCCGTGTGCTTTTTAATCTGCACGAGAATGACCATATGGACATGGAAGGGTCGACATTGCAGATGTCGACATTTTGTCCAGCTTAGGATCAAAGGCATACTTGATTGATTATCTTACAGTCATAGAATGTCCCGTCGGAATGTGTACATGACATAAAAGAGTGTTCGCCGATCAAGGGCCACCAAACTGAAGGATACTATCACGAAGCACGCTCATCTGCCGCTCCATCTGGTTGCCCTGCTCTGCTTCGTCCTTGTCCTCTTCTAAATTGTTCTTCAAATCTTCCAGCGAAATTGTTCCTGGGTCTGCCTCTAACCAGTACTTCTGACGGGACAGAAGCAGCCCTTGACGTTCTCGCAGGAGACGCTCAAAATCCAGCAATGTCACCCAACCATACCGGGTGTTATACAACCATATAGACCCCGCCAGTGAGACGCTTTGCAAAGAGGGACATGATTTGTGCCACCTTGACGCAAGGGTAGCCGTGAAAGTTTTGTCGTGTAGTGCATCGGCTTTATCTCGCGACATCAATGTCAGCGACCTGAGGCACTCAAAGCCAGAGAGGAAATCAGGTAAGGCCTCGAGGAGTTCCTGTAAATGCGTTGAGCAAATGCTGCATGTGCTAGTGTGTAAAAGACGGAGCACCTGCGAGACTGCTCCACCACTCGAGTAGAAGGCAAATGAATTCAGTCTGGGCAAATTCCTTGGAATCGTGTTCAAGGCTGCGAGTGCATCCGGTGTGTCACTTATATGGGTGATGATCTGCAGTGCGGTCAATGGACCGGTGGAATAGGAAAGGATGTTCAATGCAGTGTGGAGGATGTCATGTTTGAAAAGCTCCTGCTGCAGCAAACATAGCTCCACTTCCTTGACTTTTCGATTCGGAACCACCGCAGCCAGTATCAATGGGGATGCGGAGACCCTTGTAAGCTTTTTGAGAGTATCGCTAGGGAGAACCGTGTCGTTCGCGAATCTTCCGCCAAACATAGCATTGCACAATTCCGTCTGCTCTGAGATCAATTTGACGAAGTCCCTGTCCCAATCGAGTGTTGTAGTCAGAGAACGAAGTCGAAATGAACATCCATGCAAATATCTTGCGTAGGGGCCGTCGAGGAGAAGTGTAAGATCCGTGAGCGAAGAAGCGTTTAACAAGGCACGGCGAAGTAGGTTGAAATAATTGGAGAATACATCATAATGTCGAGTAGCATCAAACAAGATCAGAGTACGAGCACAGGAAGCAAGATGCGGGTACGACGCAAAGCATTTGAGGCATGGTATAATCATGTCCCCGGTAGGTTCGACGTTCCTGTAAATCACGCGCTGGGAAATGCACCGGAAGCTTGGGCATACGGTTGCCGCGTTCACCAGGTCTGCATTCCCCAGGTACTTAAGGATGTGATGAATGAGTTCGGAAGGGATAGAGAGGACTATGGTACCTGTGTCAGAAAATAGTCAAACAGATTTGGATCTGCCAGACGTACTGCCATGTGCACCAGGTCTGTCGGTATCCTGAGATTGATTGCTGTGTGTCTCAGGACGGTCCACACCAGAGTTACTCTCCATCGAACAGCCTATTTCTGTGTGCGCTGCATCGTGCATGACAGATGGCGCGTTTTGCATGCTTGTGTCTTGGAAGGAATAGATCAAACCATCCAAGAAACATTGGTCCATAATTGGTGACATAATTGTCCAATTTAGGCGTGTTGACGACGGACTGCCAGTGTGAACCCTTCAATTACTTGTCAAGGCTTTGCCCTTACCATGAACTTCAGGCTTGACTTCAGGTCTTCATAGCAATTAGAATAAATATTCGTGATGGCTACCTCTCCACGGCGCTCAAGAAGACGCTTCTCTTCTGCATCTATTGGTGCGACATGGAATACACAGTTTTCACCACTCTCCACACCAGTTTCGCGTGGTCGCCGAAGAAGATCCTCATCCATCGACTTTGATGATGATGTTATTCACAGTTCAGACGTAAAAGAAGAGAAAACGAGACATGCACCACTCGGTGACCATGGTCTCGACTGCGAGAGGATGCTTGAACCCGAACTCGAAGTTCATCCATTGACATATGCATCACTCCCCCCAACTCCTATCCTGCCGTCGCCGCCTGCCTCTCCACCTCCAATAGTCAGAGAGCTGCCGCAAGACCAGCCTCTGTTTTCTCTATGGGATTACCTATGGGAAGAACTTCTCGCGACTGACTTTGACTCGCACCAGGAGTTAAAGTGGGAGAGGGTGAGCAATTTCTTGAGTATTCCTCTAGCAATGGAAAAGGTGCGTATTGATTTATGTGAGTGACATGGCTGTGCTCATGATGTATAGATCATTGGCTTTGGCTTCATACTTTGTTTGGACTCATTCCTCTATACTTTTACGATATTACCCATCAGATTCGCACTGGCGACCATCCGTTTTTTTCTCAATTTTTTCAAAATCTCCAAATTGCCTCTCCCGCCATCACAGAAAGCTGACATTCTTCGAATGATGCTGGTTGTGGTCTCTATCATGGTATTGATTCCACTCACGGATGCCAGTAAGATCTATCACTCCATACGCGGACAAGACACTATCAAACTATATGTAATATTCAATGCATTAGAGGTCCGTACCTTTATGTTCGATTCGATTCAACCGGTGGACATGACAAAATTTTCTCTGTCTTAGATTGCTGACCGTTTGTGCGCTTCAATAGGACAGGATATTCTTGACTGCCTATTTTCCCGCTCGACGCTCGAGGTACTTTCCCGTCGAGTACCGGTTACGTCCAACACGCTTCGTCCATTCGTGTTTTTCGGGCTAGCCACCCTCTACATTGGTCGGTCTCTGTTAACAGGGCCTACTATCGCGTCATTGACGTTGCTTCAGTTTCCCACGCATTGGTGATGATTTACCAGCTCCTGGCTCTTAATGTGGCCGTCAATTCTTATGACCACGCACTCCTGACTCTTCTCGTCTCGAATCAATTCGTCGAGATTAAAGGAAGTGTTTTCAAGAAATTTGAAAAAGACAACCTCTTTCAAATCACATGCGCGGATATCGTGGAACGATTTACACTCTCACTCATGCTTCTCATTGTTGCATTCCGCAATTTAATCGAGTTGAGTGGATCTGAGTTTGATTTTACGGGTGGATTCGTCCTTCCGATGAGCTTTGGCTGGTTCATAGGCAACAACGTCCTATGGACAATATCCTATGTAGGTTGTTGAGATACCGCGTCCAGACCTGCTTACGAAGCTCGATCAGCCTGTGGTGACAGTAATGGCATCTGAGATCCTCGTGGACTGGCTGAAACACGCATTCATCTCTAAGTTTAATCACATACGGCCATCTGTATATGAACGATACACCGATGTGCTCTGTCGTGATTTGGCTAGTGGCAGTGCTATAGGACGCCTGGGTGCTCGAAAGGTCTGGGGTCTAGCTTTGACTTGTGATTACGTTCACTGACCGACCGAGTGTAGCATAGCTATGTTGATCAATCGCCATTAGTGGCCCGACGACTTGGCTTTGCCTCCCTTCCGCTTGCAGTTGTTGTTATTCTAGTTGGCCTTCAGTCATTGACTCTTGTCTTCTCTCTTCGTTTTGAAGACGAATGGGGATGGGATGCTCTCATGGATATGTCTAATGCCGAAGTCGTACGCCTACTTAAGTGGGCGGTGATGGGGGTGGCATTTTGGTTATGGTAGGATCCCCGTCGTTGTCATGCCCCAGAAAACTTACTCCTCTGTCTAGTTTTCTCGCCTTAAAGGTTCTCCTTGGTGTGAATCTCATCTCATATGCAACGCGTCGCCGAGCAGGCATGGAGGCCCGCGCTGCTGCGGACACCGTCAACGACTTTGGACGAGATCCTATAGGAGAAGGTAAGGAGGAGCGTGAGTACAATAAGCAGCTCAAGAAGATGGTGGATGATTGGAGAGATGATGCCGTGCGAGTGGGTGAGATGGGTGAGGGGCTTATACGTGGCGGTAATGGACAAGGCGGTGGTGGTGACAAGAAGCGGGTACCCCTTGAAGAGTTGACTCGATTTACAATGGTGAAGCGTATTTGGTGATAGGAGCTTGCAATGTCGAATGATAAAAATGGTCTTTCAACGTTTCTGCTGGATAGTAATAAAATCGACTGCATTACCAGCTAAATGGAAGTACTTGGACTCTGATTTGCGTCAAGTTGCCCATGGGTCTGGCTAATAATTTGCGTTTCATAAATCATATATCCATATGTATATCCATAAGTATCCATAAGTATCCATAACACGACGAACACAAGCTTTTGGTAGTACAGCGCCAAACTCTTTCTTAATAAACTCTTCACAATCACAGAAGTACAACCCGCCGAGACCAATCAGTGCCGATCTTCGGAATGATGTCCGTTGGGATCAACCGCATTAATGATGCGGCGGTACGAGCCATCCGCGCGTGCATCGAGGGGACAACCATTAGTCATAGCCGCACGAACGAAGTAGCCAATAGGCTTCATCTCATGCGGATCATCCATGTCAAAACGAATCGGGCGCAAATGCGCTGGCGTCTGTTTCCTGCAAAGAGGCGCCACAGGATAAGTATTGATCATTTTACGGATGACGTCCGGGTCCTGCTCCTTCAAAAAATCACGATAGTCCCTGTGAGACTGTCCATGAATGGCGACATGGGATGGAACATGATGTAGACGTGGGCGTGAGCTGGGCGTAGAGCGCAAGATGATTGGGCGCGGGGAGTGGGTGGTAGGAACAGGGGGGGCGGGAGTAGGAGTGTATGAGCGAGCAATGCTCGACTTGGCGCGAACACGTTCCGCCTGTCGGCTACTTCCCAATACAGGAGTATGGCCATCCTGGATAGGAAGTTGAGGCCGAATCTTTGAATTCATTGAAGTGGTCCTTGAAGCGCTACGAATGGGCACAGGTGGCTGAGGGAAGTCGGGAAACTTGACCTGTAAGTCCGCACGAGTGCCAAAGTGGGCGCGAGCGGGCGGATGGAACGAGACGTCTTGCGACATTTGCGCGTCGAACATGTCCAGCACCCCTGGAGTTTGCTGGACGTAAATGATGTCGGACGGTTTGAGGGGTGTCTTGCCGCGGTATACGGCTTTGGAAGGATCGGCACGAGGCTCGCGCGTCCTCCCATCTGAGCAAAGTCCGTATGGCACTGATTTAGAGTGCTTAAGTGACACCGTCTGGTCGTTCTCGGACCTTAGAATTATTGATTAGTATTATGACAATGAGTAGAACGCGAAAATGGTCGACTCACGTTTGAAAGAATTTCTTGATACTCCTCATGGTTTGATATGGGGGAAAACAGTGACGGAAAAATTGCAAAGTGAAGTATGAGGTGGTTAACAGTATGAGGTGGTCAACAGTCTGGGGTGCATTATATAGGTTGGGCTACTGTGGACGCACCACAGAGTCCACATCCACACCTCAAAGCAATTCGTCAAACCCAAAGCGGTATGAATGTGGATGCTCTAGCCACCTATTTGGACCAAAAAGGCAGGATATGCAAGTCCGACGAATTATTGATTGCCACAGGCAGGCGCAGTGAGTGCATCGTGTGTCGTGCTCATCTATTTTTCTTGAGAGCTCATAGATTGTGCTCAGTGAAAACGCGATAAGACTTGACTTGCCGGCAATGATAGTCAGCTGTAAGCCCTGGGCTTACTACGTCACCGACGGCAACACTGACCATCAGCACGGTGATTCGGATGCTTGGCAACGATAGGGCATGTATGCAGAGACACTAAAAAAAAACTGGCTTCCTCCTTTAACTGTCTCACTAGACAAGACCACTCAGCGTACCTTTGAGGTACATTGCACCCGACCGACTGTATATCAGCCCAAGCTGCTCAACATCGATAAACTTACATAGAGTACATTCAGGCCTCAAGCAATCTGAAGGTGATGTAAACAGTATAGCAAGTATTGGTAATGATTCCAACAGAATTACACACACGATCATTATGGCCTCCGGTACGTCTAGTGTAGACTTGGGATTGGTCACAGCCCTGAATGGTGCTGATATTCTTCATCTCTAGGAATGTCGAGATACCGTACACCATGTGCCTCGCATCAGGCAGAGTAGATCGCTCGCACCAAATCACGGAGGTCCAGATACCTGTTTCGTGGTCAAATTTGCGACTCAGACTTACTTACTCTAAAAGTGCAATCCGCATACAATCCGTACGCCATTAGTAGCCCTGACTGGAGTTATGGTCGCAGGCCAGAGTTGGCAATCCAGGAGGACCTGCTCACAACGAAATTCACATCGGAAAGAAATGCCGTCCGCAGCAACGGGTCTGTCCGCACAACAGCAAGCAGGTAGGGGATTGTGGGTGGCAGTACTAGCTGTGCGCTATGCGCTGCGTCGCAGTCTAGTTCGGAAAGTATTTCACCATTGGTGCCTCCGCGCCAACGATATTATTAATCACGCTGTGCAATTTTTATCACGTGCACATTACATTTGGAGATGTGACATCACCAGCAGTTGACGTCATAGCTCTTGAAGGAGCTTAGCACCTGCGGCGCAGCATAATTCTTGGACGTTAAAAGCCGCTGAATGTTCCTAGACCTTCTACGGACACGTATTAGAGGTTTTTTCATTGTCACTCCGTTCGACAATCAAGATGGCAGCATCCGGCGCGCTTCCTGGTCTCTTTTTCTGTTTTTCAGCAACGCTTCTTCTCATTTTTGTATGTTCCGTCTGATCTTATCATCGTTATCATGTTTCTGACGGTGTTCACAGGTTTCTGTCTCAGCACCAACATGGAACACCATAAGCTTTCTTAATGCCAACCAATATTCCTTTGGTGTATTTGGTTATACGGGCTCGAAGGTTCAAATTGGCTACTATTTCCCTCTCCCAGGAGATATCAACACAGGAGTTCTTCACAATCTCACCTTCGTTCTTATCCTTTACCCAATTGCCGCTGGTCTTGCCGGTCTTGCATTCCTCTTCGGAGTGTGTGGCGCTGGATACCATCGTGCGGGCACTGTATTTATGAGTTTTCTCGCCGGACTCGCGACGCTGTGCACATTTGTTGCATGGATTGTTAGCATGTCTCTGTTCGGTGTCGTCAAAGATCGCTTGAGTAGCGAGGGCATCAACGCGAGTTGGGGGAACGCGAATTGGCTTGCACTAGGCGCCCTGGTTGCGCTCATTCTAGGCTTCTGCACAGCAGCTTGCGGAGTATTTGGAAACTACAGGCGCTCGAGGACGTAGTCTGGGCAGGGAGGCTTTCAAGGAATGGGGTGAGCGATTGAAATGAAAGGATCATGAAGTTATCTCCGATTTCACTTTATATCATAATGTATATATGCCTGCTATCATTCGGATGGACTCGCCCGTTTGCTTATTCATGGATTGTATACTTAGTATACCCGATAGTACGTCCTCCAACGATGATCAAAACGATTGCAATGTTACCACTACCTTGAAGCCGCGTGGATCTATCACGGATCATGGATCATGTATTAGATTCATGTACAATAAATGATACAGCTGCAATCTACGCATCTATCACTTCCTACGCATCATCTTCGAGAACCAGCACTGATTAATCGATTTGCCGACATTTTTTCCAGCCAGAAAATCAACGTGATCACCGGCCTTGTCCATACCATGATATACACGTTCCAGATATGTCAATTTTGTACATGTTATCCGGCTTGAATCAAGGGCGTATCGCTCCGCAAGACGATGGCAACACTGAACCAGTAGTTTTGTGAAACCATCGGAACAGGACCCCGGCTGCTCCCTATACTGTATGTCCGCAAATTTTCAAAATTTTCCTTGTGGGGCGCACCACTTTTGAGGCTTGTGGGGCGCACTTCGGACATGCTTGGTTCCCAAAACATACCAAAAAAGGAAATTTTCCGCAAAACATTGCGTGCTACTGGATTCTAGCTATGTACGCCCACGGTTCTGCTTCTTGCGAGGCCGTACGGTGAACTGCGATGCAATAATATCGCGCACTGTCACCATACCAGCTGTTTCCCATCTATAGAGAAAGATAAATATATGTTTTACAGCATTTTGTAGAATAGAAACTTGCCGTTCAAAAGCCCACGGTTTCAGAGCGTGATATCGGCCATCTGAGACGCTCAGCGCGGATGTTCCGAGATTGTAGACGAGTTCTTTGATACTGGCAAGTGTCCATAAATGCCCTGTGGACTTGCTGTAGTGCCAAAATGAGTTTTCACTTTCTTCAGGGTGCGTCTTAGAAGTTCGAGAATTTAAATCAATACAAGCAAGCAGGAAAACGGCACCACTTACCTGAATGAAAACCCGTAATCCTAAGTTTGTCAATGAGGGAACATCTTTTGTGCCGGCAAAGAGAACACTCTCGTGTCGAGTGCCTTTACCACTACCATTCTTCTTGTATATACAAACCACTTGGCCAATATAGTGGCCCTCGGGCTGTGAGCGTTGCATGACAACGTACGAGCCAATTACTAGCGGTGATATGTCGCTGACATTTCGCGTCGCGATACCAGGAACTGAAGAGTGAAAAATCATGTTTAGTGATCGTGACTCGAAGTAATCAAGTGCGACACATACGATTATCTTCAAGGCGTGGCACAGCTGCAATCAGCTGCTTTGCAATTGCCCAGTTCCCGATACTAACAGAAGAACTTCCAGCGCCATCGTCACGGGTGGGATTTGCCTTGGTGGCCGTCCAACGTTCAACACGCGAGTAGCCACCCTGTCGTTTGTGCATGAGGAGCTGCAGGTCATCGTTTGTGTGAATTGAATGCCGAAGGATATGTTGGATCTCATTCGGATGAGCCACACCTGCAAACTCATAAGTCAAAAATGTCTCTGAATCTATCACGCCAAAAAAACACCATTACCATCCGACATGTCAAGGCCAGCAGCCGAGTCGAGCTGCATTGTGACTCTGGCCAAGTTTTTTGGCTCGTAGTGGGAGTATTTGGCCTTCCGCTCGAACGATTTTTCGGAGAGAACACCCGAGTTTCGGTCGTGAGATTTGCGCAAGCGGACCACAGCAGTGACATCTAGTGCGTGATTGAGAGTTGTGATGGGAGTAACATTGGCGTGCTCGCTCGGTCGATTTGATGGAGGTGCTGGATTGAGAAGGTTGACAATGCTTGGAACAATAGCATGTGGCTTCCGGGATATCTGCTCTTCGACTTCTTCGGCATCCTCAAGGTCAGCTGTGAGTGCAGACATGCGAGACATATGGTGCAAGACTTTTGCGTACTGAACACTATCTGGGATTGATGGGTCGCATAAGTCACGAGCATCACTTTCAGCTTGCGCAGCAGCTAGACGGAGTGGTGCGGCATTCTCCAAATCATCGTCGTCATCATCCTCGCTGCCACTCTCATCCTCACATCTGGCTTTCCGCTTCCCGGCCTGCTTGAGTCGTTTAGTCTCAGTTCGACTGGCTGTAAACACTAGTGGCAGCGGTGATATGTTTGAGACACCGAGTGCCTGCCAGATGGGTTAGTATTAGCTACAGTGCACTCGGTACCCTACTCACATCGTTGAAAATAGCCACTACATCCTCCCAAGCTACGTTCGCAATGTCTTCCATTTGCAATCGAGATGGAATATTAGTCAACTTCTTGAGGTCTTCATGACTTAGCCTCTCCAGCGTAGTGTCATAGACATAACCAGACGATTTCTCCTTACGTTCGTGGACTCCTGATTGTGCCAACCGAAGGAGAACCTCTTGTCGTTGCTCGATATGACGCAGGATGCCAAGGAATTCGACGTAGCTGAAGTTGGTGAGAAATTCACGTGCAATGCCGAAGATTTTCTCTAAAGGCAATGAACCATGCTGCCAGGGAAGGAAGGGGACAGTGGGATAGTACTCGCGGTAAACAAGTGCAAGTTTTATGAGCGCATCGCAACATGAGTCGAGTGACTTGAAATTTTGGAAGGAGATAAAGCTGCGACGTAGAGGAAAGAAATGGCCATAGACTGGGTGTTTGCTTTTGTCGATAATATGATTGTGCCAGAGTTGAAGGAATAATTTTGCTCGCATTGCTGCACGTACTCGTTCAGCATGTGAAAGGTCACGCTTGAAGTATGCATCGAAAAGTTCACCTAGTACCCATGTGTCAACTTTAGAGATACTTCGGACATGAAAAAAAAACAGAATCTTACCACAGATGAAATGCACCGCAAATGCAAGATGATAGGGCTTCTGTATCGACTGACCATCACCCGTCAAACATGCTCGTAATGCGTTAGAATGGAACAATCTAATGGCCGCCCCGTCATCCTGCTTGTCCGTGTTCTCAACATCCTTCTTTACCATGCCACTGTTGGGCTCCTTGCGTAGCGCTACGAGTGTTTGATGTGTCAAGCAGTGATCGCCAACACTGAGAAGGTGTGTTCCGCTTTGCTCGTTGTTCCGCAACACCTTTTGGACGTGACTTGGGTCAGGAACAGTCACCAAGGGACCAGTTGGAAAAATAGGAATGCTGAAGATAAACCCGAACTTTTCAATTGAAAATGTCAAATGTTCCGACGCTGAGTTGTGAATGATGTCATGGGCACCAACTTCACTCGAAGCGCCATCCGATCCACAAGAGATAACAGCCAATCCTGCCCTCTGACATAGAGAGAGGCAGTCGAGCAGTGTGCGAGCATTGTCTTCGGCAGTTTCCTTGCCTTGACTGGTAGCGACCAGCAGTGGAATGGGGCGCGAACCAGGCAATGGTGTCTGATGAGACAAGTAAGTTTCTTTGCACCGTGATTTGTCTTGCAAAAAAAACACACCTTCCCTATAAGGACACGAACTTGAGATGCCAACGAGTTCTCGTCAACGACCTCCTTGATTATCCGTTCTATATCTTCACGCGTGTTGACCTCAACTTCAGAGAGTGGTTTCATGCCCCCCAAAATATGAGACCCAAACATTGTGCAGTGTGCGAGTCGGCCCTTGACCTAATGACTTATATCAATGACTAGAACGAAGTATCTTATAAGTCATCATCACGAACCACTGTACAGTCCATAGCAAGAACAATTGGGACACCTTGGTGGCCACGGTGTGCAATGTCATTAACAAGACGGCCAATATTATGAGGTGAAAGGTATGGGCTGTCCATGTGACGGCTAGTTTGAGCTGCAATAGCACTTCCAATCCATTATGTATAGTAAGCCCATGAACTCGTGCTTGCTGAAAGTCACTCACCGTAATCTGCGCTGGCAGACTCCCCCGATAACCTGGCTAAGAAGGCCATATTGTACTGCACTTTGGCTCCCATATCCACGCATAGCAATGAAAAAATTCATCACTTCTGAGTCATAGCGTGCACCGTACTTTGCATTAGGATTGTCGCTATGCGTTCGTCCTACTTTGTCTGCTAATGCTTCTGCAATTTTGACAAATAAACCGTGTTCCTGCAGATGCCCGCTCTTTTGGTGAATTCAACATGAGGGTAAGTCTAACAGTTGGATTGAAAGACTTACATTTGCGTGTTTGAATAGCTCAAGGAACACTCGACCATAATCATCATTCTCAAGCAACTGATACGCTCGATGTACCCGTGGGTCCTTCAAGTATTCCTTCAGCTGGGCGGAACGAGTTTGAACAAGTATCAGTGACGTGTTTGTGACTCGCCGCTTTTCGACCTTATTCCGATCTGTCTCTGAAAGCTGTGCATCAGCTTTGTCTCGTTTTGAAGCCTATTATTTTCATTGCATCAGTTGAAACATACTGCTGTCATGATGACCACTTACACGTCGAAGCTGCCGCTGTAGGCTCTTGTCTTTGTCCAGTGCACAGCATTGCTCACACATCACTTTCCCATCTGAATCAGGGACAAAGCGGCGTGTACAAGTCGCAGAACGTATGATACGTGAACCAGCATCACAGCCATTTTCTATGAACCAACGCCGACGGCTCAACAGTTCCTGTCCAAGGATTGCAAGCTCCTCCTGACTAAATTTCGTGATGCTGGTATGCGTGTTTCTTTGAGACGGTGAGGCAGATATGTCATCAGTCGTCGTTCCTTCCTGTGCTGACACTCCATACTTGTATGGAAAGAGACCCTTCGCTATCTCAACGCGACTGGTGATGCTGCCAACCCCTCCCACGTCTCCGGCAACTGCATTCTTAGCAAGGAGTGCATATGCACCATCAGCTCGTCCCAGACATGCCACACTCGTGTCAATGTTGGCCCCATCAGCCTGCGCTACAGTGAGTGGAGGAATGCTTTGCGGAGACTTCTGCTTGATTGTCTCTGATGATTTTTTGACCGATGATGTGAAGAACGAAGTGATTGGTTTCATCTATATTGGATTGTGGTGAGCGAAAGGAACATGATTATTTCCGACACAAACTTACGGGAATGTACTCTTTTTTAGTTTTGGACTTCGATCTGGATCCAGTTGCCCAGGGGCATCGCTGAAGGTGGCGGTCGTATTTGCTAAGGTCATATTGGCGTTGTTGGGGAAGTTTGTTGCGATTTTTTCCGCTCTTGAGCTTCTGAAGAGTCCGACGGTCTCCAGAATCTAGCTTTATACTGACTCCACATCGACACTTGACAAAAGTCGGCCCAAACTCAATTATAAGCCCTAGATTCTTTGCCTCGTTTAGCCTCTGGACCCGTTGCTCTGTGGTTGTCTGTTTAGTGACTCTTGAGCCTACAGCTGCCTGAACTCGAGCCTGGTGCGTCCTTTTTGACTTCAGTTTATTAATATTTGACTTATTGATTTGACGCCTACCGTTCATCATCAGTGTCATGGCCCTCTGACCCGTCGGTACTTTCTTCGTCTTCCTTATCTGAGCCCTCTGAGATCTCGATATATTCCTTTCGCTGGGTGTCAGGCCTTGCAGGTGATGGTGTGCCAGTGGTACGAGATGGGTTTGTGCGCAGGTGCAGTGGCTCTGACTGGTTTCCGTGTGCAGGTGATTGGGGAGCCTTTTGACTGTGATTGCCCAGTGAGTGATGACCCCTCACCAGAGCTGAACAAAATAACTCACCAGAGCTCGAGCGCTGTATGCATTCGAGGAACCATTGCAGACAGACAGGATCCTTCCCCGACATCTTGCTCGACGTGGGCAAAGGTATTCAGAAAGTCGTGTATAAGGAGAAAGTCTGCCTGACTCGATTTCGAAGATAGTAGACCTCCTTCTTGCCCCCAACCGAAGATCGCATGAACGGGCGCATGAAGCTCCTCCCAGTGGTCTACGGAATGCTGAAGTGTCAGGTGCTTAACTCCGAGGATACTCTCAGATGCTGGTCCTTGATTGCTGATTGTCAGAGCAGCTTTTTTCAGCTCGTCTAGGATGTTTTGCCAGGTCATAGCACAGAGTTCACAAGGGTGCAGGGGTTGGATGATACAAAAAACGGTTCGATTCTGGTTCTACTACCACAACTAGTGCTACCAAATGTTCCGCATAAGTGTACCATATGTCAGTAAACATAGCTACATGGTGAATCCCTTCGTCAGTTGGTAGTCAACCAGTGCCTGTTTAGGGAAACTGGACACCTGTTTGAGCTTTGTCGTCGGAATCCACGGCCTCTCGGGGCGCTACCGACGGACATAGGGTATGTGCTACAGGCTTCCGAGGCGCAACATTTAGGACCATAGGATGGGTGATTTCGAGGACGTATGAGGCGCTACCGGTGGACATACAGTATAGGGAGCAGCCGGGGTCCTATCGGAACGCCTTGAATCCTAATGCTATTTAAGTTGGCTTACGTATCGCCAAGGACTGAAAGCAAGCGCCTTGGCAAGAATCCCCCCTGGTCAAGCCACGAGGAATTCTGTTAAAAATGATACGCGGATTGGTTGTCATGATAGTGGATAGAGGGGATTTCCGCTCGATACGAGTCTTTCAGCGACTGTTCTAAACGATGTCTCGCTTCAGGGTGAGCGGATGACATTCCGTGGGGCAGTCAGCACATTTATTTAATCCCATGTGTTGTCGTTCTAGGCTTGCAAGTTCAGCGTATTGACAGAGACGGGTTCTATGATTCGCAATGAGCCAGAGGCCCATCTGTATCCGCTGGGAATGTAGACGTAAACACCAAAAATCACGTTCGTGCCAATGTCTTCTGAACCAGAAAATCGAAAGCCACGCCTTGTTGCCGGGACCAAAATTGTACGACAAGGAGATCCGTTACTTCATCAGGGCTGAAGCAGGATGGGTTTGTTCTCATTCATAGCCTTCCACGTCCAACGAAGATCATTTCGTCACGTAGAGATAGGCGAGCGCTCGTACAGTAGAAACATCACCTTTTTGTGCTTGGGATCTGACGTTACGCGGTAAGTGGCATAACTACACCATGGAAACCGTACGGGAAAATGCAACAGAATTTTGCATCAGGAAAATGACAAAGGCATCGACTCGTTCAGAGGCCATTGGAAGATGCGGGCATGCTGAAATGTCTTAGCGTTCACTGTAACCAGGAGGTCAGATGATAGTCGCAACTTACGGATGGGCGCGAGTGTGGACTTTGAAGCATGACTGACAGAATGTAGCAGAACCACGTAAGTTTAGCTTCTCTTTTGATTTCATTGGAAATCTTTGCAAATGTGGCCTTTCATAAATAAAGTTTGCGCAACATCTGTTCACGGGTCAAGTGCCAGAGGTTGCGGGCAGGGAGCAAGCTGGATTCATGTCATTGTCGTGAGGAGCAGTTTTGAGAAATTGAATTGCTGCGGGATTAATTCCAATGAGCTAGGGGCTTGTGTGCGTCAGGTGAGAGACAGCAGTCGTATGTCATTGAATCATCGTGTCAAAAACGCTAGCCTCAGGTATCAAAGCCTACGGAAAGATCCTGATGCGTCACCATGGGCGCCGCTGGAGTGGGGGACCCCTAGGCGAGGAGGGGCGAAGTAGCAGTCGCGTATTAGCACCGTAGCTTAGTCAGCCATGGGTGTCCTTCGGGCTTTGTCGTAGCGTAGTGCTCTCCATCATAGTACTTCTTGCCTTGCTCACGATACGCAGGCACACAGTCGCGGGATACACCGCTCTACCGCCATCCTGGATTTGAATAGTAGCTGTTAGATTCTTGACCGAATACTCTGAGAAGAAAACGCTGCCTAACCTACCGTTCACACCGACTGCTCTGGAGATCTGTCCAACGCGGTATTCACTTCCAGTACTTTCAGGAAAGCTCTGACACTGGTGTTAACAAGGGGCGGTCAACCTCAGGGCTGAAGTTTTCCGCTTGCGGCGTCCGGAGAGAGCCGGAATTTCCAATTCTCTATCTAGGCTCCTCCCAAATTTGGCAGGTGTATATGTTCACCGCATTTTGGGGCCTCGTTGAAGCAGGCCTTTCGGACTCGCGACATCCACATGCTGCGTAGCTTCAAGTATGTATACTCAGGCTGGATGGGATGATTTCTCCACTGTATGCGTAGATTCAGAATGGCTGTCATTTCTGCCGTCGTTCTTTTTTGCCTGTTTGTGTCCTCTACTTTTTTCCAGAGCTCACCCCGTCGCCCGAGTATGCAGTGGGCGAAGTCAAGCGAAATTTCATTCCCGTCGCCAGTAGGGGGTGTCCCAATGACTTCTGACTTTGGCACATCAATATTTTTCTCCATACTATATTTCTCACTCATACCCATCTTCGTTTCCCGGCTTTATAACAAGCATTCGCGGGCCGTCGTGAGCATCAACGCAATCATTACGACCATAGAAAGGTGAGAACAGATCCCTCCTACCTCGGTGCGCATTGCCTCATGTCACCTCCCCAGAGTTATAATATTCTCACTACGAGCCTGGCAATCCCGCAACCCAGCTGAAAGGATATCCCCAGCATTGACGACTTACATGCAAGTCTCGATTGCTTTGCCATATATATCCATAGCGCACGACGTCGTGACTCTTCTGCGCTGCATGTATGTGAACTCTACAAAGGGTCCAGCAGATTTTACGGATCCGCAAGATTCACCTGTTGCTCCTTCGATGTCGTCCTCTATGCACCCTCTTTCCCCTTTCCACAGTGCTTCGCTTCATCTTTCAGATGACATTCACCACCATGACGATCCCAAGAAGCGTTTCTTCTATCGCTGGTTTACCGACGTGCTGAACCTGACCTTCCTCGCTGCCACTATCCCCGGTATAATTGGTAACGCGCATTACCGTGGTGGAATGGATAATGCGAGCACGGCCAACGAAGTGATGATCACCAGGTGCATCAGATCTTGACTAATATAACTCTGTCTTAATTAACATCTTTGCGCAGGTACATAAGCTCCAGTATTGCTCTCTTCCTCATACTCTTTGTGGCGGTCCTGGTTGTTCGCGCCAGAAAGCTACCAAAAGTGGAGCCGATTCACGTCAGACTACTTCTTGTCATCCTCGCCTGTAACGTAAGGATTCGTGCCCTCTGTATTTTCAATATGATAATTATGATTTCCTTCATCGCACAGGCATCCTCTGCGATCTTCCGACTATTTTTTATGTATCACCGCACGACCTCCCTTACGTCGACAGCCTCGGGCTCAGGTAACACTTCTTCAGAAAAGGCAACGTTCTATATATTCCATATGCTCAGTGACTGGCTGGCCGTCGCTCTGCTGCTCGTTCCGAATATTAGGGCCATCTACAAGACGGGCATGTGGGGGGACTGGAGAGCCATTGACCCTGTTCCACGAGAACAGGAATGGGCGAGGAAAAGGAAGGAAGCAAAAGCGCGAAGGAGTGAGCTTATCGCTTGATGCGCGGGTCGCACACGGAGGGATGTAGCATTCCTTTTATTGAAGAACACTTATTATACATGCCTGAGCACCCGTATCATTCCCGGCTTGAATACTGGGTCCTGGCAATATTTATGTTGAACACTAGCACAATTTCTTTATGTAAATACCGTTTAATTGTCCAGGTATTTTTGATGTCTAGAGTCTTCAGACGGCAGTCTAAAGAATAGGGTTTGCGCGACTCCCAGACAAAGCTCGGGAGAGTCCGCGAATCAAAAACCAATGTATTCGAACGTGCGCAGCTCGTGCGGGACACGCAGTTCTCAGCAGTTGATGAAATCGTAAATCGATGAACCATAGTTGATATTCGCAAACTGGCTACAAAAGAGTATTACAACAACCTGAAGGGCTGATAAAAACACTATTTACATAAAAAATCTGCCTCACGTCGTAATAAATGTCGTTATAATCAAGCGCCATCTCTGATCTTGAACAATTGCCGAGGGCAATATGCGGCAAAACTAATGACACAGATGATGATCATGAGAAGCGCTGTCTTCTAACACTTGCGCTTCGTGAAAGTGATATGAAGGTCACGGGGGAGCGTCAGGGCAAATGGGGAGAAGGCGTTCTTCAATCCATTTTTATGAATCGAATCTGCTGGTAATATCCACTCGTACTCCCGCAACAACATTACGGCTAGGGCACGCTGCTCGTAGAGAGCAAAGTTACGAGCAGGGCACTGCCGAGGTCCAGAGGCGAAAGCAATCCAGGCATCCTTGAGAACCGAGCCCCTCTCGGTATTATCGAGGAAGCGGTTGGGCCTGAAAGTGTGGGGATCACCCCAGACGTCATTGCGGTGATGGACGGCGTAGATATTGTATATAAGTGAGGTGTTAGGTGGAATGTAGTACTTTCCAAGGGTGACAGCTTCCACGGCGGCACGAGGGACGATATATGAGATCGGAGTGTTGATACGAAGAGATTCACGAATGCAGGCGTTGAGATAAGGCAATGATGCAGCAGAGAGGGTATCGACGCTGGGAATAGAAGTAGGGCCAAGAACACGAAGAGTTTCCTCGCGCGCAGCGGCTTGAATCTCTGGGTGAATCGCAAGGAAATAAATTAGAGTGGAGAGACCTCCAGCAGATGTATCCTAAGATATGAGGTGTAATTAACGCCTGTCATCAAAAGGCAGCGGATTGAACATACGTGGCCAGCTATGAAGAGGACGACCATATTATCACGAAGCTCTTCCTCGGACATCGCAGGATCTTTTAGCATGAAAGTCATCATATCATCTCCAGGGTCATTGCGTTTTGCCTGAAGCAGCATTTTAAATTTGTCGACTAAGTTGTCCATGCGCTTGATGACCTTCCTGCGAGGAAAAACCTTCTCAAGGAAGGGCATAATCAGATAAAGAGGGTTGGCGATATCGTGCATAATGCCGTTGTACTCGTGGACGAACAAGGACTCAGTGCGGATAGCATCAAAGTCATACCCAAGGACTGAAGACCCAACTGCATCTAGGGCGAAACGCTGCGCGAGATCAGAAAAGTCGACAGTATGGGTGTCATTCCCATCCGAGGGCGGATTAATGACATCAAAGAGGTTCTTGGCCAAATGGGTGAACTGGTCGATAGGGATGGAAAGATTAAAGGCATCTCGGATGACGTTGGAGTGTTTCTTCCACCGTTCACCATTTGCCAAGAGGACGTTTGAGCCCCCAATGAAGCGCCATAACAAGAGACCATCGGGGGGTAACTCTTTCGGATATAACAAAGGGTTCTCAGCCATTTGAGCCCCAAGCTGGAGGAGGATAAATAAGAGCTTAGAAGTATCATGAAGGGCATACCTTGTGATCAAGGATGTGAATCATCCATCGACCTAACGCCCACACGAGGACGAGTCCTTCATCCCTCTCGTTTGCGAATGGTAGAATAAGACGCTTGATACGAACATCCTCGACCTCACCTGATAAATAACTAACCAAAAGAGGGAGAATCGGAACACAAGGGAGATGGCGCAAGTGTGATGGCACGGTGAACATTTGAAAAAGCACAAACGCAGCTGCGAGACTAGAGAAGGACCACCAGAGCGTAGAAGGATCCATTACAAGGTGGCAGGATCTGCCAGATGCTGAGGGGTTCTTATACAAAGGTACATCATGATTGTATCTCTTTACGTGCTAATCCAGGGGAGCCAACCAGATGGGAAGAGGCAGCAAGAATGATGTCGTGACGTCAGTGTCCAAGCGAAAATTCGCATGCACTAACGAAATGCGGAGAATTCAAGTGAGATCATGATGCCCCGATATTCTTACAGGCAGCTAGTGGGAAAAATAGGGTCTTGCCTGCTTTGTTCAACTTCAGTTTCGCTCAGTCCTGCCAGCATCTGACTTGCAACACCACTATCTGTTGACACGAGATGATTCAGAAAATATATAAATTGGAGTACATAGTACATACCTTAGGGAATAGCACAGAGTGCTCGATATGCTTACAACTGCAAGATACGCACTGTAAAAAGTATATGTGAGTACTAGCTGAGCTAGTGAGGCTGAATGAGCACTTTCCTTTCTTGGCAAACATTGAACGTTGCCGTCGGCCCGGTTGGCCGTCGGTGCCGTTATCCTGAGGCAGAAGCTGGCGGGGGATCGTTCTCTCTGAACGAGCACTCCCCGTCCTCAAAATAATGACAATTGACTTTTCACTGTACTTGGTCACAGGCCGGGAGCTGCTGCCACCAGGAAAGGTCAGAGATACCCATGATCTCAAACATCATTAAAACCGCTCCCTCATTTTCAGGAATATCTTGAATCCTTGGAAGAGGTCTGGGCATCATTCTCCGATTCGGAAGCATAAACGACGTGTGCTTATCGGCCTGTCTCTGTTTACGCTAATCTTTCTAGGCCCTGCAAGGCGGTGTAACCGTTGTTCAGATCCGAGAAAAGAAGTCCGACACCCTAGAAGTGAGAAGTGGTTGTTTGTCTCTTCATTGCTCTTTCAGACGGTTCGCTCCAGTTTTTGGAAATTGCACAAGAGTCGAAGATCCTTTGTTCAAAATACAAGGTTCCTCTCATCATCAATGACCGTATTGATATCGCGCTCGCCGTTCAAGCCGACGGCGTGCATCTGGGGCAAACAGACATGCCGGTCCATGTCGCAAAGACTTTACTCCCCGCGGATATTGTGATTGGTGTCTCCTGCAACAATGCAGACCACGTGAAGAAAGCAATAGAGGACGAAGTTGATTATATTGGCATCGGTGCCGTCTGGGGCACCACAACTAAGAAGCTGACTAGCCCAATCATTGGCGTCAGAGGTGTCGGTTCACTGCTTCAAGCCCTGGATGGCACAAATATCAAGGCCGTTGCAATTGGTATGCAGAAATGCATACCCTACATCTACTGAGATGTCTAAAGACTTGTTCTCTAGGGGGCATAAATTCCACTAACGTCCTGCGAACCTTACATGGATCCGTGTCAACCTCTGGACACAGACTAGATGGGATCGCCGTGGTCTCGGACATTGTGGCATCTTCAGCACCTCGTTCCGCTGCCCAAAAGCTAAGGGGTAGCCTCGATGCGTGGGTTCACCATTTCGATGTGCAGAGTCGAGTGCCGCAAGTGTGCGATGTGGAGGCCATCAAGAACAGTGTTGTCGAACTTATGCAAGTGATACGAGACAAGAGTCCACTCATCCATCAGGTAGATGCTCTCACGCACTCTATCTTGCCTGTCGACTAACCGTCACATAGATCACAAATGTCGTGGTCACGAACCAATCCGCGAATGCTACCTTAGCCTTGGGTGCAAGTCCGATTATGGCTACTGCTTCCGAAGAAATGCACGATCTTAGTCGCATTCCGGGTGCTTTACTCATAAACTTTGGAACCATTGGGGACAAAAGTAGTATGATACTTGCGGGGCAATACGCAAACGAAGCACAAAAGCCCGTGGTCTTTGACCCAGTTGGAGTGGGGGCCACTCAGTTCAGGAAGACGACGGCTTCAGAACTCTTAAATGCATGGCAGGCTAGCGTTATCAAAGGAAATGCTGGTGAGATGGCTTCTCTCGCTAACTCGAACGAAGTCTGTGACACATCCTGCTTCTGCGTGGAATTTGCGAATTTATATTATTTATTTGCAGGTACAAGCTAAAGGAGTTGATAGCGTTGGCTCCGGGTTTGCAGACCCGGTGTCTTTTATCCGCGAGATAGCCAAGAAAGAACGTAAGTGCGCCGTGAATATCGCGAGTACGTGCGCTTAAACGCACACGCCGTAAGGATGCATCGCTGTCATGACAGGACCGACAGACTGGGTGTCCGATGGCAACATCGTGGTGAAGTTGGAGAACGGCCATAAACTGCTCGGTGACATTACAGGGTCTGGATGTCTTGTTGGCACCTGCGTTGCTACGTTTTGTGCTGGTGCCTCACTTCTGGCCGATGCCCCTGGAACGAGCCCTGGGCCTGAGCTCGCGAAGCTCGTCAGGGGAAATATGCTGATAGGTGCTGTTGGTGGGTAAGTCAAAATTTGATTAAGCAATTTCGTACAACAAGAAGACTGACTAATGACTGTAGTGTTTTGGCTCTAACGGTGGCAGCCGAGTGCGCAGCAGAAAGAAGCGATGTTCATGGATCTGGTACTTTCCTCCCAGCCCTCATAGACGAACTGTACCACTTGAAGCCAGAGACTCTGCTGTCCAGGGCAAAAGTTCAAGTATTGTAATATGTTATTACAGCATGGTGTATGGATAAATATTTGGGCAATACGAAGATAGTATGTTAGCAACTGAATTTCTCGTGCACAACAATCTTCTAAACAGACAAATATTCATCTGGCTAATGTACAGCAGTGGAAAGAGTACTTCCATTTGGTACGTCCAAGATTCTGGAGAAAGGCATTGCTTCAGTAGGCTGAAGCCAGTTCTTCTCGTCGTATTTGACGTAAGGGGAGGAGTCAATCATGTGGAAAGTATATGCAAATCTTGTATGAGCACTAGTATTACGCTCTGACTTGTGAAGGACACTGCCGTGGATGAGGACAAGATCACCTAGCATCTGTTGTTCAGCGATGGACGTCTAGCGAGCATGTAACCACCTACCTGGCTCGCAAACTTCCAGCACATATTTTCCTTCTGATGTACCTTCTGGCGCAATCTCGCTCGTTTCCTCCTTTAGGTCGGACGAAGGAGTCGGAGGGGTGGCAAGCTGCTCGAAACCGGTGCCACCTCCTGGTAAACGTATAAATCTCTTCGTGATCGGAGTTGTTAGATGGGACCCGGGCAAGAATGACAGGGCGCCGTTCGTGGGTGTGCACTTCTCAAGAGCTATCCAAAACCCAAGAGCACTTGGGGGTGACGTGTACTATATATGATGTGTATGAATATATGGAAACAGGGAGAAGGACAGATACTGACAAGAAACGTACTGAGTTGCCAAATGGCCAATTTTAGACTTGGATTCAACACCGGTGACTTGCCACTTACGAGTCGTTATGTTCGGGCACTAAAAGGTTGGTGTATTAGTTGGAATGTCGTTACCGGCTGATGTCAGTTGCTCACCTGCGCCACCGGTCTGAGACTGTTTGAATATAACCATCGATTGCAATGCTAGTTTATATATCAGTATCCACTGGGTGTGTGATGACCAAATATGATCTTTACCAACTGGATCGTGGTGGAATCGCAGATCGCGGGCTAGAGCCTTCAGTCGGTCGTTTTCCAGAGTAACGTCCCGGAACACAGGGTCCAATTCGTGCAGGGCTAGCTTAAGTAAGATGAATATGAAGACTGATGCGTATGAGTAACGAACCGTGACCGATCTTATTCACTGCCCTTGTCTTATCCCTGGTAAGCTTCCCACTACTGTCGACAGCATCTTCGTCAAGGAAATAGCGGATCTTATCGCCTGAAGTCAGAAAGTAGTCGTCACCGACGTGGTCCTTATCCGATGTTGTGAATTTGGTCTACCACGCGTCTAGAGTCCTGGATGTTCGCGCAATTTAAATGGAGCACTCACCAGGGGATGGTCCTCTGGTGTAAATGCACCAAGAAGCTCCTTTGCCCGCATCAAAAGAGAACTCGTCTGGTCGTGAGAGAGAAAATGAGGGACGATTAAGTACCTATATACACTGGTTACAGAGAACGATGATTTCCCCAGATATTTGACTCACCCATCCCTATAGAACTGACCAACATATCAGAGGTCAGACACGAGCACGGTTCCAACCGGGACCAACCTTGTCAACCTGCGCCTGAGATAGGTATTCCAGAGATTGCGCGACTGCCATGAATCGTTCAGGATGCTAACGTCGCTTGCTGAGCACCTAGTGAGAACTCTCTCGATCTATACGCCGCACGGTTTAGATAAGATAACCTATTAAGCAACCTGTCATTAAGTCAAAGACGATGATGCCAACTGGACCGGTGGCATCCGGTGAATTTTGATCTCCGCCGGCCGGTAGCCTCCTGCCACTCCGCCTCAGAAACTCAAACCTTGACCCCAACCACCACTTCTATCATTACATCAAGGAGTCCTGGCTAAGACCCATGGCACCAGCGCGTTCTACCAGACGCAATCAGCATGAACAAAGTGTATCCTTGCGCTCGGGCCAGGATGCATCTCCCACCACAGATGGCCCCGGTGGCGAGCTCTTTCTCGAGCCTATGATGGGTACTCCCCTCAACGTGTACATCGAGAAGGAAGTGGAAGACAGGGACACACTCGTCGAACTCGTAACGGTAAGTCACCCTTTAGTAAATTACCGCACAGATTGGGTCTTTGAGCCGTCGAGGATGGGTTACTAAATCCCCGCTTTCGGCAGAAACACGGCGGCACATCGTCACCAGGGTACAGCGGGACGCCGTACATTCTTGGTGAGCACAGGGTTTTGTCATGTCCGCCACAATTTATGCAACTGCACCTCAGTCGATCCACATAAGGAATCAGGCCAGAACTTGTACCGTCAGTACGCCGGTAAAAAGGGTAAAATCGTTCTCCATTACCGCTGGGTTCATGAGTGCGTACGTGCTGGCGCTCTTCAAACGTTCCAGAACAACTGGGCGGGATGCAAGGTCACTGGGACAGAGAAGTTTGTCTTTTGCTTTACACTGATTGTTCTTCGCCCGGTTAAATGACCTTACCAGAGTGACGCCGCCTACCATCGTCCCATCTCAGACTGATCAAACGCGCCCCGCCGCATCTCAGACAGCTCCAATGCAGCCTATGGCTCCCCACCCACAAGCAATGCCTCCTATGCCTCCTGGGGACCCCATGGTTCATCCGCCTCAAACATCCTACGGGTATCCTGTGTACGGACATCCAATGCACGCGCCGCCTCGAGGTATGCAGCCTCCAACAGCCGCCCCGCCCCAATCATGGCAAGCCCCAAATGCCATCGCACCACAACAAACGCACATAACTTCACCCCAGACCGCTGCGATGCTTGCCCGACAAACCCATCCATATCGAGATGAGCCTTGGGTGACACCCTTCAACCAGCCTCCGCCCCATATGGTAGCTGGGCCGAGTGCGGCAGCTTACGACTATAGATACGGAGATGACCGTCCTGATTGGGCTCCTCCGGCTAATGACTACCCTTACGACCCTGCTTCGGTAAGTTGTCATGTGTGTTAGTCAAGGCTGCCATTCATATGGTCAATATCAGTACGAGCATCCTTATGATCAGACTGCACCTTACATGGCAGAGGCAGGACCGTCGGCGGCTGGTCCGTCTTCGGTCCCTGCTGATAATACTCTTACTGAGAAGCCTCGTGGTCGTAAACGCACCCGTAATATTGTGAGTTTCATCTCATCTATTCCTGCATGGTATATCAGTGTAACTTTATTCTTAGGCGCCGCCCGCCGCCTCACCTTCCGCTCTTGTACTGAATCGCCGGAACCCCCCAGCACGTTCCCCAACCCCCCCAACGCGCGTGATTAAGAGCACATACGGAGGAAATTTGTTTACTTCTGATGATGTATTATACCTCAAACGATACATTGATTACTGTCAAGAACAAGGTCTCGTCCTGAGGTGAGTACTTGCCATCAGGTGGCAGCTAAGACTAAATTATCTCCAGTTTGAGAGAAATCTGCGAGAGGATTGCAGTCAAAGTAAGTTTGTTTGTATTTCGGTACCGTTCGACCTTGTCTGATGCCACCGTGTTTGGTAGGCGCCCCATCATACGTGAGTGTGTTTCAAGTAAGGCGGTATCATTGATCTGATGAGTGCCGCAGATTTTACTCTTGGCGCCGATACTGCAATAAGCATCAGATCCGGTTGGGTGGCTACTCGATGGACACAGGCGACAACAACACACCCCGCCCTGAAGGCGAAGTTGAGCCGGAAGAGGAAGAGCAACTCCTGCCCCTCGGGACTACGGGCCCTGGTATCATCGCGGCTGCACAGGCTCGGCTACAGCAAGATGCTGGTCGTCCACGTAATCGGTCTCCGACTCCACCTCGCGCTCTGTTCAGGAGTACGACAGGAAAGGGGGTAGCTTTTACGGACGAGGATGTTGCGTTCCTGGTGCGCTTCATGGAGTACAGGAAGTAAGTCTCCCCAAAATGGGTTTTCCCGCGGCGGTTTTATGATGTTATCTAGGTCCCAAGAACGATTTGACATGGTTGCGTTTTGGAAGGATGTTGCTACCAAGGTAATCGACTGAAAAACATTCCGTTAAATTCTTTCGACTAATCATCACTTCTAAGGCTCCGCATCACTCACGCGCGTCATGGATGAAGTTCTGGCGGCGTCACAAGCACGAACTCAACCGGACAGAAGAGGATGAGCCTCTACCTCAGCCACCAGAGAAGAAGATGCGTTACAGCCGCGGAGATGACATCCTTCTTGCGAAGTACTTTTTCACAAAGCCGGAAGGGACGTCAGACAAGATTTTCCAGGCGTTTGGTCGTACAGTCAGTCTTCACTATTCGATATTTTATTGACCTGGCTGACCTGGTCTTGTTTACAGCACCCTCATCATCCTTGGAAGGGATGGCAGGAACATCACCGTATACACAAAGCCAAGATCGATCACTTCATTCAGCAGTTGGCAAATGGCGAGAACATTGATGTTGATGAGAATGGCGAGGAGCCTTGAGAAATTTTGCATCTACTATAAATGTACTTTAAACTCTAGGGGTGACCTTTGCATCTGGGCAAGCAAGGTGATATGACAGTCGATATCTATAATATTCGATGATCTTGACAGTGTGTCAATGTCGAGGTCGAGATGCCTGAGTCTGATATATAATCCCAAGGTTCGAACCCGCTTAAACATTCGTCCCAGACCAGCCCAGACCGACAAGTCTCAGACGGACTGTTCCCTACTGTTCCCCCTTGTCGTCCCTTGCGCTTTATCAGTTATTCCCATTTGGCATTGACAGTACAAGTTAAAAGATATCAATGAAAATTGTCACATCTGGCGTTCATCGTCGACGGTCATAACGTGTCTGTTGCAAAGGCACATGAAATTTAATATGTCAGTGGATTTAAATATTGGACCAATCTTAGATTTAAATACCCCCCGTCCCCCTACGACTACTCGTGATACGTGAAAAGATAATCATGAGAATACGTTACACGATGATGCATCCCACGGAGCATGGTACATGAAGCCTCATGGCCCTCTTCTATGAGCATAGCTCGGTAAACTCTATCACAGGATTCTAGTAAGGGTCAGTACTTATCAAGATACCGCGTGATTACGACGAGGGTCAGTAACAAGCGGTAACATATCTCGTGAGCACGTCCGCATTCAAAGTAAGAACACTATTTTTTTTTTTGCAAGGACCCATACGGTGTGTTATTAATATCGGGAACGTATTAGGCAGAGCGAGTGATGGAAACGGGTCACCATTAAAAAACGACAGATTACACACAGTCAAAACCGCATGACTGGGATTCGCTGGGGTAACTAGGATGCTATGAACAAACGCCCATAAGAATTGACCTCGTGAATTTTTAGCTTCTTGTTGATGGTGCCCGTGGATGGCCGTGTGTTCGCAGAAAAAGTCTATATCAGGCAGTGTGAAGAAGTACCCCTAGTGCGGACTGAGAGGGGGTTGAAACACCGGAGCGATGGTGCGACGTCAACTCAGAGAGCATACATACTCTGAGATCGGGGCGCCGAGGGGCGGTGACGGATGTATCGATCTGTAACACCCCTACTACATATGATATTAATAGCTTTTGCGGTAAAATGGAGATGGGCAGTGGGATTGAATTAATTGACTCACTGGCTCTTGGCTCTGAGCCTGCTCGCCGTGGGCCACAAGGACTGGCAGTGCTAACACAGGGTCAGACAATGACAAGCGCACTGTATTGTTAGATGATTGGACAAGAACAAAAAAAGACGGGAATGTTTGTTTTGAATTGTTTGTGTATATCAACAGGGCCGCATCGGAGTTTTAAATAGTATTATCTCTTGTGACGGTTCCTCCCCGTTAACGACTGCTACTTGTCCTTTCACTCATCCTCATCATCTGTCATCGCGCCGGGCGCTCTTTCTTCTTAAACCGCCATCATGGCGAACGTAGCTACCCGTAAAAAATCAATAGCTGCGAACCCCGGTCTAGTCATCGAAACTCCAGTCGCTAACAACAATATCCTCAACAAGGCAGCTTCTCAATCCACATCTCTCTACCAACAATGCTCTTCCTTGCGAACTCGTTTAATGCGCATCCCTGGCTTTTCAAATTTCTTCATCCTCTCATCTCAGTCAGGCTCTCTTCGTCAATCCACCGATCCTGTCACTCAACTATGGGACTGCTTCTCACTCGGAATATCACTTTGTTTCCTTTACGAGCTTCTTCCTGGCAGAACAAATCCACCTACAGTCAAGACAGATCCTTCTGTATTCGACGTCAGTAATGAACGCGCAAAGAAGCACGCCATCGCAGTTTTCGTCATGAATATCAAGAATTTGGACAATTGCGAACAGTTCACAGTCACAGATTTATGGGAGAGACATTCCACAGATGGTTTAGTCAAGGTGCGCTCCTGAGTTATCTCCATTGGTCGCTCTAACACCTCATGATCTAGGTCGTCAGTACCGTGACCACCATAGTTAACATGTTGCCGTCCGCATTATTCGAAGCAGCTCCTCTGTCCCCACCATTGATGCCCACCCATGATTCAATCGACTCCCTAGTGGGTGATGTCCCAAATATTCCCGCACCGCCCTGCCCACAAGACACCGCCCGGAATAATATAATCAGGGAATTGGTTGAGACCGAACGGAAATACGTCCAAGACTTGGAGGTTATGCAGGTGCGTATTCAATATCTGCATTCAGTGTCTCTTGTTTAACTTGACAACAGAGATATGCTACGGCCTTGTCCCAAAGTAATACAATTGACCAGGACACCATACACTACCTTTTCCCAGGATTGAACAAGCTTTTGAACTTCCAAAGGAAGTTCCTAATTCGATTGGAGAGCACCGCAGAGATGGCGTGGAGGGATCAGCGCTGGGGACTTCTCTTTTTGGAAAACGTCCGTGTCTCTCGATTCTACTTTTGCGCGCTAATGGTTCTTATTCATCATTCTTTGGGAACATTAGGAAGAGGAGTTTGCAGTATACGAACCCTACTGCGCGAACTATACCAACGCAGTAGATCTCATGGTTGCGGAGGAGCAGAATCTTTCGGTGAGCCTGACAGTTCCTGTACCTTGCAATGTTGGGCTGTTCGGCCATATGGCGTGGCTACGGAACATATCGCATGTGCTAAAAATAGGAGCCTCCATATACTGATCGCTGTCCTCAGGTCCACAATAATTTGATCAACGCCAAATCGGAACTACCTGCCTTTTTGATCAAACCGGTTCAGCGAATTTGCAAATACCCACTGCTCCTTGATGTAAGAATTATTTTATTGATATCAAAACGTCATGAATTCTGACTGCTGTTTGTAGTCGCTCATTAAGGCTACAAATTCTACCGATTACCCGCATTTTGAGGAACTGCAGGCTGGTTCGGCTGCTGCTAAGCGCATTACCGATAAGATTAACGAGGCGCAAAGGCGGGCCGAAAATGTCCAGACAGTCAAAAATCTGGAAGGCCGCGTACAAGACTGGAAAGGTCATCATTTGTCCAATTTCGGCACTCTCCTCCTCGATGATATCTTCACCGTCACCAAGTCTGACGTCGATAGGGAGTATCACGTATTTCTCTTCGAGAAGATCATACTCTGCTGCAAGGAGGCAGCACCTCCCCCTCAAAATAGTAAGCGCGGAGGAAAGAATAATTCTATTCTTAAGAAGCAGAATGGCTTGCACCCGCCTGCTCCGCCACCCATGACCTCACCAAACAAGCGAAAGGACACTCCTCTCCTGTTGAAAGGTCGTATTTTCTTGAACAACGTCACCCAAGCTATTCCGAGCTCGAATCGGAATTCCATTGGTAGGTCCGCCAGCCTTGCAGTCGTCTTATACTAACAATTTTCTTTAAGCATCATCGACGACCAACCCTCATTCCCTTGCTGTGTGGTGGAGAGGCGATGATGACCTCGAGTTCTTTACCCTCCGTTGCCGATCTGAAGAACAACTACGACAATGGGAGTCCCAGATTAACCGCCTCATCAAGGAAGTTGCCAGTCGAAGGGCGTCAGAGCGAAATTTTTCTCAGCTCATGGCCCAACACGGCAGTCATGCCTCCGTTCCGGCTGTGCATATGGGACGGAGCGTCCCATATGCCCATGACCGCGGTTCCTCGATGACGTCCCATGCCCACTCCCCCCATAGCCTTCCACCACACCCAGCCAGCAGTCGTCATCGTGTCAATACATACAGCACCAGCGATGATGTCTCGGTGGCTGGATCTTATTCTAGTAGTGGCCAACCTGTCTACCCATCTTCCGAGGGTTTCGAGTTTGACTTGGAGGACGAGTATGAAGATTACCCTCCTGCAAGCATACCCCCATCGGGTCGTGGCACACCTATGGGTATGCATCGAATGCAGAGCATGCCTATTGAGCCACGTGAGCCACCTGTCATCGATGACCGCCCCCGGGCCAGGACGGAAGACATCAACGGTCAGGTCATGTCGCAATGGCGATCAACCAATGGCGTTTTGCCTCTGCCACCCGGAGCAAATCCTCCCATTCTCCCTTCATATCGCCCTATGCCGAACAGGGTCCAATCTACTGCAAGCTTTGGAACAGACCGTCCGCCTCGACTTCCTTTGCAAGGCCAAATCAGCTCATCGAAGCTGAAGGCCTTGTACGATAGTGGTGGTTCCCGTAGCGTCACGGCATCGCCAGCTATGAATGGCAGTACCGCACCTCCGTTGAGCAGATCGCGGAGTGCTAGTCAACCTAGCGCATACGTGCCACAAGTGCCTGTGCCTCCTCCTATTCCTAGCAACACAAAGTGGGTTCATCGATCAGAAGACTCCGCTACCTCGAGTAGCAAACGGGGTAGTGGATCCAGTCAGTCAACGGGTGGGGGTTCGTCAGAAGAGTCACCGCATAGCTCCTCGCCGATCACTCCATTCGGATCCAGCGAATCATCACTTGGCGGTTCAGCTCTCCGATCTCCCCGGTCACAGACGTTTGAGACCATGATATCTAACGGCGCCCACCTCGCATTTTCACCTCCAGTCAAGGTGAAGGTCCACTTCAACGAGGACATATTCGTCATTCAGGTCCCACGAAGCACAGAGTACTGCGACCTTGTCGACAAAGTCGGCAAGAAAATACGTCTTTGTGGTCCGCGCCGCGACGATGCCCCTTTGCGGGTAAGATATCGGGATGAGGACGGAGACATGGTCTCTCTAGGCTCCACTGAAGATGTTCAAATGGCCTTCGAGTCGTTCAGACCGGGGGGACAGGTCACACTCTACGTGACATGATTCAACCCTTATCATATCGCATCGCTATCTTGTCTTTCACTCTTCGACCTTCGCATACATAATATTGCTGTTTCCCAGGGGGACTCGCACTTCTCGTTGTACATAATATATGTATCACTGGCATGTTCGCACCACATTCGTTCTATATGGTTTTCTCTATCGCTTTCTGACCTCCTTGACTCAGGTGCTCATCGGGCTCGAGGCCATCCTATGTGGTTTACATTTCTTTGATATCTACATGGCTCTCTTTCTTCCTTTGTAGTACCTTCGTATCATCTAAAAGTGGAGCACTAGTCACGTGTAATTTTTATTAGAATACTGCACTCATTTGCTACGTTTCAAATACATCATGTTTATTGGCATCTGTACAGAGCTGTACGGGTGTTTCTTGGCATCTAACACTGTCTATATGATAAGCGAATCACAAGGTAACTATTGTCTCAGATATCACAGAGCATCAGGAGAGATATCGCCCAATGTGTTCAACTCCAGTGCGCTAATGGCACTGTACAATGATTGGGTATCCCCACCGTGCTCGGATGGCGCATCAATTGTTTCCTGGAGTGCTATGTGAACTCAATGCGAACACTCTGATAGAAGCCACTCACATCAAAGTAATGATTGACAAGGCTGCGGGGTGCTATCAAGAAAATGTTGGTAATGGTCAATGGCACAACAAGAATACATACTTCGTGGAGTTTTCGGCAATCGACAGCTGACACCGCTTTGTAGGATATGGTATGCAACGAGGCCGGTCCTAGACACCGCTCAATATACCCGTTCTACCACCATAATGGCATGAGACTCACCATCCTGTTTGATGCGACGCCCCTAAACCGCGCCCATTATCTCCATGGAAGAACTGCCAACAATCAGCTTCGGTACAAGCCTAACCGTGAAATGCTGATGAAACATTACCTCATAAAAGGAGACGTAATCGCGGAAGTGTGGGTCCTGGTCAAGCTTCACGTTCCCACCGTTGGTGGCCCTTTTGCCTTCCATATCACGTCCAAAGATGTGAATTATTCGATGTTGAATTTCCTCTGCCACCTCCACGAGGTTCATATAGTCTCCACTTCCGGTGGGACATTCGACCTATAAAGTGTTAGTGTGAAGGGACATAGAGATCATTTACGCTTACCTGCAGCTCATCACCGTAATATTGATAAAACCGCTGCAGGCTCTCTATCAGAAGGAAGTTGACAGCGAGCCCTGAACGACAATTAGGGACGAGCAATTTTAGAATGGTTGAATAGATTTACAGATAGGCCCTCTCCAATTTGAGTTTCCACCAAACATTCCAGAGAGGGATTCTCCAGGCCAATACCCTACCTCATGCCAATCTCCGTTGACCTGCATTCCCCAAGGCTTTTCCTTATGCAGCTTGGATAGACTATATCGGTTCGTCAGGGCAGCCTGGCGAATGCTACGTGGAAGATACTTACGAACGAATGCCGTATTCGCTGAAAAACTCATCCTCGTCTAACATCTTCTCCAGTATACGCACCAGGCGTTCTTTGCTAGCCAAAGCAAGTAAACGACGTTCACCTCTACCTCCGGCTACAACATGGTGAATAGCGTATGTAAAAATATGAGATCAACTCACCCCTCATATTCGCCATATTTCTCCCCGATATTTCGGGCCGGTTATCAATGAACCATTCCATGCGCTTCTTGAATCCGGGAAATCGGTTGATTACGGCGGGTTCCAGGACAAGGGTCGCGTAGAGAGGAATGAGACTGACAAGGCTCCTAACGGGAAGCTGAACCGAATTTCCAGGGCCAAACTCAATGGCATCATAGTACATGCCATCTTGTTCATTCCACAGGCTCGACTCGTTGTCACCTGATCTATATGTCATAGCGTCTGCGATAAAAATGAAGTGCTAATGCGAAGTGAGCCGTATTTTTTCGGGATTGGAGTGGCAGAACTGCTCACCTCGAAGAACTTGGAAGCAATGTCTTCATATACGGCATTGTGCTTTGCCAGCTCAAGGGCTATGTTTAGCCTAACGAAGAATGAATACATAGCAAATGCGAGAGAAGCAGAGCTCACATATTCAAACAATAGAATGCCATCCACGCAGTGCCATCTGCCTGGCGCAAATTTCCACCTGTGGGGAGTGGCTCCGAACGGTTAAAGATGCCGATATTATCAAGTCCAAGAAATCCTCCCTCGAACACGTTGTTTCCCCCGGAATCCTTGCGGTTGACCCACCTCAAAAAGTGGCGATTAGGGGTGACGGAGGAATAGAAAAGTTAATTCATATTTACCACGTGAAATTGAGCAGTAACTTCTGGAAGACACGTTCCAAGAAAGGGACATCCTCTCTTCCAGTAAGCTTACGCTCTATTTTGAAGACTCTAAACGTTGCCCTACATCATTATAAGTGATGCGATCCTACTATCACGGAATAATTTGCATACCAGGCATGGACCTAGTTCATGGATCATTTAGAAGGCGGACTCGCTGATTAAGCATGAACACTGACCGGTGGGTTTACATCACTGAAGTTCCATTCGTATGCAGGAATCTGACCATCGGGCTTCATGTACCATTCTCGAGTCAAGATATCTAATTGCTTCTTTGCAAATACAGGATCCACCACGGCAAGGGGAATGCAATGAAATGCCGTGTCCATGCCGCAAAAAAAGGGTATTCCCATCTGGAAAGCCTTTCGTGAGTCAAGTCCTAAATCAACTGACCTCCCAACTGACTTGTCAGGCATGGAAAGAATATCTTCTATGTGCATATGGCGCCAGTGCTGTGGTCTAATGAGTGGTCAATAGCTCGGTCACATATTTGACTAACCTTGTTGCGAATATGTTGGCGTCCAGGGGGAGGGGGAGGTTGGGCTGGATCACCTTCAATCCACTCCTTTTGTACAAAACAATAGAACTGTTTTGTCCAAAGCATACCCCCAAGCGCTTGCCTCATCACCTGCTTTAAGTCGTCGCTAATGGGACCAAAGAGCAGAGAACTATAAAATTCATTTGCTTCCTCCCGGCGCTCCTCTATCACATCGTCGAAAGCACCCTCGTCTTCCAGGCTTCGGTCCTTGTCCGGAGAAAGTGGAGTCAACTTCAGACGGACTACAGCACATCCACCTTGACCTGGGACATCGCGGAATACATAGTGTGCTGCAGACTTGGTTCCATGATTTTCGGGGCTCACAAATGGGAACTCCTGGGGTGGAGCATCGCAAGTAGGGGTGGATACTGCTGGACGCGGAGTACTCGAGCCATCCAGCCCATGTGAGTCTGAGCGCCCTCGCTGGGGTCTGTGAGATGGAATGATATGGTCGTGAAAGGCATCTTTCACGCATACACTCTGATTCATGCCACCATACAATCGGCGGAAATTTGTGTTGTTTTCTGTAAACAACAATTCCGGTTTTATAACAGCATCTTCATCACCGACAAATTTCCCGTCCGTGCCCGCAGGTGGAGGAGACGGTAGGCAGCACAGGAAATTCCCCCCCATTTCGGGGTGTTTAACCTTGATGTAGCTAATGTCGTCGTCGGTAGCGCCAGCGGATAATGATGGCATGGGTGGTTTCTGTGCGGGCCAGGACCAAGTATTCCTGAACCACAGTTGCGGGATAATATGCAAGGTGGCGGGGTCAGGTCCACGGTTGTAGCTCGTAATACGGATGTAAACATTGTCTGGATCGTCTTCGTCTTTCGCATACTGGATAATTGGTTATCACTAATCATCGTCACACGCAGAAGAAACAGACCTCTATGAAAACATCCCAATAGCGATCATGATCGAAGACGTCGGTATCTAGAATTTCATACTCCCCGACGTTGCGGTCACGATGAACATTCTCGTTCACTAGTTCCTCGTATGGATACCTGCGTTGAGGATATTTATATAAAAACTTCATATATGAATGAGTTGGGGTAGAATCCAGGTAGTAGTAGAGTTCCTTGACATCTTCTCCATGATTTCCCTGGTGGCCGGTGACTCCGAATAGCCTTTCTTTCAGGATGGAGTCCTGCCCATTCCAGAGAGCAAGTGAAAAGCAAAGGCGCTGATGGCTGTCAGAGATGCCACCAATGCCATCTTCGCCCCATCTGTACGCTCGGGATCGAGCATGTTCATGGGGGAAATGACTCCAGGCGTCACCATTGTCTGAGTAGTCCTCCCGAACAGTTGCCTAATACGAACTTTATCAGCGCGCGGTCACCGAGATGAAGCTTGCACGCACCCATTGTCTATCGCTGAGATATGGTCCCCACCGCTTCCAGTGACGCTCACGATTCTGGTCTTGCAGCAAACGATATTTCTCAACTCCATGATAGTCCACCCCTAATAATTCGGATAACCTCTGTCTATAGCTCTTGGTCGAATCATTTCCCTGAATCTTAGGATCGCCTGAAACAGCCTTTGTAGTCTTTGGTGGTGGTTTGGGAGCCTGTGGTGCCAATTCTGCCTTGGGAATTTGAATTGTCAGTCCAGGATCACGCGAATCCATTTGCTGAGTGCCATTGGTATCTTCAGTTCCTCTAAAAAGTTTCTGCTGTAAGGTCTTGATAGCACCTGATGACATGATAGCAGGAAGAGAGATAACGAGGATTGTTATCAATTCCGTCTGAATGGAAGGGGACAAGTGATGAAATTCTAGTCCATCCGGTGGAGCATTGGAACAGACCGGGCCTCACATGTGCACACCTTATATGACATCACGACAACCAACCTTAAAAAGTTATAAACCAAGATTATCAATGGTGTAGGGGAAAAGAAGGGGTATGCGTGTAGTATACTTGTCACGTTGTTGTAGATGCCTCAACACGAAAAAAACAAACAGAAACGACCTAGATTGGCGTATATAAGTGAATCAAGCCTGTGGAATGACGTGAGATGATAAGTGAGATCTGAGACCCGCTTGCAGATCAGATGGTAAAAGTCCAAGGGGAACATTAGAAGGTTGTCTGGAGTATGTGGATGATTTATAGCTTTAATTAGAGCTTCACCAAACTGCATCCCCTGCCAACAACACGCTTTGCGTCCAATCATCCTCGCTAAAGTCATCGTCATCTGGAAAAGAGACATCGAGATGACGATAAGGTGTTCGCGCGGACATCGTGGCCGGAGATCTTGGAAGTCCACCAGGTAATACTGGCGTCTGCAGGGCCACCGACTCACGAGGCTCAACAGGCACATTCTTGGCAGTCCCATGCCCAACAGAAGTGGAAATGTCCGATTGCTCTTCCTCCTCAATGCCTAGCGCAAGTGAGATGGAAGATGAGTCGATTTTTGTGTTCAGCACGGGAGGGAAGCTAAATCTGCTCGTAGACTGAGCTGTCATCATGGATACCGGAGATTCCGAAGTTGACGAATTCCGTGAATACGCCGGGGCGAAATTAACGGGTGAAGACATGGATGAAGCAGAGCGTTTAGAAAAAAGTAAATGAAGAGATGGTTTTTTCATTCGTTTTGCGCGGGAAGCAAATGAGTTGGAGCGGGCAACATCTGCCTGTTGAACAGCAGGGAATGACATAGAGGGTGTTGATTTGCGATGCATAACCGTGTGCAGCTGTGCAAAGTCTCCACTAGTGGATGGAAATTGGAATTGCGGCTGATCAGGCCGAGACGTGGGTAGCGAGAGAGGTGTTGGATCAGCGATGACAAGGGTGTGGGGCGAGGTAGAGGGTTGAGGTTTAGTGACCTCATCCAAGAATGGAAGACGCTTGGCAGACCGCATGGGAGAGTTCGACGATGTAGAAGGGCTGGACAGAGAGTCCATTGAGGATGAGAGCGACGGCAGGGAGTAAGGGTTTGGTAGCTTGACGTTGACTGAAGGCGGCGTTATGGGATGCTCGCACTGCGAGGACTGGGACACCGAAGAACTATCATCTGTGTGAGCAAATGATGATGCGTCAGATGTCGACCCCGCAGTGTCCAGACTCGGCCTTGTAGATATCGAGGACTCCGACGAGCTAAGATCAACAGGCGTATTCGCTGGTGCAGTGAGTGGTTCAACCACGTCATCGGCAGGAACCTCTGGAAGTGCCCGACAGGATTGGGCATCGTTGTGCGTTAAGTTTATCCTATCATCTTGCTTGTCGAGCTGCTCTTCTTCCAGTACGTCGTGAAGGGACGGGACGCTCTCCCGCGAAGGGCGGACAGGCGCAACAGGGTGCTGAACTCCATCCCAGATACCTTTGCTTTCACACAACGCCTGCAACAGGGACGGGTTCATGATCAAGCTTGGACACAAAACAAGCAGCAGGTTGTTCAAGGGCATTTTCGTGTCTTGACTGCGTTGGGATGTCGCGTTGATAAGCTCGGTGACCGTGAGGAGAAGATCACGGTTTTCCTGTGGCAGGCGGGCGATCAGCGAGGAGAGTGCTTTCCGGAGTGGCTCTGAAGGTGGATGTAATCCGGAGAAATTTGGCATCGCTAGAGTAGACAACGAAGGAGGCTTGCGCAATCCAGGGTGGATGCTCCGTGGACTTTGGGCAGGTTCCAGCGTATTGTGTGTGAGACGCTCCGAAGTCATCGCCGCTTCAAACGAAGACGATAGAGCATTCGTTAGAATTGGTTCAGGAACTAAGGCACATGTTAGGGGCACGACATGCACGACTTGATCTACCACGTACGTTCGCGAAGGTAGGCCTTGAAAATGGATGCCACGGCATGAGGGTCCAGATCACCAGGACTGCATTGAGCAATATCAAAGTCGGCACCTACGAACACGATAGTAACGGATCCAATTCCATTGAAACGTGCATCTTACCAGTATCAAATTCTGATCGTAACTTTGCGACATGAGACGACCTCCCATTGACGCTGCAAAGGAAGAATGAGATAGATATTCTCTGATGAAAACGCGATCGTACCGGAACAACCCAAGCTCCTGTACGCCCCAGGTAAGGATATGCTGCGCACACCTGACAACTAAGGCAGGCAATCGGCGACTCTCTAACGCAGCTGAAGGAACACTTGGAGCACCGCTCAGTGTGCTGTCTGCATCATGTGTGGCGCTGCTGTCGAACTCCTTGGCACGCAATGCGGTGCGGACCGAATCAATTGCCGTGTCCCTGACGCATATCTTCATGTCGCGTCCAAAAACAAGTCCACCAGCAACACCGGCACCCCTAGGACTCAGGCGGACCGGGCCCCGCAAACGCTTTCCAAGAATAGGGCTAGCTGATGCCAAGATTCCCTCATGATCCGAAGATGAGCTAGCCGAACTGATACTCCAACTTCCAGAAGATGCGTGAGGTGCGTGTCGGTGTGTCTTGATAGGTGGCTCATCGGTGCCAGAATAAGCCCTTGAGAGGGGTGAACGACCACTGTGTGTCCAACCTGGGGGTGGTGGGTAGCTCGAACTAGGGGAGGCCTTGCCCCAAACACGACCCATCTTCTCAACGGCACGCCTAGCAAGGCCAGCGGCTGGGGCAAGACCAGTTATGCTAATAGCTGTCTGTCGGAAGGATGGTGTTCCTGGTGATGCTGGTGGAATGCGTCGCTGCGGCGCAGGAATGTCTGGCAAATTGCGTTCTGGGTGCGAAGGAGAAGACGACCGACTATCCAAGAAACTATCATTGGTGCGCGATGGTGCGGGTGATGGCCTTCTTGTGCTAGAAGGCAGTGTTGAGAATTCGACAGCTATCCCTGATCTTCCTTTATCCTCCGATATGGATCTGGGAACAGCGGGGATGGTCTCCATACTCATGGAAACGGTCGCTGCAGTGCAGTCCGGAGCCGACGTCATCAATGATAAGGGAGGGCCAAGATTGACAGACTGCGAACGCCTGTCACGGCTCACTTTGATGGATGACGCAGGGGATCCACGACAGAAGGGTGATGTAGAGCGCAACGGAGTGTGGTATGCCTTCTCGGCAATCCTCTCCCCATCCTCTTCTTCAGGCATGTAATTATCGTGGAACGCGCTCAAGCGCTTGCTGACCGGGACGATGGTGTGATTCGATTGCAGTGATTCTGCCATTGAAACTGGACGAGGGCCTCTAGTTCCAAATCCGGGCTTGATTGTGTGATGGCTCAGCGTAGAATCACTCTTTCTCCGGATCTCCTTCAGTTCCGACTTCTCGAGATCTCTTCTTTCATTCTCCTTGGATGCGGCAAATTCTGAAGCTTCGTCTGTTCTGCGCATATAATCCAAAGCTGGCGCAATAGGACTCGTGGTGGTCATTACCGACACTCGCTTGTCGATGTTTGTGTTCACAGGTGCGAGGCGTGACACGGGAAGTGGCGCAGCAATCTTCGGTGGTGGCGGTGGCGGCGCAAGGCTCACCGCAGGTGAAACGGGGGCCGAGCCTGCGTGTTTCTTGCTAAACACATGCGAAGCGAGGGAGAGAGTCAGCTGTTTGGCCCCGTACGGGCGGGATGGTGCGCTTTGTGGGGTCCCAGGGAAAAAATCGTCGCCACCCTGGGAGTCCTTCACTCTGTGGCCGCTATGTTGCGATGAACCAGAAGAGATATTAAGAGTCTCAGACTTTTTCCGTCGTCCACCAAAGGCACGGGCAAGGCTGAATCCTGATGACGAACTAGCGCTCGGCAAAGGAGGAGCTGGTGAAGACGGTGGTGAAAGTACGGTAGTAACCTGCGGGCGGCTGTTTACCTGACCCATTGAAGGTGCAGAGGAAAACGAGCAAGGTATTGGGCTGGAAACAGGACCACCTGAACGACTCTTGAACGTGGGGGAACAAGATGTAGGGAGGAGCTGATCGGAGGTTACGATATTGAACTGGCTAGAGGAAGGCCCTGCAGGAAGCAGCGTGGAAGATGCAGCTGATGAAGACAACGAGGACGAAAGTGATGCCACAGACATGGAGAACGGTTTCTTGATCTGGGCAACGTGGTAGTCCTGGGAGCGAGGATGATTTCCAAGCATGATGTTAGTAGGCGACTAGACAGATTCGGACAAACACGATATGAACTCGGGGATAGCCTTTAATAGATAATTATGGGTCTGAAACGCGAAGGGAGGACGTTAGTATAGATCTGTCAGAAGTTGAGAGGGAGGCGTAAAGGAACGAAGATAGCAATGCGGTGAGTGCGAGGCTGGAAGCACAAGAAGAAAATGATAGCAGCATGACACGTACCGTGCGTATTTAAAGCAGCATAGACAGAAGAGATAGGATCAACAGTGATCCTACGGTTTGAACAACGTTTGTTTAAACGGTTTACTTGTAATAGGCTGTTGTCGTTGTCTAGGTCTAGACGGGTCAACCGGGACCGTGCACCAGATCGCTGCTGGTAACAACGATTGACTGCGCTCTAGATGATGGTGGTCAAGAAACAAAGAGACGGATTACCGCCCGTCGTCGTCGTGTGTGCTTTCCCTGTTAATCGCCTTGAGGCAACCGTAATAATTCAAAATGAGCAAGTCTAAATTTGCATAGCACAGCCACATCCCGGCGGTATCAATACCATCCGGATTTCTCCGTATAATTGTCTTGTACTACAGGTGTATATATACTATATGTACGTCGAGAAAAAAAAAATAAAACTATAATAGTGTGTCCAGAAGGTTGTATTGATCTACATTTATCTAGATCTAGTGTAGAATCAGACCAACGACGGGTAGCCAAATGTAGATTATGGCGTGACCAATAGCTCCTTCACCAGCTCATAGGTGAAGAACGACGTGGCGATACTAGGCGCGACTTTGACTGCTCAAATGTTTCAGTCTAAGAATGTCATATGCGCAATGATTCGCACTCACGCAGATTTGGCCATAGTCCACGATACAATCCTCGGATTCCTTCCGTGCGAATGATAGAACCTAACGCATCAAACGCACCATTGTAATGATATCCCAGCCCTCCATGGGCCATTCCGGTCACTTGCATCTTTCGTCTCAGCACATCGAATGGGTATGTTAGAGTTTGCGATATGGATCCTGTGGTAACGGATGAGAAGCCCCCTGAAACAGTGGTAGTTCGAACATACCAGCTAGCGCGCCGCAAGCCAACTTCCTCACAATGTTGTTTTTTCCGGGAGGCGTCATGACCCCACGCAACGCCTCATATGTTGCAAAGTTGATGCCTACGTATGGTGCAACTCCAACAGCAGTAGTGACCAGGCCCCGGTAAAGACCGGGAACTCCACCCTCTTCTCGCATCACTTTCAATGTCATTCCGACCACGGTTAGCTCGGGTCTCTTTGACACCGTTTGATTTAGTGAACTGGAAGAAGTATGATACGCAGATGATAACGCCTGCTTCGCCCCAGATACCGGCATAACTGACGAGTTCGGTAGTGCCTGTTCGGTTTGTAAAGGTATGCTAGCCGTCGCTATCGACAACCTTGACCGTACAAGGTCTAGTGGGTATGTCGCGCCTGGAGGATGTTTGAGCTAATGATAAAGCAAAAAAGGCAATCGCTGCGCACAAACAGATGTGATCCCCGCTAGCGCACCACTAGCCAGCCGTTTGGGGGTATCGAGTTCTTTTGTCCCATAGCCCGTAAACCACTGATTAAAAATAATGAAAGGCTGCAAGGTACCGATAAATGACCCGCACCTTCTTCAATTGTTCGTACGTAGTGAACTGCACAGCGCTGTAAGGCACGATTCGGAGGCAGTTAATCCCGTTCCCTCTCATGAAGCCTTTGAAGCCTTCCTCCTTGAACATCCTCACAAGACTCCGCCAGACCCCCTTGTACTGGCCATCTGACGTTCGTGGTTGCACTTGTCTGGTAGCAAAAAAAAATGTTAGAGATCAAGCTGTGCCCGGTGAAAAGAACGCAGCGGTGATCCGAACCAACGGAGATTGAATCACTGTGCAGGGACCCACTGGATGATTTTGAGCCTTTCTAAAGGACTAACGACTGTGCGTGAAGCAGCGCCAGCAGCTCCACCTGCGACAAAATATGATGCTATCTCTGGCATCCAGAACGTTTGTTTTTGTCCGTTCACAGCTGCCATGCTGTTGGAGATTTTCGGCTGTGAAGATTGTGACGACTGTGTGGATGTCATGAAAGCTTGGGCAAAAAGTGCATGAAGAGAGTGATTAAGGGTTATTTATGATAGGGACGTGAAAGGGAGCGGGTGAAGCAAAGCACGGGGCTCAGCCTGTGGTGCTATACGGACAAGTACTTGGTGTATGTATGAAAGTTTGTCTTGATCGGTTTAGCAAACGGAAGCATCACGTGATTATAATCTAAGGGAGCACAAGGCCTGAACCTTCTGGTTCAACGTTTGGACAGCTTTTTGGAAACAAAACAACTCCCAAAACTCCACAAGGTAACGCCAATTACAAGAAACAATGAACTCTTATCCAATTCTGGGCTTCTTTCTGGAAGAACCTCCTTGACCACCTGAGAAGCTTGCAACGGCTCCCCCACTAACGCTCCCGAAACTAGCAGTACTACCTGGTTTGGATTGTTGGGAAAGATTTACCTGTGACTGCTGTGATAAATGCTGCCCTTGAGCCTGAACATGCCCTGGAGGCACTTGCGACAGTGTCTGTGCCTGCGTGGGTGCGGGCATGCCCATCATGGATGGTGCATCATCTTGCGTGATTCGCCGTTGGGGCGGCAGGTGGTGGGCGGAAACAGGATAAAACACGCTACAGAGTAATGATTATTGTGAAAGACAACGAGGAGACTGCATGAAAACAGGCTGCATATGACGTACTTTCTTGTCGGCCGAAGATCTTCTTGGAACCATTTGTGTCCCAGCGCTTCTTTAGCCGTTAAGCGCTTGTCCGGATCATACGCAAAGAGCTGGCGTATGAGCTCATAGCCTTGCTGCGAACGGATGCGCGTTTGGCACCACTCGGCGAGGCGGTTTGGGTACCTGTAATTATTTCGGTCCAAGACCATCCAGATGCAAGGGGGAAAATTCACGTGTCAAGGCGTTTCATGTTCTGATACTCTGGCATGTCTTTGAGGCCTGACCAATCCTTCTCTGAAAGAAGTGAGAGAAACGCGCTGATAAATAATTTGTGTCATCTCTTACCACTCGGAGTTCCAAGGACCTCGAAGATCTTGAGTAGCTGATCGCGCTGGAAAGGTACATTTTTCTTAGAATCTAGTTTGGCCTCTTCACCCTTGAATATCGGCCGGAGACTGGCCAACTCAGCGAAGACACATCCGACGGCCCAGCAATCTACTGCTTTGTTGTAATGTTTTGCGCCCAATAGGAGTTCAGGAGCTCGGTACCAGATAGTGACGACAACCTTGTCACCCGCAAAAAGCGGTTGAAGCGGTTGATATATTAATCGTGCAAGCCCCAAGTCTCCTATCTTCACCACACCAGATGCAGTGATGAGGATATTAGCAGGCTTTAGGTCTCTGTGAAGAATATGTGCAGAGTGAAGGTATACCAGGCCATTGAGAAGCTGATAAATTAGGGACTTGAGAACTTGTGATGCGATCTGGATTCGAAGGGTTTGCGAATAGTGATGTATTACTTGCTGCGCCGAAGCATGGTTAAATAAATTATTCAAGATATCAGACAGACAGGGACGTACAAGAAAATCATGCTCGGCATATTCGAAAACCATGTATATTGACTTGTCTTCTAGGATAACTTCCTTGAGTGCGACAACATTCTCATGAGAGATTTCTCGATTCAGCTAAATGTAACCAACCGCTGAAGCCTTCTGATGCAGAACAAAACGAACAAGCTTACTGCGATCTCTCGAATGGCGCTCTGACTGATACCAGTATATGTGACAACATCCCCTTCTTTGTCTGGTTTAAACTTTTTGATAGCATGAATCTGGCCGTCTGGCTCTAGGCTCTGTGCTTTGTAAACACGACCATACGTTCCAGAAGATATGAAGCCAAGAATGGTGTACTTGGATGTGACGGCCTGGTGTAGGCGGTCGCGCTTCGTGCGATAGAAGCGCATTGGATCAGATTGGAGGAGTGTGTGCGACCATTCTTCATGCATGGTGGGTTGATTAGAACTTCATCAAGACATAGTGGTAATAAACACAAGATGACCCCAATGGCGGCAAATCACACGTAGATCGGAATTCGGATTCATCTCTCTTCGCCACATCCATTCTCAATTGCAAGGACTTGACATCACTCATGGCGACCTCGAACCAATTCAAAGGCCTTATGTGCGGCGTGGGCGTGGAATCTGCTGCCGAGTTCTGGCCTCGTAATGGCCCTGAGGTCCGTGCGGCAGCTGGAGTCACTCGCCTCGAAGAGCCCATTCGTGTACCAAGCGGCGAGCCCTCAGGCTGCAATGCCACTTCCATCGTTCCATCATCCTACCGTCCTTCTGTACTTGCCAGCGAACGCGTCCTTCTCTGGACCACCCCTCAAGGTGTCATTTTTCAAAATCAGCTAGAGCAGCTTTATCCAGAGTCCCATATAATCAAGCTATTCTTTGTCATGGCAGAATCTCTTGACGAAAGCACCCGCAATGACTATGGCGCGGGTCTGCTACGTTTTACTCAATTCTGCGATCGTCTCTCCATACCAGAAAAAGCCCGTATGCCTGCATCTGAGTTCCTTCTTTCCATCTTCATTGCAGATGCTGCCGGTTCAATCTCCAGTCGCACCGCGGACAATTGGCTCGCTGGCCTTCGCTTTTGGCACGTCATTAACGGCGCTCAGTGGCACGGTGAACGCTCAGAATGTCTTCGTCACGTCCAACGCGGTCTTCACCATCTCGCTCCGCCAGACTTGAACCCCGAGGATCGTCCACTGATTACTCTCGAGGCGCTCATTCAGTTACACCAAGGCCTTGATCTCTCCAATACCTTCGATACCGCAGTTCTTGCCATCGCTTGTCTTGCTTTCTGGTGCGGTCGTCGGTACGATTCCACCCTTTCTTGTTCACACCCTTCTAACTTACAACCAGTCTTGAGGAACTAGTCATTCCGGGTTCTGATTCTTTTGATATGACCAAGCACGTCACTCGCTCCGTCTTACCCATTGTTACTGAGGAGTCCAACAATGTGCGTCACTCGACCTTTCATATACCATGGACCAAAACCACTGGTACTCGCGGCGCCGACATCAATGTTACCTCCCGAGACCATATAACCTGCCCTCATGCAGCCCTCTTTCGTCACCTCAAGGCCAATCACAACATTCCATCTCATGCCCCCCTATTCTCTTTTCAAACCCACGCCGGCTGTTGGACTTCCGTGACCGAACAGTGGTTCCTCAAGCGCTGCAATCAGATATGGGTCACCTCTGGCCATCCCCACATGCCCGGATACTAATCGGTGGGGCCGATCATCTGTTTTCTCCTTCATCATTGCTCTCGCTCGCATACATTCGGTCATACAAGGCTTTCAACTCCATAATTTGCTTCCCACTGTCGCATGTCGCACAAGGCCCACCGTTTTCATAATTCACTGTTGTTGTATGTTAGTAGCATACCTCGCTGCACAATGTCGCCATTTGATCACATCTCGCATTGCGTTCGTTCCGCCGTACTCTCATAATGAAGGCTCCTTAGTCCCTCTTCTTCGTGGTCTATACTCAGCTACAACCCAAGTCGCTCAGACGGTGTAATCCAAGCGCTTTACTCCAGACTGCGTGTGCACACTATAGACGTAATATGCCCAATCCGCTTTTGTGGTGCATGTAAGTCAGCAGGGCGTGGGGGTCACCCATCTGCATCAATATTCAACGTGCGGTAGGTTTATAAAAAATACGACAAAATAAACATATGTAGCGGGTTAAGCAAAGCGGCAGCCCAGGCCAGGATATGATATGACAATCAATATCTTTCAATATAAGTATGAACCTGTAGTCAAGACCTCCAGACATCACACGTACGAAATCCAGTATGAAAATAAATGGTGTAAGTAGCGTTCATGAATAGGGAAGAATTGTAAAACTACTGTCTAGATAGTCCTAGATCTCGGGCACGACTGACGCAGTCAGCGTGAAAGCATGCGGTAAATCGTTTATTGGCAAACCATACGAAGAAACCTCAGTAGATCACCGGGTAGCTTGCATGTAATCAGGAGGGGGCGGGATGTCCCCAATGGTTGCAGAACCGCTTTGTGCGGATGCGCGACGCTGCACTGGTGTGGCTTTTGAGATGCCCAATGATTCATTGGGCACTGGCAGCTGAAATATATTTTGTTGAGTACCTGGAGCTGCAGGTAGAGGGCGACGGGAAGTTCCTATCTATAAGAGTTGAGTAAAGTTGTTCATCAAAGCGGAGTCAAAAATTCTCGTGCCTACCTCATCAACCGGGGACTGTGTTGACGAGCTTATAATGACTTCGTCCACAGTGGGCATACTAGAACTAGGGACATGTCGTCCATTTCCATTACGAGGTGAAACCTGAGAATCATATTCTGCCTGTTGATAAGACCGCCATGAAGTGCCTTGGGACGAGGTGTCTGGTCTGATAAGGCTAGCATTACTTCTTGTATCCACCGAGGACGAAGCGCCCATGTTGGCGTTGCCTGGGGAATGTTGAGGCGTACGAATCCGGTACAAGTCTTGCGACGCTGCCTGAGCCGATTTGAACCGCCGATAAAAGAAGAACGCAGCTGCCGATGCGCAGAGAGCCACGCCGATAGCTACGACGATGCCAGCAATAGCTCCTGAGCCTAGACTTCTGCGTAGCGTATAAGTTATTGGGGTCATCAAAAGTAATTTATCTTACGTTGAAGTTGAAGCCGCATTTACGCTGCGTACATGTAGTGGTTAACCGATTTGTATGGGAAAATTTGATCGACGCACGCACCTTGAAGGTGAAGTTCCTGACGTTGAACCGGGCAGGCCACTTCCTGACGAACTGGAGGAATTGGAACTTACGTTCAACTTAGCATCATGACGTGTGGGAATGCGCCAAATGAGTGCCACAAACATACTCACCTTGACGATGATGTGAGCACTGCATAGTCTATGTTGAGTGTTTGTCCGCTTGTTTGAGGAAGATTGACGAGGGTCAGCTGATGCTGACCGGAACCAAGGTTGTCTGCATGATAAAGCATAACTTCATAGCAAGGCACATATGCGGTGGCGTTATACTGGGTGGCTTGTCCGGAATCGAGAGAAACAGAATAAAAACCGTTGCTAGGGCCTACAGTGCCATATATACTCACAGATTCAGCTTGAGAAGAGGTTACATGTTAGCTGTGGGTGTTCACTGCTACATGACAATGATGACATGCCCTGCCAGAAGAATTATCCATCAGCGTGACTATGAATGACCTTTAGCTCTCATGACTCACTGTGAACGTAAAAGTTACACTGGCATCACTGACACTTGTGGAGCTAAACGACATTAATGAAAACCTCCATGACAGTGCGGGAGAGAAACTCACTGCCCGGTCCCATTATTGAACAGGTTCACGTAAGTAGGGTTCGTATTCCACGCTGGCTCCTGGTACTGGAATCTGGCGTCTGCGTCGTCGACCGTCTCCGATAGTAACTGAGTCCCGTTAAATTCGGTCTGCCAGACTACCTTCAAACAAGCGACAACAATGAGCCGTTGATCTGGTCAAGAGCTAGACACACCCCACCATGTCGATGTCAACGTAGAGGCTCCCAGTTGCAGTGTTCGTAAGTGATACTGTGTGCAAGCCTTGCGACAAGCCACTCTGGTTGAAGAGCACTTGTTGAAACAAGGCGGTATTGGACTGGCCAGTGTTTCCCGCGAAATTTGAATTGTCAACCGTCACGGTGTATGTACCATGATTTCCTCTCTTAGCACCGTATATCCAGAAGGCCGTGCCGTTGAAGGAGAACTTGGCGACACTCCCTGTTACGTTCGACGTTGTGAACGTCCCACGAAAGTATCTTACAAGAGTCGGTGTTCAGCAATCGCAAGGCAAATGATATTAAACGACAAACTGGTCTGCTAAACTATCTGCAGAGGTCCCCGGAGCCCACGTATTATCATAGTTGATCAGAGGAGATTTATCGTCAACGAGATATGAAACCAATGATATCTGAGGAGAAACCGCTGATGACATCTGAGGTTAGCGCAAGGGAAGAAAAGAGGTTGAAGGGCTCATCCAGTAATCCTCGTCGCTTGTTTTTAATTTTTCGCTATCTTTGGACAACAAAATCATTACAACACACCGGCGGTGATCCTCGGCGATACAGATAGCTTACCGTGGCATCTGCGCGCTTTAAGGGTCCTATACCAGGAGGAGAAAACATCAATTTTAGGGCGCAGATGCATATATGTCGCATCAGCAAAATATTCTTGGTCACTGAAAATAGCGCTCTGGTTCCTAGGTAGCAGCAACTCATCAGCACATCAGCGCGCTCAGCTCTCAGCTCTCGTCAGATGAAAGCAGTGGAACAACCCTGCATAAGCGAAGCTGCGAGACTGTGTTGCTCAGCGCTACATAGAAAACACAAGAACATAGGGCCACTTGTGACCCGGAACTTGTCGTAAAAGGTCCAAGGAGTGTGGAGAGGTGTGGGGTGTGCATGTGATCGATTGATCACTGTGGGAAGCTAGTACTGTCCATTGTTGCCGAGATACTTGATAACAGGTACCAGTACTCTTGGAACCACTTTCTGTTGGAAGAGTCGGATGCAGTGACATATTGCAAGTATTGAACGCGACCGGGTTACCAGAATTGATGCATGATGCCCATGATAGCGGCTGTGTCGTACTTATCGAAAAACTTATTGTCAAACTCAAATTAAGTAGTACATGATCATGCGAGACAGAAAGAAACGAAAAGTGTAATGCATACACATTGATTGTTCATATAAATCACACACTGTACACATCGTTCGCCGATTAGGCTGCAGTGCTGTGTTTTTGCAGGTTGAGTGATACAAAGTAAGCTTAGCAGAATCACTGATATCATGACCAGCTTTCGAAATAGAATTCGCAAGAACTGGGAATGTCATTTCATGTGAAGGTAAGGTGTACATACATCAAACTCATATGTCATAGCAATGCATGCAACCGTGGTCAGAGGCTCAGGACGTGATTTATGAGACCTTCAGCACCTGGGTTCAAAGAGACTACTCTCAAGAAGGAGGAGCTCCGCGCCCCTCATGATAGCCTAGGCCTTTGGCTCAGAAGTTGATGCAGGCAACATCGTAGATCGCTCACCTCCCCTGTCTCCCCTTTCTCCGCCTCCCCTGTCCCCGCGTCCACGCCCACGTCCCCTGCCACGTCCACGATTTTCGTCGCTTCGCCAATCGCCATCAAACCGGCCACCCCGCTCACCACGTTCACCCCGTTCAATTCGCTCACCACGTTCACCTCGCTCACCACGTTCACCACGCTCACCACGGTAGCCTGCAAAGATGGTGTGAGTGGATGCCGCGAACAAAATGATCGAGAAACAAACCACCGCGCTCGCCACCTCGGTCGCCACCTCGGTAACCACCACGGTATGTTCCTCGATCGCCGCCACGGAAATCACCCCGCCCACGGTAACCGCCACGCCCACCACGTCCCTCACCGCGGAAACCCCTGCCACGTCCGCGACCTCGTGATTGTGTGAAGCCATCATCCTCAGGCTCTGGGGCAGTGGCAGCGACAGCTTCCACGCCATTCAAAGGTGCAGGTACGGGTTCAACAACAGGAGTGGCTGATCCTGAAGGAGCGAAACTTGCTTGTAGGTTTGCGATTGATGGCAGACCGCCTTCTTCGTCTGCCTCGGCCCAATCAATGGGCTGTGTAGATGTACCCTGCGGGGACAATGGTCAATATGATCCGAAGCGCGCTATGTCTTTAGGCGAATTTCTAACTTACATCGCCCTCTGCAGCTGAATGTATAGGTTCTTCGTGCTCGAGAACACCATTTTGTGTCAGTTCAATCTCGGATTTCTCAACCCACTCAGCAGTATTCTCAAAGTCGGTGGTCTCAAGCTCGCTCGCTTGCATGAAATGGAAGCTACCAGTTCCACTCAAACTGCCGCTGACAGGGGGAATGCCAGCAATAGGCTGAGATTCAGTGTGCGAGTCACTTGAAGGCTCAGAAGCAACTTCCGTCGCTGCATCTGGCTCTGCCGGTAAGGGTGTCGGTTCACGAGGGGGGTTGAGGAAGGACTGTACAATATCCAGCAGCCTTGCATCTATCAAACTGTCAGTTTATTACTGAGTTGTTGAGTCCGAGGGGCGCTCTTACACGAAACACCATTGAAGTCCCCTTGTCCAGAGAGTAGACCAGACAGTGCTACTTGCTTGAATTCTGACTCCTCGCTGATGAGGGTCGAGCAAAGAGAGAATATTGCTTCCCCTTCAGCGTCATTGAAATCAAGAGCGGCTGGAAGAGGTTGACGAGTTGAAAGACATGTATGCAAGCGAATTAGAGACAGTATAGCGGAGGCTTTGCTAGCTGACGATGCCTGGAAGAACTCAGCTACGAAATCCTATCAATTACAATCAATCTCCTACCTCAGCAGCAGCAACAGCGTCAGCGACTCTGACAGCCTCTGCAGCTTCAGCATCTGCACGCTTGGCCGCCATTTCCCGGGCAAGATCTGCTTCGTGGGACTGGCACATAAAAAGATTCATTATTTTTGTTGACGGGTGAATGATGATGTTATTCGAACCTCGATCAATTTTTTCACGTCTTCAAGTTCTTTCTGAACGGCCTCTAACAGAGGAAGGGTTTTCAGAGTTCGCTTTTGGTCATCGTTCAATTTTTCGTGATCCGTTGATGCATAGCTCGCTACACGGGACTGGGAAACACACGTCAGCTACCTGGTGCCGAAGCCAGACTGTACGATAATAGTAAATTTTCACATACTATTTTCTTGTTTAGAGATTTTAAGCGCTTCTGGAGAAGTTCTACAACCGGACTAGACTTGGAGGTCAAATCGTCGAAGGTCGGAGCCTCAGAAGGCGCAACAAGTTCTGGAGCAACTGTGCCCTCCTTCAAATCCGCCTCTTCTGGTGCCCGGTCAACTAGAGCAGCAGAAGCAACATCGGGAATAATGACGGAGCCTTCGGCAGGCGAGTCTGCAGTTTTTGGCTTGGTTGATCGACGTTTTTTCTTCTGAATTTTCGACTGTGACGTAGGAGGGAGAGCACCGGGAACGATACGGATATTTGGAGCATCGGCCATATTGAAAAGCAGAGAGTAAAAGATGAGCTAGAACAAGAGCAAAAGCAAGGGCAAGGGCAGACAACTGAAGTGCTGAAGAAGAGTAACTCAAGTAGGCCAAACACTTGCTCGAGGGCAAGCTGAAAATTCAGATTCTCACGGTTGAAGTCCATAAGTACATTGATCTTTGCTCTTCACCACATCAAACACGCCGCCAGATAAGCCAGATAATTCAGTCATCGCCATGAATACGGCAGACTTTAGCACCAATAGGCACTCCGCCAACGTGGACATGGCCATCCACATGGCCAGCAAACATACGGATCTTTACTTCAGCGACGGCAATATAATCTTACTCGCTGGCATGTCCTATTTCTTGGTTCATCAAGGGCTCCTTTCGCGGCATTCCGAGGTTCTAGATCAGCTTATGCGTTCCATGGACAACACTCCAGCACTCGAAGACCGCCCGGTCCTCACCTTACCAGACTCATCTACGGACATAGCACACTTCTTAAAAGCGATGTATGATGGAATGTTAGAATTTGCGTCTTCCTCTCACCTCTCTAGCTGATGTACAGCAGATCATTCGTAACATATGATTCAGAGGGTTTTCCAGCGCTTTCAGGCCTTCTCCGCATTTTAACCAAGTACAAGGTGCACCATCTCCGGAACGATATCTTACGTGCTCTGTCTACCTACTGGCCTACTACCCTTGCTCAATGGGACACGCGCGAGGCTTCTGTGACCGGACAAGATGGTACCTACACACCACGCGATTCTCTGCCTCATCCTATGTTAGCCAAGATGACTAATCGCCTGCTTAATGTTGACCACCCTTTGAATCAGAGAAATCATCAACCTTGCTCGTGAAATCGATTACCCGCCACTTCTGCCATCTGCAATGTACGACTTATCCCGTTCCACTCCAAGCGAGGCCGCGATTGGTTTTGTGTCACCCTTCACCGGCAAAAATGTCAGATTAGAACACGCCGATCTTCTGTCCATGCTCAAAGGTCGCGAACAAGCTTCTCGTTTCTTCTCAACGTTCATCGTCAACAACCTGGAAGGAAGGCAACCCTCTCAATGGTGTCTACGTCGCAAGGATAGCCACACTGTCAACAAGAGGACCTGTCAGATTGCGTTCGAGGCCATCACGTTCGAACTTCTGCGAGACATCAACGGCATCATCAGTAACCGAACCTCTGACCCGTTGTACGCGATGTCCGAAGCAGAGCAAATGCAGATGCGCGAGGACCTGTTAAACAGCGAGGTTTCTCCCATGAAAACATGCGAACACTGCCGGGTGGAGTTTGGAGCGGTAGTCGATACAGCAAAGGAGGATTTCTGGAAAAAGTTGCCTAAATGGTTCGATATAGATGTTTCCCCTTGGGGCTGATTCTTGTGTTGGTCCGCCCGTTTTTTATTCGTTTTTTTATACTCGGTTACGGACAGGAGCACTCGTACTCGCGTTGCATCAGTCATCAATCACAAATGTACAGTGAAACACCAGAAAACCTCCCCGCAAACGACTCAATTAAAAATTCCACACCAAGTACTGGCTCAGACTGGCTCCCGCTTCTGGAGAATCAATTGCTTTTTCGATCTTCAAAGCGCTTAAGATTGTCGGAGTAAAATTTCTCCTTCTCAACTGGACGTTGTTACCAGCCGGTCCTACTTCATGTGCGGATGACAGTTAACATCGTAGCTAGTGGGATCCTGAGGACGGAAAAGTACTTGAGATGTTGCTAGGTGTGCTCTCGCTGGCACTTGATGTCGTATCCGGTGGACTGAACTCTACTGAAGCTCCTCTTACTGCTACTTGGGCTATCTGGAATCTTCCTCTGGAGCGTGGCATTAACGCTGCCCCACTTGGCGCAGTTGAGGCCACATCGTGGCGAAACTGCGAGGAGATTCACACACCCATCATATGCATGGTACCATCGATTACTTGCGCGTCTGTCTTTTATCCATATATGAAGCCATGCTTCATCTTTATTTGGGCGCGAACACAGTTCTTTCGGGAGAGTGAGGGCACATGTGGGTCTACTTCGAACGATCTGAGCATCATGGAATCAAAGGTGCTTATCAGTATCGACAATGTTTTGATTATCTGGAAAAGGTTCGGACCTTACTTATTTTACTAATATTATATAGGGCTGGACTCTCGAGGTCAAGAAGTTCAAGTTAGAACCACCCGACAGCTGGCACTCTCACTGGCGCTGTTAGACGTGGACCAAGTTGAAATACTTCAGGTCGATCTTTCCTGCTCAAGCAATGCAGCCCAACTCAGTGGAGCGGAAGCAGGTAGAGTCTAACTGCAATTCCATACCCGATCTTTTATCCCATAAACCTGCGGGGAATGATTTGGAGGGCAATCACTATCATACAGGATTCCTCAGACGCACCACTTTATTGCTTTCTCGTTGGGGAATCGAAACGCATGGGTGAGTGAGACCATTTGGCTTTGATATCTATCTGTAACGTTTCTACCTGGTACTCGGATCAGCATCGCGCCGGTGCCAGCAGAGGAACGTCTGGAGACTCGGTGGTATCAAATGTTTTTCGTTTGGTTCTCTTCTAACATGAATATCTTGGCGTGCGTTGAGTCCTGTCTTAATCCTGGTGCTTTCCGCTTAATTACTTTGTAATACCTGCAGATTCAGTACTGGTACTGCTGGACCTGCATTTTTTGCTCTGGGAGTTCGTGACTCTATAATTATCATCGTCATCGTTGACATGGTGTAAGTGCTAATACTTCACAAAACCTTGGTTTGAAGTGAGATCATCAGCTAGATCTTGCTTGCTTCCTGCATTATTGTGAGCTCTACTATTATATGAGCGTTTCTGTGGACTTCAATGATATGTTAGTGCTATTTTTGGGCCAAAGCTTGGCATGCGAGCTATGGTGCAAGCAAGGTTCTCGTGGGGGTATGCTTTTTTTGCCATTGACAATGCCATTTGCTGACGAACATGAAGATATTTCGGCGCTATCATACCGGCCGTGTTGAATGTTTTCTCCTCGGAAGGCTTCCTTATCTTGGAATGCATCATCGGTGGACAAACGATTGCAAGCTTGTCCCCTCACCTTGACGATACTCTTGGGATTATCATCATCAGTGTCATCACTCTTGGGGTACGTTGGAAACATTTGTGCTGCAACCAAAATGACAAGTTTCAAAGGTCACTTTCTGTGGATACCGTGTTATCCATTGGTGGGTGGGATCACCCCAACACGCATTATCCAGATTTCAACCGAATTTTGACTCATAGGTATGAAAGCATCGCCTGGATCCCAAATGTAGTTACTTTCATCACGATGCTGGCTGTCGGTTATCCACAACTACACGAAAACCAATCAGTGCCCGTCCCTCCAGCAACACCCGCTAATATTATATCTTTTGCGTCCTTCGTCGCATCTAGCATTGTCGGCTGGTGTACCATGACCCCTGACTATGGCGTACATCATAGCCCTGATGCTTCCTCGTGAGCTTCTTCGGACCATCCCCACAGACTCTTCTTAACATCCCGACAGCACTAGAATTTTCATCTACACGTACCTCGGGTTTTTCACTGCTACTGTAAGCCTATATAGCCCATTGTCAATGACGTCCTAATGTTGTAAAGGCGACTTCACATGCCCTGGGTGCCGCATTTGCAGCCGCAGCTCCTAATGTGCCTGCTTGGAATGCAGGATATAATAACAGTTCTTCCGTCGGTGGCTTGTTACACAGCGTGTTGCGACCTACCGGCGCGTTCGGAAACATCCTGACTGCTTTGCTCGCTCTCACTATACCCAGCGCCTGTGCACCAACGATGTACACGTTTAGCACCAGTTTCATGGCTGTCGCTACGTGGTTCGCCGCGGTGCCTAGATGGGTGTATATCATCATCTCCGAAGCGATGTGAGTGTCATCGAGTGAAAATCTCAGCGACGCTGACGATTTGCGTCCAAGTCTGATACTGGTGGCCATTGTTGGTGCCAAAAAGTTTTACACTACTTTTGTAGACATCCTCGGTACGAATCCCAAATATTAGTATCTGTGATCGCTAACAAGCCTGCTATCCCTGAGTCAGACATCATTGGATACTGGTCATCAGCCTTTGCTGCGATAGTCCTTACAGAACATGTGTTATTCCGACATGCCTCGTTTTCTGAGGATCAGTATCCCATCACGACTTGGGCTTCATATGATCTCTTGCCTAGCGGTATCCCGGCCGTTGTGGCATTCGTGTGTGCGTGTGGAGTTCTTGTTCCATTCATGTCACAGGCTTGGTATGTAGGACCAGTGGCAAGGCAGGGCAGCGGAGAAGTTGGTGTGTTCGTAGGATTTGTGGTGGGAACTATCACCTACGCGTTGGCGAGGAGTTTCGAGAAGTTTTGGCACAAGAAGATGATGAAATCAGACGCGCACCAGTAGTCATTGATATATAATGAGCAGTATATATACAGCGAGCAATATCTGCACAGCTCCGGTTCTCTGTGAGCGTCTGTACATACATGTACAGCAATTTTTTTTTAGAATTTTGTAGTTACTGGGTGATCTGTGATCAGTCTCTGTACATAGACTCACCCGGCAGCTAATTATGGCGCTGGATTCGTTCAACTATTCCACACAAAATATGCACACACACACACAAAGGATTTACACCCACAGAGTCGCGTACCGTTGCCGAGATGTATCAGGATGCTTTGGGATTAGCGTGACTTCCTGTTTTGGTAACACCGCACGACGACAAAATGCTCGAGCTCGCTGTCCTCAACAGCGAGCCGTGCTGACGTGTCTTCTTAGGTAAGATGGATATGGGGGTGCAAGTCCCGCCTGCGTGTTTTGGGGGGATCGGACAGAACTACGAGACAGACTACTAGCGTGCAGACGGCGCATGCTACGATCGTACAGTACTAGAACCAGTCTGAATCCATCGGTCCGAGAGAGTGAACCCTGAGGAGGCCACGAAGACCACCCACACACAGCAAGACGAAGAACGCGTCGAGGGCCGAAAGAAGGAGAGACAGAAGGAAGGAAACAGACGCCACCCACACACGAGGAGGGCGAAAACATAGACTACGCGCCGTGAGATCGAGAGGTGCGAGCGAGGAGGGGGGACAGTTTGGGGCCCAAGAGCTCTGCATGCAAGGGAGCGATGTGCTCCAAGTTGCGCCAGTAGCGAAGGAAAGAATCTGACGACCACCGCCCCATCACCTTGACAATGTGAGGGGGGACATTGCGTAGAAGCAGCTCGGTGGTCCCGTCGATGCGGAAACAGTGACCGGAGATGCGAGGCAGACCCTGAGCCGTCCAGACTGAGTTACACACCAGCAGGAACTTGCGCTTTGTGAGGGAGATCAGCCTACCCGCGCCTCCACTGTAAGCGAAGAGGTGAGAGGACGTGGGGGAGACCAGGATGTCTGGGCTTGCCGTAAGATGGGCGAGGAGGGATGAAATGGGATCTGAAGGACCCAGCTGGCGACCTAGGAAGATGTCCTCCCCTTTCTCTTTCGAGACTTTGGTCCAGGGAAGGTGGCACATCAACGACTCGCCGGAGGACGTGCTGCGCAGGCAGGCAGGGGTAGGGAAGAAGTTGTGCGAGAAGCGGGATTGAGAGGTGGGGAGGAATTCGCCTAGGCGTCCCTGCCCCCAGAAGACCGTGTCGGCACAGGCCAGAACGCACGCATGGAGAGGAAGTGAGGCATCGAGGGAGGAGTGCAAGGCCTCGAGCATCTCTGAGGTTACTGGAGGGCGCGGGGGTCGTTTGGAAGAGTCGGGGGTGAGACGAACCGCCGAGCGGAGAACGTACTTCAGACGAATCCCGCCGAGCCAAGGAAGACCATTGGCGATGTGCCAAGCCCGAAGACCCGCGACATCGTTGGCTACAGCAGAGCCTGAGCAGGAGCCCGCTCTATGGGCTGCAAAGGCGCATACCAGCCATTCGGGCGAAGGGAAGGATAAGGGAATGTTGTTGGCAGAGCAGAAGGCGAGGAAGCGGTTCACGCCGCCCTGGTAGCCTTCCAGCGTTTCGAGCTTCCAAGCATGGCGCGTCACCGAGTTTACTAGCGCTTGGAGGGTGGATACAGTGTCCATTGTGTGGAAGAGAGGAGAGATGAACCAAGAGAAGGCTATTTCAAGGTGAGAGCATACCAAGTAAGCCGTGAGACCGGTAATGGTTTCACATGAAGTTCATTTTCTTGGCTGGGCAAGGCATGTGCTAGTAGACAGAAAGAGGATTGCATTGCAGAGGGTAGAAATACAAGTATGTACGAGCAGCATGAATAATAGGTAGAAATAATGTAAGCGAGGACAGAGCTGCGGACAACAAGTTATAAGTGAAGGGAGACGAACTCCCGCAAGTGGAAAGGAATGCGAGGCGGGTGTGCAAACCGCTTTGCAGACGAGTGCAAGATACCGCGAGAAGGGGGGTCAGCGAGATTTTCAGCTGAAGGCACCCAGACGGTGGAGAACCAAAGAGAGTGCTCCTGGAACAAGAAAATGATACGACGAAGGGTGGCGTTCTGTTCGGAGTTTCGAGACATGCCAGCATTGAAGGCGCCCACGACCCCTTGGTTGTCTGAGCGAAGGATGAAGTGGGCGTTGCGAAAGCCGGCGGAAATGAGACAGCGAAGGCCTAGCTCAATTGCCACCATCTCAGCCCAGCCTATGTCCCGACCATCGGCGTGCCACCCGTCCAGCAGACGCCACGCGAGCCAGCGACCGTCCCACCAGAAACCAATGCCGAAGGACGTTGACGCATCGACAAAGATGGGAACTGGATGGGCAGATGGAGGGATTACAATGGGGATGCCGCACCAAGCTGAGGACAGCTGGTCGCGCCACCACGCCATGTCGGCAACAACGGAGGCAGGAATAGCACGACGCTCGAAGCGGGAGGAGGAGACTGCGAACTTCGAAGCGAAACGGTACAAGGAGGCGAGGTGGGAGCGGCCAGCGATAACGACCGCTGCACAGTGGTTGAGGGTCCCAGTCATTACAGCGCATTCGTGGGCTGACACGCTCGCGCCAGAAACCCAGCCCTCCAGGCGCACAAGGTACTTCTTCTTCTTCTCCTCGGGAATGCAGACAGATTTTGCCGCCAGGTCCCATTCGAAGCCGATGTAGACAAAGAGGGCGAGAAAGTCGCGGAACTTGTCTGGGGACCAGGGCCAGCCAAGATATATTGCGATCGACCAGATCAGCGAAGCGTCGTACGAGAAAACGTAGCCGCCTAAGGAGTAGTTAGAGAGAACGAGGGCAGGAGGAATGAGAAAGGGAACTACCTGAAGGTAGGCGTGCAGAAGGGTAGCGAAAGAAAAGGAAATCGTCGGCCCACTTAAGAATGTCCTGAATGGACTTAGAACGAAATATGGCCACAATGGCGTCAGCACAGCGCCCGAAGATTCCCGACGAGCTGGAACAGCCGAAGCAACAACAATGGTCCGCATGGACCTTGCCCTTCCAAGAAACGCAAACGTGGCAGCGGTCCTCTGGGGCCACAGGCATGCGGCGGTGGGCTGCGTCCACGTCGAAAACAGCGGCCTGCGAACCCGGAGGGGCGAGGGCGACAAGAAGGTAGCATTGAGCAAAGGTTCCCCAATCGCACTTGAAGGCGTTGGGGTCTATTTCTGAGTTAATGGAATGCATGAGAGGATCACGGCGAGGAAAAGAATGATCTTGAATGAGGCGTTTTTTCTTGGGGGTTACAACAACCCCAAGAGGGGCAGTGCGGTAAGGTCCAAACAGGCGTTCGAAATCAGAGGGGTCGAAACCCACAGAATAGCGTCCTGCGGCGACCTCCTTTTCGATCTGGGAATCTACGAAGTCGGCATGCTCAAGAGCCGAATTATGGTTGGGAGGCGAGAAAGTAGAGAGAATAGTGGAAGACACACCGAGACGGAAGCCGTCTCGAATACCAAGAGGAACATCGTGAAAAGAATCGAGAACACCAGCAATACCAAGAAGCTCCTCCCATTTGTCCCACCGCAAGGGGGTGACAATGGGAAGGAGGTCAAGCCGACGCGTGAGACTGGGCGTTATGGCCCGCTGATTCTTCGCCACAGATAGAGCACTTGTGGGCGAATGGGCAGGGGCGCTTTGCACAGCCTTTGACGCCGTTGAACAGGAAACAAAGCAGCTCGTTTGCAGAGGAGCGCCATTTCCCGTCGGCGTGTTTTGTGATGAAGGAGTTGGAGGAGGATTTGCAGTCACGGGGAGAGTGTTTCCCCGTGCAGAACCAGCAGATGCCAACGAATTCAGAGGGGGCCCTAGCAATTGGCCTCTCCGTGGAAGGTAAGGATGAGGACGGCTTCGTGGGGGCGCGAAACGAATTGCCTCGAGTGACCTGAGCCTCCAGGGAGGCAATGCGTGAAGCCATAGTGGACTCCACCTCTGCCTTCACCAGATCGAGGCAATGCGAAAATATGCGAGGTTGGAAGATGGCCGGATTGAAATCCGATGAATTGTTCACCCAATGTTGGCGAATCATAATGTCATATCGTACGTACGCAGCGAAGTTGTGCTGAAAGTCGTGAGACCTCAGCACCCCTTCATAGTGCAACCGGAACGATTCGGCGATCTCAGCCTTGAACGGCGAGTTCAGATGCCGACCGATGAGCACTGGTAGCATGCGAGCGGCTTCACAGAAGTTCGGATAGGATATCGACGGTTCGTTCGCAAGATCGAATTCCGTTGGTGCCTTCGCATAGTGAAGAGTCGCACGAGTGAGGTCTGCCGAAAGGCTATTAATGGGGAAGTAGGACTGCCAACCTTCCTTCAGGATGTGAACCACCAAGCCATGATCAATGAGGTCATTGGGGTCTAACTGCATGGAGGGGTCTGAAGGTGGAAGGCCATGAACCCGAGCCCTGAAGCCAGGTGCCGGTACAGGGAGCAGAGGGGCGGGAAGTAGGGAAGGAAGGCCCGGAGAAGCATGAGCTGTGTGGAGCGAGTTCAGATGAAACTGCCCGCATACACACGGCGGAATGAAGGAATGAGACGCATATATGCGCATAATCTCAGCAAACCGGCGCATATAACGCCTGAACTCAGCAGAAACGGCGCATATAAGCCGTAGCACAGCCAGAAACGGGCGCGTAGGCACCGTAGCAGAGGACAAGGGCACAAAGGCCGAGCATAGCAAGGGAGACCCCTCATAAGAGGATATGTGACTCCCGAAGAAGGAACGATGGAGGAGGAGAGAGTATGTGGGGCTTACCAGAGGATGGATGACTGGCTACCAGTGAGCTCAGCCAAGGGTTTTGAAGGATGGTCAAGACTTGGTCAGCCGAGAGATGTTGAGGCGTGACTGGCCCCGCGGGAGGAAGGGGAATCGCCGCTGGTGACGACGACGCTGGGGGAGCTGCAGGATGAGCTGCCGGCTGAGCTGGAGTGGGGGCTGGAAGCATTTGAGGTGCTGGGGCTGGAGAGCTGGCCGAAGGAAATACTGGCAGCAAATGAGGGGCTGGAACTGGAGAGCTAGCCGAAGGAAACATCGGCAGCGAGGGGGTGGGAGGAAGTGAGGCTGATGCAGGGGCAGACGAGCTTGAAGACGCCCCCCAGGAAGAAGGCGCTGACGAGGCCGAGGATGAGGCTGAGGAAGCCGACAACAAAGCCCACATATTGGGCGAGAGATGGGAAGGCGAGGAGGAAGACTGCGAGGAAGCAGCCGGGGCTGAGGCAGGGGGAGCAGGGGGTGGTAATTCCTTAGATTTCCCTTTCTTCAAGGGGGTGACACCCCGTTGGCGCTTTGCGGCAGGGCGGGGTGAAGATGAAACCGTCAGAGAATGGGGCGGGGACGTGGGAACATGTTGACGTCTGTTCCCCGACTCCGGAGAAGTCGGGGGTTCTAAAGTGAGGACAGGAGGATCAAGCCTTGGAGTCGAGCGAGAGGCCGACATCGCCGCCTCCAGCTCGTTGAGATCGATAGAAGTGGGAGAACCCGGACCCGATGAAGGGGCGGAAGGAGTAGGGGAGGATGCCCTGGGCATGGGAGCCGATGGGGGTGGAGAAGGAAGTGAAAGAGAGGACAAACGAGGAGATGAACGAGGGGGAATGGGCCGAGATGATGAAGATCGAGGAAGGTTACGACGAGAGCTCATATGCGAGCAAGAACGGAGGCACAGGATCCGAGGAGCTCACGCAAGACGACTATATGCGCAAGTGCACGTAACAGGGGGTAAGGAAGAAAGACACGTCAGGGGAAGAAGGGACGCGCGTCGTCGAAGACGCAGTGTTTTGTAGCTCCGACTCGGCACGAGACTCGGCTCTGTGGCGTTCGGTTCCTCACACCCAGAGTCCTAATTTTGGTAACACCGCACGACGACAAAATGCTCGAGCTCGCTGTCCTCAACAGCGAGCTCAAATAGTTGCCTAATCCTTCACCCTTTTCACTAGTTCTTTTGAGGGAAAAAAAATCAACTGTAGCTAAGTAACTATGCTATTTTGACCATAAATCTTCCATACTTACAATATTCACCCATTCCTGTCATATATTTATACTGGGCGCTCTGAGGGGCTTATTATGGGCTCAATTAATTATGTATTTATTGTATAAATATATTAGAACTTCTACAAAGCCAGAAGTATACAATTAGAGTCCAGAAAATACCAGAAAAGCGGCCAGGGTGGGGGGAGGAGGAGGTGGGGAAGGAGGGTTGTGTTGTCCAAGAGTAAGCATAGTTAAGCTACAGGTTATTTTTTTCCCTCAAAAGAACTAGTGAAAAGGGTGAAGGATTAGGCAACTATTTGAGCTCGCTGTCCTCAACAGCGAGCTCGAGCATTTTGTCGTCGTGCGGTGTTACCAAAACGGGAAGTCACGCTAATCCCAAAGCATCCTGGTACATCTCGGCAACGGTACGCGACTCTGTGGGTGTAAATCCTTTGTGTGTGTGTGTGCATATTTTGTGTGGAATAGTTGAACGGATCCAGCACCATAGCTAATCGTTCTCCATGATTAGTACCCCATCAAATGAGGTCACACACTGATCATAACAGCGATAACGCCCCTACTAAGACCTACGAAGCACACCGAGGTACACCATTCATTACTGCGGATAGTATCTGAAGTGGCGCATGTCCGACAAAGTTTGCACCCACACAGAGCGGGCCCGTCATGATGCTGCAAACGGCTAGTGCCAATGCTCCTAACGTGGAGTTCAGCACTCACAGTGAGCGGCTCACCATATCTTTTCCTCTCCAGGGTTCAGTACTTTCAGTGGTGCTCGAATTTCTATGTGCGTACACAATTGAAATATATCTACCTGGATTTTGTACTCATGAAAGGCAGTCTCACCCTTCGGCTTCATCCTCCCTGTGTTATTGACCTGTAACTCCATTCGATAGCATGACGGACAGGGTGGATATGTGTCGAGCGGCCTTGCAGAGCTATCCACCCGGTCATTGTGATCGACCAGCGTCTCTCAACAATCTTGGCACAAGCCTTCATGGCAGATTCAAGCTGCGGGGCGTCCTCCAACAGGCTACATTACTCATATCTCTGATGATTCAAAGTTTCCATCCCTAAGATCAGTTGCAGAGGTTTCTAGCAATGAACTTGTCCGATCGAGGATAATCTTCAGCTGAGAGACATGGAATGCGTGGTCTGCGGTGGGACTGGCTGACAGTCAGTACATGAAAAATAGACGCGTGTATGTACACCGTACCTGTCCTCCACATGAACGCTACCTAGTATTTCCAACGTAGATGTTGCTTCCCTCTCCCACTCTTCTGCCTCAGCTGCATCTTCCTCTTGAGATGGTAGAGAAGGCATATTTTCTAATACTGCCAGGCCTCCATCCCAGAAGCCACCACCCAGTTTAATCATGTCTGATGTCTGTTTCTCCTGGCATAGTAGGATACCGATCTGCGCTCACAGGCGATCTTACCATGTCCGACATGCAGACTTCAGGACGCTGAATGTTTGCGGGCAGGGCGCAAGAGCTGCATTATGCCTGCATAGAGAATGTGCTCTAGATCGGGGAGGTAGGGCTTGAAGGACACGTTAATATGATGGCTTACCTGGCAGGATATGCTTCTCGAGGATCTTAGTGCGCCTACCCTTCTCGATACCTGCGACCTTAAGAATCTGAGTGGTATTGACAAACGACATACACAGACGGTTGAATGGTGCGTGTTTATGGCTGCTCTTGCTCATGTTGATTTCCACAATTTTCGATGTGGGTTTCCCTGCCATCCTCGGCGTCGTGGGTGCCGTCGTCATCTCGCCGCTCGTTTTCCGTTGGCAGATTAGAGATGCACATATGATACACGGAGCTTGGCTTACCAATAGCTCGTCACTGAAACAGTAGCAGCCCTCCATGGATGATGTGTTTTTCTGCATAATTCGACTGCATCATCCAATCGAACTGCACGAATAAATGAATAGAGCGCCTGTGCTAGGCTTTTCCCAAATCCCTGTAAAGGATTGCGCCTCAGTCAGTGCTACGACAGGCTCACGGCGTCATCAGCTGCTGATGCATTGATGGTCGACCGTCACCTCAGCTCATGGCATCAGGATCTGGCTCTTTCACCAGACCTTCTCATAAGGTGCGTAGAGCCTGCATAACATTATGAATCAGCCTGATACTTCTCGCTAATGGTACAAACCTCAGCACGTCCCAAGCTCATATGTACATCAGTCACTACTTCATGCTCAATATTCTACAACCCCTCACCGTGCATAGCCATCACGCTCCTCAATGATCCCTCATCCCCAAACCGCGGCTGGAAGCGTGCAGCGAACGGTTTGGGGTGTGCAACCACCCCATCTGCGAAGGCCATCTCATCAATCGGATTCTCCGGGTCCTGCGTGATCTTGAACGACCACAAGAGTAGCGCGGCATTGATGAAGACAGACCGATTCGCTACGTGTCGCCCAGGACAAATTCTGCAAATTCTTCTTCAGCAGAGTTCAACTTGGTTGAATATCAGGAAAAGGGCGTACCTGCGTCCAAAGCCGAAAGAAGGGAACTTGATGTCGTCCCGGATTTTTCCGTCGCTGTTGAGCCATCTCTCAGGATCGAACTGATCAGGGTTGGGATAGACGCTCGGGTCGCGCGAGATTGCCCTGTCAGAGGGTGATCAGTATATACATCTGAATAGAATGAACAGCATTCGGTACCAATGGTTCCCAAATACTATAGCGCCCTCTGGGATAAGCATTCCTTTCTGCTCGGGCAGCAATGAGAATCAGAAAATCATACCAGAACACTGGAAACGTACGTAAACTATATCAGCCGAGGCACGGTGAGCAAATCCAATGGTTGTCACGGGCCTCCAGCGAAGACACTCCAGCATGAACGCCTCGATCTGCGGAAGGGAATTATAGTCGTCGAAAGTAGGAGCTGTAACGACTGGCTTGAGAATCGTTCACATAGATGAGCTTCGACATACCTCTGTCGCGACCAACGACGATATCCAGCTGCTCTTGCACCTTCTCCTGCGCCTTGGGATAACATGCGGATGCCATGACGACATACATGATCGCTACAGCAGTCGTGTCTGCACCGGCGCCAAAGAGCGATCCAGCAAGATAGGCCATTTCGTCGTCCGAAAGTTGGTGTGAAGACTGGTTCGCAAGAAGATGCCGAGCAAATGAAGGGCCGGCCTTGCCGGTTGCCTACAAAGAACTGTGAGGTGGTGTTTAGGAAAGACGTCGAAGGAACCAACCAATTCTCTCGAAACACGATTGAGTTGGTCATGGTAGACCTGACTCTCTTCTCTTCTCCATTCCTCCAACTCGGTCGTGTATCCTGGGACGTACTTTAGAATTGGGAAGCGCTCTATCAGGAGCGCGCCAGGCCGCATGAGCATCTGGAAGCGCTTGAGAACTTTATGGATGACGATGATCTCGGGTGCATTCGTGGCGGTTGGCGTGGACTTGCCGTACATGATACGCAACATGACTGTCGCTGCGTAGCTTGCGTTGAATGGGTAAGCAGTTATAGAATAACCCACGAAGTGCAACACACCGGTTCGCAGCTGCTTGGTGTCCTTTAGGGTTATGAAGGATGTCAAGGATAACATCACGGGCGGTGTCCATTTGTATGGGTGCATAGGAGTCTGCAGCTTTTGCTTGAAGATGAGTGTGTGCTGCCCTGGATGAAACAACTTCAGCAAAACAGTTCAGCAAGAGAAGATATCAACACAACTTGCGAAGTCTCCGAAACTGCTCTCCTGCGGGTGCGAGGATCATGTATAATCCGCGAGACAAGATCTCTCCTGCTGCAACTGCACGAGGGCGGTCCGCTAGCACACCACCCTCCTTCTCCATTATATCGTTAGATTCCTTCGCAAGTGAGTATGAAGATGCACGGTGAACAGTATTGGAGTCATTTACCTGATGTCTACCAATGATGACCATGACCCTGCTAGGTCCCAACCGAAGGGATATGATGGGACCATAGGTATTGATCCATTCAGCAAACTGTTGAGATTGGCTGTAATGCGTTTACTGTCAGTGTCTACGTAGACACAGAGAGAAGTCTATTTTATGTGCTCACTTGGCACTTGGTATATGGTTTCCGAACAGCCAATGTCCTGGGGGTCCTGGAGGAAGAGGCAGGCGTGACCTCGATCGTAATTTAGCGCGGAGGACATTGCCTGCCAGAACGAGAGCGACGAATGCTCCTAGGGTCTTGAGTTGAAATGTCAAGTCGAGCATCCTCCAATAGTCTGTTAGTGCAAACACGGTAACTTAATACAAGGGAGGGAGCGGAGGAAGGATGGCGAATGTGTGCGTACAGAAGCTCCTGTTTTATCTTGGAGGAGCTGACAGAATGCGGTTTAAACTGGCCCATGCTGATGCGGGATAAGAAAGATATTGGGAGATAGCGGCTTTGGGGAGGATATCTACATCAGTATCCCACACCTGAGACAAGTGAGGTATAGTCTCCCGTAATGGCCTTGATAGAGGGTGAACAGCCACTCCTTCTTCACCAAAACGGTGAGGAGGGGTGAGGTCGTCCATGTGCATGGTATCTGAGGTGACTATCAGTAGACAAAATAATGCAGAGTAGATTATAACGGACTTTGGAAGATATTCGCAAAAGATTCTATGATCTTTTACAGCGCGAGCTGGCTCCCTGGAAGGGCTGTTACTAAAGAACTAGTACGTCACTTAGAACAAACACGCGTCTCAGCGTCTACTGAGCACGTGATCGACGCGTCAATAACAAATAGTATTCCTACCCTCCGACTCCGAGTCTTTTCAGTCTTCAAAGCTTCATGGCTTTAGTCTTTGACGCGGCCGCGGCTCCACAGCACCCAACTGCCGGTGAAGCTCACGAAGAAGCTTTCTCTGAGCTACACAGTGGGCGTGTCTCTGAGGGTGACTGTGACATATCCGATGGACCAGATGATGGATGTCAAAACGCAGAGTCAGACTCGGAAGGGTCAGTCGAAGACAACGAGGAGGACTTTTTGCGGTACGTTCTGTGGAACTGTTTCACTATTCACTGACGAACCCAATAAGCTTTGAGGCAATACAAAAAATCGAACGGCTGGCAATGACATTTCTTGAACAGCTTGCTGGTTCACCACGAAATGCACGAGTTGATAGTGTAGCATCAAACAGCAGCACTGAACCAGCTACTAACTCAAGACCTCAATATCCAAAAATCGAGCTTCAGTTAGCCGACCGTCGAAAAACGTCCTCCGAACGGTAACACATTGACCCCCGGTCGAATTCTGCTGCCCCTTATATGCTAGTGTTTTCAGCACCAGAGTTATTCGATACCCTCTGAAGCGAAAAGGAGCGAGCTTAAAACCATTCGGTAGGTCCAGTGGTAGTTTTATGGTGCCTTCGTTTTCAATCGATGACCGTTCGAATACAGCGCAAATCTTACGTGTCATGGACTTCGCTCACCAAGCTCTAGTCGACAATGTGCCACTAACAAAGCGGTATCTGTCTTTTGCGAATGGTTTGAGAAGGAACCAAGAAGAATTTGACCGTGTTCCTAGGGACATGTACTACAAAGACGTCCACATCTTCAAAGCTCAGGGGACTGTTGATCGAGTGCGTTCTTTGAGTATGGAGTGTCACCGTTCATACTCACATAAATCAGCTGGTCGATGATCTTGCTGTGACATTGGGCTTAGAGCGGGCTGACCTTAAAATCGTAACCTTTCTGTCACCTTATGACTGATATATTTCCTTGAATGCGGTTGTAGCGCGCTGCGTCGAAGGGCCTCATATGCGGCACCGGACTGACAATTCACCTGCTCGAAGGCGAAGTTATTTCTATCAACGACTTAGAGGTGAAAACATTTTCCAGAGAGACAAGCCTGGTGTTTGAATGTGATTTTCAGGGAACCCTAATACCTACGGGTGAATCCATAGAGCGATTTGAACTGAAAGGAGATATTTCATGGGTTCTTGTGGTTGAAAAAGAGGTATTACCTGGAGGCCGCCTTCCATAGGAAATGTTGATCTAGCCCTCATTTTAGGCCGTCTTCCAAACACTGTGCCGTTTTCAGTTTGCAAGTCATCGGTCGCTTCCTGGTCCCGGGCTCATAATCACTGTGACTAAGTGATACAACACTAACTACATTGCTGCTTATATGCTTCCTCCAGGGTAAGGGATACCCTGACGTAGCTACTCGACAACTCGTGAAAACCTTGTCAGACAACCTTCCGGCGCAGTGAGTCGAATCCGCACGGTTTGTAACCACTCATAATAATAGTCAATAGCATTCCAATCGTCGCACTTGTCGATGGCGACCCATATGGGCTCGACATTCTATCGGTGTACAAGTACGGCAGCCGCAGCCTACGACATGAGAACAAAAAACTCGCAGCAAAACGAATCGAATGGCTTGGCATCTGGGCATCTGAAATTGCAGAGTAGACACTAATGGCTTTCTATCCCCGTCCATACTGAAGTAGCTCACTCCCATAGCCTTGAAATAGATTTGGACGCACTGATTCCGATCACGCGACACGATGAGAAGAAGGTAAGACGGGCTGTATTTCCCGCCGTGAGTCCAATCATCTTATTATCCTCCGTAGGCGCTCGCGGTACTCAGTCGTCCCACTGACGTTTTGCCCACAAAATGGAGGCAGGTGTATCTCTCATACTGCAACTAAATGCTGAATGTGTCCACAGGAAAGAGCTCACGCGGATGCTCCACACCCGAAGGAAGGCCGAAATAGAGATTCTGTCGAGCTCCTCAAGTCAAAAGTCTAACTCCCTTATACACTACTTAGCTCATAAAATCTGCCACTTTATCGAAATGTCTGCCTGACTGTGATACGGATGTCAGGCGTAAAATCACAGCTCTTTGACACGATGGACATTGACAGTATCCTTGCGAGATTATGGGCATCGACATCACAGCGCAGCAAAACGATATCGTCATGAATATCTGCATTCCTGAGCCTTAAATCACCGCCACATGAAGCATCGTTTGAGTCTGAGCTTCTTAATACTGACTTCAAATCTACATATGGAATTCGTTCGTTACATACCAGAAAGGGGGTGCTTTTACTACTCAAGAACATGGTTAGATAATCGGTTCAATTACAAAAACGTGTTAAAAAAGTTACCCGCTATAGTGAAGACATGGAAAAACAATAATCGTGTCATGTCAAGTCTGAGATCTGAGTAAGTATTGGTGCCAAATTGACGCGTCTCAACCCTTGTCTGGACCACCACGTGTAATAGTTTCACTTCAGTAGAGTATGAGGGGATCGCGGCTACAAGAATAGAAACTACAACAGCTAGAATATCAACATGCCATGAGCTTGCCTGAAGTGGCAACGAGCGAATGCCACAGCTAGTAGAAAGTTTGGAACCAGGACTTCGGCAGTGCGGCCTCTAGGTTTTACGAGCGCTACAAAATCGTTGCCCTTCAAACTCCAGACTCTAAATAGCTATCAGAGCATTCGAATAAATAGTCCAAAATACGAAAAGGTTGTATTACCGAATTGATAGGCCGTGATGTACACAGCACGCTGGAAAAAAATATTATGGCAGAGGGTCCTGCAGTTCTTGACCATCAAGACTCCATTTCTATTTTGAGTTCGAGTTGCTTCTGGTATGGAGTCATCTGTGCGAAGTGCCGAAAGCCGGTGCTCAGGCGGACATTTGTTCGAGCTACCGACCAGTGGTGTAGAAAATATACCCGTCATTGCAGCACTTGGGGAAATCCAAGCGCCATAGGGTTTTGAATGTCTTGGTGAAGAGGCCGTGGATGAATGGACGCAGAGTGGGTGGGTGCTGAGAAGGCGTTGGCAGGGATTTGGGAGAGCATGCAGATCTTGTGTAGTTATTCGTAGAGGATCTGTTGTCCACGACAGTGCGCCGCAGCGGCTCCTCGCAAATACAGGGCATAAATTTCGATGCAAGAATCGTCGCTCAGCAAGGAGGGGGCACTTGAGATAGCTGGAAGGGACAGCGAGTGCGGGGTGTCAGGTGAATATGGATACACGATATCCAGCTGAGGTGGAGGTGGAGGTGGAGGTGGAGGTGGAGATGGAGGCGACACTTCTCTCTCTCTCGATGCAACGGAATCGGGGAGCCAATATCGACCAACTTCCGAGGACAGGATGTCAGGTTCGTCGATGATTTGATCCCAAGGCCTACAAGACCGTCTCCTGAAGTAACAAACTACCACTGCGAGTGATATCAAAGAAAACACTTTTATTGTGTCAGTATTTCGGAGGGTAGGCTCGGAGGATGTCAGCTCACTTATCCCACATGCTATACCAGCCCGCGTTCCAGTGCTAAGCCCATGGCTGGTAGCTGAAGTCAAGCCATATACAGTGTTTTGTCCTGAGCTTGAGGAGCTGGTACTACTAGTGCTTGCATAGCCTGAGCTGGAGCTGGTGAGCGTGCCTGCGGTGGCAGTTGTATAGATGGAGCTAGACTGGGTGATAGAGGTGGAACTGGAGTGAGTAATAATTGTGAAGCTGGTGCTGGGGAAGGAGCTGGTGCTGGAGCCAGGAAAGGAACTAGTGCTGGGGAATGAGCTGGAGCTGGAGCTGGAGTGAGTAGTAATTGTGGTGCTGGAGCTGGAGCTGGAGCTGGAGCTGGACTGATTACTAGAGGTGGAGGTGGTGTGGTGTTCAGTTGTGGTGCTGGATCCATCATCGTCATCGTCATCACCGTCGTCATCACCGTTCTCGTCCCCGTTATCGCGAGCGGACATGAATCTAATGGATTTGAGATGATAATTCATTTGTATTTTAACATGAACTCACATTGGCTCTCGGTATACATTATTGGCTGCAACTACTAGCGACTGCGAGGCGAGAACAAAAGCCAAAGCCGGAAGCGAGTGGGACATGCCCACGGCCTTGTAAAAGGCGGGGAGCACCGAACGTGGTGGGCAAAGGGAACGGTTCGAAAAACACGCCCATATGCATGGTACCGAGTACTACTGTGCATATGATCGGCATTAATGCGAAAAGAAATGATTCTCTTCCAGCAAGAAGTCCGCGCGAAGCCAGAGATTAGCGTAAGTCGAAGGATGTCGATCTGAGGTGGGGATTCTGATGTAATTCTCAAACAACTTTGACGAGTGTATGTAACACGCGCTCGAAGGAGCCGAAGAGTGATAAGATGGACAGTTTTGCAAAATTGTTACGGATGAAGTTCGTTTGACCAGAGCCTAATCAAGCTTGTCAGCGCCGGTCGCAGCGGTAAGAAAGCCTACACTGTACTTATGCCATAATATTGTGAAGTTCATATACGTACCCACTTATAAATTTCTGGAAACTGATCATGAGGGGAACAGAGGATCGACCAGTTTACATCATGTGATTCATGAAGGATGCCAGCTTTCAGCAGAGTAGGAGGGGATCAGTAAGGTGAAACTAAAGGAGAATAGAAACTACACATGACTGAAACAAAAGCACAGTTTTAAGTAGCAACAAGTACCTTAGCGACCGAGGCCTCGATGATTGACGAACGTTATTCGTGCTGTTCCAAGTCCAGGCTTTAAATATGTATCAGAGTATGTGAAAAGCAGTTCAAAGTAAGGAAGAGCAATTAATTATTGTGATATAGTGCGTGATGCACCCTCAAGAAAGATATCTTGGCGGAGGGTCTTGCTGTTCTCGAGCCTCATCGAGACTCCGTTTCTTGTGTTCCAGCTCGAGCTCCTTCTGATGTCGAGCCATATCTGCGTGAAGCGTCGAAAGCTGGCGCTCAGGCTGAGAGTTGCTTGAACTGCCCCCCGCTGGCGCATTGAAGGGGGCCATCATCGCAGCACTCGCCGAAGCGTCATAGGGTATTGAATACGTTGGAGAATAGTATGATGCAGGGCGAGCAGGTGCTGAGAATGGCTCGTGGGGATTTGGGAGAGTAGGCACATCTTGCGTAGCTATTCGTTGAGGGTCTGTTACCTGCGACAGTGTGCTGTAGCGGTTCTGAGCAGATACGGGGTATGAATTCCGATGGGAATCGTGGCTTAACAATGGAGCAGCGCTTGAGATATCAGGCGAATTCGGATACGTAGTATCCAGCCGCGGTGGAGGTGGAGGTGGAAAGTCTCTCCCTCGAGATGCAACAGATTGAGGGGGGAGGCGTTGACTAACGTCCGACGTCACAAGGGCAGGTTCATCATCAACTTTCTCCCGAGCCCTCTGATATCGTCTCCTTAAGTTGGCAAACAGCAGTGAGAGTAATATCAAGAAAAACACTGGAATCAAGTCAACATTTTGGAGCGAAAGGCTCGTTAAATGTTGGCTTACCTATCCCAAATGCTAGACCAGCTCGTGCTCCAGTGCTAAGTCCACTCCCGGACGAGCTTGAGGAACTGGTACTAGTGGTGCTTGCATAACCTGAGCTAGAGCTGGAGATCGTGCCTTTAGTGACAGTGCTAGAACTGGACTGGGTATTAGAGGTGGACCTAGACGCAGTGGTGATCACAACTGGTGGTCCTGCTGTGGGACCTGGTGGTGGTGTCAATGGACTCAATGCCATCGCCGTAGTTCAACGCAGAGGCTCAGGGCTGAAACTTCCTTGACCAGGCGGAGGGAAGGATTGAGGAGGTATGCCGAGGGTTGCCCGAGGTCCACTTGATGCCCGAGTCTTGCCCGAGACCTACATATGCGTAGCCCATCAAGCCCCACCAAAGCCCCACAACTTGTCCCGTTTGAACGACCTCGTCGCTACCACTTGCATGAAACTCCCCGTTCATGGTGGGGATGGCAACTTGTGGCGTTCACACTCGAATCAACTTATCAAGAGACTGACTTCAAGTTTCGAGCTGAGAGAAGTTAGAATGATTGTAGATCTGGGAAAAGAAGGATCGTCCGCTGTACTTCTATGGGAGATGTCAACTTCAGTAGCGTAGGAGGGGAATGGCAAGGTGAAATAACCGGAAAAAAATATAAACTACGAGCCATGAAATTGACGTAGCAATGTCAACACCTAGGAATGAGTTGCGGCTAGGGGCTCGAGCGTTGTCAGAGGCTACAAATCTGCCGCTGTTCGGATTTCGGGCCCTAGGTACTTATATATCAGAGCGATTGAAAAAAAACAGTCCCAGGTGCGAAAGAGTACAATTGTCTCATTATAGTCCGTAACGCACACTCAAGAAGAATATTGTGGAGGAGGGTCCTGTGCTTCTTGAGCATCAAGACTCCGCTTCCTATGTTCGAGCTCGAGTTGCTTCTGATGTCGGGTCATATCTGTGTGAAGCGTAGACGGCCGGCGCTCAGGCTGGGAGTTGCTTGAGCTGCCGGCCGCAGCTGTAGCAAAAGTGCCGATCATTGCACTCGCAGGAATCGAGGCACCGGGGGATACCGAATGTGTTGGAGACGAGGCCGTGGATGCATACGACGCAGAGCGGGCAGGTGCTGAAAAAGCGTCGTAGGGGTTTGGGAGAATAGGCACATTCTGTGTAGATATTCGCTGAGGATCTGATGCCTGGGACAATGCGCTGTAACGGTTCCAAGCGGATGTGGAGTGTGAATATCGATGGGAGTCGTCGCTCAACAAGGGAGCGGCACTTGATGCCGCTGAGAGGGACGAAGAGTGCGAGATATCGGCTGAATTCGGATACACAGTATCCAACCGAGGCGGATGTGGAAGGTCTCTCTCTCGGGATGCAACAGAGTCGGGGGGACGGTATTGACTAACTTCTGACGTCAAAACGGCAGGTCCGTAACCAACGCTCTCCCGAGCCCTACGAGATCGTTTCCTCAAATAACAAACCAATATTGCGCAGAATATTAATAAAAACACTGGAATCAGTGAGTCAATATTTTGTTGGGAAAGCCTCAGATAATGTCAGCTCACATATCCCAAATGCCAGACCAGTTCGGGCTCCAGTACTGAGTCCTTGACTGGTAGTTGAAGATGTATCATTCTGGGCTGAGCTGGAGGAATTGGTGCTCGTGCTGCTTGTATGACTTGAGCTGAAGCTAGTTAGCGTGCCCGAGACAGTAGTTGTTGAGCTCGAGCTGGACTGAGTTGTGGAGGTGGAGGTCGTGGTTGTACTGGTGGAGGTTGTACTGGTGGATGTTGTGCTGGTGGATGTTGTGCTGGTGGATGTTGTACTGGAGGTAGTCGTACTACTAGTGGTGTGCGATGTGGTAGATGGACCATCGTCATCGTCATCTCCATCTCCATCGTCACGAGGAAGCATAAATCTAATTAGACGTTGAGAAGATAATCCTCTGGTGATATCACACGAACTCACACAGGCTCTCGCTGGTATACAGTGCTGCCCATAACCTCGAGGGACTGCAAAGCGAAAACAAAGGCCAAGGCTGGAAGCGAGTGTGACATGCTTACGGCCTGATTTCTTGTGATTCTTTGCCAGGCCAAGGAAAGGGCGGGGAGCACCGAACGTGGTGAAAGAAAACGGATTGAAAAGCGTGCCCATGGGTGCCGAGTACTGCGGCCAACGTAAGTAATTTAGCAGAAGCCACTACTTAGTTGAATCCACTCAAACACCGCTCCATGATGCGGCCACACGTTCTTCTTGTCCCGAATTCGAACAGGCAGTGTGCAAGCTGCGGTCCGAGTGGGAATAGAAGATAGGAAAACTTGCTATGCGGCTGCTGCGATGCCATGCTATGCTGCTGCCAAGTACTAGTCGAAGAATTCTAGGTCGAAACAAACTTGGGTCACATGAAGATCACCAAATCTAAAATTAGCACGACGCGAACAAAATCATGTGACTTACGCGTCGCGTCGCGTTGAAATGAGTGATCAGCGGAGCTCAAAATTTAGGACCCGCTATAATGCGAATCGTCCACAGTAGGTCTAAACTTGATCTTGTCCATTGACCAGTATCTCCTCAACGTCCACATTGTACTTGGGCAACCTAGTCGTCCTCTCGTCAAAGTCACGTACAACATAGGCCGTGTTATTTTCAATCTCCAATCATGCAAACACGGTCATCTCAAGGTTCAGTCCTTGGAAAGCGTGCTCATCGCATTGACCAAAAGGCTGTCGCATCTGCATCGACAACCGACGTCGCAACGCTGTCGCAGCACATGCTCACCCCGGAACAGAGCCCTAAATCGAAACGCGCCCGTATCTCTCTCTCTGGGGTGGAAGGAGATTCAAACAAGGAAAACGTACCTCCGTTCCGTATCGATGCCTGGAATGACGTAACAGTGGACACACCACGCTCCATTCGCACACTGGTTATATCTACTCCCCCACCAACACCCCCAGTTTTGCTACTTCCCGTATACACGCGTGCTCGAGGACTACTTCGTTCGACTAGCACAAGTGTATGTCCTATAGCTGGCCGGGAGGATGAACGACAACGCATTCTGGATTTCATCACCTCCTCGTGGTGCAATAATGCACACACATCCTTGTACATCTCCGGTACACCCGGAACCGGAAAAACAGCGCTTGTCAATTCGGTCCTGCGTTCGTTAGAGCAGTCCGAAGGTTCGTACGACCTTAGAGTGATCTCTATTAATTGCATGGCCTTCAATGGTCTCGATGCCCTCTGGGATCGTCTTTACGAAGAGTTGTGTCGCACAAGGGCTTCCAAGAATGTTGCAAACCCTTGCAAAGCCAAGGGCAAACAAGCAGTCGAGACGGTACTCTCTGCTTTAAATCATAAGTGGTATGTACTTCCACCACTGTTCATTTCGTCATCTGACCTCAGTACCAGTGTTCTTGTACTTGACGAACTCGACCACATTGCATCTTCAAATCAAACACTTTCGTCAATTTTCTCCATGTCTCAACAACATCCACACACCCTCCGCATTATCGGGATTGCAAACACCCATACCCTTACATCATCCTTGACGCAGTCGTCTACTCGTGAAGCTTCCAGCGTCATGACGCTTCACTTTGGCGCGTACTCCTCTCAGCAACTTCTTCATGTGCTGCAAGCACGTCTGTCGCCTCTCTATGACAATCTGGAATGCCCAGAAGTAACAGAACAAGCCAAAAAATTCCTTCCTGTCTCAACGTTAACTCTCCTCACGAAAAAAATTGCCTCACAAACTGGCGACGTTAGAGCCTTGTTTGAGGTGCTTCGTGGAGCAATAGACCTGGCTGTCACGGGTTCGAAGGTCCCAGATGCAGACGCGAATCCTCTCATCAATCCACCTCTCAGCGTTAAACCAGATCACATCATTGCGGCTCTCAAGGCGTATCTACCTTCCACTAGCGGTGGCATCCCCTCCTCTTCCTTAACACCATCCTCTACCAGCAGCGAGACCGTATCCAAGGTCCGTAATCTTGGCCTGCAAGTCAGACTGGCTCTCCTATGTATGCTTCTTGCATCGAAGCGGATGGAGGCAACTTTGACACTGTCCGTGTCCACTATCTCAACGCCTACCAAGTCCCCTGTGAAGCGCACAGGCTCTGCCATTTCTCAAAAGACTGCTGGAATTGATGTTGCACAACTTCATGCATACTACTCAACTGTGCTCACTCGTGCGGATAACGACAGCTTCACTCCAGTTTCCCGTAGCGAGTTTTCTGACCTGGTAGGAATGCTAGAGACCATAGGACTCGTGTCGTCGAGGTCTACCCGCATGGCGACTGCCTCTCCGTCGAAGATTGGTCGTCGTGCACTCGGCCGAGCTGCATCGTTTGGTGGAGTAGCGAAGGGAGCTGCGGCAGGCCAAGACATCAAGCTTGCGGAGACCATCCGCGCGGATGAAGTCCTGCGTGGCCTCGGCGTTGCTGATGGCTCTACTGCCAGTGATGTGCGTGAAGAGGAAGTCAGGGCTATTTGGGCCAGGGAATGTGGACGCATCGCACGAGAGTCGAAAACGAAGTCAGCGTCTGGTATGGGCGGTGACAAACCTTTCGATGAAGCATTTGAAGATTAGATGCAACTAAACACCTCCACCTCCGAGCAAGTTCTCTTCGTTGCCACAGTGCTACTATGTAGCCATCCGAACACCTACCTTGCTTATTTCGTTTCTTATTACTAGTGTCTGTCTTTTTTTATGGTTATGTCTTATACGGGAACTCATACTACACATCATCTCATGTACCACTAAACAAATCACATCCTGCATAGTACCACAATAATATTATGAGTTCTTCCACCATTCGTTGATGTCGAGGCGTAATACAAGGTGGCGCAACGCCTCTAGACCGCCAGGGGCGTGGCGAACATCGCTTTGTTCCTGTAACGCAAGCAAGAGTTCCTGGCGTTGCGATAATTTCAAATCCTTCTCCAACAGGACCTCTAGGACTTTCATCTGCAACGGAAGGCATGAGCCTAATGGTTTCATAGGTGCGAAGTAACTAACTACATACCAAGGTTGATATTTTCTTACGAAACGCAGCAAAGAGCACATCAAGAGCTGATGACGCCTGGTACTCTTGCAACCGTCTGTCTTTGAGGTCACCAATCATAACGCAGAACTCTAGGATAAGTTCTAAGCTTCCGCAAAGTAGATCACCAGCTGCTCTCTGGGCCGAGCGCATCAAACAAGCACTCAGAATGTCGTTCAAGACAGTGGAGTGAGCCTCGGCGAGTGAAAAGACATCTGAGAACTCAGAGCTTGTTCCCAAACGACACGCAGCAATTCGAGCCAGGAATGCGTCAAAGTTGCCCCCGATTGCCACATCAAATATATATGCAGAGAGGGTGGCCACGAACGAATGCGCCACGAAACGGAAGTGGGTGAGGAGTTTCCTGGATTGATTCAAGGTCGGAAATAATACATCCTGATGCGTCATCCGAAAAGCCGCGCGAATGGCAGATTCCACTGCATAGTTCTCTGAGCGTGAGTGGAAGGACAAAACACCTGGAGCTCACCTCTCATCACGCGTAAAAGGAACGCGAAGATCCTCTGGTATTTGGATGTAGTGTCCGGTGTGATAATAACGCCCAAAGGGTGAGGAACTTTGTAGTCAAGATACAAAAAGTCTAATGCTCTGGTCAAGATAATAATGAGGCGTGCTCGATCTGCGGCAAAGCCCACGCAACTTACTCAATGTCTAAGTGTGATTGGTGAATTAGTATGCACGTACAAACACACGAAGAAAGCATAGCTTACAAAGCGGGTTGAGCCATCGTTCACGTCCCGTATCGCTGGCGAGGTCTCTAATGGCAAACCCAAGACGGAATTCAGCTTCTTCTGCTATGCGCTTCGATTCATGCTCTTGGCTATCATCAGGGCCAAATGAATATGTGTCCTGAGAGTCCACGATGACAGTTCTCAAGAAAAAGCTAAGGTCGGCACCCCCAGGAGGCCACGTCCCTCGCTCTGTCAAGAACGGGGCTAAACCGACGGCCCAACGACTGGTGCCACGTTGAGCCACTCCTATAGCGGATCTACTCCTCTGGCGCGACAATGCGAATGATTTTCCTCCTCCAGCGACAACCTCGCGATCATCGGTATCGGAGAACAAAGCAGCTGTGAGTCGTGATTTGAATGGCGGGGAGGTCAGGAGCATATGTGAGCGAAGTAGAACCAGATGATCGTGTACGTAAAGGAACGAATTCTGGTCCAGGAATATTGATAATAGTGCACTAGAAAGGGAGGCAGCGTGTGAGATAAGCGGAGAAAAGACCAAGCTAGTCAGGAGACTCAGGTTCGGGGCGATTGAAGGGAGAACGGGGGGGAAAGACAGAATGAAGCTTTGCAATGCAGCGTGCATTGAGTGCTCGTTGAATGTATTGTCTCCGTTTGAGCCAGGCTCCAGATCAAAAACCCGGAAACCGATGAGGTCGGACTGGTAGTTGCACCCGTGGAGATTGATATCAACCGAAGCTAAATCAGGGGGATTGTGGGGGCCACTAGCTGGCGCAATGTCATCGACCTCACCGAGAGACCCCGTCCTCCATAATTCTTGGATGTCTCTGGTCGACCAGACCCAAGTGATGATCGGCCGTCGCACCGGAGGATTTAGTACAGGATGATCGGGTTTTGCGGCAGCGAGCAATTTGAGAGATTTTTGAGCAGCTGGCAATGCTTCAACCAATTCGCATGGTATAAAAGATGGCAGTTCATCATCCTCAGAAAAGAGAACTCCATCTTCTTCAGGTGACGCCTGGTCAAGTTCTTCGATGTCCAGCAAACCGATTGCAGTTGGCTGAGGCTGCTGGCCTTTTTCTATTCGCTGGGTATTGGTGTCAGCGTAGGCAACTGAGCGACACAATGTCTGCAAGTAGTTTTTCGAGGACATCGTCAGGAGATAAGCGAACACGGCAACCAAAATCCGAGAAGACGATTTGCGAAAATGGGTATCGAGATACTTGTATATACGAGATAGTAGAGCCACCGGTTTCATCGTAAATCGCGGATATTGCGAGGGAGACAGCCCAAGGCCCTGGTAGAGCATGTCAGAGGTAACCAAAAAACATCAGCGAACATACCCTTTGGCAAAGTGACGCTAAAGAGACGGTTATATCTTCAAAATCCCCATAATACAGCCATGTCGCAGATAAGGTATTCGAAGAGACCGGGATGCATAAATTAGAGAGAGGCCCACAAGAAAGCTGGTCACGTAGATAGACTAGCACCACAGAGAGCGCATGCGAGAAAGCATGGACCGTTGCACTTTCCTCTTTGCGTCTGCATTGTCATTTAAACCGCATGATTCATGAATGGGCATAATGGAACCTACCGCGTTCGTAAAACGCTCAGGAATACCTCCAACCGTCGCATCAATGTACCAATGGTCAAAAATCGCCGTAAGAGACTGCGTCGTAGTATCAATAAACAAACATGTTGAGGCTGAAGTCGATTGCTCACCTACTGCTCATCGTCTCATCCTTGCCACTGATAATCAGTCTATTTGGTAGATTTTCGGCGCCCCCCAATGATACAAACGTCTCTGAAACTGGATCCCATGTATGCAGAAAAGACGAAGTTCCGAGGACTGTCATTCTCAACGACTCAAGAAGCTCAAGCTCAGATACACAGACTACACTTGCTCGTTGGTCAAACGGCAAAGGGTGCAGGCTAAACATTTTGTTTGTTATGGCACTAATAATGCAAAAAAAGTGAATCTAACTGGTATTGTGCTGAAGCTGACACTTCGGAAGACTGTTCAGTCAAGAAGGGAGTGTTGTAGGAACGATCAGGGTGCGGTTGGCGCAGAATGTCCCAAGAGACAACTTTATCCTACATTGTATTATTGGCTTTTCAGTCCAAGACACAGGGAGTTCTCACTGAATGTTGATCCCCACTGATTGCTGATTTTGCCCATAGCACCGCCGGTGACAGCGATGGAAGTGCGGGAATGTCTCGAGTGCCCGCGATATCTTTTGGGTGGCCATCACGCCAATCGTTTTCTCCTAGAGCTGTAGCTTTCTCCCTCTCAATTGCATGCACTATGGGGTCTTGAGGTTTGTCGACCATTCGAGGGACGAAGAACTGAGGAGTTATATGTGGCAGTATGCCCAGTGCCGAGTCCATACCATGTTCATGCTGATTCCAGACATCACTGAAAAGCGACATTCCAAAACACTCGATGAATATCGTTAGCTAGTGCAAAGCTTGTGGTTAACACAGTGACAACTCGATAAGACTGTTGTTTGGTGTTAATTGCAAACCCTTCCCTTTCTAACACGACCAAATATGTCACGGTGACACTCCGAGGAAGGTCAAAGCTTGTACATCATAATCTCTGAGTGAGCAGGTGCTTTGCCCATCTTTGCGTCCACAGATTCCACAAACTGGTGGCACATGGTTCAATGTTATTTCAAAAGGGGCAACCAACCTCTAATCCTTCGACACGCGGTTTGTTCGGTTAGTGAGCCATTGTTCGTACGTTCCACCAATTGAGAACAGTCCACAGTTGCCATGACAAGCAGTGCGTCCTCAGTGCATTGAGGCTTCAGGTTTAAAAAGTCTCGAAACATCGATGCTACAAGTAACCGTCCGTCGATTTCACCAGACTCTGAGCTCTTTGGCGATACACAATCTCCCCCACGCTTAGTCATGCCTTCCACTCTTCCTGAATGTGTCTCAAACAAGGAGAACATCTGCCCGACTCGATGCCAAGGGAGGCCGTCGTACAAGAAAAACAAGGCGCTCCCGTTCTCGCTGATGCCCAAATCCACGAAAGTGAAGGACGACAAGTCTGCGAGTATTCTAAGGATCGAACAGCGTACTGCTTGTGACAAACATTCTCTGGGTAGCCTTGCCTGCAGTATCTCCGTGGCGTTGGATGATTCTCTATTCTCACAAAGTGCAGACAGCCGCGCCAAGGAATTGACGGAAAGCCCGTTAGCTGAAGTGACAGATGCATTTGCATGTATGTACTCCTGCTTTTCGATGCGTCATCTGGACGTGTCTCGGCCTTCACAATGCTCATCGAGTCTCGCCTACAGGATGTTCTCTACGCGTCGCTATGATATTGTTATGTTATGTTCCGCTTGATTTTATGGTCCGTTTAATAGAGTCTTATAAAGACGACTGGCGTGTAATATGTGGTAGTACGCGGTCATGTGATTGTCACGTGCAACTCTTGAAGGCAATTAAGTATGAACGCCTTCAACGGTTCACGAAGTTCTACTAAGTTGAATAGTCCCTACACATCGTTTGCGTAGTAGGTGGACCATCTGGTGTTCGGCCATAACTCCTCCAGCAGAATAGACTCTCTTTGAACTCTGGATTAGTATAGCCATGCCTGGTATCACCGTTGCATTGCAATTTTCACGTTGATAATATTCTGGTTCTTGCGATGCGCTCCAGACAATTTAATCTCGTAGTCTAGTAATCTAAATGAGTGCTGCAGTACGCTATACCCGAAGCATTGCGTGTAACTTAGGTCGCGCACGCGTTGTTTATTTGTGCCTTCAACCGGAAGTAATTGTGAGGTCGCGTCTTGCCATCACGCGTGACGTTGGACTCCTCTGAATATTATCTTTTCCCACCATTTCTTCATAACCTCAACCTTCCTCTCCTTCATCATATCATCTGCGTCAACTTTAAGACGTGGTTCAATTTGTCTTGGCCTTGATTGGCTCCTCAGTCATGCCTACGACCAATCGCCGTCCACTAAGTACACGCACTCTGCCACTTCAAGTTCCACCTACCATGTCTCCCCTCAAACAAGGACTTCGATCGGCCTCGCTGTTCCTCAAACGTCCCCGATCACCCGACCCTGCAGGAGAAATTCCCGAATCCGTCAAGCGGCCGAGAGCTGCTCCAATAGAAGCCACCCACGGCGAGGACCGCAAGGATAAGGAACGAAAGCGCGTAGAACGGGAGGCTCAGAAGGCCGACTTTCGTTTCAAGTACACTCGTGCATTTCCTGGATGGGTCTTCTACTTCGACTTAGATTTGTCGGATCCTGAGAGCGCTGCCCTGCGAGATTCGTTAACAGCGCGGGTGATCCACCTCAAATCAGTATGGTCAATTCTCCGTGATCATTTCGCAAGCGTCTGACACTCCATCAATGTGCTTCTAGCAAGTGGATGACTTTTTCTCCAATGAGATCACTCATCTTATCACTAATCAACCTATCACTCCGATCGACCCTACGGCAAACAAGGAGAATAAATTGCAAGGCTTCTCCGCGCGAGCCAGCTCGCTGAAAAGCCCAATCAAGCTCCGTGGACGGTGCATTGAGTTGCTCTGTTATATAGACCACGCTAACATAATCAATTCACAGTAATATTGAGGATGTCACCTCGCAGAGCTTCAACCTTGTGGAGAAGGCGAAAGCCTTTAACATGAAAATTTGGAGCCCGGCAAAACTTGACAGCATCCTGGAACGATGTGATGTTCCAACTTTTGCGTGCTCTTCTACGAAACCTCCTGCACAAACCACGTCTCTTGCCCCTGCTTCCAACAAGCGGTCACTATCTAGCTTACTTCAAACCGAACGCCTTCATGGTACCACCACAGAACGTGACCCCACTCAAAAGCGACATGATTATCGATATTTCTCAAAGCAGAGTTATTTCGTGCTTATAGAAGACGTGCGGCAGGAGTTGGCGACCATTCACGCTCTGGAGTATCCAATACAACGGGGACACGACGGGAAAGAGCAACCCGCGTATCCCGTCCTATACTGTGATCCAAGGTCCAGAGGGCCTTTTGTGAAATTTGATGAAAGGGAAAGGCGACGTTGGGAAAAGGCGCAAAAGGCGGAGAGGGAAAACGAGAACGAACGTGCGGAAAAGGTGGCTAAGGCGCTGAAGCGCAAAAGGCAGGCAGAGGTGCAGATGCTCTCTCGCAAAGCTGGCGACCTCCGCCGTTCAGTGTCGATGAATAATTTACATCGCCAGGCAACTATTGAAGAATACGTTGACCTCGACGCTGACTACGGCGATGGGGATACAAGAGAGTCAGCGACCGCCTCGGGCTACCTTGCTTCGACAGGTGTTGGGTCATATGTTGCAGCATCCGGCAACAGTGTTGGTATTACATCCACGAGAGGCACAACATCCAACGCGAGCGGCGCGTATAGAACGCTGGAACTACCTGCTTCTCTTCGGTCCAGGATTCAGCAACAAGTCGTGACATCTCGCAAGGCCCCGAATGCAACCCACACTCTCAGCCGAAAAGCAGGAGGCATGGGCCCACCCCTTACGATTCCAGATCGCCCGAATGGGCTACTCAGGAAAAGCCGGAGTACGAACACCCTTAGATTGCCAAAACGCGACGAAGGGAGCAAGCCTGGTTATTGTGAGAGTTGTCGCGTCAAGTTCGATGATTTCGACACGGTAGGATTGTGTTTAATCCCGTATATGAACACCCTGACAGTTGGTCCTTCAGCATACACAGGAGCGGAGGCATCGCAAATTTGCCATGGACGACGCAAACTATATTCAGCTTGATTCCGTTCTTAATCGCGTTCGACGTCGGACCCGTGAAGAGGCCGACGAAGAAGAGCGCATGTGGTCTGAGTGCGGATATGACGGCATATCGCGAAGTTCCGAGGTACCTGAGACGTCACAGTGTTCACAGCCAGCTCAAGACGATGACGAGTCTATGTGGGATGAGGAAGATGCTGAGGGGGAAGTGGATCTGGATTTGTGAGTGGCAGTGGATCGATAGACTTTGGTCCTGTCCAAGATGTTTTTCTTTGCATTTGGCTTTACTTCATTGATTTGTGTCACTTCACACAGCACTTGTAGCATAACTCTAGCATCTTCATTTGCCAATGCTCGACAGTGAGGCGAGCGATGCATAGGGAAATTACAAAGGAAAGGGGAAAAGGCAGTATATTTCTAATCTATCGTAACGGTCAACAACGTAACAATGCCATCCTGTGCGATGCCTGACAGTGACCCTGATGTCAGACGAGCAAATGCCTGCCAAGATCACGCTCACCATGATTGACGCCGTCAGCGCCAGCTGCAAGGAGACCAGTGATGTTTTGGGCAGTGGTAATGTATCTGACCCCACCAAAACTTGTCTTGCCAACCGCTGCTGTCACCAGCTGGTTGCTGAGATTTGAAACTGGGTTGGTGACTATTCCTTACAATTGCAGAGTTACTTACCGGCCAATATCGTACCCATCTGGTACGATATCGTGATTCTTTGTTGCGGGCTAGGGGTGGCGTTTAGCTGTGTAAATAAACCTTGTTTATTACGCACTTCCTCTCGAGACACCCTGGCACTTCGAGTTAGCCAGTAAAACAATAGCCAATTGAAGGGTGCTTACGCCAGGAAGAGAGCGCCACTGTCAGCTGCAGTGCCATTCTGTACAAAAATACTGGACAAGGTTTTATCTCTCCTCTACACCATTAGTCAATAAATTTACCGAAAATGGTTTCCACCGACGAGGCTCTCGAGACACGTTCCGCCACCTGCGTTTCCATAGTCCTGGCGAAGTTCGATGGTTTGATTGACCCATTCATTGCCATCCCCCAAGTCGGCGGACATATAACCACCTAAATGAAGACCAAAACATTCTTTAGAACTATCATGAGCAGATAAGTAAGGCGCGTCGATTCACAATTCTTTCTATGCTCACAATCCAATAGCACGGGCAAAATTGATAGCCCCGTTAAGTGTGAGGACGGCGGAAGAGCTAAGACCAGAGATGATGACCTAGTAGATTTTTGGGGTCAGTCAGGCTATACACTTGACAAGGCGTCGCGGTGATGAAAGAGAAATACATTCAAAGGTTCACCGTATCCATCGCCAGCGTTCATGAGCATGGATCCGCCTCCAGCAGTCGGGTTATAATAGGCGACGCCACCCTGGTTGTCGATGGTAGGTGATGAGACTAGATTGGATGCTAGATGTGGTATGACAAAACCAAGTAAAGATTTCACGAGATACATCTTGTTGATGATATGAAAGCGTTGATTCTGATGCGGCGTGGTTCAAGAGGGAGGGGGTGAAGCGTAGCATGACACATTTTTCATGGACTTTATACTCACTATATGGCAATGACATGATACTCGGAGTCGGAAGTAGCACGCAAGGCAACAGATGTAGCCGGTTCTGCAGTTCTGCCAAACCACCGCGGTGTCGGCATGCCGGGCTATGGAAGTAACACAACCCGTTTCATTTTGTATTTCGTAAATGATTTATGCACACACGTGCAGCAGTGTTATGATAATCAGATCCAAAACAGATCTAATCATTCGTTTCGATACCTATCACATGATCAAACCTTGTGGATGAAACGAACGACCAACAGATGCCGCGGCCAGCCCTTGAAGAAGCTCGTGATAGCTCGTGATGAGGGCCGTAAAGTGTTACTATGCACTGAGCTGCGTTTCAGCAACTTAAGTTATTAAAGAGCTGTTCACTCCACGTACCTGTCCTTAAGGAGGACATTTAATTTGGAGCTGGTTTCGAGTTGCAGAATCCAAATAAGAGGATCTCCAATGAGCAGAAGAATCATTTTTGAGATGGGGATGTCGATACCGCCTAGCTAGGCCTAGGCGCATAAACGCAATATTGAGAAGTTCAACATGTTGTCAACCCAACATCAATTGAGGCAATCTTCACGCGGTTAACTTGACGATGATCCTTGATACCTAACTGGACCATCGTGTAAGCGACACCAAGCCAGGTAAGAGACTGAATACTCTGTAACACGCGCATGCAGCTGGAAAGCTCACCTGGAAGAACAGCTTTCAAGTTGTCAAGGAATGAACGTTTGAACCCAATGAACGTTTACACCGTGACTTCCGAACTTCTCATCAACCACAGATTCCATAAATGGAAATCTGTTATCGGCGTGGTACATACATGTTGTTCTCGGACTGAGCTGAAATATCTACAAGGCAGACCGTCGATGCCGAGTAGCCAATGCACTGTTATACAACTCAGCGCTGGACACTTGGTCATGACAAAGTCCGCGCTGCCTTGACCACTGATCTGTCAGGAACCTCGACAAGTCTGAATACTCATAGCTACCGATTGAAATACCACCGTCACTACGTGGCGACTTCAGTTTGATATGCCTTTGTGGCATGAAAGAGACGAAGGACAGACCACGTCCGGAACATTAATATATAATATTAATGCTGGCCTGTTTTCATTGTTTCAAACCACCTTGACCTAAAAAGTAGCGTGACAGCAGTGTCACATCCGTAAGTAAGTTCAGGTTTCGGTCAAGTGGCTGGATCGTTCTTTGCACGAAACAACCTACAAACGGCTTGCTACTCCATCAAATCGCACAAGGAATTTGTATGGTTTAAATAATCGCTATTTTCTCAGTTTTACCACCGTCTCCAGCGCCCATAGGGAATATTCTAGGCCCTCGCATCTTTCGCACCTCTGGGTTTATTGTACGTATGTTCTTTCCTTGTTCTGTCCTCACCTCATCCACTCGTTTGCTAGTCCAAAGTTTACAAACCTTCGCCATCTCTTGCTTCTAAGGATAATCATTTTTTTGTTCGGAATCGTGTTTTGAATTTTTTGGGGCTTATTTCTAGTAAGGCATCCTCACACAGCATGTCTGAATCTCCCGATGGAACAGACTCTATTGAAGATTTGAACGATGATGAACAACTGACCATCCGGATTCCCAATCCTAAAATGTTCATGGCTCGTCAGTCGCAATGGAAAGGACGCAGAGGGAAGCCACGGTGTGATCACTGCCGGATGAATAACTTGAAGGTATGTCCCAGCTCCCTGACCTCTCCAAAAATGCTAAAAGTGGGGCAGTGTGATAGGGTGCTTCCAACTTGCAATCATTGCTCATATTCCAACGGGAGGGACTGCAGTTATACACCTTTGCCAACACCTGCTCACCGAGGAATCCCGCGGTGTGATCGTTGTCGTTCCCGAAATATCAAGGTATGTTTATGCCCTGATAAAATAATTACACCCATCTTATTTATCTTTCGGAACAAGTGTGACCGTAACTTGCCAGTTTGCAACCATTGTGCGGAAGAAGAGAGTGCTACCGAGTGCAACTATACTCCTAAGAAGAGGCATAAAGTTCCATCCGATCACGGCATGACGCGAGACAAGCAAACGGCTCCCTACGGCGCAAAGACGGCGTCTTTCCTTGTCTCTGACCTGCCATCGCCAGAGGAGCATACCGTCATCGCGCAGAATGGTCCCAATGAGTCTGGAGACGGCCATAGTTTTTATGGACAAAACGTGGCATCATCATCGAGGAGTTGTGGTGCATCAGATTCATCTGCGTCACATGTTAGGGGTGGCTCCCCAGAGGGTGAACCTTCACTCAATTCACATTTTGGCCGATTCACTCCTGACTACCATGGCCAAGGATGGCCTTCCACCTCCAGTGCAGGGCTTCAAACCAGTATTCCACGCACCCAGCCTAATAATTCAATCTCGTTCATTTCACATTCCTTTCCTTCTGACCAAGGAATGGTAGTCACGAAATCCCTCATTGAATCCTGGGCACATCCATCATTTGCGCCTTTGCCTGATGCCGTTTCGCAGCGGATTGGTAACGTCAATTCTATCGAGATGCCAAGTCGAGCGTCCTTTGAGGATAGCCTTGCACAATTCCTCCACGATTTACCGCAGGACCTTCGCGAGACCGCTGCGTTTGCGCCGGATATTTACGCCGCCACGTCGCATGCGTTGTCCACAGGCAACTTAGAGGATCTTTCGGACCGGCTGCGCATGTGGCTAACAATTCATCATGTACGACTGGGATCTGAGAAATATCACCTTCTCTTGATACCACGGGACTCTTTTTTCCAACTCGAGGGGGCAGAAGAAGAGAAACTCAGGAAAGACTATATCGGGCACATAGACAACCACGGAAAAACCTCTTCAAAAGTTGATGCTGTTGATCACGATTTCGGTGGTTTTGAGTGGACGAGAGCATTTGAACGCGTTCCCGTGCAAAATCAGATCTACGACATTCTTGTTTACGCTCATCGAGCTCATGGCTCATCTTCTTCGATGCTCTTTGAGGCAAGGCGTATGGGAATGGTATGTGTTCTTTTGTTTCAGACTATTGATTTAATCAATACTCCATAGGCTACTATAATCTGGCCGATGGTCGAGATTTTCATTCGTCTGTGTCCCTTATGCAACTTGCGGAGCAAGTCGGGTCACAGTGTGAAACTCGAGCCTGCTTATCCCCCACACGAAGTGGATCGGATCAGTCAATGATTGTCGTCAATATGGACACAAGATAATGTCCAAGCTCGACATTCACTCTTTCACGACGATATCTGGGAACTATATCTTAAGGAATCTGCACAGTACTTGTTTAGCAAGCATTGCATAGTGGGCCGCATTTTGGAACATTAAACCTTGGATAATGCATGAATTAAGTCTCTACCATAGGTCTAGAATAAATACGTACGTACTGTAACATACATGCCAAGGTACACTATCCATGAACGTATCTCTATCGGAATCGCTGCACTAGAATTGTAATATCGTCCATCCATTTGTCTTCCATTTCCAAGGTGAGATTTCGGGAAACAAGCTCTGTGTTATTTCCGCCAACAGCATCCCGGAGGAGCCTGAGTGCTAAATTGCTTTTCAAATCCATGTCCGTGTTGGAGTGCATGTGACGTCCAACCAAACCCACCCAGCGATCTGCCATTTCTTGGTCCGACAACTGAACATCGTGGTTGTCATACATGTCCTGCAGGCCATCAGATGACAGAATCAGAAATACTTCTTGTTGAGAGACGTCGAGGGAGTTATGATAGACCTCAGGGAAGTCGGATATATATGGAGGAGTAAGAATACGGCTTGCATACGCTGCTACCTGACGTGGCGGTAACCAGTCATGCAAGTGCGGCCCAAAAGCGCGGCGAGTGTAAACCGAAGGAACCTTGAGCCATGTGTCCCCTAACGCTAGCACAGGGTCTCAGGGTTAGGACACACCATGAAAATATTACAATAGAAGAAATACCTCGTGTTGGAGCCAGATACCCGAGCACTCTGTTGTCACACACACAAGCTTGCTCTGATGGATGCTCTTGCTGAATACGCTGACTTTCCGAGGGGTTGTTGCAATTATGTACAGAATTGACCATAACCGCGGACCATTTCCCAGACACCGATCTGCTGCCAAGAACTGTAATATCGTCAGGAAGGATATATTCGATCATAAGGGCTGCACTTTACCAGCAGTGGAATCCCCCAGATTGAGAATCCATACGTTCTTCTTTAGTGGGTCGGATAAAGCCAAAAGGACCGTCGAGCCTTGAGTGCAACGTGCTGATATAGTGTTCCATTCAGAACAACGACGCGAGACATGTTGGCTGAGTTGAATGTCGCTCATTTTTGTAAGGTGGTCGTGAGGCAAGAAGTCATAAAGGTCAGAACGAATAGACTCGTCCAGATGCCTGACTGCGTTACGCAGTGCCTCCGAGACAAATTCTGGCTTCAGCGATGTGATAGGTGTGCTCTGAATAAGAGCTTGCAGTGACATCCTGATCATTGAGGGAAGCCTCTTGTGGACATAATCTACAGTGTCATGGCCGCAATGACCTGTAAAAATCCGGTCGTTAGTTATGAAAAGGGATACATATGACGTTCATAAAGAATTAAGAGCACCATCATAGATTGCTGTGAATTGCCAAACTCCGCCAGGGAGCTCCCACTCCTCAATGCTGTACCGGTCTTGATTGAGATCGGCGTAGGCTGCACATGGCTGAAAAGTGACGCTGTCCACAGATGCCGATGAGGTCGCATTGGACATGCGATGCAGCTCGACATCAAGTGCAGCCTCTGGAAGCATGTGATATGTCCATCGTTCCTTGCCCCCCCGTCCGAGATCTGTTGTACAGAAATCTTTGACTTCTTCAAGAGCTTGGAGATTTTCCGTGGACGTGGCGGCTTGAAGGTTGACCATACTGTAAACCATCGGTGGTATGAGGCGCTGCCGCTTAAGAAGGAATAAGGGCACTCTGGCGGGAATTTTGGGGCATTGAAGCTGAAAATTTAAGGATGAATTTATACGCAGATTGAGGCTTCTGATGCTCCTGAGGTTGGGGCATGTGGCAAGAAATGGTTTCAACCCCGAAGACAGTTGGTCACGAGAATATCTCGACGTCCTCCTCGGTCGACAATATTAGGAAGTCAACGACGAAGAATCCAGAACTGGGGAACGTATGAGGCAATAAGCCTCGGCCCGCCGACTTCAGCACACGATGACTGCTAGCGTGGTATTATTAGCCAGATTCATGAATAGCCAGATTGGTCCAAAAAATCATGGACGCTATTGGCTCTTGTGCACGTCGGCCATCGTTGCTAGCATAGCCCATCATTTGAAGACCTGAAACTGATGCAGACCATAGTGAAATATGAGATCATATGCTCCTCGTACAGATGGAATTGAAGTTTCTCATGCATGCCACGAACGGCCTCCCAAACTGCACTCGGGTTCTAGCGATTAAAATGTGAGCAACGAAGAACTTTGTTCTGACACTTACATACTGGTAGTGTGCAGCGGAACGCTCAGCGCCCAGTGACCGTGGTGTTTTGTTCTCCAAATCCATCCTGGATCTCCCATGGGCATGAGCAATATCCCATGGCGCTTCGTTTACGGACATTGCCGACAATGAAATGCGCATTAGGAGTCAGACATCAAGGAACCTTCAAAGCTTTATGCCCTGAAAATGCCCTGACCTTGTGAATCGAAGATTTGCCTAGATTCGCGCAGCTGACAGTTCATAACAATCCAGGTGATGATGATCAACACCATCATGTGTATAAGGTGGACGAATGGTAATCCGAAATTTGGGTCGTATAGCGGAAACGTAGAAGGTAGCAAAAAGTAGATTGACAGGAAAGTACGAGCGCATCTAGATAAGAAAGACAACTTCAGCGTACGACCTAACACCACCAAAATGACATCTTCATCGAGACTCGAAACTCGCAAACGCAAGATTGTAACCACCAAACTGATAATTGATCTTGTCGGTTCTCTTGTACAACAAGCGATCATTTTTTCCACCCCCGTGACCCGTTACCGAATCACTAGAATCACCAGAAGTACATGACACAGGGCGCTGAGCTGTCAGAGCAGACTTGAAAGTCCGCTGAGCAGCTTCAACGGCAGTTTCACCCTCGTCCTCCTCGGCATTGTTGTTGTCGACATTGGATATGAAAAGGGTCAGGCTGAGTCTGCCTGGCTGAAAGATGTCGACGACGCGTCTGATCAGCGTATGTAAATCGGGGATATCTTTGGCCGAAGAAGACGGAGAAGTGGACAGTGGCACGTTGCACTCGAAGCTGGCGTAAGACCAGCCTTCTTCAGGGGTCACATGAATTGTGTAGTAGCCCTCCCCGCCGTGGCCATCCTCAATTCCCTCACCCCATTTCAGGAGCGCGTTCGAGGAGTAACCACAAGGGGTGAACGCATAAGCATCCAATGTAGTAAGATCAGGCGGGAAAAGATCTGAAATCCCGATGGCAGAGGACAGAGTCCTCCCAATGATCGACGGAGACTCCGATGGTGCATCTTGTACTGAAGGAGCCGAGAAGAAGGGCTCGCGAGCCTTGTGAGAAAGGTTGCTCATGAGGATCTCAATTGTGTAGTCCTGTGTAAATGGTGTGTCGGTTTCAACATTTTGCAGGGTCTGGTTTGTCTCATTCTCCTCCCCATTCTCGGACTGAAGAGGTGACAACGAAAAGGAATTGGGAGAACTTGGTGCGGTTTCCCCATTTGCGCCATATTGTCCAGGAGTCGTTAAGTAAAGCAGCCAATGGTCCCCATTGACTTTGCCTACAGTGTAAGCCGCTCCATTTGGAAATATGGCGTCAAGGAATGACACTTCATCCTTCCATTCGCGATGCGGGCCGAGTTGACGCTCAGGAAACATGAAGGATTTACGTGAGTAGAAGCATCGATAAACCGATGGAAGCGAGGCAAATTTATGCGCGATCTCGAGGATGCGCGGAAGGCCGAGGAGGTTTAGCGTTGTGCCGCATGTCTTCAGGATAATGCGATGCGGGAACACAAATAGAGATGATTCGCTAAATTGAAGAAAATGAGCGAAACTATCTTCAAACTGTGAAAATTTATTAAATCAATGGCCCTTCGAGCCATACAAGAAATATGAAAGCGAGCGATAATCGATTCACATACCTCAAAAGATAAGCATCGGTTTCTTCGCCCTCAATAACACTGAGGACCTTGCATTTGACGATGTCCAGCATGTCCTCCCATACTTGCTTTGGAACATTCCTGAGGCCTATACGGCCATTTTTTGGTGCATGTGCATCTGGCACACGAGCAGGAGAAGGGGCGAACCAGATTTCCAGTAATTTCTCTGGGCCTTCAAAAGGCGTCGATGTGTATGGGAGGTGGTAGTCACCAACGGCCATCGATTTCAGGAAGAGAGAAGAAACGGTTGCAGGATCTTGGGTGCTTTAAGCTATCGAGTTGCATCAGGAGTGGATAGGGAACAAGTAAGCTAAAGAAAATCTTTTAAGGCTTTGGAGTCAAGCTCAGTATTCGGTGTTCGGCATTTTCCATTGAACGAGTCAATAAGATCTTATGTATTTCTTATCTGATGGGCGCCGGCTAGATTTTTCCTACTACCCGGTGCTCTTTCCCTTAACATAATTCATCGTCCATGGCAGAAATACTGTCCCTCCAGTCGGATATCCTCAAATGGGCCCAATGTGAATAATATGCATTCAATATCAATTGGCAAGTAACAGTTCAAGACAATGCCACGTAACTAATCGCGGTCCTACAGACTCCAGACTCAAAGTAAATATCCCCACAGCTTTCTCCACCGGCCTGACAGCGATTGGTTTTCCATAAGGCAAGGTCACGCGCCAATCTCGGCCTATTAACTGAAGACAAGTCGTGTCCTATGACCAATATTTTTTTGGGTCCTTCGGGATTTGAATGTGAACTATATCACAAGGTCTCGCGTCCGGATCGCATACCTATCGCAGAGATAATAATATGCGTAGGGGATACGACAACCACAAAGCATAGGCCTGCAGTCCTTGAGAACGTGAGAAGATGTCCGTTCTCGCCGTTAGTCAAGATCCTCTAATGCATCTTCGTCACCCTTCGGAACAAGGGGGATTCCTTTTGGGATGAGTGCGGCTCTGATGCAGTACTTGTTCTCGGAATACCTGGTCCCTGCACTTCCGTTTGGAGTAAAACTTAACGACGCTTATTTCTCGTAGCCGACTAGTATGCGGTTAACCTTGCGATGCGAACCGACCTGATGAGCATCGAGAAGAGCAGAATGCAGTATTTGAAGTCGCATCTCGCAGTAGTACGTGGCCATGTATCCGGTGTCAGTGTTGTACGTCGCGTCGCTGGCTGAAGAGATCGTTACCCTGGGTTGGCAGACAGGGAGTACCTCGAGTCACTAATTGCCCGACATAACAAGACATGTCATTTAGCTACGGCACAGACAGGGAGAGAATGCTAATTCTGAATTAGCCCCTAGGTATCTGCCTGACGCGCCTTCAAAGATTAATTGCATGCGATGTCTCTAATTGACTTTGTACGAATAGTGCTTCAGTTTGAAATTAACGCCGTGGCAATGAAGGGGTGTACAATTGCTATGTAAATAGTATATGACTATGGTCTGAGTAGTGTGTATAAAAAACGACGTTGCAATTTACCTCTCACTCAGATCCGCCGATCGGCTGATTTTAATCCTTTCTTTGGATCCTATCCCTCATGTCGCGTGCTGCTTTCCTCGCGCCCTCGCCACCTGCCCAACCTCTCGTACGCAGCCAGCCCACCAATCGGGGAGTCAAAACAGCTGTCAAACCAACTCTGACAGGCAAAAACAGTGTTTTGTGGATGGTGTAAGCCAATACCAAGGTGGCATATAAGCCCTCGCGGCTTGCATCTCCAGCAGAAATGCCGTTCATTTCATCCCGCCCAGGCTCTGGTGGCTTGGTGTACATGAACCCGACAGCAGTCTTAATGTAAGCAGCGGCAGAGGCGACCTGTTCGGCGCCCAACAGGTTAATTCCAGCAAACGCGACGGTGAAGTCTAGTGTAGAGAGGACGAAGTACACTCCAAGGGCATACCATCCATAAGATTTAATGAGGTGTTTCAGCCTTTGAGAGAGGGTAGCGTCTGGAGGTAACTGTGATCCTGGATCGTTTTGAGGTGGTGGAGTTGACGTAAGACGAGCAGGGACGTGATGAAACAGCCTCGAGCTCGACAAACGAGGAGAACCCGTCAGGGATATTACGGGTACTGTCCGAGCACTTAGCCGCGATGATATTGGAAGTATGGGTGCAGAGACCCGGAAAAGCGGAAAGCGAGGCAGCACACGTCGCAACATGGCCCGGGTATACGCAAGTCCTACAAAAAATTCAGTTTATTTTCCTGCTGGTAAGCAATTGCATACTCTGGCAGATGAAGGGTTGTCCGAGGTCGAATGAATGGTATTAACGATGAGCGATAATGAATCAACACGAGCAAGAGCTGAAAATACTTGTAAAAGCATGAAACACGCAATGCAACGAACAACCTGATCCGAACTTCAAAGTCCGCAAGTAAATTGCCGAGACGGCACAAGCAACTTTATCTATAACCACAATGTCGTTGGCGAGAGCGAGCCTGCTCCTGCGCCAAAAGCACGCAGTCGGGAGTATTTTGCTCATTCAGCGGAGATTCGTATCGCACGACAGTCATGCTCATGATGAGCACCATGATGACACCCATTATTCACGCGAAGGTATGGCGTCCCGGTCGCATCCATAAACAAAGTCACGACTCATTTGCGGCGCGTTCTAATTAGCTGGGTTCTCTACACCTTTCTGGCGTAACACAGTCCTGCTTTCTCTGCTTGCAGTCGGGTTCTACAAATGGGCGCCATCACCAAACCAAGACGTGTACCTGACGCGGTGGCTTGCTCAGTACACGACGCCGAGTGAAATTTGGGCAGCTATCAACGAGAAGCATTTATTGCTGTCACAACAAGCTTCCGACAATACCATTCTGCAGGCTGATGCAAAGAGGCCAAATGTGCACCGCTATAGATATCCTCAGTGAGCGACTTTGATCGGACATGCATCATGGCATATGACTGACGTTGTACCGGATTGCGATCAAATAGAATTCTAGATACGGGTTCCCCTCACCTACAACCAGTCGGGCGCGTTGCCGACATGAGTTCAACTGCTGTTAGATCCGGATGAGGAGAAATAGAGTAGACGCTGCAGTGCTCGGGTTCAATTGATCCACTTGATTGCTATGTAAATTTCCCTCATACATTCCTCCGGCTCGGAGATGGACACTCAAACTCGGAAATAAGCTGCGAGTAATTTAGCGGTTTGTGTGAGGATTTCGCGAGGCAGTCAAGACAATTATAAGGTCCAGTCAAAAGAGAGCGGTGCACCGCATAAGTCCATGGCCTGGTCCACGTGGACGTGTTGGTTTATTGGAACGCGTTTTGATGGGAAGATTCAAACCGTCTTTCCTTTGAACGTCGTTGAGCTGACGCTCTCGAACTCCAGTTTTCTGTAGAGGACTTTAGGTTCCATACGGGTCTAATACCCTCTGGAACGATACCCGTGGAGACTCATCCATACTGAAAATGTCTTCGCAGTCATCAAATTCGAAACGATGGCCCTCGACATTCTTCCTCGCAGCTCTTCTCGCCAATCCCGCGTTCGCGTCATTCCCCATGGTCGATTTCAGTCGTATGGGTCAAGTAGGCCTCGCAGGTGCATTCGCAGGTCTTACTCTTTTCAACAATGCTACCGCTGTCTCATTTGACCCTTCTACGTCTTCTTTACTCTCTCGCACTGGGGAAGGTGCCCTAACTACCATTGGAACTACGAATGCAGGCGGCTCAATCCAATCAGGTTGCGCTATCAATGATATCTTCTACTTAGCCGGGTCCTTCTCATCTATTGGCAATACCTCCGTGTCCGCCAGCAACATCGCGTCATACTCGCCTTCTTCAGGCGTGTTTGCTGCGCTCGGCTCCAATGGTCCTAATGGTCCAATATACTCGCTTTATTGCGACGTATCCCACAGCCAGCTATGGGTCGGTGGCCACTTCACGTCGCCCAGTTCATCTGTAGCTATATGGGACACCAAGTCCAACTCTTGGTCTGCGCCCCCATTCAAAGGTTTCTCAGGTGATGGCGGAGAAGTCCTTTCCATCACCTCTAATGCCTCAGAAAACAGTCTCTTTTTTGCTGGTTCATTCCTCACTTCCTTCGCTGCGAATGCCACTGCGCTAAATAACACCAACAATCCCAATATCCCTTATTCTCCTGGGGCTACGCCATTCTCATCATCACTTGTCCCCGTTCCTCTTGAAGGCGCGGAAATTCTGGGCCAACCATCATCATCTGACCCTCAGTTCAGCAACATCCTCAGTATCCTGTGCCCTGCTGGTCCGGATGGACCTGGCAACACGTGGTTGGCTGCGAACGGGAATGGTGCTGTAATTACTATCCGCGACTTCTCGTCTATCAATGCCTATGGCGTTCGCCTTGGCAACACGTTCCAGAGTGGATTCGGTACGACGACTTTTAGGTATGTGTTTTCAACTGATGGATAAGGATAATATGCAATATCTCATTTTGCCCGTCAGTGTCACTTCCATCCCAGACAATACCGTACAGACGCTGTCATATGTCAACACATCGACTGGACAAAATATGACATGCACAGCTGCCTGCCCTTTGTCGACCGATTCGTCAATCTTATACCAGGACTTCATTTTCACCGCGCCGATGATGTTGACCGGTATACAGATCACTTTGTCAGGTTGGACGGGTGAAGCTCCTGGTCTGCACATGCTACAGCTCCTTTCCTCCGGCTCGTTCGCATCTAGCAGCGGGAACTTGAAATCCTGCTTTGCACCTAATCCATCCAACACCACTAGCACAGGCCAGTGGAAGCCCCAAAATGCTGTCACCGATATCCCTGCAACACTCCAGACTGTCCTAGTCTCCACAGTGGCCGTCGGCACTTCCCCCTCTGAGGCTCCCAGTTTCACCTGGCAGCCCTACGTCTCCGCGTCTGGACAGTACGACGTATACCTTGTCATTCCGGGTTGTGCAGACTTCCAAGACTGTTCCCTCCGCACATCCGTCCAAGTCACCGTCTTTCCAGGTGGTGGAACCCAACCCTGGGTGTCTACTGTTTCACAGCAGGTCCAGTCTGACACGACCACACTTGTGTACAGTGGTCCGATCGTCCCCTCGTCCACAGACTTCGTGACTACTGTATCCATGACGCTTGCGAATAACCCTGAAGGTAGTGGTCAGAATGGGCAGTACGAACTGGTTGCCGGAGATGTCGCATTGGTGTTAACCTCAGCCAGTGTGACATCGGCGGCTGGGTCTGGGTCATCTGGGTCCAATACAACTAGCAGCTCCCAGCATGGCTTCGGTTTCTTTGAGTGGCCGTTGAGCTCCAGTGCGAGTATTGATGCTACCGGAACCATTCCCAACGCAAGCAAGACTCCTTTGGACGTGATATCCATTGATCTCTATAACGCTTTGGGAGCTACTACTTCTACCACTACATCCATCACGACGGTCGCTCAGCACCCGTCTGGCACTGTTTACCTTGGTGGCAATTTCCAGCTTATCTCCGGCTCGATAAACGGCGTCTCAAACATCGTTGCATTCAAGAGTGGGGCGTTGATCGCCCTTCCCAATAACGGCCTGAATGGGCCTGTAACCTCCTTCGTGTTGAGCGGCAATGAGCTCTACATTGGTGGCTCTTTTACAGACACCAGCACAGCTTCCACGCAGAACAAACTCAAGGGTGTAGCTATCTACGATGTCAGCTCCAATTCATGGAAGGCAATGGGCGCAGGGGTCAACGGTGTGGTAACTGGCCTTGCGCTCGCTAACGGGCAAATTGTAGTCGCAGGCAATTTCACCGAGGCGCTCAATTCGTCGACTGCTGGTATCACCGCTGGTGGTTTAGCCACATGGGATGTTAGCACTGGTTCATGGGTGAACAGTGGTGGATTTGTAATGGGCAACATGACATTCATCGGCAACGGCACTTTGCCTGCCACGGGTCAGAAGCAAACTCAGTTCGTCGCGGGGAATGTGGGTACTATGGCAGAGTATGGTGCTAGCGGCCTTGTGATGTTGTCCAGTGGTGGAAGCACGGGCCCTTTAGTGACACCTATGGGTATCCAGCTTGATAGCAGTATTGTGAATGCGTCTTCCCTCGCGACCGTAACGAAGCGTCATCCCCATGTCCGTCGCGGACCATCCGCATGGATACCTCACCTCAATATTGGAACCTTATTCACTCGTCAGAGCGCAACTTCAAGCGCCTTGCCGCCTTCCCTGCCCGCTCCTGCTCCCGCTGTCCTCGCTGGGGCATTTTGGACGAATGTTTCCACTTCCCATCAGGTAGCCATCATTGGAGGCAATTTTTCGTTTTCTTCCTCCTCTGCGACCTCGTCCGCCGTTGCCATCTATGATCCCGTTACGTCTTCAATATCCGCGCTCGCCGGTGCTCAGATCAATGGCGTCGTCCGTGCCGTTTATGTTGATCAGAAGCAACAGCTCTTCGTCGGCGGTGAATTCAACCTCACTGGCACCACAGCAAATGGACTGGCCCTTTACGATCTATCTGCTCAACAGTGGGATACATCCTCTATGCAACCATTACAACCCTCTGCAGGATCTTCGGTCGTTATTCGCTCGATAACTTCATCAACATATAAGTCCGGTTCCGTCATTGTCGCTGGTTCGTTCGCGCAGGCAGGCTCTGTGTCTTGCCAGGGGATCTGTCTATTTGATACCGCCTTGAATCAGTGGAGCCAGCTCGGAAGCGGTATTCAAGGAGACATCTCGTCTGTCTCATATGCAGGAGTAAGTGTTATTGTTTTGGCTGGTGTCATGTTATTAATCGGGTTTCGGTAGAGCAACCAAGAAATTCTGATTGCTGCTGGATCTGTCACATTATCGGGCGGATCGACCACCAGTGTCGCACAGTATGATTTTGCAAATTCCACATGGGCCACCATTGGCGACGCCGCTGAAATTCCAGGACCTGTAACGGCAGTGACGGTCAACAATGGCAATTCTTCCAGCATATTTGCAGCTGGTCGGTGAGTGGCGCGATGTTACGGCTCATCGGCACATGGTCTAACTTGCTTTGGTCTCCAGCACCACTGATGGTTCCTCACCGTTCATGATGTTTTGGGACGGTGTCTCTTGGAGTAGTGTTACATCTTCGCTTCAGGGCACCACCAATATTTCCCAGCTTCTCATGGTTCCATTGCTGAACACGCACTCGGCCAACAGCATCATTGAATCTGACCGGATGTTGATGATCTCTGGTGCGCTGTCAGACTCATCGTTCGGTTCCGCATCTTCTGTTCTCTTCGATGGCTCTTCGTTTATTCCTTACATGGCGACTACGACTGCTCAGGGAGCATTGGGCACAATTTCTTCACTGTTCTATTCACTCGCAAGCTTTAGCTTCACTCAACAACGTGAGTAACTTCTATATCCTCTCAAACTACGGCTCACGGATCTTTCGCAGATTTCCTCGCAACCGGTATTGTCATTCTCATTTCCATTGCCATCGCAGCTGGGGTTGTGTTCCTGTTGGCACTCATTGGCATCCTCTGGACCCTGCTATCTCGTCGCGATGATAGAGTAGCCAAGTATAACGCCAGCGACGATGATGACGATGATTCAGTCCAACACCGACCATCATCATTACTAGAGCACATCAACGCAGCTACTAGAACAACGATTCTTGGTTCCGTGAGCCCAATGAATACTATCGGCGCCGAGAAGGACGAGGCCGCGAGAGAAGCCACCACCACAGAGCCCGATCCATTTGGACCAGATGGTAGTAACTATTTGCGAGCTGAAACTCCCTCGGACGCGGTCGTGGGTACGATGGCTGCTGAAGAGGAGTTCAGTCGTCCTGCACACGCTCGCTACTCGTTCGATGGAACGGGTGAGGGCGAACTACCTTTGACGGCTGGGGTCGAGGTAGAAGTGTTAGATGATCGGGACGCTGCGTAAGATATATTTTTTAGCCTTATGGTTTCCGCGCTCATATTCTTTTGCAGGTGGTGGTACACACGGAATCCACAAACAGGCCAGGAGGGCGTGGTGCCCGCGGCTTATCTGTATTGATTTGTTTCCTTCTCGTATCTTGTCTTCTTGCTGTCGTACATCATTATACCCTACTTAACCGAGATCGACCTTTCGGTCGCTCGTTCAATTCATTTGATATCATAGCATATTTTCTTATGTTTTCGCCTTCTAGAGACACTTTCATGCGACGAGACAAAACGAGGTAGTAGTTTACGCCGGGAATGCCAAAGGAATATCATGCATAGTATACCATGCACAGTAAAACTCTTCTTCACTGAGGATGAGAGTGAGCGACGATGAAGGTGAGCTAAGTACAAGACGCACCTGCAGAAGAGGGTCACGGAAGTGCTTTTGGCTGTTGTGTATGAATCCCACTCGTGTCTTGAAATCTTCCCTACGCTTCTGATCTCTAAATTCTCGCACATGCCTCCCTGCCTCTCTTGCCTCGCCGCGATTTCTCGCCTTAACAACCTCCATTCCTTGTCCATGTGCACCAAACCCGCCTTTGCGGGGTACAAGGGCGGAATTCTTGTCTGCAAGTAATCTGCGAACAAGTGCAATCCCGGAGTTGGGATCTTCATCTCTTTGGATGTGCATGGGCAAGGATTGGGCGTAATAGCGCTTCATCGACCGGTGCCCAATGCGTGCACCTGATGGGAGTACAAGCTCGTACTCGGTATCACCATAGGTGATCTGGTTATCGGGTATGCTTGCATCAGAATCTGATTCAGAATCAGGAGGCTCTGAGGCGTCTTCATCGACGACCTCCTCTGCATCCCCGCTGTCGTCGTCGGCGTCCTCCCACCCTTCATCCTCCGCGCGTGGCTGTTTGGACTTCTTCTTCCGTGTTTCTGCGGGGTACGAAGTTGTGAAGTCATAGTAATCTGACACCTCAAGTCGGTCGTCCTCGGAATCGTAGGCTATCTTGCAGTGAGCCTTGTCTAACATGTGTTTCCGCACAGCCTCGAGCGTCCGAAGCTCCCGTCCCTTACCGTTGCAGTAAATGCAGACGTTTCCAACTGCGATCTTCTCGCCTAGGTATGTGATGAGGCCAGTGAGATCGACGAGATATTCAGCATCAGGAACAAAAAAGGAATGCGCAGAAGACATGTGCGTCAGATTTTCTGAAAGTGCCGAGGAAGTATAAGTGCAGAAGAGACAGTTTGTCGGGGAAAGACGTGAGCGGGCAGCCGCTATCTTGGCGTCTATGCTTTCGTTTATTTCGTCCTCGGTCGCGGTCGCGGGTACACCGAGGGTCGTGTCTTTGGGCAAGAGAGTTTCGGATATGACAGGGAGTGTGGATGACGGTGGGGGATCTACGGGTGCACTAGGTACTTCGTCTTGCTGGTGTACTGGTTGGTTTGGCTGTGAGGCAGTCTTGAGCTCGTTCTCTTTGTGCTTCTTGGAATTTATGTGAGATCTGTATGCATTTTCTGTTGTGTATGTTTTCCTATTCGCGTGTCAGAGAGCAGACAATATCAACCCAGAAGAAAGGAAAATAAAGCGGTTATTGTGATAAGATAATACGTACTCGCACACCTCACAGGCGCTCCCCTTCAGTGAGGACATGATCGCGGTCTCCTGACGGCGGTCGAGGACCTTTTGATTAAACACAGTAGCGCTAACTGGTGGCAGGGATGCGACGCGACGCTTCATGTTATACCTATGGTGGTCTGAGCGGTAGTGCGTGCCTGTGTGCCCATGCATTAATTCATCGAATCAGGAGGGAGTACTAGGGCATACGCTGCTCCTCCGCGGAAAGAAAGGCTATCGAGCATGAGAGGCAAGTGAAAAGGGGTTGCTCGTTAGTTGGATCCATGAATGCCACTTTGACTTTGGCTTCTACGGCGTCCCCGTCGAAAATTGAATGAGAAAGATCTACGGCGGTGTGTGTCAGTGACTCAGTGGATGATATCAATCAGCAAAGATTATTATTATCGGGCCCGGGGCGACACAGCCGCAACCTATTACTAAGCGATGCAAAGTATCGGACTCCGGTTGTTCTGAAGAGCACGCTGTCAAGACTCAACTTTTAGGAACGGCCTCCTCGCTTGCATTTGCAGGAATGGCCCATTCGTTATCTCCAGAATGCACGCCGTTGAAGCACGAGTATGATGCGTGCTTCAATACTTGGTTTGAGGGCTACCTCGAACCAGCTATAGCGAACGCCAATACTAAAGGACACCCACAAGGTCAAAGATTCGAGTACTCCAAGCAAAAGAAGGAAGAGTACGATCGCAAATGTGGGAGTATCTGGGAAAGGTACAAAGATTGCGTGCAGGTAAGCCACAGTCAAGCTTCTCTCTACATTTCATAGAATGATTTCCCGAGCAACATTTCATTCACTAGATTGTGCTCGATTATGATTTCCTCTTCCTGCTAAGAAATTGATATGCTGACCTCTTCAAACACAGAAAGCTGTCACAGAGAAAGGTTTGGGTGAGCTACTCAGCCAAGCACGGAAAGAGAACCCGCTTCGCGAGCCACCGCCACCAGACCCATCTGGATCATCATGACATGCATGTCTGCCAGCTTTACACATCTGTAGCCTCGAGTTACATAGTGAACCGTAGTAGAAAGAATAATTCACACATGGTCACGTCATTGAGCATTTATGACACTGGTATTCACTTGCGTGCCGCGCTAAAGAGCAACGTTTGAGCACATGTAATCGACCATAACCGGGCACGTTAACATGCGGTGTCTCGGGTGAGGACACTCTTTTGGGTGCATCTTTTTCATCGAACCCGCTTTCGATACTGGTGATGGGTAAAGGATTCTGCTTTGAGCAAGGATGGGTCCTGAGGCAGGGCTCCGACAATGAGCTGGATGACGTGGAGTTTCGCCGATCTTCAAGTTTCGGTAGGGTAGTGGGAAGGTGCCGGGGAGCCCTGGGAGGGGTGCGTGGTTGTGATAAAACATTGAGATTATCCGCGCCAAAATTATTTGATTCTCCCTGTTTAATAGTAAGGTAGAGCTCATTTCTCCTAATTGCCAGTACGGGGCATCCGCGAAAAGCCTTGTGCAGTTCGAGGCAAGCGTAGGACCTAAGGCCAAACGGCTCAAAGTGCTACACCTACGGTCCGACTGCCCGTAGATGCGCTCCGCTAGAGTATTACAGGGTCTGGACAAGCGCGGTCGTATCATCCATCCACCGCCAGGGTATCTCTACTGTGAGCATCTGCGCGAGGCGGTCTGGGTCATCTGCCCCTCCGCCCATCAACGCGTATCTCAGCAGCACCAATGCTGCATTGTCCTTGTCGGCTTCATCGCCGACATTGGCACCTTTCCGGTCCATACGCTCGCCAAGCATATGGACCCATTGTGTGAGAATCTCCTCCAAGGTAGCTCTCCGTCCATTCGTATGATCGTACAGATCTACGAGGCCGTCTGAGCACAAAATCAAGAATCCTTCAGATACGTTAGCTGTGGATGGCTGTAGAGCGACGTGTTTAATGTCGGCGAGAGCGGACAGATAGGGTGGCGATTTGTTACGAGGGAGGAAATCCTCAAGTTTGGAAGAGACGGAAAAGCTGGGAACGCAGTTCATGAAGACTCGTCGGGTGTATGATACCGGAAGCTTGAAGATATGGTCTCCGATGGCTATATGATTGTGTGAACAGGTGTTTGATGCAGCTCGTGGGGGATAGGGATAGAGATACTCGCCTCGTGTGACGGCGATTGCGCCGAGAACTCTGTCAAATTTGATGCATTCAGGTTCGCTTGGATGTTCCTTGCGGATACGTGCGACCTCGGCAGGGTTCCTGCCGCTGTGGTTTACACTGAGGATCGTTGCATTCCATGTACCATTGGAATTCTTAGTGCCAAGTACTGCACATCGCATCAACCTGGTATGTTTAAGCATGTCGGAAATGGCACGCACCAGCCTGACAATCTCCGAGACTGGCTACCCAGAGGTTCTCCTTCTTTGGGTCCACAAGCGAAACGAGAGCGGTCGTGCCGCGCATGCAACGCACGATTGCGAGATTGTTGGGGTTTGTGGGGCCGTTAATGGTGGACTTGATTTGTTCGTCTGTGAGGGCGGCGAGGGCTGCTTCGTCGGGGAAGAGGTGTTTGACTCCGTCGGTGAGGGTGTCATCGACAGCTTGGATAGAAGACTGCAGAAGGGCGGAGACGATCGAGGGTGCAAGGGGTGCGGTGCCTGCATCAGTGAGAGCCTTGGTAAGAGCTGCGTGGATTAACAAGGGGAGCTCTTCGACGACGTAGTCTACAGCCTCTTCTCCTCCGTGGCCTGTCGTAAGTATCAGAGACAGTCATTTCGAATGAAATTAAGTTACACGTACCATCAAACACAGCAGAAAACGACCACCCGTCCCAGTCCAGGACAACAAAGCGGTCCTGGGAACGCTCCTCTGGGTCTGGGCTGGGCTGGAGGGAGACGCAGCTCGTCGTGGTAGTCTTACCGTTAATGACATGTGCGGAAGCGAGACGTGCAAGCTCGGATGAGACCAAAGGTTCCGGGACAGCACGATAAGTCCAAGGACCGTAGCCTGAAGGGAAACCAAGAAATTCAAGCCACGTAGAACGCTGGGGGTAAGACATGTAGGACATGGTGAGGCAGGCTGATGTATGTAAGAAACGGTACCGAGAAGGGGCGTGATGAAGATCCTAGCTATAGGTGAGTAGTGTTAGTGGATGACGGGTTGTCATGTGCTGCCACAACCGATGATCCGGATCAACTTCTAATGTGTACAGCAGAATCACATTCAAGTTGAAAGGACGAAAATACAACTTTAGGCGTCTACATGATACACTCCAAAAAGTGTGCGTATGTACATGAACAACAACAGAGGGGATAAATAAAGGCTGGTCAAGAATAGGAATACTTACGCCTTGCCCTAAATGAATTGATGAGTGATTGTGGCGACCATGAATACAGGACTTACGGAGAGTGGCAAGCCAAACCGTTCTGCGCGTTTCCTCCTACGCTCCTGCTCCTCAGGATCAACATTCTCGACAGGTGCTGAGCGCTTTCCGGTGGTCTTAGTGGCGGAAGTGAGAACCCCAAAGCGCTCTGCTCGGGCCTTGAGTTTGTCGGAATTCTGTAGGGCAGAGAGTCATGAAAGAGTAGAAGTTAGTAGATGATGGGACTCGCCTCGGCAGCGGGTTTGTCCTTTTTTGATTGTTGCTGAGTGGGTTGTGTAGGCTCAACATAGGCTGTACCGAAGCGAGCTGCACGAGCTTTGCGCTTATCCTCTTCTGACTGCACGGGTGCAGTTGGAGCCACTGTTTCTGGTACAGGTGTTGGAAGTGGCTGGACAAAAAGTCAGAGATGATACACGTCGGTGGAAGGCGCAAACCTGTTTAGATTTCTTGGGGGGAGAGGGGGGTACTACTGGAATGGACTCTTCAATTGTCCAGTCGATTCTATGGAGAGGGTTAGGGTGTGGACATGTGAGGATGGAACGACGTACTCTTCTGGAGGAGCGAGCTGAATAAAAAGTTAGGATATGAATCAGGAGATGATGATAACGCGTACCAGATCATCGTCAGTAGAGGGAGGGGGTTTAGCAGCGGGGTGGAGAGTGTGAAAGACATCAATAGCAGCTGGGTTTGCTATAATTTTATTGATGAGATCCTGCTTTTTTGCATTTCCTGGAGGTATTGAAGCCTTTGAAAGGATTTCTTTCAACTCTGGAACTTTTAATGCTTTCCTGATAGAATATTAGTGAATTGAAATATAGATGAATATAATTTACAGTTTCGTGTCCATGTTGTTGTATTGGTGAAGAAAGGTGTTTACGTAAAGGAACGTGACATTATGTGGTGGTGTGACCGTTGTGGATTAGTTTGTTAGAGTCAACGCTTGTGCAGCAGCCAATCAATGGGCGATCCTGTCGATCAGCTGCTCGATTCCGCTTATCATCTAAACCATTACGCAGCTAGTCATCCTCCTCATCCCCCTTCTCCCTTTTCTCGTCAATCTTCTGATATTTATAATCATCATTTTTACCATCATTCCCGCAACCCTTCCCCAGGTCCTTCTTCTCCCGCTCACACAACTCATCGCAACTCTCCTGCAGATGACTTATTCCTCCATCATCACATCGAACCTGATCCAAATTCACACCAAAACACACCAACAGATGACCACCAAGTCGATGAGGAACCCCTCTATGTAAATGCAAAGCAATATTTTCGTATCCTCAAACGTCGTGTCGCTCGTGCTCGTCTAGACGAAGTACACAGACTCTCAAGGCAAAGAAAAGTATGTTCTTCTTCTTCTCCATTCAACCCCCAATTTATCCTATTTTAGCCATATTTACATGAAAGTCGCCACAAACACGCAATGCGTCGTCCCCGCGGTCCCGGTGGCCGCTTCCTCACAGCAGAGGAGATAGCTGCCCAAAAGAATCAGGCCGCCAATGCTCGTGACGTCCCAGACGATGATCAAGACGATCAACCCCCTCTTGACAAGGAAGATAATCAATCTCCTCCCACCCTTGACGACCCCGTCCTCCAGCACGTCAACCCGTATGCCCAGCCCCCATTTTCTGCCCAGCATCACTTTCAAGACCCGGGCACCACCCCTGTCACAACCAACCCCATCCCTCATCCTCCAAAGCCCCCCGCTCCTTCCTCTGGCTCCGTTACCCTCCGTCCTCCATATACCCCAGCTCAAATGCATCACGTTCCCCACCCTCACGCCCACGCCAGGCACCATCACTCTCACCTCAACTACTCAGAAGGTCTATATCCTACTGAAGAAGCTCCCTCTGGGAGCACTATGCTCTCTTATGGTACCCGCAATCTCGACGCCCGTTGATTCATAAGCTTTCACCTTTCTCTCTACTTCTTTACTTGTCTGCTTTGCCTGTAACCGTATTCCATAGATGAGCGGTTCTTAGAGTCGACGTTTCGTTTAGGATATTAATAAGTACCAAAGCAAACAAATCTGTGTGGTGCGAATGCATATGCCTCTACTCTATATCCATCGCGTCGTCATCACGCTCAAAGCTCGATACGATGATCTCCTCCACAGACTCTGCCTGTTCATCCACTTTGCGAGTAGGGGAAATCGGCCTCAAGGGCCGATACAACACCAGAGCGCCTGCTTCCGTACTGGGCGACGAGATAGGAATGATAGGCTGTCGCACCGTCTGGTGTTTTCGTAGGCGCTGAAGCAAAGGCGTTGAGATCGAAAAATGAGGCGCCGTGTCGTGCAGCTTCATCTTATCGGTGTCTGCACAAGCCATCAGGTCGTCTGCAGTATGCTTTGAAATGCGCTTACATTCTTCCTCGTCCAAGTCCTCCATGTTCACCTCAGGCGCCACGGCCTCAATTTCGTGTGGAGGTTCCTCGACAGAGCTAGGGAGGACAACATTACAGGGTGGAAATGTTGTGGATGAAGCAGTGGGATGAATAGGCGTAATCACCAGCCCACTCGCTGAGTCGTTTTGTGTGGGTGCCGACGCGAGCGTGAGGTGTGCAAACCCATGCTCCAAAGTGTTGAACTTGCGTCGCTTGGCGCGGCTCGTCGGGCTTGGTGACGAGCGCTGATAGGGTGATGGACGGCGCTCGTCATCTGCGTTAGAGATTTTACGCTTTGGAGGTGCTGGATCATACCAGGGGTGACGGATAGCCTGAGCCCAGGTAGTCATTAGGGGAGCTCAAAGTTGAACGCCCAACACCCAAGCCCAACGCCCAACCTCGTGACCGAAATTAGTTTACCTAGAATAAATAGAAGTAAATACGGAGTAAAGCCACTTGAGTGGTAACCTGCATGATGAGATAAGCTCCTTACCTAACTTTAGGCTCTGTTTGGACAGGAGAGAGAGAGAGAGAATTTCTATATTTATATACCACAACAAACAAAGTAAACTGTTAACTTATAATTACTAATTAGACTCCGTTCGGCCAGGACAATTTTGCCCAACTTTGCCCGATTTCAAAAAAGCAAGTATCATTAAGTAAGCACAGAGCTTGAAACTGATGTCACGCTGATTAGCGTTATCAGTAAAAAAAAAAATGTATGCCCCACATACCATAATTGCCATGCTCCCCTGTCTCTTATATCATGCTGACAACCCTCCCACCAATGGAGACACACAAGAAGATCAGGAAGATTGAGAGGAGCAGGAGGAGCAGGATGAGCAGGATGAGCAGGATGAGCAGGATGGTGGGCAGCCTGGTGTAAAAGATGCAGAGCAGTCAGATATGAAGAACCTCCAAGCTATCATAAGCTTCTTTCAGAATATGGTACATCAACAAAAGCGACAAAAAAATTCATGAGCAAATATGGGAATTTACCGATTCTATCTCGATGCCAACCTGCTACCCATATTGTATGCGCATCAATTCAGGGTAAAATAATTCGAGGCATTTGTATGGCTCTACCAGCCTGGCAAGTGTCTTGTATGTATATTCATTTTGAATAAAATAATTTGAGCCGTTTGCATGATGCTGCCAGCTTGACATGTACTTTATAAGGTCATACTATGAGGTATTACAGCTCACCATAATCATCTTCCTCGTCCTGGTCATCCTCCCCATCCTTGGCCCCCAGGACAGCATCATCTACCTCACCATCAGCATCTCCATCATCCCCATCTTCATCTTCGTCCTCATCCTCATCACCTTCTTCGATCTCCTCGATGCCATCATACCCATATTTGTCTACCTCATCCGAGTCCTCATCTGCCTCCTCACCCAAGTTGAGCCCTGGCTGATCCGCACCTTCAATCTTGGTATCCTCCATCTCAGTGTCGTGCAACTCTCCCTCATCTGAATCAAACTCTGCATCTTGGATCTCCATACCATCCATCCCATCATCAAGCTCTTCTTTGGTGTTGGTCTCCCCTCCCTCGTCCAACTTGTCATGGTCAGATAAGAACCAGTCAGTGGCTTGGCAGGTGGATTTGTGTCCAACTCCGCCTCCCTGAAAGCGCATCATCATATCTTGATTGATGAACCTAATGGTGAGGCTAAGGCAAGATGTAGTAGTAATAAACAAGAAAATGTACATATTAACATAGAAAAATGTCCAATCTTCATTGTTGTCATGAGTCGGGCGTGCAATTGAGGGTGGAAGAAGGGCATGTGTGTGACCATAGTCAAATGCAGGGATGAGATGAATTCCACGGTGTGGGTACAACAATTCAGATTGGTTGTCTGAGGTGTTGGGCCTTGCTGCCTAGCTGCTATGTCTTGTAGACAGTGTAAGACCCTAAAGGGTTTCTGGACCAGGCTCAGAGCTCAGAGAGAGAGAGAGAGTAAGGGAAACTGCATTCAAAGTCACACCAGGTGAAAGTAAGGGTAAAGACCAACATGATTATGTAAGCTATCCAAGTGCCAACACAAGCAAGGTAAATAGGGGTAAAGTAAGCCTAACCAGGAACTTGTTCCTACAATGGATCACTTGCTGTGGATCCAGGAAACCAAAGGCTCCAGGGTCATCACTTGGGATGAATCCTACCCGTTCGAGCCTCTTCACCTTCCAACCAGCAGCGTAGGGGTGCCGTTCTGTTCCAGGATCTCGACCGAACCATTGGACCCAAAGGAAGTCCATTTGCTGGGGTTCACTGGATTTTGAGTGCTCGCCAGTGTGAATAATGAGTGCATGGAATACACCAATGATTCGAGCATACCAGTAAGGGTGGCCGTCGCCATCATCCTCATGTGCGAGGAGCATGATGTCAGCATTAGTCCGAGGATTAAGCGAATCTTGATCATGGCGCAAGTCGTAAGTTGTGTAATTGATGTGGAGAACCTTGTGGCGAAATATTTTTTCATGGATGAGTATGACAGTGCTGCGCTCAGCAGACATAAATTCTCAATTAGAGAGGGCTCAAAGGGTGCAGTACGAACAGGTATGTCATCCTTGGCTTCTGCGGTACTCTCTCGAATTTCTTCTTGCCTATGTTGAGCATCCTCCTCTTCTCGGCGCTGAACTTTTGCAGCTTCCTGGACTTCAATATTATGACGTCGTTTCTTGAGCGTATCAGAGGCAGCACCAATGACCTTTTTACAGAATCTTTTGTGCGTAGAGAGGGATCGACTGTCATCAAAAGAGCGCCCACACCCTGGGCACTTGTGAGTTGAGGGCATGGATGGTAGAGTTATCACTCACTCACCTGCAGATGATAGTGATATAAGGTGAGTGCTTGACGATAGGGCCACGGCTCGAAACCACATCAAATTCCAAGCTACAATCCCAAACCTTATTCTTAGCTTCCAGACACGCTGCAAATAGAATCACTGGTAGATTGAATATGTACTACATACAGACATGAAAGCTAGCACCCTCTATCCAGACTCAGTGAGCATGGTGTGGTTCCCGTTCTGTCATTTGAAGTCCATCAACAAAGAGGCGTTGGAACTCACTTCTCCATTGAGGCTTCGGACTAGGAGACGTGGTGTCACCATAAACTGCCTCATTAGTGCCCGATGGTGAGTCGACTGGCGATGGAGCTGTGGCACCACCATCATCGTCGATGGACACTTGGGATGGTGCAACACCTGATACCTGGGAAGACTGCCTGTGCATAAGCAAGCCTTTAAGCATTTCTCCCGCCGACGATGAGGTCGACGGCACAGGCAATAGTAGTCTAATCAACAGCGCCATGGTGGATACACAAGACATCTTTTGCCGCCAGCGAAGACGAGAACGTGCATCCAGCTTATGAGTGGGGGGAGACAGGAAAGTGTGCAGGTGGAGTAAGGTGAGGAATCATGGGTGTGTTGTCCCAGAGAGGAGGAGTGCGAGTTGGCAGACTAACCCAGGTTTGAGTCGCCTGTGCAAAAACTGCTTGATTGCTCAGAAGCGCCAACGTAGCAGCATCTCGCAGAGCGGAAGGGTCTGGAGATGTCGGAGAAGTTGGTGCTGGTGTCGTGGCTGCACTAGAGTGCGCTAGAGCATTCAGGTACATGTTCCACAGCAAAAACCATCCCCTACCACACACTCACAGCGACTCACCTTCTTCCTTGTCACTATTGCGGATGGCATGCTCAATGCCTCCCCACCTCAATGGACAACATTGTGTCGTACGGTACAGATGTGTTGAAGGCACACCCTGATTACAGGCAGAAGGTGCTGGACGTGTACCGCACCGCTATGACGAGCCCACAACTGGAGGACAATGACAAGATTAACAGGTGCAAGCTGGCAGAGTCGAGCGACACATCACATCACATGACCTGGGCCCCAAACAACAGCATCACACTTATTACTTCCCTTTCTTATACATTTTCCTAATTTCTAATGTCTAGTGTTACACTACCTCTTGCTGTCGACTGCAGTGAGAAGCTCGATGTCCGTGGCAATTGTATTGTCATGGACGTCGAGAACTTCCTCATAGGCTGGCCAACATATATGGTTGAGTTCACGCCCAAAAAACCAGGACCTGTAGTAAGTGCACACCCATCACAATATCTGTGTCATTGATTCACACAATTTTATCCTACAGAAACTAACTATACATTTAAAAGATGCTTCAAAGGGAGTCTGGGTCGAGGATGAGGACAGTGATGCAGAGACGGTGATAGTTGTATCAACTAAAACTCGCAAAAGGTATGCTCCCGTTTCCTGTGAGCATACAAACTGACATCTGTTTCAAGCTCCTTCACTCGTGCTAGTACCATCCACAATGCCGACACTACCTTAGTTTCTGATGTGCCCTCTGAGTCTAAGTACATTGTGTTTAAAGTGTGCTTCTGATCTGATCTCGTTGTACCTTCAGGAATGACACCCAACTTGTTAGCGCAACTCCGGTACACCTCATAGGTATCCCCAAAAACCTCAGACTCCAAACCATTGGTGGTGTGTAGAGTCTCGTGTTAGTACATTCCAAATACAATATATATTTTAAACCCCACACCTTAATTCAAACACTGCAACTTTTGGACTCTACACACCTAGCCGACTGGCACAACTTGTTGTGGCGCGAGGTTTGACCGTGTTTGTAGTCTCCCATTTGTGTCAGTTCAATGTACAAAATGGAAAATAAAATAAAGGCAAGCAGAAGGTTCGAACACAGATCGTAGGGCAAAAACATAGCATAGATTACCGCTACACCATAGGTGCTTCCCTAGCTTACATGAAAACAGAAATATATCCCATTGGCAGGCCTGCCACACAGATACTTGTTTCAACTATGACCAGATATTCAACTCAATCATTGCACAGTATACCAGCATACCATACCATATAAATGTAATTACTGGGTGTGTGAGCCATAATAATAATTGACCCTTATGGTGCATCTGAGGGGACACAGTGTGCGGCAGGCCTGCCAATGGGATATATTTTTGTTTTTATGTAGGCTAGGGAAGTACCTGTGGTGTAGTGGTAATCTATGCTATGTTTTTGCCCTACGATCTGCGTTCGAACCTTCTGCTTGCCTTTATTTTATTTTCCATTTTGTACATTGAACTGACACAAATGGGAGACTACAAACACGGTCAAACCTCGCGCCACAACAAGTTGTGCCAGTCGGCTAGGTGTGTAGAGTCCAAAAGTTGCGGTGTTTGAATTAAGGTGCGGGGTTTAAAATATATATTGTATTTGGAATGTACTAACACGAGACTCTACACACTGCCGATGGTTTGGAGTCTGCAAAAACCCCTCAACCCTGAAAAAATGCAAGTTCAGAGATGAGGATACCATTTGGCCCCCTCGGCGCTCTCGCTACAGAGGTGTTGATGACATACCCATCTCAGCATTTTGTAAACTCTTAATCCTTCCTGCCCCTGTAGTAGCTGAGGATGAAACTGTTTAGATTCATCTTTACTCTGTCATCATCTTGCTCAGTTGTCGTCTTACTTTGCAGCATTGTTTTCTTGTTCTCACGCATACATGTACTACTAGTAAATTGAAGCCACTGTGTTCCTTGGTTGAGACACGATGTGACACATCACATGACTTGCCCCAAACAACATGTCACTTCGATTCTTATCAATTCCCCAATGGATACCTTCCCTTAACCCTTTCCTCCATCATGCCCTCAACATCGTCTTCATCATGCCCGCCTCCTGATGTCCCGGGCCCCAATCACATGAGGGCCATCCTTGACAGCTTGGAGAACCTACAAGGCAATTGGAAAAGGAAAAGAATGTAAGTTATTTTTACATAGTTTGATAGGTACAGTGGCTCAAAAAAGTGTCCCAATGTTTGTCCAGTTTCAAGTAATTGCATGATGGTGAGTCAAGGTGTGTGAATCTGATGTGGCAGTGCAGACATATTTGGTAGTAATACCCTCTGGCTTGAATCTGAGCTATGTGGCATGGGAAAAGGAGCTTACAGAGCGGAGATATGATAATTCTATGATTGTGACTCATTGGGACACTTTTTTGACTTTGAGTTTAACTATTGCAATATTTATGATTCTGATGTTTTATGCTTGCTCCCTTGACTTTAGTCATTGCTACTAGTCTCATAAATATATTTTCCATCAATCCTATACATTTCTGCTTAAAAATATTCCCATACTCTTCTCCACATCTCTCCTATAGCTTAAATAGCCCCTGTAGATGGTTTTGATGTTTTCAACAATGTCCAATAGGGTTTATGGTCATGAAATTTGTTGTTAATGATAACAAAGTAATACTATGGTCTTCAAATGATCTTGTGACTAACTTTGAGATATATTTGATATCAGCATCCTGTATTAGGATAATTCCTTCTTAAATAATATACATCTCCTAGGTGTTTCTGAGTAGATATCATTCTAAAATGAAAGTATATCACTCTATACATATCTGCCCATCTACCCTATATCAAGTTTACTTCCTTCTACTGCATACAGTCTTCATGCCATCAGATTATCCTCCATCAACTTATGTATTTTATATTACTTGTTTTACTTAAGTCATTTCTCTTTAATTTATTGTATAAATATGATATATATGATTGATTTTCATCTCAATTTACAAGGCAACATACTCCTAGCCATAAACAGTCCCGTAGCCTTAGTACTTGAAGTTGAAAATCGTACCCTGTCATATATGGCCTCTAGAAGCAATTGCTTTTCTTCTATGTTACAGCCTGTAACACTGACTATAGCAAGAGTAGCCCAACAATTATGAGTGATGACATTAATTCGTTTAAACCATGAAGCTAATGATCTTGCTTTAGTTCAGATAGCATTAGAACCTACACAGCATATAAAGTCTTATATTAATCAGAGAGGATTATCATAGTAGCGAATAATGACATCAAATATACCTCAAAGTTAGTCACAAGATCATTTGAAGACCATAGTATTACTTTGTTATCATTAACAACAAATTTCATGACCATAAACCCTATTGGACATTGTTGAAAACATCAAAACCATCTACAGGGGCTATTTAAGCTATAGGAGAGATGTGGAGAAGAGTATGGGAATATTTTTAAGCAGAAATGTATAGGATTGATGGAAAATATATTTATGAGACTAGTAGCAATGATTAAAGTCAAGGGAGCAAGCATAAAACATCAGAATCATAAATATTGCAATAGTTAAACTCAAAGTCAAAAAAGTGTCCCAATGAGTCACAATCATAGAATTATCATATCTCCGCTCTGTAAGCTCCTTTTCCCATGCCACATAGCTCAGATTCAAGCCAGAGGGTATTACTACCAAATATGTCTGCACTGCCACATCAGATTCACACACCTTGACTCACCATCATGCAATTACTTGAAACTGGACAAACATTGGGACACTTTTTTGAGCCACTGTAGCACTGATAAGAGATAGCGATGCTCTAGATCCCTTTTTGAAGGCCGCAAGAGCCTTTCCACTGCTCCATGATCCCTTCATGGACATTAGTGCTGTATTCCATGATGGGATCAGGGCCGATCATGACGAAGAACTTCTTGATGAAGATGAAACAGCTGAGGAATCGTAAGTTTAATTTTGTGGCTAGTATGCGCTCATCTTTGCTTCAGTAGGGACCGCTTATACCGCGTGGTCATTTTCTGCGACTTTATCAAGTGCATTCCTAACATCAATGCATCACTTGGCAGCTTCGAGGACGACCCGGCCAAGTTAGAAGACTTCATTAATGCAGTGAGTGAGTATATGCGCCTATATGCACCTATTTTTAGTCACACCTCATGTCTAGCTTTGACATTCTGCTTCTCTGGCGCGCGCTGAAGACACTTGCAAGCTGAAGGACCTCTGTCCATCATATTTGCTTGACGACCCTTCAAAACCCGGGGCTGCATTGGACCCTCCAATTGTCAAAGGACAATCCAAGTCACTCCGTGGGTGGCACCACAAATCTACTGCACGAGCACTCTGTCCTATGGTTGACATCAAGAAATTTGATGAAGACCCCCAGTATGCTATTTATTTCATTTTTCACCTTCACTTACACTTTATTTCAAAGCATTTATGGATAGTATTATCAATGGCGAGAAGAGACCACCATCATTCAAAAAACTTCCCTCATGTTTATATGACAAATCAATTGCTGACCCGAAACTGAAGCACGTGGGGTTTCTGTGTGGCAAACCTCTCGAACGGGTACAATTCTTTTTAATTTTATGACCTTCTCATTTGTATTCTTCTAGACATTCCGAGCTATCTTCACAGGACCTCTCACAGCACTCGATCCAACATCACGCAAAGGCACCAAACACCCTAAAGGCATCATTCACAGTATGACGGAACCTTCTGCCCCTGCTATCGCCTATGCTGCTATCCAGGTACAACATTATTTTATCTACATTATGATGCTGATATATAGCCTTGTCCAGTTGTTTGTTTCATTATCATCCGCCGAACAGTGGACATCAGAGGTCACTGGACTCGATCTTTACGAGTTGTACATGTCAATCGTCGACTCACTGAAACGGACCGATCATCCTTGGGTGAAAGAGACCCTCGACTACTGGACAAAGTTTGTTCATTTTTTTCACTCAACTTTGCTTCCTAACATCCCCAAAGGGTGGCGCCTCAGCTTACCCAGACCTCAAGGAGAAAGAATGGCTGATGTGCAGGTGCAGCATCTGACGACTCCAACTCTGATGACATGGATGGCTTCCTCGATGATCCCCCAGAACGCCCATCTTCTTCACCCGATCGTTCATGTGGACATCCCTCTGGTCAGTGTCTGTCCCCACCACCTGAACAACAACAGTGTCCCTCGCCTCCGCCACCCGAACAACAACAGCGTCAGCCAACACCACCACAACACTCACCCCAAGGTTCCCACCATGCTGATGAGGATGAGGACAAGAGGTTGACCCCTCCACCTTCAACTCCTCCACCAGTCACCAAACGCAAGGCTGCCAAGTGTGGCAAGGCCACTCGTCGAAAACACTGAATTGAATACCTCATTGGGACTTGCTATTCTTGTTGACTCGCACTAGTACAATATTACTCGAGCTTGTTCATATTCACTGATTTGTACTACAACGTGCTTGTAAATGGAACTGGATTGATCATTTATATCTCATGCGTGATAACAAGTGTGAATTACTGACCTTGCATGGATGCTATGATAGCTGCCAGCAATTAATGACGGACCTCACATGCATATTGTAAATTTGCATATATAATGTGAAAACGCACATATAGCGTAGAATTACATACATAGAGTAGAATTGCATGCAAACCATAAAATCTCATTTATACTGTACCATCCTGCTAACGAGCATTGATGCAAACAGTCACATATTTGCACATTTAAAGGTGCGTGCAAACCTGGCACCCGTATGTACTATGTGGTACCTATTTTGCTGATTCTATGTCTTGGTATGGGAATATATGATAGTGTTGCTTTTGTTGATGTAGTTTCAGCCTCTCAAGTTGTTGGTCTGGCCAGGGATGCCCTAAACTCATATACCAACACTTACTACAGGTCTACAACAAACAACCTTACCATACTTCAGCACTGTCCGGGATTGACTAGGTCAACAAGCTCCTTGAAGGTCACCCAGAATGAATCAGATGCAAGCTTGGTGTACATCACCACATGTTCATTACATTGTGCAATATACTTCGTGGCGGTGGAATAAACAACTCCAGAAATGTGACACTGGAAGAGCAGCTAGCCATCTTCCTGTATGCCTGTGTTACAGGCCTTGCTGTACGCCACCTTGCCGAGCGCTTTCAGCGCTCAAATGATACCATATCAAAGTACATCCCCTACCTCTCCTCCTAATATTTGTTTGCTATATTCTACCAGGTATTTTAAACAAATTCTTATCGCATTGTCCTCCCAACCTATCTATTCCACCAATGTCCAGCTTCCGGATGCAGAAGCCCCTGTGCCTGCTGAAATCCTTGGGACAACAAAACTCTATCCCTACTTCACCAACATAATTGGCGCCATTGATGGCACTCACATTACATGCCATCCTGACGCTGCTGATTGTGATGCTGCTTGCAACTGCAAAGGAAATTTGATGCAAAATTGCCTTGTCGCCTGCGATTTTGATATGCATTTCACTTACATGTTGAGTGGCTTCCCAGGGTCTGCAGCAGATGCTTGTTACGCTGAAAGCGTAGACTCAGGTAAGAGCTCTGTACTAAGTCTCAGTTGAGACGAAGATGATGCAGAGGTTCGTTATCGTTGGTGTAGGACTTGGTGACAAGAGTCGTCAAGTAATGACAAGGCTAAAGGTATCGATCGAGTATAGACACTAAGATGAAGAGTCTGAAGTGAAATCGTATACGAGAGCGATCTTGCTCAAGGAAGGTCTATCAGAATACTGAGTAGATTCAAGTTAAGGACTACAGGACAGATGGATCGACTACTTATAGGTAAGAGATACTTCAGGGCAGGACTACCGAATCAATGGTAAGGGTACAGGGTACAAGATAAGAGATAAGAGATAGGACAGCGATCAAGGATGCTGTACAAGAAAATGATGAGGATGTCATATGGTAGTACATGGTGAGAGAAAAAGATAGGGGGGTCTGGTCCGAAGTATGTTATCATAACAACGCTCGTCTCTACAACGAAGCTCATTTAACAAATTTCATAATCCCACCAAGCAAATTGTACCTTGCAGACGCAGGCTTCGCTGCATGTGACAAATTACTTGTACCTTACCATGGTGTGCACTACCACCTTGCTGAATGGGGCTGGGCACATATGGTGTGAGTTATTCTATTAACTTACCACCTAGTACTAATTTTTTTCAGGCCTTGCAATCCCAAGGAGTTGTACAATCTACATCATGCGCAGCTCCACAACGTCATCGAACACATTTTCGGTGTGTTAAAAAAGTGCTTCCGGATTATTCGCCTCCCTCCTATGTACAGCCTGGAAATTCAATCCCACATCCCTCCAGCAGTGTGTTTCATCTACAATGTCATTCACATTCATGACCCCAATGACATACTGGATTACCATTGTGTGGAGTCTGATGAGTGGGGGGCTCCTTACGACAGCAGCACACACCCACATGCACCAAGTCCGTGATGAGATTGCACAAGCAATGTGGGTTGACTATTTGCAAGAACAGCAATGTAGAGGCCAGCCACCACCACCTGGTGTACAAGAGTAGATTAGTTCAACATGTTCGAGTATCCTATGTACAATGTATTGCGCTCAGTTGTTTTTTTAGTCACACAATTCACAATTGATTGAACACGAATGACACAAGTCTATTGATTGCATGATTGTACATAAATTCAAGTAGGTGGTTCAAGTAGGTACATTTTCCCTAGCCCGCACTTCCCTCACTTCCTTGAGATGCTGCGTCTAAAAAACCTCATGAACACCATCTCGTTTGATGGAGTTGTACGTATCAGCGATGGTGACGTCGGACTGAAAGAGGTCCATCATGGTGACGACTTCGTTGTCGTCCAGGTTCTTCTCCTTTTGGACCCGAAGTACAGCGCGCTGTTTGCGGACCGGGACAGGATCGGTAAAGTGTCCAGTGATGGTGTCCTGAAGTACCAACATGGTGTTGGTGATGCTATCAACTACTTTCCCCCTAAAGTCTTCCAACACGTGCAGCATAGTGAGACATTGGGATTTTGAGGACCCCGCCACACTCCTGGACTTGGAGTTTGGGGGGTGGGACTGACCACACGAGCTGTCGTCTCCATTGGACTTGCGTTTCATCGAGATTGACAAGGTAGGTGTGGAAGATACAGAAGGGGCAAGAAATGGCTGCGATGCAGCGTTGAAGCCTCTCGGCATGACAGGAGTGAGAGGTGGCGGTGGTGGCATTGACCTAGAGTCGGCATTCATCTCAACATCTCTGGTACCACCAGTACCAAACTCGACCCGGTCGAGCACTTTCTCCAGCGACAACATGGTGATGTTGCTGGCTGCGGGAGTCAACATACCTGCAGTGTTGGTAGTGTTGGTAGTATAACTCGGGGTCGATGTGTGCATGGTGTTGCTGGGGCCAGCGTAGAAGCCAGTCCAGCTGCTGGTGGTCACCAGGACAACACCCTGGAGCTTCTGAAAGTGGGGCCACCCTTTGTTCCTGAAGCCCCTCACATCAGGGTTCTTCTATTAGAATAATTAGCACGGTAAATAGAGAGAGACAAAGAACACATACTGAGATATAATCCGCCCACACAGTCTCCCCTCCTTCATCTATATTGGCCCCTTTCTCCATGTCAAACGATAAGCCCGAAGCGCCGTTCATTTTATCGACGACCTTGTACATTTTTTGTATCTATAAATGTGTTAGTTATTTAAGTACCGGCGCTCACAAACGAGTACTTATGCGACCCCACTCGGACTGACAAGAATTGGGGGTCTTGGGCGCTCCATCAGGTGCTGGACCAGCCGCCATACATAAAGCAGTGTTAGTCCAAAAAGTCTTCATAAAATTCATCCCATCGCCTCCTTTCGAGTGCTTGTCGACAATGTAGTTGACCAGCCTCGTTTCATCAGCCAATGACCAGACACAGCGGTCTTTCACTTCTCCGGTGGAGTCCTGGTCTTCAGCGGCTGTCCTTTTTTCGCCTTTGCCCTTGGATGGCATGCTGGCGGCACTGCACAAACAGCGAGAACTCAATTGTGTCTGGGTCGAGGGCATATCAAGTGTAACATAGATAATCGACATGTCACAATCAGTCACACTCAACTGGCACACCGGGATGGTTACTGAATCACACTTGCTTTTTTTCAAGTCGGGCAAAGTTGGGCTAAATTGTCCTGGCCGAACAGAGTCTAAGACTCTGTTCGGGATCACAATTTTGCCCAACTTCAACAAATTTCAGTCAGAAAAGAAAAAACAATAGTGGTACTCAAAATAAATTTTGAAACTCTTGAAAACTCACTAAACTGCGTTCAACTCCCTTCAACTCCCCACTTAAAGTTTGAAAGAACTTGTGCAAGTCCAAGAGAAATGTGCTCGGCACACATCGGCATGTAGTCGGACTTTAAAATGACACTTGTGATTTTCAAAGTGTGCTATGTACATAGGGGAAAGTGGTAGAGTAGTGGTCCAACATACTTGTATTTCAAATGAAAGCATTAATAAAAATTGTAAAAAAAAGGCCTGCAGGAATAAAATTAGCTGTAGTAGGGAGCGCGGGAGGGACCAAAATAAGGGCTCGTGTACTCCACAAGCCTGACGAGCCTCCTCCATGAGCATCTCAACTTCACATGCTGGTTCACCATGAGGAACACCACCCTCACTTGTTTCAGCAGAAACTTCGTGTCAACCCAGAGATCCTCAATCATATATCTAATCACCCTATCTTCCAGAACCAGTCCAACAATCCTCAGCTCTGTTAAGACCGTGTTCAATGGGTCGGACCAGAGGGGCTTGGCTGCAGCTCGTGTGCTGCACCCTTTACCCGAGTATGTGCCCCTAAATTCACAGGGGGTAGATATCATCGGCTGAGGTGGTAGGTATGGCTAGGCTGGACGAGAGAGGTAAGACTACCCAAGACTAGGTCTGGGTAGAAGCTAACAAGGTACAGACTACCTGAAGGTAGAGGTGGAGGGATTTAGCCTTAGGGATATAATCCTGAGGCTCGGAGGGTCGGACTAGGATGATAATCCAAAGAGCCGAGAGAACACGAGGAATGAACTGAGTCTAAGATGATATTTGAACTGAGGAAATACTACGGGTTACAGGGGGTTTATATACTGTAGTGTACCCGACGGATATCTGGCTGAAGTGCAGTCTTCGGAACATAAGGCTATGTAAGAAATGTACTAACACACATGAAACTACTGCAGACAATCGAAAATGGAGCCAGATATTTAATGGAACAAAGGGAACAAGTTAAATGAAAAGGAAATGAATAGACTAACAGAAGGATCAGAATGAACCCGGATATTAACTGTCAGAAGGATCTGGGCATATAGGGGCAGAAAGAAGTGTATACAAATGGGGACTC